TACACATGACAATAATAATGATATTGATATTACAGAAAATTAGTACTGTCGTACACTATTATTAGCTCAATTATTTCTTTTAATGGAGTATTATTAAATATAATTATGGGTATAATATATGATGTTATAAGTAATATATATTTAAGAAAAAAAAAAAACAAAAAACGTCCAATTAAATTTTATTAATTAAATATTTGAAATTTATTACTTTTTCAAATATATATATATATCAAGTTAATTAATTACAATCGGGTCGGGTAGGACCAAATACCCAACTCCAACTCCCCCTCCTCTCTGCCATCGTTTATAAATAAAGAATGGAAAGTAGCAGAGCACGCATGCAAAATTAAAGACTGTCAACAAGAAGAAGAAGAAGAAGATTTCCAAGGAAAGCCATCAAGAAATTAAATCAGAAAACCGCCGGCCGGCGATATCTGTTTTCCGACCGAAGGGAAGGCAGGAATAAAAATGAAACCAATCGGAGATCGCGATATCAATAACCAGAGATATAACAAAGATAAAAAGAAGTCGTCCTCCGACGACTACCAAGAAGCTGACCGCCGGAAGCATTCCGGCAATTCCAACCACCGGAGCTACCCTCCGACAAAAATAAAACTCCAACCATTAGGCGAAACCAGTAGAATTAGGCCTCGAGAAGCGCCGGCGTCGACTGAGGAGATCGCCGCCGGCAATGTCGACGGCCAAGGTCCCCGGCTCAAAAGAGTCAAACAGAAAATGTCTTCTTATTCTTCCCACGCCTACCGATCGGACGGCAAATCGGAAAATTTGGAACCACCGCCGTCACGATTGCCATTAATAAAAATCAGGCGAAGGAGGAGTCCGGAATCGACGAGGAACAAGGATAAAATTAGTAGGATTTTGATTGTGGAGAAGGATCTGATTAATAAGGACTTGTCGAATCATCAACAGCGGTTCAAGATCCCGTGCAATGAGATCGATCATTTCAAAAAATTCCTTACAAGGGAGGAGCTGTCGAAGATGGAGGGTGGAGAGGATGTCCCGATCGAAGTGGTGGATCCGAAGGGGAGAAGATACGAATCGTACATGAAGAAGAATCAGGTCGGAAAAATGTTTTACTACGACATAAGGAGGCCATGGATGCAAATTGCAGAAATCAATGGGTTTGTAAAAGGTATGCATCTCGCTCTTTGGGCTTCTCGTGGACATCGGAACAAGCTCGTGATCGAGCTCAAAGTAGGCGACGGTGACGATGAAGATGATGGAGATGATGAAGATGATGAAGATGAATGCGATGATGATGATGATGATGACGATGACGATGGCGATGACGATAATGATGATGGCGATGATGATGATAATGATGATGGCGATGACGATGAGAACGAGAATGAAGATGAAGATGAAGATGACGAGATAGTAGATATTATGACATGAAAAGTGCTACCACTGAATACTGGGATTGCGAGTCCATTTTGGATTAGTTAAGAAAATTTGTGGCTCGATTTTATTTTTAGAATTTTTTTTTTAATACAATAGTCAAGATTTTCTATAAAAATATAGAATTAGTTTCGTCCTATATAATTTGTTCTTATTTTTTATTTTCGTCAATTTTCATGTAATTTATTTTTTTTTTAAATTTAATCATACACTTTAATTTCTATTTAAAATTTAAAATTTATAATTATTTTAATTTTAATTAAATTATTTAATTATTTTAATCTACAAATAGTTTTACTATATAATAATTATTTTTACTAATACACTTATTAATTGTTTACTAATAAACCCATTGTCTTCTACGATTTGCATCCATGGCCTCCTTATGTCGTAGTAAACTGTGTTTTTGACCTGATTCCTTTTCATGTACGAATCATATTTTCTACCCTTGGGATCCACCACTTCGATGGGGACGCACTCTTCACCCTCCATCTTCGACAGCTCCTCCTCGGTAAGGAAATCTTTAAAATGATCGAGCTCTTTGCACGGCATTTTGAAGCGCTCGACAAGTCCTTATTAGCCAGATTCCTCTCCACAATCAAAATCCTACGATTTTTACTGTTGTTCCTAATCGTCGAATCCGGACTGCTTCTTCCCCTGATCTTTATTGATGGCAATTGTGGTGGCGATGGTTCCCAATCTACCGATTTAGGCTCCGACTGGTAGGCGCGGGAATAATAAGAAAAGGCATTTTCTGTTCTTCTCTTTTGAGCCGGGGACCTTGGCCGTCGACATTGCCCCCTATTCCAGCCCTGTGAGTAAATATTTGGATTTGGTGTTCCTGTCTTACGGCCACGGCCAGTTGGTCGCGTATCTCCGGCTGGGCTTCTGCGGCCTTCGCCAATAATTTTTGAATGTCTATGAATAACGGTGTCTTGTTGCTTTCCTCACACCATCTTGTCACATGATCCACCATGTTGTCGTACGATATAATGATCTTACTATTCTTTCTTCATATGTTGGGCCATCGCCCGGAGGCGATGGTCCGGCACCTTAATAATTTTACCTGCATAATTGTTTTTGTTAAGAATTCGTATGAACATTTTCAAATTCGCCACCGCCAAATCGGTGGGGAACTCCTCGCACGACAGTCGCACTCCCTGGAAAAATTTATTATTTCCTCTTCGGCATCATTGAAAGCAGCGGCTGGTTCTTCCACTTCTAATGAATTGAGCCGGTCGACATTGCCGGTGGCGGTGGTGATCTGCTCCGTCCGAGGCCTAATTCTACTGTTGGTGGGAGGATAGCTCCGGTGATCGGAATTATTGGGAGGAGAAAATTTGCTTCCCTTCCCTTCGATCGGCAACGGCAACGGCAACATATATCGGACTTCTGCTTCAATTTAATTTCTTGATGGCTTTCCTTGGAAATCTTCTTCTTCTTCTTGTTGACAGTCTTTAATTTTGCATGCGTGCTCTGCTACTTGCCATTCTTTATTTATATACTATCATTGGAGTTGGAGTTGGAGTTGGGTATATATTTGAAAAAGTAATCAATTTCCAATATTTAAATAAAAATGAGTTGGGAGTTTTTTGTTTTTTAAATACTATATATTACTTATAGGCTGCTGCTACAACACACCGCAACACAAGGTGTGTTACTGTCGGCAGCACACAGTCTACATTAATATAATACAACTATAGCACATGACATAGTTTTATACAGAAAAATCAATATTTGATTTCAGCACACCGCATACTGTTATACAGTAGTCTTATAGGGCACACATATCCATTTGATTACAGCATGCCACGTACTGTTACACAGGACGCTCGCTATAATTATAAAGTAACATCACCTGTCATTGTTATAAACAACATGTACTGTGTATAATAAGATTTTATGCTACTTTTAGAAAAATCAGCACCCTAATCGTTCCTATTATTTATAATATTATATATCATAGCCATAATTATATTTAGTAATACTCCATTCAAAGAAATAATTGAGCTAATAATAGTGTACGACATTACTAATTTGCTGTAATATCAATATCATTATTATTATCATGTGTATTTTTGTTTAGAATGTTCTTCTTATATATGTTCAAAGTGGTGGCTAACTAGTAAAAATCTTTTGATCAATATATCCTCAAGTTAGCTTTATACTTTCTGATAAAAAAATTCATGTAATGATTATGGTTGATTGTAATTTACTACTATAACAGTCAATTTAAAAACCAAACTAATTTTATTATTATCGTTTTTAAAATTATTAATATTATTGTATAGTTTGAAAATTATATTTAAAAGTGAATATGTAAATAAAATAAAATAAAATTGAATGAATTTGATGCGATCACTTAAAATAAGAACATGCAAATAGAAGAAATTTGATACACAATTCAAAAAAATATATATATATATATTTGACTCGATAGAATAAAAAATAATAACAAACAAAACAAAATCGAAGAATTTATAAATTTTTTCTTTGAGTAAAAAGAATCATACTCCCTCATTTCTAATATAATAGTTTTATTTACCATTTTTGTCGGTCTCAAAATAATAATCTCATTTGCATAAATATTCGTATTACTAAAAAATTATTCATATTTTTTTTCATTATTATTACACAAATATCACTATTTTTTACACTAATACATCCAAAAAAATAATAAAAAAAATGATATACTCCCTCCGCCCCACAAGAAGGTTGTCATTGCCTTTTTTTCGTGTTGATCTTTAAATATTAATTATTATATCAATATGTGGTAGAAATCAAGAGAAAAAGAAAAAAATAGGTTTATTAGTCTCTTACAATACAAATACAATGATATTTGTCGAGTAAATTATTTAAATATAAGGATATTTTTAATGTTAAGTATAATGACGCAAAAACTAAATGACAACTTTCTTGCGGGACGAAGGGAGTATATATTTTACTCATATTTTTTACCGACTATTAATATAATACTTCATCCGTCCCATTGGAATGGTAGCGTTTGTTTTTTGCACGTAGATTTTTGAATACTAGTATTATATTGGATTGTATTGTAGTAAAAAAGACAAAAATACTCCTATTAGTACGGTGTAATATAAAAGTAATGACATTTGTGTAATATATTATAAGTTGAAAAAGTATTTATTATGTTAAGTAGGTTAGTACAATTATTAAATTGAGAAATGATAACCGACGGATAAAAATGAAAAATGATAACCTTTCCTGAGACTGAGGGAGTATTAATATTTTTTAAATTTCATGTTTGATTATTGTTATGAAACTGAGAGAATATATATTTTTTGTTTTTTTTTTTTGTTTTATTTTCTCACAAATCACAACAATCAAGCAAATAATTTACATTTTTCTAAAGTATATTTTAAAATATTATATATTTAATAATAATAATAATAATCATCTAAAAAATTATAATTAATTAATTAATTAAAAAAGCGTAATTAGTTAGTACTAGTAAATACCAGTAGTGATTAGTGGATTTGTATTGTATTGTAGTGTAGTGTATAAGAAGCGTAGTTGGAGGGAATTTAGCAGCAGTTAAGTTAAGTTAATTTAATTTATTGGGACTGACTCTGCACGTTAGCTTGACGACGAAGACTCCTCCTTCCCCTCTTTCCTTTCCTCATTCATTCCCTTGTGCGCTGCGCAGGTAAAAACCTAAAAACCGCATCTCCCCCAATTCTCCACCCACCGCTCCTACTACCGCCTTCATCACATGCTTTTCTTTCAATTCCCAACCCCTCTCCCCTAATTCCGATCCATCCGATTCCTGTTTCTGATTCTCCTTGGGGTTAATCGCTTTTTTCCGCGTTCCGATCGATGAGAGACGGCGAAAATGTCCAAGGTGAAACACTTGTTGAGGAAGCTTCACATCGGCGATCACCATCAACACGGCAGGCCGCCGCCGCCGCTCGATCCATCTCCGCAGACAGCGCCGTCGGTGCCATCGACCTCATCCTCGCCTTCGTCGCCCTCTGATTTGCCTCCGCCGGCTTCGTCGTCGGAGAATGAGAGATCGACCAGCGGCAATTTCAATTACTTCGAGGAGGAGTTCCAAATGCAATTGGCGCTGGCAATTAGCGTTTCAGATCAAGGTCAAAGCTGCGTTGACCCTGAAACCGCACAAATCAACGCTGCCAAGCAGATTAGCCTTGGCCGCCTGCCTTCTCAGAACCTTGCGGAATTTATGTCGCTCCGATATTGGGTAAAGTAGCTCTTCCTGATAATTTATGCCTGCCTATTTTGAGATTTCGGGTTTCAATTCATTGCATATATCTGTTTAGTGGAGATCTGATGAGTGGGTGATTTTAATTTCCGGTTAACTATTTTGATTTTGCGCTGCCCTGCCCTGCCCTGCCCTGCCCTGCGCCAAATTGATTGTGTTTTACATGTAATGATGGTTTTAGCTTGTACCTTATTTTGGGCAATCATGTTAGGTAAAACTTTAATTCTCTTGAATTGTCGTTACACTAGTTTGTAAGAATTTCTCATTCGACAGTCTGTTGTGTGCGGGGTTTGGATGCTGAGTAGTGGTATTTTATAACCTAAATATTCCAGAAATAGTTAGTGAATGATGAAATGGTGTCAATACCTATAGTTCTTATGAAAACAGTGATTTGTGCATCATGCTGTTATTCTTCATTAGGCAATTGACTGACATGCCACAAAACTGCAATTTACATTTTATGATAGACAATCATTTTTGCAATACATGATCATGCTTGATTACACAATTGACAGGCATACACATACCAATGACTATATACTATGTACATTGACAGAGAAGCTTAATAATTCGGCCTTTATAATTAATGAATCCAAGTTCTGGTGAAGGTTTGCCTGTAACTGCTTGGATTCTAAAATGCTGCGTGTTTGCTTCTCTTAAACATTGGCAGTAGGTCAAGTTTATTTGATTTTCAAGTGGAACTGGTGGTTACATTTGAGGGTCAATATATTTTAAAACAGCACTGATGTGTACTGTTAGGTATTCATTTGAAATAGAGCCTTTGACATGCTAACAGCAATATAGATCTAGGGCAATATGAAGCAAATTAAACAAGTAAAGTGGCACATCACTTATATATTGTGGTTTCCCTGTAATCTCATAACCATTCCATCAAAAAACTGTCAAAAATAAAGTGCTTTTTTCTTTTCTTTTTTCTTTATTGTCTCTCTCTCTCTGTGTACGTGAATCACTTTTAAGTTTTTAAACAGTTGCTGAATATCTTCCTTCCTGTGATGCAGAGTTCTAATGTTGTAAATTATGATGAGAAAGTAGTAGATGGATTCTATGATGTGTTTGGAATAGACTCAAATTTGGTGGTACAAGCAAAGATGCCATCGCTTGTAGAACTTGAGTCCATTTCACCAATGGATGATATTGGTTGTGAGGTTGTTTTAGTGAATCGTACAGTTGATGTAGAACTTCGGAAACTTGAGGAAAGAGTACGGTATATGTCCATGGAATGTCATGCTTTGGATAAGACCTTGAATACGAGTTTTCTAGTTCAAAAAATTGCTGAGCTCATTGTTCAAAGAATGGGAGGACCAGTGAGTGATGTTGAAGAAATGTTCAGGAGATGGAAAGCCAGAAATCGTGAATTAAGAATTTATTTGAATACAATTGTTCTTCCACTTGGTTCTCTTGATATTGGGCATTCACGTCAAAGGGCCTTACTTTTTAAGGTAATAAGAACTGTTGTTTGTTATGTTTGGTTCAATATCTGCTGATATAAAATATATTGTTTCCATTGTAATCAAGTAGACCTGTTAGTCTGTTACTGTATGATGTGATATCATTTATTGAAGATAGTTTATATGAATTTGTTTACTATTTATAGGTAGCTCATTAGCCTCATAACATATTGTTGAAGCCTGATAATTCAATGTTCTCCATGTTTGTGAGAAGCCTATATCTCAATATGAACACCTTACTGACCTGCTTCTCCCTTTATGTGCTGTATGTCATGGTCACTTCATACCTACCAGAAAAATGGATTTCTGATCATTTAGTTGAATGGTTGTTTATAGGTACTTGCGGACATGATTAACCTTCCATGTAAGCTTGTCAGAGGAAGTTATTATACAGGCACTGATGAAGGAGCTGTGAATTTGATTAAATTGGATGATGGAAGGTACGGACTTGCTTTTGTTTTACCTTTTATATATTTGATCTCTCAATGCTGTTTTTACGTGTCTGATTTCATGAGTATCTTGTTTGGTTGTGGTGGTTGTGTGCATTTTAGCTGGTTAAACTTTTCCCACTAGTTGGTTTTTAATTACCATCACTAAACTCCTCTCTCTCTCTCTGTCTCATCTGTATGAATCACGATAATGCAACACATTTAGCTCCGCTCGTAGCCTTTTTCAGCTCAAGCTGTATCATTGATCCCTTATGGTTCCATCCATGAGATTGTGTATTTCAACCATTTTTTAAGCTACTTTATTTGTTTCCATTAAAGATTGTAGGGTGTCTGTTTCTTCTTTTGAAAGAATATAGCCTCGAAAACCAAAAAAAAATCCACTACAATCATTATTAAATTTGTTACAGGCCATGTGCTTCATGTTTCCCAACATGTTACCAAATACAACACTGCTCACAATCATTTGGAAGTTGCAAAAGTGGAAAATAGTTCATTAGCACTCTCCTGCTATGAGCACTTCATCCGGTTAGAATTGTCAAATTTGGTGTTTGAACTAATAGTGTTAAGTGAATCCTAGAATCCGGACATCTTGCTGCTCAGGTTTAATCTTTAAATGGAATTCTCGTGGCATACTGATCCAATTGTTGTTCTATAGTTCTTTGATATTTATCTCTAACAGGTCTTTTGTACGGTTGCAATATTTTTTCCTTAATACTACCCTTGGTCCCCATTTCTTTAGTTACTATTTTTGGACTTACTCTACATCTTTGGTGAACATTTATAAAAATAATTAAACTATTCCTGTAACTGGTGCAGCGAGTATATTATCGATCTCATGGGTGCTCCAGGCACACTCATTCCTGCTGAGGTGCCGTCTGGTCATTGTCAGAGTTTTGGTTTAGATACCAGAAATATTCCTACGATTTCAGGGATACCCAACTTGATTGAAACTCACAGTGCAAGTATTTTGAGCTCAGAATCATCTGCTAGTGCAAGGCGGGTAGGAAGGAAAATGCCGGCAAGGAAGATGGAGCATGATGTTGGAGATGCTGATCTCACTCCATGGAAACCATCTGAAGCATCATTGCACGCCGCAAAGAAAAAGTCAACCAGACAAGAATCTGAGAGTGGAGGTACTTATAGTTACTCTACAAGTAATACCAAGGAACCGTCATTTGAAGAAGTCCCTGTACTGCATCCAAAGAGTTCTGACTCAACAGGCAAGGATTTCCTTCCAGATGTAGGTCCTCATGATTTTATGGAAGAAGACGCACAGGAAAGAAGTGGACTAGTGAGAAGAGAGAGGCTATTTGATCCGTACCATGGAGAGACAAATCATTCTCTCTTACCTTTCAGTGGATTGCAGCAATTAAGCATGGCATATAGTGGCAGTGAAAGGCCACTTCCTGAAGGTTTGGGAACACAGCTGTTTCACCTGGATGCTGAAAGACAAAATTTGACTACCACTGCTCCAGGGGAGCAAAATGTCAGAGTTAGTCATGATGTGATTTCTTTAAATGGTGCTAGCATTTATCGACAAAATGTTGAGCAATCTGGAGATACGGGGGCTATGCTAATGTCCATCACTGACCAGCCAGAAATTGACAGAATCCATAATGTGCAACTTGATCCAGTACTCAATGGAGTTGCTGAGATCTTGTGGGAAGATCTTCAAATTGGTGAACGTATTGGCATAGGTATGAATTTCTGCATCAAATTTATTGTCCATCATTGAATGTGTTTTGTTATCATGGGGGTGTTCTAAGTTCCTTCAGATTTAGTTTCAGTAATATTCATGTCTACACAGTTGTTCCTGAGTTGGAAATCTGTGCACTATGAAAAAAACTGCATCTTGACATATATTTTTGACAATTTTATTTAATTAAGTGAAGATTGGCATTTTTTAATATGCATTAACCTCAAAACCTTCTTGTTTGTGTTAACCTTTGCTTTTAGGCAATCCTTATAAGCTGTAAATCATTTAATTTCAATGTGTTTTCTGTTTTCAGGCTCATATGGTGAGGTCTACCGAGCAGAATGGAATGGCACGGTGGGTTATATATTGTGATAGTTGCATTCCTTTGCATAAAATTATCAACTAGTTTACTAGTACTGTTTTTTTAGTGAGTTATGATATACTTCTTGCATTTACCATATTTGTGGGATTCTATGAAGTTGTGTTGGGATATTGTTTGGTTTTATTTTTGTGTTCAATAGAATGAGTTGCCAGTCCATATTAACATCCTCTTTGCAAGTTTCTTCACAACCATCTGGTACTATTGGGAGCATTTCTGCATTAATATTCAATTTTATTGGCATATCTAATGTCTTTTAATTACAGGAAGTTGCGGTAAAGAAGTTTATGAACCAAGATATATCTGGAGATGCTCTTGCCCAGTTTAAGTGTGAGGTATATGCTAATATTCTAACATTTCACCATATGGTTATACTTTCGCTGCTAGAAAGATGTTTCTTTCTGTTTATCTATTTTTTCATTTTCTAAATTCTAATCAGCTGCTCCCTGTTGCCTGATGCAGGTTGAAATCATGTTAAGGCTGAGACATCCAAATGTTGTTCTTTTTATGGGAGCAGTTATACGACCCCCAAATATGTCCATATTGACAGAATATCTTCCAAGGTTTGTCGGATATTCAAACTTGAGCATGTATGATGTGTTGATAAAATTTGCTCTCAAGTCATTATATAGCTTCATATAACATTAGTTTCTTTACAATTACCTGGAAAATAGAAGCTTCTGTTAAAATTACAGTGTCCCATTCTACTTGGGGCATGCATATTAGGTAGAGCCCGTTATGCACTTGTATAATATGCATGATGAGTTTTATCTTTATTCTTTTAGATATTATAAAATAAAATGAGAAGCGATTAATGTTTAAGTTGGAATAATCGGAATCAAGGGCAGAGTTTAACGTAAGTGAAATTCTTTCAACCAACTGGCATTTTCAGGTGTTTTCAAACTATTTTATTGCTCACTTTATGCTCTTTTTTTAAAATAAGAATTAGAAGTTGATACATTGTCCTGAGGATCATTTTCTTCCTATCATATTATAGCTTCTCAAAACTTACTATTCACTTGCAGGGGTAGTTTATATAAGCTTTTGCACCGTCCAAATATCCAAATAGATGAAAAAAGGCGAATAAAGATGGCCCTTGATGTGGTATTGGTTTCGTTTCAAGTTTTTATTTTTATGCTTTTCCTCTCATTTGCCACTGATATTTTTATTTTACCTCTGATAATATGCTCATCTTTTGCAGGCCAAGGGAATGAATTACTTACACACTAGCCATCCCACCATTGTGCATCGAGATTTGAAGACTCCGAATCTACTTGTTGATAAAAATTGGGTTGTGAAGGTTTGTACAGTTTCTCATTGAGGCAATACTAGATTATGAACATGAACATGAACATGATCTCTCCTCTAATGTATCTATTATCCTGTAACAATATGCTAGGTTTGCGACTTTGGTATGTCACGCTTACAACACCATACTTTTCTATCTTCAAAGTCCGCAGCTGGAACGGTAATGCCTCTGAAGCCACAGCTTCATTTAGCTGTTGTTTGTTATATTTTACCTGTTACGAAAGTTAACCTGCATTGCTAGAAAGGGAAAGGGAGTGGGGTGGGTGGTTTGTCATAAATGAAAATGGAGCAAACATTATAATTGTGGCTTTGTATGCTTACTAGTTGTCTTCATGATACCTGCAGGCAGAATGGATGGCCCCTGAAGTCCTGAGAAACGAACCATCGAACGAGAAGTATCTTATCTACCTTTACCTGCATAGATCTACTTTGCTGCTTCTAATTCATCTATGTGATGAGTTTTTCTCTATAAATAAATTGGCAGATCCGATGTATATAGTTTTGGAGTGATACTGTGGGAGCTGGCTTCTCTCAAGGTGCCTTGGACTGGAATGAACTCAATGCAAGTTGTTGGAGCTGTTGGCTTCCAGGGTCGGAACCTGGAGATCCCGCCTACCGTAGATCCCCTGGTGGCAGGGATTATAAGTGACTGTTGGAGTAGGTTAGTTTCTAATTCTTCCCAGCCTACACATCTTCCATAAGTAACCTGGAATATACAAATGTGTGTATCAATATAATTTAATCCATGCATTTTTTATTTTTATTTTTTCTGCAGAAACCCGCAGGCACGGCCGTCATTTGCACAGATTATTACCCGTCTCAAGAGTCTGCAGCGCCTGAGCATTCCACCAAATAAATCACAAGGGGCCGTGTTTTAGAATTAGGGCAGCTCGAATCTGGAATGAAGAAGAGATATCCAGAGAGCTGAAGTCACGAGTTTGGGTAAATGTCAATTTATATATAGAGGGAGAGAAAGGTTGCTGCATTGGCGGGTGTCGGTTCATTCGAAGTGGGAACTCTACACAGCCAATTCAGAACTGAGCAACCAACTGTCCTCAAGCTGAAGAGGAAAGGGCACAAAAGTGTTCATGAAAGAAAAAAGGAATAAAAACCAAAAAAAGAAAAGAAAAGACTAACTTGTGAAAGGCCTAAGATGTGATGGAGAAAATTGTACACAATGACTTTTTCTCTTCATGTCCTCCTCTATTTGTAAGAATCTTTTAAATAAACATGAAAAAAAAAATGCAAAAAAGGGTGGGGGTGGAGAATTGGAGTTTTTGAATCTTTGTTGAGACCATAGGAAAATGCAACTGTGTATAAGAAGGGTCTCAACAGGTTCATCCAAAAAGAGAGTGGCTGAAAGTGTGGGTTGAGTTTATGAATTATCCTACTAGTAAAAAAAAAAAAAAGGGAAAAAAAGCACGCATGTAGCTGGTACGAGTCAGTCTCAGTCAGGGCAGGGTTTTTATCTTACATTCCTTGACATGCTTGCATTTGTCCTCCAATGAAAATAAAGACATAATGAATGTATAAAACAAATCTCCACTCTCCTCCGGTGGCTTATTTCATTGGTTTAGCTCTCTCTCTCCCTAACTCAGTATGTTCCTTTTGATTTTGCTTGTGATTTAACAATACAAAATAGGAAAAAAAGGATTACTTGCTACTACGCCCCCACTTTATCAGCATACGCATGTCTTCTTTAGTCATTGATAGTATTCTTTTTTGGTAACACTTTCCATTTTCTTTATAAGTAAGATTTTTTAACAGATATTTTCAATAGCAAAATATCTAAAAACAAAATCAATCAAGACGGCCTCCATTCCATTCCATTCCATTCTATTCTATTCCAACAACAAAACAAAACGAAAAAAAAAAATGGCCAGTTCTAGCGGCAGCAGCTCCACCTTGTTCCACCACCTGCTGCTCTATCGAAGGCCAGGAGCAGCAGCACCACCACAATTGCCATATTCATCGTCCTCCTTCTCCAGCAGAAGCAGCCACTGGCACTCCACCCTAACCCTAATCCCCAAATCTAAGTATCATGATGATCGGCGGCGGCGGCGGTTGTGGTCGTCGTTCAAGAACAGGCCAGAAACAGAGTGCCCGGTGCCGGTGGATCAGCAGCCGATGAAGGAGTACGAGGCACTGGCGGATTCGTTCCCGTTCTCATGGGCCTCGGCCGACCTGGTGGAGTACTGCTCCAGGCTCTTCGCCACGGGCGCTTTCTTCGCCCTCTTTGTGGGGCTCCCTGTGTCGTGGGTCGGGTCCAAATCCCACGAACCCTTGAGCCTCGCCTTGGGCGCCGCCTCCAGCGGCCTTTTCGTCGCCATTCTCGCCGTCGTCAGGATGTACCTCGGCTGGGCTTACGTCGGCAATCGCCTCCTCAGCGCCACCGTCGAATGTATTAATACTAATATACTCTTTCTAATTTTTTATTTTTTTTATCTCCATTCCATTCCATTACTGAGTAGTAGTAAGTGAAACGGAGTGATTTGGTTTGGTTTGTTTCAGATGAAGAAACAGGATGGTATGACGGGCAGGTTAGTCTCCAACGCCACGCCACGCCCCCTCCCTCATTCATCCATTCAATTTGATTCAATGATTTATTTTTAATTGTATATAATATAGATATGGGTAAAGACTGCAGAAGTATTGGCTCGCGATAGGCTTCTTGGTTCATTCTCTGTAAGCACTGCACCGAACTAACTCATCACTTCCTCACATGACTACATTCTCGTCGTCCTCCATTAATTTATGTCTATATATATATATAGGTGAAGCCGGTGCTGGGCAGATTAAAGAACAGCCTGGTCGTCCTCGGCATATCATTGCTCATCTGCATAGTCCTCCTTGTAAACTCCGACGACAACAACAATAACAGCAATGTTGGCCTGAAGAATGCATCCTTTTCAATTTCAAGTGATCACAGAAGAGCCATACCGGGAGTTTACAACGACGAGGCTGCAAGAAACTTCGAGCCGGATGCTTTCTGCGGCGATCAAACTCTTGTTCAATAATATATATGTATGTATATGATTGACCTGAAATATTTGTGTGTGTATAGACATAATACATTACATATATGTAAGTGCTTGCTTACTATATCTTCTTCTTAATTTGTATAGCTTCCAAAGATTGTGTTATTCTTGTAGGTGTCGGTTTTGTTCAAATCAATATGGGTTTGTTCCACAAAAGTGAGGTTAAATTACACTATCCCAATTTATTTTGTCTTATACTAACCGATCACCAACCCTCCTCATGTCTATTTAAATTTTTTATTTTTATTAATTTTTTGTTTTAAAAATACATATGTTGTTGGTAATTCACAATATAGAAGAAACACAATATATATTAATACTGCACAATAAAATTCATATTTTTATTAAAAATTTAAAATAAAAATTTAATATATACTTATATACAATATACAGAGAATATATAGATAAAGTAATTCTACTATTTCTTTAAACAAGTTTATCCATGTATAATTTTATTATTTCTATTTTAACAAATAATAAAATAAAAAATACTATTTTTTTCAGTTTATCCCACTATATTTTTTATCAATTTTTTAATAAATATTTTATAATATTTTTACTTTATTTTTTATTCATTTATTTTTATATTAAAATAACATTATTTGATAGTATTTTTGTCCAAATAAAAGATAAAATTAGTTCGAACAAATGAAATGCTTCAAGTTAAAATATTAAACAAATACACTATTTATTCCTTATTTTTTTTAATTATAATTTGAATGTAATATTAATTATATATTAAAAAAAAATACTCCCTCCGTCCCATAACAAAGTATCCATTTTTTTCATTTTAGTCTCTCCCATAACAAAGTATCCATTTTCTTTTTCAGTAACTGTACTATCTACCTAACGTTACAAATACCCTTGTAACTTACAATATATTACACAAATGTCATTACATTTATATCACACACACTAATAAGGTTATTTTAGTTATTTCTACTTTATTTCTACTTTATCCTAATATAATACTAATATTTCTAAAACTACGTGCAAAAAGCAAATAGATATTTAGTTCCGGGACGGAGGGAGTAGTATAATTGAGGTTTGCAAAAATTACTGATTAATTAAGATTGCATTATTTTAAGAAAAACAAATTTATTACTACATAATAGACTATTTTATATCAAGGGAATGGATTAGTGTCGATGAATATATATATTTTTTAATAGTTTATATTAGAATATACATATTTTCTAATTGATTGAAAAATTGGACTTGTTCTTATATGTTTTGATGTTTTTTTAATTGTTTTAAAAACAATTAACAATTGAATTAAAAAAATATATAAAGTATGATGTAAATAGACATTTAATATAACAATTGGAATATAAAATAATAAATTTTTTATTTGAACCTCTTCATTTCCACCTTAAGGCTTAATGCATGCATATATATGGAATACAGAATTTTGCTTATCCAAAGCTACATTCTAATAATAGAAAGGTTATTGTCCTGATGTCCATCCAAACTTGTCTTTGTTTCTATTTTTAGTCCAATAACATCATCATGGTACAATCCCACCAAAAGTATCCCACCCCATTTATTCATGAACAATCAATATATTTTTCCAACAAGTTGCTTTGAGTAGAAGGAATTTTATTTATTTATTACTTTCAAAATTAAATATATTAATTTTAATAAAATATTATATCAAAAATACTATTTAAATAAAAATTTAAACTATCATCTTATTTAAAACCATTTAAAATAACAACCAAATAAACAATGACTTCGACAACTTATGATTTTGATTAGAGTTATTTTAATACTCGATCCATCATAATACATTTGTATTACGGATTTTTATCCATCTTAAAATAATAGTTTTGGTTTTAAAAATAATTATTGTGATCTTCGTTCTATAAAAATATTATTTTCATATTTTTACTATAATTGTGTGAATACCATTACAATATTCTTTTTAATTTTATAATAATAAAAGTAAAATTATCTTTTATTATTTATTTTATATCCACTCTTGACTCTAAATAGAATGCTATTATTCATTAAATCTACTAAAAAAAATAAATAAATTATTATATTAATAATGAGATAATAGTATTTATAAACAATAGTATCATTCTTTTTTTATTAACTATAACAACTTTTTTATATAAAAATATGCTTATGTATCATTATTTAATACTACTTGATAAAGTATTGTTTTTTATTTTGTGTTATTATCCTTAATTTAAATATTTTTACATTTTTTTAATAATATTTTATACAAATTCATTTTATTTTTTATACAATATTAATAGGTATTTTTATTTTATTTTTTTCTCTTAATTTGTATTATGTATGAATATTATATTAATAATCAGAATAAAAATAAAATTAAGGTGTACTTACTCGATGAACTTTTCTAAATTTTAATTTAAATTATTAATTTAAACAATAAGTAGAATATATTACTATTTCATAAATAAAAAATAAAAAGTACTAGTAAAGATAATATAGTAAAAAATTTAAAATGAATAGAGACTTAATGACTATATATATATATATATATAAGTGAACTTTGTATTAATTTTTAGAATATGTTTAGAATATATAGACATTATATTATTCACTTATTATTTTAATTAAATACTGTAATTTTTCATTTTTTGTATATTTATATTTTTCCTTCTTCGCGAAGAACTGTCTATTTTATTTAACTTATATATATATAGAGAGAGAGAGAGAGAGAGAGGGGGGGGGGGGGGGGGGGGGGGTCTCTCTAGGCGTGTGTGTATATATATATATATAATAGTTGGTCCTTGGTTTTCTATGTAGCTGTTCCTCCTTCATAAATCCACCATTGGCATTTGGCAGTGAGTGTCTTGCATTTTGTGTTCGTCTTTTCCAACTTCAACTTCATCAATACCAAATTGAATTTGAATCTGAGCTGTTTGTCGATGGAGGGGAGGAGGATAATGGAGATGGAGATGGAGTTGGGGCTAACGCCGCAGGAATTGGCGCGCCTCGACCCTCTCATCCGCGCGCACCACACCTTCGACGCATTGCCCAACACATGCACTTCTCTCATCTCCCAGCGCATCGACGCCCCCGCCGACGCCGTCTGGCCGCTCGTCCGCCGCTTCGACAATCCCCAGCGCTACAAGCACTTCATCAAGAGCTGCACCATCACCGGCGACGGCGGCGTCGGAACCATCCGCGAGCTCACTGTAGTCTCCGGTCTCCCAGCCTCCACCTCCACCGAGAGGCTCGAGATCCTCGACGACGAGAGGCACATACTCAGCTTCCGCGTCGTCGGCGGCGAGCATCGCCTCAACAACTACCGATCGGTAACTTCCGTGAATCAATTCGACGAGGATGGAAAAACCTACACGATTGTGTTGGAATCGTATATTGTGGATATACCTGAGGGGAATACCGGCGAAGATACCAAAATGTTTACAGATACCGTTGTGAAATTGAATCTCCAGAAGCTTGGGGCTGTGGCAACATCCAGCAAGCAAGGGGAACGATGAATGGATCGATTTTGGAGCTAATTTGGTGGTAAAACTCTTCGATTGTTGGAAAATTGCAAGCCCTAGGTTTGAGAAACGACGCAGCAGAGGATGAATGGATCTGAACTCTGATCGATCTTCAGGTATACAAATACAATGACTGTGTGGGTGAAGCTTGAAATTGAAATTGGTGATTGTTGTTTTCCATTGATGATAAGCTCTGATTATTTTTGAGTTACAAGGGTTACTTTCATCATAATGCAATTTGAGATTACTTTGCAATAATTGCAGTTGTTGAATAGAATAGTTTTCATTTCTTTATCATGTGTTTCTTGGCTGTGTCTGTGTGTGCTTATAATTGCAGCTACCTCCATTATACAAATACTCATGATTCATTTTTGGCTAGAAAAAGAAGAGTGATTTTGGTGATCAATGTTTCTTTACTTCTTCTTCTGCTGTGCATCATCAATAGATATGTTTTGCTGTAGGGGTCAAATCTGGCTGTTTTCTTTATCAGGATTGTTTGTAGCAATCAATTTCAACATCTGTGTTGCAGTTAGTCCATTATGATATGTTTGCTAATGTCATTATGTGTGTGTGTGTGTCTCTCTCTCTCTCTCTATATATATATATATGAATCTTATTTGGTTTGGCTGTGTTTTGATTGGATCCAGTTCTTGTTTCTCTGTTCTTTCATTTGGATGTGATATGTTTAGATGTAACAAATTTTGGTTTCTTTTTTTTCTTTTTCCTTTTTTTTTTAAATTTTTTTGTGGGTGTATAAAAAATGTGTGCAAGTTGCAAGGAGAATAAGTGGGGGTGGGCTATTAATGGTTTCTACAGCAAATGCCATGTAAAGGACTGCTCATTTGCATTCTATAGAATTCAATGCTAGCTAGCTGTTTATTTAGAATACACATCACCATTTTGACTTTTTTTTCTTTTTACCAAAATATAAAAATACCATCTACTATACATACATACATTATACATATACACACACAAAAACTGGGATGTACATACATATATGTTTCTGGTCTGAGTGTGTATATCTTGGACCATTTCTTGGCATTCACTTTGAAAATTGAAACTGATGAGAAAACTAGTTAATACATTCATACTTCCACATAAAAGGGTCTTTTGTCTTTTTGTTCATTTTTCTTGTCCTATAATTAGTTTGATTTCATAATTTACTGCTATCCTCCTACCCACCCCCACAGAAATATGTACATACATATGTGTCTATATATAGAGAGAGAGAGAGAAAGAGGGTAAGCAAGTTGTAGGGATTCTTGGATTTTCTTTTTCAAACCCCCCCTCCCCCTCACTTCTTTTATTTAATTGATTCATGATGCTTGCTTTATTTATGTGGTGTGAAGAAAGGATATAGGAAAGGGGATCATGCTTTTTAGCAAAAAAACACACACACACACAAATAGATAATGTATACAAACACACATACTATTTATGAAAATACAAGTAGGTGAGCAACTTGCAAGAAAATTTTTGAACTTTTCAATAATGTCAACTCACACTCGAATGGAAATTGATGATGATGATGATGAGCTATAGGTTGCTAAAGCCATGTGACACCATCACCACCACCACCACCACCACCACCATCATTGTAGTGTACATTTTGATTGGGCATGAAATCCAATGCATGGTAACTATGATACTTTCTACTTTCTAGTCATTTCTATAAATTATACAATGAGTCTATGGTGATTTTTTAGATTATATTAATAAGATTTGATGTAAATAAATATCATATATGATATTTTGACATTTTGGTCTGTCAAAAATTAATGTATTCAATTTTGAGTAATTGTAATTTACACTTAAATAGAAGATATTCATACACTTAAATAGATTATTTCAAGAATGCCAGAAAAGACATTAAAAATAATTAGTTACTAGGGGTAAAGAAAAAAAAAAAAAAAAACTTTTTATTATTCTATTGCATTATTTATATATATATATATAATATGTAATAATATTCTAAAATATGCTTGGAAAATATAAACTGATAAATAGATAGCAGAAAGAAAAGTATAATATTTTAAATAAATAAATAAAGTATAGAATGCAACATGTTTTGGAAAATGATTAACTTTCAAATACTCTCTCTAAATAGTGGCTTAATATTATATTGAATTGAGGGTATCTAGTTGCTTGTGAAAATGGTTCAACAAACTATATACAATATTGATTGGACCAACCAAAATAGTAGTAATATATATGTATTATTATATATACACAAAACACACATTTGTATATATATATTTTAATTATTTATTGAGTTTTGTTGTCATTGTACGAAATAATAGCACTTTCTGTAATAAAAATAACTATAAATTTAGATAATAAACAAAAACGAAAATGTGTATATATATATATATATAAAAAAATTCTAGGATTTATTGCACTTCCCTTCGTCCCTATATATATTATTTATTTATATCTCTTCATTATTTAATTCACTGGCTAACTTAGTACTGCAATCTTTGGACCAATCGGAGCCTACTAAATAAAATTATTTGACATATTTATATCAAAATGGTTGAGTTTATTATATATGATGGTTTATCCGTTCATTCAATTTTAAGTTGACATTTTTCCTATGCAAAGCTGCAAACTTGTTGGCCCACTCCATTTATAGCTTTGCTCTCCACTTGCTCTTTAATCTTTATATATAACTCAAATTTCAAACAAGTATTACCATCATTCAAGCTTAAATTCACATTAATTTTATTAAGATTATTTTATTATTTCAAGTTATATTCATTTTTAAAATAAAATATAAAAAATCTCTCCTTTTATCTGTTATTTATATTCTTTTTCTCAAATTTACTCATATATATTTTTATTTTTTTTCTACCTGTAAATTTATATTACTAATTTTGACAAAATTGAAATATTAACATTTAATTATTTAATATTTATTTATAATAAATATTCCCCGCTATTTTTATATTTTTATCATTTTCTTTTACTCCGTGTGCTATATTTGTTGTATATTTATATTATATTAATACAAATTTTGTACTATTATTTTATATTTTATTTATTGACTATTATTCTCTCCGATCTCAATATAGTATCTCATTTACTATTCTAGAAACAAATTTTTTAAAAAAATATAATCAGTAGATAACTTAAAATATATTAGTAAATATAATTATATTATAACAAAAATAATTTTAAATTTAAATATATATAAATTAAAAAAATATAATAAAACTAATAATTTTAAATTAAAATTAAATTAATTCATTAGTAAAATTAAAATTAAAAAATATATATTAAAAAATTTAAAATAAGATTAAAATATATAATTTTTTTTAAAAAAAACAAATGACATAAAAAGTGACTAAGACTAAAATTAAAAAATTAAAAAACAAAAACAGTAAGTGAAACAAAGCCAGTATAATATTTAAAATATTATCGGAACGCTGCTCAATAATTTTATTCACCCGATAAATATATATATATATATATATATATATCTTAGCAAAATAAAAATAATCGAACTCAACTATGCTTTGCAGTCATTGCAAGCTAACCTTTCTCTTGTTAAGCTTTTCTGGTGTTTCCTCGGAGCAAAACTTTTGTCCCAATCCACCAAAAACATTGCAATAATAAACTCCAACCAGTTAAACCACATCGATCCATTTTTCAGCATCGCGGCGTCGCTCACAGCCCGGGTATCGGGAACTGGGTTGCCAATGCTTCGACTCTTGATTGCAGATCCTTCACCTTCCCGAGCAATGGAAAGTCGGGAGAGGTCACGAAATTCATGAAGTCTTGAAGCTTGGTGCCCGAAACAGACTTCTTTGCTTCCAGAGCCATCTGGACGCCCTCGTCTATGAAATCTGCGACTGCCACGAATTCCTTCTCGCCAAAACCTCTCGTCGTCATTGCAGGAGAGCCTATTCGAATGCCACCGGGCACTAGCGCACTTTTGTCGCCTGTAAGATAAAAAATACAATGGAGCTTCAAAAAGGTCATGAAGTTTATCCATAGTCTATATCGGGTGAAATAATGGTTTACGGTTCGCGAACCTGGTGTGGAGTTCTTATTGAGTGTGATCGACGCCATATCTAGGATTTTCTCAACTCTAGCACCATCAATGCCCTGGGAAGGTATAAGAAAGTCGATTGATTAGCTAAATTATGGAAATGGATAAAATCATTGAACAAGAATGGTCCTAAAATGCTCACCATGGGACGAAGATCCACGAGAACTAAATGATTATCGCTTCCTCCGGAGACCAGTTTGTATCCTAACTCCATTAGCCTACTTGCCAGAGCTCGGCAATTAGAGACCACCTATAGGATAAATCAGTAGAATTAATGTAATCGAATAGAGAGGAGGGAACAAATATAGTGATCGATTATACCTTGTTTTGATAAGCCTTGAACTCCGGTGATTTGGCGTGCTTTAGACAAACGGCAAGGCCACCGATTGTGTGATTATGCGGACCTCCCTGCATAGACAGAACCAAAAGTTTGCATAAATTTACAGAAATCAAGAGTTGAGCTATCGAAATTCAGATTGTATTTGTTAGAGAAATCTCAAGAATAGCTCAGACCTGTAGACCTGGAAAGACGGCATTGTTGATGGCTGATTCCAATTCGACTCCAAGAACAGGATCCTTCTTAAAAAAGATCATTCCACCTCTGGGTCCCCTGAGAGACTGAAGAAAATGCCGACATCATAACCACAGAGCCGAATGGCGTCAACAACTCAACTAGCAAACACAAAGAGTCCATAAATATTATGTAATCAAGATTAACCTTGTGTGTGGTAGTTGTTACGATGTCACAATACTCGAAAGGATTAGCAACGACGGACGCAGAGACAAGTCCACTTATATGAGCCATATCCATCATGAGAAATGCACCGACAGCATCGGCAATCTTCAATGTAAAACAGGAGGATAAAAGCATTAGAATATCAAAAGTACGTGAGGCAAGACACTTTATAAGTTTACCTTTCTCATACGAGGATAGTCAAAATCCCGAGGATAAGCACTAGCACCGGCAATAATAAGTTTAGGGCGAAACAGGGTCGCAGTTTTCTCAAGCATATCGTAGTCAACAAGACCTGCACAACAGTTTAATTAGTTAAAAGTAAAAATTTGCTTCTTTTTTTTAACTTCTTAAATATTTTGTAGCAAAGTGAAAAACCTGTAGACTCGTCCAGTCGATAAGGCATTGATTCAAAATATATAGATGTGCCCGACACCCGCCTCTTTGGTGTCATGAACCCATGTGACAAGTGTCCACCATGAGGTAAATCCAAGCCCTAATCAATTCAAAACCCAACCAAATAATCATCGTTCCAAATAGATATTCAGTGCATCGACTTAAACAGCCAGAAAAGACAACAATGTGTTTACCATTATGCGGTCATGTGGATTGAGAATTGCAGTGTAGACCTCAAAATTAGCCGGAGAACCAGATAATGGCTGCACATTTACACCCCATTTGTTTTCATCCAAATTAAATGCCGCAAGAGCCCTCTTTTGACAAAGGATCTCAAGTTCATCAATGTGCTCGTTGCCACCATAATACCTAAGCCAAGAAAAAAGAAACGAAATAATACATAACACAAGACTTTGATTCAATGCCAGTCTTGAATTTATAAGACACCGAATACCTTTTTCCAGGTAGTCCTTCAGAATACTTATTAGTGAGGCAAGAACCAACAGCCTCCATAACTGCTCGAGAGGTAAAATTTTCAGAAGCAATAAGCTCCAAGCTTCTGAATTGACGATTCTTCTCACTGTCAATAATGGCTTGAACTTCAGGATCAGCTTCAGCCAAGCCATAGTCCACAAAGCTGCTTCCAGAACCTATTTATCTCAAATTACATGAGATCAACATGTGCAAAGAACAATCAAATTGAGTAATAGCATACATTCTCATATCACAACAGTTTCTACCTCCAATTTCTGATTTAGGAACAGATGTGGAAGACATTGTCCTGCCAGTGCTTAAGCTCCCTTCTATTTTCAACGATCGAAAAGGCTTCACCGAACTCACTTTCATGTTTTGGCTGCCCCCAATTCCAACCCATTTGGAAGGATACATTGAGCCATTGATCCCAAATGGTTGTTGAATAGAGCTCATTGTGGCAGATCCACTGCAAGCCTGCATTGTCTCCCTTACTCTACTTCAAAGTGGTACCTGCCAACAAGTATATATTGAAATAATTGAAACACAAACCAATCTACACAAACAAACGAGGATGAGATTAGAATCATTTGAAATCAGATAATCATGCAGGTAATCCATCCAAGCTTAACCAGAGGTACTTGTTCAAGATAAAGTAATTAGCTAAGATGAACATCAAAATAAAGAATACACAAGTAAGCTTTAATCACATCATGCAGTAAAACACCAAACTGCAGCTGAACATGGAAAACTGTTCAAAATATTACATGTTATAACATCATAACAGGAACAAAAAATCATGAGCACTGCTGCAAAATTAAGGAAAATATAAGCCATTCCAGATATTTACATCCAAGTATGTTCCATAAACAGGTCTTTACAACCTCAAAGCACTGCTGCAAAATTAAATATAATGCAAAACCAAAAAGTTAACAACACTGCATATACTTACAAAATAATTAAACGCTACGGGTCAGAACTAACTTAAAAAGAGAAAATTTTGAAACACCCAATTCAGCCCAAAACAATCACTCTCTAAATAAAAATCAAATAAGCATATACAAATTTTAACTCAAGTGATGCAGCCCAAAAAACTTTGAAACAAAAGGAAACCCCTTGATTCGAAAGCTTTAATTTTTCATTTATGTTTTTATCGAAAAACAAGTTGAAGGCATAATTATCCAACCCAAAACAGGCTTGAGAATTTCTTTACAAAAAAGAAGCAGATAACAGAGCATAAAACTCTGAAGTGGCAAACAAAACTGGAGCAGACAAGGAGAGTTCTCCAATTCATTGAAACACTCAATAACGGACACGGCCTAAACCATAACTCACGAGGAGAAACAGAAAACTTACAGTAAAATTTTCAATCTCTCGTTCGGTTGGGTGAGAAGAACGATTTCTGTTTCCTTATTTCAATTACCAAGCTCCGCTCAGGCTTTTGCGCTCTTCTCCGACCAAAAACGGCCGACAAAACCCTTACAAAAACCTAATGGACCTGTCCGTGCGTTGCAAAGTTTTATTTTTGAAGGTTGGGGAAAAGAGAAAGCACTATAATTTATTGGTATGTATTTCGAACAATTTTGATTTTAGTATTGAAACCATGTATAATGAAATATTTTATAAAATAAAAAAATAGAATTTAAATTGTGAAAATTTTAGATTTGAATTAAAGGAAACAAACCCTAGATTTTATTGTACATTTTATATTTAAAAGAAAAATAATTAATGTAATCTTCAAATAAAAAATCGTATTAACGGCGAACTAACAGAATGAACGATTCCGTCAGATCACTTAACGCCGTGAATCAAAGATCGTTTCTACTTGCCCATTCGGTTTCGAACACCGGTCCAGACCGGCGGTTCGATTTTCGAACCGATTGTTTACGTTCAAATTGAAATCGTTGGAAAATCGAAACGAAACTGAATTTATTATTTTAAAAATAAATGGACTCGAACTATCATTTTAAAAATAAAATAATTAAAATTGATATATTAATAAATAAATAGATCAAAATTATATTTTATTCTTAAAATAATTTATAGAGTATATTAATTAAATTAATATTAAAAATATAACATATACATATAATCTAATAAATATATTTTCAATTAGCGTCAAATTGAAATTATGATCGGAAAAATCGGTTTCCGTTCGAATTTTTTATAAACTGAAACTCGCAGTTGGAATCGTTTGGACAAACCTAATTCATTTTGGTCCAAGAATTGGCGTGGGACCCGCCTTCCAAAGTGAGAATAGAACTCCGGATCCGAACCGAACCCATGCCCAAAAGCTTCGGAATCCGCGTTATGGCTGACCCGCCAATATTACTATCCAAGATTTTTTTGTAGATACACATTAGTGTAGAAATAGTTACAGAGAAATCCAAATTTACCCGACCATTTTGATCTGGACTCGAATCCTTTTTGTCTATGGCGGGTCCGGATCGGTCCCGGAATGGCCGGCCCGGTTGTTTTCCATGCTTGGCGAGCCGCCTCATGAGACAGCTTTAAAAAATAAAATTACAGCTTAAACAAGAAGAGATCCTGACCGTAGATTAATATTCAACGGCTTAGATAGGGTGTGCAAAACTGCACTGTATAAAGATGGTATTGGTGGGTTGAGGAAGAAATAACAGAGTGAGTTCGAATTTTCTCTTCATTCATCGTTCTGCAACAACAAAGACCTCTCTCTATCTCTGCCTGTCTTCCTCCTTCCCTCTTTCTCTCTCTCCCTCTCCTCGCAACCACACACGGAGACGGATTTTATTAATCAGTTCCATAGAAATTGATTAGGAGACAGAAAATTGGTTAGCGGCATATGGTGAGTGGAAATGTGGCGAATTGACGTGAAATTGAACGATCTAATCCTTTTCTTCTGATATGTAACAATCTAATTTCATGTGTGCAGTTCTTCGTGGTAGGGACGTTGAAGATGCAGATTTTGGAAGAATGTCAATTGTTGAACTGCCGGTGTAATTTAGGATGTTGAAACTTGATTCTGTTCGCTGAATTGCCGAAGGTTGGTGGATTCTGATTGGATTTCCAGGAAGGTGTTTTTAGGAGATGCGTTTTGCTTTGGTTTACAATTTCAACTATTTCGAATTAATTTGGTTTTTTGTTCAGCAGGAACATTATCGGGAGATTTGAGATCAGTTAACTGGATATAGAGATCTGAAGTGATCTCGGAAATCTCTGATGAAGCTTCGATTTGTCATAAATTTACCTTGAAAGTGCCGTCTCTAAAGCTTCTGAAAGTTGCATCGACGGAGTTTTGAACTCTACGAATTTTGTTCGCCCAAGGATAATCTGCGCGTTTGAGAGAGAAATGAGACCGTAACAGGTAACCTATTTTGTCATTCATAAGAGAACAGCAACCGAGCAGTGAATTTGAAGCAGATTGTGAAACTTACGGTTGCTGTAATTGCAGATTGACGCCTCTGTTCCAGTAGTTAATCTCGTTTCAGGAGCTGAAAAGTAGATCAAATTCTCTCTACAGAAGAACAAACAGATAGATAATTCCCAGGTAAACGAATTACGGTACACAATCCTCTAATTTTCTATAGGATAGCCAAGAAAACCCCGATCCATTAAGACCTAGGCGTTTTTGTACGTCTTGATCTTTTACCTATTTTCTCCAAAGAAAAAGGCGCCTCTATCTGCATATGATTACCTTCCGGGAGTTCTTAATCTCATAATTCACTGGTTGGACGTCATTTTTTCGTATGTGTATCAACAGATTTTGATGCAAAATTTTCTGTCCTAAAAATATTCCGGGAGTTATACTTCCAGCTGTGCTTTCTGGATTCTGATGAAGAACAAATTGTCTCGGAAATCTGAACCAGAATAGGGACATGAGTTTATACGCTTACATTTCTTCCTCCGGAGATCAAAATTGAACTCTCCGGTTCTCCTTTCCGGATCATTTCTTTCGTCTGCAAACTGCCAAATCCAGCATGAATACAGATCTTACCTCCCCTCTGATATTAGTCTCTGTTTGCTAATCTTTCTATTCTTTTAATTTCCCGCATCTTGTTTTTTACCTGCAGTTTGCTGAAAATAAATGAGCCTAGTTGTTTTTTCTTCCCCCTTGACCTTTTACTTCTCAATCTAAAGGATGTTGGTTGGCAAGATTTGAACAGAGTACTTCTAACAGAAAATGGAACGGCGTTAATGGCTAATGCGATCGTTGTTGTTTGACGGCTAACAGGTGGGTGGGTGGTGTATAAAGGCAGAGAGCAAGTAAATGGAGAGAAAGAATTCCTATTCTTCCAATTCCAATAAGGACGGATTTCTACCGAAATCTGAGCCCCGGTCAATCTCCACAACGTCGTCTGAATTCGTCCTGCAGTGGGGGAACCGGAAGAAGTTGCGCTGCATGAAGGTCGCGGGTGCGGCGGGCAAGGACAAAGCCAGCAACAATGAACCGAACCGTTCGCGTTCGACGGCCCGTGTAGACCGGCGGGCTGTGGTTTTGGGGTCAAATCATAATAACAATAACACCAAGGATTCAATCCCAAATCAGAAAAGTAACAGCCATTCTTTGAAGTCGATCGGCGGTGGGATTGGGTATCTGAATCTCCGCCAGCGCCCGGTTTCCCCATCCCGTCGGATTTTGAGGTAAGCCCGATTTGAATTCGTTTATCATTATGTGTGCGATTGAATCGATTCTGTGGGTGGATGAGCCACGTGAGTGGCACGTGGGAGGAGTTTTGGGGATTATCTTTTGTGTTGATTTTGTGATCTTCTAAATTGGCGCATACCTCGCTGCTCATAAATTTTCTCAGGAAAAGTAACTGATTTTGTCTGCGTTTATGATCTGAAATTTCAAATTGCGCTGTTTCGTTAAATCATTGCAAAAGATAAGGTAGGAGGCGGTTTCACTCAATGCTTTTCCTTTTTCTTATTAAATTGAATAGACTCTCTTTTCTGGCCGTCGATATCTGCCTCCTCATGAATTATGATGAGGTGCGGGGATTTATATGAACTTAGTTTGGCTTTTTAGGTGTTCTTCTGCAATAGGCCAGTCTTTCTGGTTGGAGCATTTTTCAAGTTTGTAGTACTCTCGCAAATAGCATTATGTTTAAATGATTTTCTTTGAAATTCAGCATACATGATTGGTTTTATGTACACCAAATATCGAAATCAGATGATGCTTATACAAAAATTGTATGAAACACTAATTTTTTATTATTTTAAATTTTTTAAATACTCCAAAAATTTTCAAAAGTTTCTAATAATCTGTCTTTTACTTTACGGAAGAGAGTCGTGTTTTGAATTGGAATTTGAATTTAATTAAAATAAAAAAATCGTTGATCTGTTTCATCTGGGTGTTTATATGACGACTGTGCCTTTTGTCTTCTTTTGATGCCCTTTCGTGCTAATATATTTCGCTTATTGAATTACTGGTCGAGTAATTAATGCCATTGATTGACCATTTATTTTTCAAAGTTAAACCTAATATATGTGCGTATATATTTAATTTTTTCATTCGGACCATGCCTGGGGTTTAAGTTTTGAGTATTGTATTTGTGGGGTATGGTAATTGTGTAGAGTCCTGGGCAAGTGGGCCATCGTCCTGTTTATATGCATAGCTCTTTTGCTCTCGATTAAATTGTTTTATCATTTATGGTAGGATTCATAGCACACCTAAGTTAAGATTGGGACACGCAAACTCACTGATGAATGCATCTAGGATGTCAATCCGACGGTCCAAACTCTGCCACTTGTACCTTCATTCTGCACACATTAGGTTAGAAAACACACACACACGCACACAACAGAGTTCTCAAATTATTATCCACCTTGAATTCTTGACCCTTTTAAAATAAAAACCCACACCACACCTTCTCTTAAAAATTAACATCTCTTCCCAATCCTCTACGCAACAGCGCTTGTTGCCCATATTCTTGATCCAAAAATTCAACCCCCCACAAGGGTATTCCAGTAATTCTCTTTTTCAATATATTTTGGCTTGTACTATTGTTTTACTTTTATTTATTTATTATTCTTATTTATTTATACAGTTCTGTATATTCTCATCAATACCATTTATTTTTACCGGCGCAGTACTTTTAAATTAGTGTGTTTTTTCATCACAAGCACAAGTTCTTTTTCCCTGTCAATTTATTAATTTCTATTCATCGTATGTGTTGAGTGATGTGATGCCTCGTGCTTATTATGTTCTGATTGCTGTTTCTGGTTTTTAAATTTCACTGAATCACAGGAATACAGAGAATTCAATTGGTATGAGAGGGCAGAACAATGGGGTGAGGGGGTTAGCCTCCCAAGATAGAGGAGATAGAAAGGGCACAGGCGCAAATACTGCCACCACAAAAAACACCAACGGAAAGAACAGTAACAATCATCATAATGAGAACCACCACAACAGCGGCGGTTCTGGCTCGTCGGAGACTGCCCATGACTGCAGAAAAGGAGGATCCTCATCGGACACAATCGTTTGGCCACCAAAATTCGTGATCGCCTTAACAAATAAGGAGAAAGAAGAGGATTTCATGGCAATCAAAGGGTCAAAGCTTCCTCAAAGACCCAAAAAGAGAGCAAAGTTCATCCAACGCACCCTCAATGTGAGTTTACTTCTCTCTCTACCTTTTATTTAGTAGTTTATGCCTAAATTATAATTGGAGTTAGTAGTAATATATATCATTGAGTGCTATTAGAAAGTTTTATGATGCTTAATTCTTGCCTTGTTAAACAGTAGTAAAGGATTTCTTGCTAATTGAGTAGCTGAAATCTCTGTCTCTTTAATGAACCAGAATGGTTAGATATAGAGAGTTGGGTAGTAAAATAAATCAATTTCTGGGTAACGGAAATAGAGCAGGGAAATATCCTTTGTGCGAAAAATCAATTTAGAACCTTTGGAAGAAATATTTGCACGATAAATATATAACATAAAGTTATGGGGTGAGTTGAATTAGAATGGAAAGGCAATAGGGGCTATAGAAAATTTCAATATATTGAAAGAGCACTTGTATTATATTATCCAAGAATTTAAATATTACTTTTGCTGGGTGGTGGCAGCCATGTGGGGGCCTGTCATACACTGATAGGTTTGGCTTGCACGTGTCCCTTTACGGCACACCTCACATCACTGTCACATATAGATATATATAATATATATATTATTGAAACGGGTCCATTGTTTGTTTGTTTTCAATTTTATTCTTATGGTCTTTCTTTGAATTAATTAATTGTGAACATCTCACAAATTTAGAGCGAGAATGGCATGCAATCCATACATTTTTACATGGTGGTGGGCCTTGTCTTGTTTCTACGGTTTATTTCTTTTATCTTCTCAACAACTATGAGCACTTTTTATTGAAATCAAAAGCCTTAGGGAGATACATAAAATGAATTGTGTATGTGGTTTGATGACCAAACCTGAAACCACCCTTTATAGTTGTCATATAATTGATATAAACTACTATGCAAGTGTGAAATAATAATAGTAATAATGATGATGATGATGATGATACATGAAGATTATTAAATGTGGGTTTGATTATTAGTTAGTATTGTAAGCGAGGAATTTTTGGTTTGCAGTTGGTGAGCCCTGGTGCATGGTTGTGCGACCTAACTCTCGACCGCTATGAGGTTAGAGAAAAGAAAGTTTCCAAGAAGGTTGGTATAAATATTTTCTGATTGACTGAGGTTTTCGTTTTAGTTTCTATTCTTACTGTTAAATTAATTATGTAACAATTCTATTAATAAAAAGTCATTCCTCCTCTGATTGATTTTGAGTTAATGTTAAATTGTGTTTTTTAAGAGACCAAGAGGGTTGAAAGCAATGGGAAACATGGAATCAGACTCAGAGTGAGGAAGCAACAGCAGGTGGTGTATGAAATTTCTCTTCTCCTTTTCTTTTATTTTTTGGATGAATAATGAATGAGAGACATAGAGAGAGAGAGAGAGAGAGAGAGTCTGTTTGTACACCTCTGAGGCACAGAAAAGATGAGTGAGAGTGATAAGTTGAATTAGGTGCATGCATGCATATCCTTCTTCTTCACTTCTCGGATGGATTGGATCATATCTATATGTCTTTGGTCAGTTGTCTTCTCATACACAGCTTAGACCCTTACGAACAGCTTCTGTTAAAATGTAAAGTTCAAATCAAATTTATCTATATTATGGTTTTTTATTTGACCAGTTCTGCATCAAAGAATATAGAAAATTATGTCATTAATATAAAAAATATTATTTTGTGTTAAATTATTATTATATTTTTTTTGTCACTTAGTAGAGTATATATATTATATATATTGCTTTAATATGTGTATATATATTCTTTCTATCATTAACAAAAGCTATATTACTTTTTCTTATTTTTTACAAATTGTTTATTAATTAAATTTTATTTAAGAAAAGTCTATATATACATTAAAGTTTATGTTAAAAGTGAATGATATATTATATTTCATTCATCCAATATTTCCTATTTTATTATTTCAGTCCATCTCATATTTTGTCTCATTCTTTAAAAAAATAGAATAAGATAAAATAAATTAATAACAATTGTTTTATTAATTATATCGTTTTTAAAATTTCATGTTCGGAAGGAAGCAATAAAAAATAATCTAACCATTTTAATTTATAACAAAAAATATAAATGAGTTATATAGTCAATTGTTTTTATTTGTTGTTCAATATTATAACTTTTTTTATCATTTAGTATATAAATATAGTAGTATAATATACTCCTTTAAAAAATTTAATTTAAAATGAGATTAAATTATATAATTATTTTTTTTAAAAAAAAATTGAGATGGAATGAATAAAAAGAAAAGTGACATGAAATGAATAAAAAGGGAAGTGACATAGGATGATCGATTTATTATGAAATAGTTAGGCATATTTTAAATATAATTTCATAAATTATATTAAAATTCAGTAATTCAAGGTGAACTGTTCTTCTACACTATTAGGATGTATTAAAACATGATAATTGTGTTAAATAGTTGTTGAAATTTTCCCTTGGGTGTGTTGCCATTCACCATTTATTTATATTGATGAAAATATCAAATTAAATATATTTTTATTCAAATAATATATCCAAAATTTTATTATATCTAAACTTCAAACAAAGCTTCTCATAATCTACTCACAACTCAGTGGTATAGCCTCCAGATCTGGTTCACAAGTACCACTTTCTTCTTCTCAGTTGGATGTTATCAAATTTTGAACCAAAATACAGTTCCAAAATATCAAAAGCATGCGATTCCACAAAGGCTGGTGTCGATTAGATGAGAGACGGAACAGGAACAGAAATAAAAAGCAACCGGAGAAATCAGAACTACGTTAACCAACAATTACAGTACCGTGGAATATATATAATATGCACACAAAAATGTCTAATGAGTACACGAATGCTCAACACAACAACTCTAAAAGTATATCGATCAGAAAGCACAGACCGCAATCCAAACATCATCTCTGCACAATCGGAAATAAACTACATAGAATCTATAATCATATCATCAAAATATAAACATAGTCGTCCTAAACACACACTCAAACCTCAGATTCGGATCGCAGATCCAAAGAGGAACGAAACCACACTCAAAGCGCAACTAACAGCTACCGCCGGCGAAACGATTCCCGAAGAGGAATCAGGAGCCGGCGCCGGAGCCGGAGACTCCTGCGCCGCTACACTTCCGAGGAGCGCTAAAGCGGCCACCGTCGCCGCCGCAGCCAGAAAAGCACGACCGTGTATAACCGCCATTGCACTCTCGGAGCTATGGGATTTCCGGCGAGGCGAGTGGAGGAGCGGAAAGAGAGTCTCACGCTCTTTATATAGGAAGGGCAGGACAGCGGAATCTCGGGCAGAGGATGGTCGTGCGGGCAGCTACCCGGCATTTACAGACTGGCAATTTGGAAAAGCAGCGGGACGAAACGACGCCGTATCGAGTGGCAAATCACTGATTAACATCTTTCTTAATTTTAATAAGAAAAAAAATTAAGGAATGATTACACATTAGCGCTGATGAGGCACAGCTGTGACAACTCTGTTGGTGCACTGCTCCCCACCAATAGAAGAACGACACGTAAATTTGACCGTTGTTCTGCACCATGTAGACCCTTACAACAATGAAAATACAACAACTTTAACATATTCCAATTTTATAATCGGTAATCTTAATTAAGGCATGATAGAATTAAAATTTTGTAAATAACAACTTTTTCGTTTTAATTTTAAAAGTTTTTTTATGTTGTATGTAATGCTCACACATACTTTGTAGATTCATTCTGTATTACACCATTTGACTTGGTTGGTATAAAAATATATTCAATAAATCTTACAGTACATTATTTCATGGACTTAAATTAAATATAAATAACAACGTACGTGTAGACATGTTAAGTCAATCAACTCGAGAAAGTCAGAATTTATAAAAAGAAATTGCCTGTGGAAAAGGCAAAGCAACTGCCAGTAGCAATTTTCAACAAAAAAATTATGTGAAATAACATATGATGTTCTTAGAATGAGCATTGAGTAAATGTCAGGTCGAATGCAATAATTTGAATGTAAATTATGCAATCAGACAAACAACTTTCTTTAGACGAGCCTTAAAGGGCTTCTAGTACAAATCTAACTCGTGATATTGCAAATATACCAACCAACACTATTTAGCCTTCGTTTATATATAAAATCTTTGGAGTTGCGAAAAATCATAATCAGAGTAATAATAAATTAAGCATTTAATTTAATATTATATATATATATATATATCTGACAGAGAGGCAGACGGACGCGGTGAGGTGAGGAGAGGAAGCAAATAATAAAGAGTATCTTAAATGAGGGGCTCATTGGACGCCTTAAGTCCACCGCCACCCCCACCAACACCAACCTCTTTGCTACGGTGCCCTGCCCTTTATTATTATTATTATTATTTTAATTCCGTTACGTTACAGAGCACCCACAGCACAGCCACAGCCATGAGCCATCAATATCCAGCTCAGACACACCCAATCCGTTCCTTCTTCCCACTTTCCCTTTCTCCCTCTCTCTCTCTCTTTATGCCTTGTGTATATATATACACGAATCTACCATCTCTTGGCATTCCATCTCAATTCCACGAAGAAATTAATATTCTCTCAGTATCATTCAGTAATTCATTAGAAATGGCTGCTCCTGCTTCTGCATTGCTATTCTCTATCATCTCCCTAGCGGCGGTCCTCTTCTTCATCGGCAGCGCCAATGCCGACTTCAACCGCGACGCCGAGATCACGTGGGGCGACGGCCGCGCCAAGATAGTCGACGGCGGGAGAGGCCTGAGCCTGTCCCTCGACCGCTTCTCCGGCGCCGGATTCCAGTCGAGGAAACACTACCTCTTCGGCAGATTCGACACGCAGCTCAAACTCGTCCCCGGCGACTCCGCCGGCACCGTCACCACTTTCTTCGTAAGCACACACACGAACACTACTTGTACTAATTCCATTAACCAAAATAATAATAATAATAACAATGGTTGGAACTGAATGGATGATCAGCTGACGTCGGAGGGAGAAGGGCACGACGAGATCGACTTCGAGTTCCTGGGGAACTCCTCCGGCGAGCCGTACACCGTCCACACGAATGTCTACGCCGCCGGAAAAGGCAACAAAGAGCAGCAGTTCCGCCTCTGGTTCGACCCCTCCGCCGCTTTCCACACCTACTCCATCGTCTGGAACCCCCAGCGGATCATGTACGCAAGCCTGATTAAAACTAATTATTGAATTTTACAAACCGGCCTCCAACTTATTTATCGATCGATTTGATTGATTTCAGATTCTTGGTGGACAACATTCCGATTAGGGTTCACACGCACCACGAGGCCCTGGGGGTTCCGTTCCCGACCAGGCAACCCATGAGGGTGCAGTGCAGCCTCTGGAACGCCGACGACTGGGCCACCCAAGGGGGGCGGGTCAAGACGGACTGGAGCAAGGCCCCCTTCGTCGCCCATTACCGGAACTTCAAAATCGACGGATCCGAGGCCACCAACACAAACAAGAATTCGAATTCATTGAACGCTGGGGCATGGCGGACTCAGGGACTGGACGCGAATGGCAGGAACAGGCTGAGGTGGGTGCAGCAAAAATACATGATCTACAATTACTGCACGGACCACCCCAGATTCCCTCAGGGCATTCCCACCGAATGCAAGCAGTCCAGATTCTGATTCCCATTCCCAGACTTGTTATTGTAATTATCGATTTCATTCATTCATTCATATTATTAGTATTTGTGTACTCTTTTTTTTTTGTGAGATGAGGAATTGAGGATCCTCATTCCTCCTCTTAAAATGAACTTTAAAAAATAAGTTTCGAATTCGAATTTCTCTTAAACAAAAGAAGCATAACAATTAACAAACCTAAATCGATCAAACACAATCACCATAAAACTTTAAAAGCGGTGATAAGAGATCGATTATGTACGTAGATCCTACTTAAATCTAATATAAAAGATGAAGACGGTACATGTCTGTAGATAGATATATATATATATATATATGTTGAGAATTATCTAGAAAGTGCGAGAATCGGCAGGAGCCTCAAGAACATAATCGTACCGACCTGGATCCGTCTTGATGAAGAAGCTGGTACGGCAGGAAGGGCACTTGATCTCAAATCTGTAAATCTTCACGTCGAAGATTGAATCCTTTCCGACTTCCTTTCGCAACGCCAAAACGCGATCGCCTCTGTTCGTCGGCCTCCCACACTCATTGCACTCGACAGCGAACGGAATCTGCATCTTCACCGGCATGCTTCTTGCGACGCGGCCATCGCTCTTCACCATACTGTTCTTCTTCGAATCAGTTGCCATGTTAATTTGATAGGATTGGGGGAAGATTTGAAGGATAATATAAGGAGTATTAATTTTTGAACAAGGTAAGTGAGAAACGATTTAACCTAAATCTGTGCTTTTACTTATTATTAGGGATTGTACATTTTAAAAAATGACCGTTTGATAAGCAAATAAGTAAATTGAATTGGATTATTACGAGGTATTTTCTCCTTAAATTATTATTTTTACTTTAAAAACAATTAAATTATAAATAGTAGTAATATATATTTCTATAAACAAACCGATAATTTTGCAATTTTCTTTTAGGATAGAATTTCAGCAGTTTTCATCATTACTATTTTAATTTATTTCAATTAATAATATTATAAATATCTTATTTTTTTAGTATCGTTTTGAATGAATTAAATGTTTGCAACTTATTTCAATGTAATTAATAGTGTTTTCTAATAAAATTTTTAATAAAAATATATTACTTTTCTATTAAATATTATTATATCAAAATATTATTCAAATTAACATAAAATATTATTCTACTTTTTAGATTATTAATACAATTTTTGATAAAGAATACATTCATAAAAAAACACAAAATAAATAAATCAATTTCAAATTACAACTAAATAAATCTAAAATATTTGTTTCATTGTTATTTTAAAAATATACTAAAAGATTTTATTATTTTTTATGCATAAATTTTTACAATATTTTCTTACATTTTATTTATTTATTTTTTATATTTCTCACCGATATTTTCTTGTTAAAACAATATACTGTACTTTTTATTTCAGCTTTATTTTTTATCAAAATATTAAAAATTATATTTAATATTTAAAAAATTGTTATTCTTTAAACATGTTAATATTAGAACTTAAAATGTTAGAATGTAAATAAATCCTATAGAATATTAATTTGAATACACACTTCATAAAGATAATTAAATCTCCTCTTATTTGCTGAGGTGTATTTATTCAAGAACAGAATACAATACATACATACATACATACGTACATAAATAATAAAAATGAATAAACGAATGAGTAGCTGCAAATCGATAATTACAATAACAAGTCTGGGAATGGGAATCAGAATCTGGACTGCTTGCATTCGGTGGGAATGCCCTGAGGGAATCTGGGGTGGTCCGTGCAGTAATTGTAGATCATGTATTTTTGCTGCACCCACCTCAGCCTGTTCCTGCCATTCGCGTCCAGTCCCTGAGTCCGCCATGCCCCAGCGTTCAATGAATTCGAATTCTTGTTTGTGTTGGTGGCCTCGGATCCGTCGATTTTGAAGTTCCGGTAATGGGCGACGAAGGGGGCCTTGCTCCAGTCCGTCTTGACCCGCCCCCCTTGGGTGGCCCAGTCGTCGGCGTTCCAGAGGCTGCACTGCACCCTCATGGGTTGCCTGGTCGGGAACGGAACCCCCAGGGCCTCGTGGTGCGTGTGAACCCTAATCGGAATGTTGTCCACCAAGAATCTGAAATCAATCAAATCGATCGATAAATAAGTTGGAGGCCGGTTTGTAAAATTCAATAATTAGTTTTAATCAGGCTTGCGTACATGATCCGCTGGGGGTTCCAGACGATGGAGTAGGTGTGGAAAGCGGCGGAGGGGTCGAACCAGAGGCGGAACTGCTGCTCTTTGTTGCCTTTTCCGGCGGCGTAGACATTCGTGTGGACGGTGTACGGCTCGCCGGAGGAGTTCCCCAGGAACTCGAAGTCGATCTCGTCGTGCCCTTCTCCCTCCGACGTCAGCTGATCATCCATTCAGTTCCAACCATTGTTATTATTATTATTATTTTGGTTAATGGAATTAGTACAAGTAGTGTTCGTGTGTGTGCTTACGAAGAAAGTGGTGACGGTGCCGGCGGAGTCGCCGGGGACGAGTTTGAGCTGCGTGTCGAATCTGCCGAAGAGGTAGTGTTTCCTCGACTGGAATCCGGCGCCGGAGAAGCGGTCGAGGGACAGGCTCAGGCCTCTCCCGCCGTCGACTATCTTGGCGCGGCCGTCGCCCCACGTGATCTCGGCGTCGCGGTTGAAGTCGGCATTGGCGCCGCCGATGAAGAAGAGGACCGCCGCTAGGGAGATGATAGAGAATAGCAATGCAGAAGCAGGAGCAGCCATTTCTAATGAATTACTGAATGATACTGAGAGAATATTGATTTACTGAAATTGAGATGAGAAGGGACAGAGATGAAATCACATATATATAGATATAGGTGGAGAGGGAAAGGAAAGTGGGAGGAAGGGAATGAAGGAGGTGGAGTGGAGTTAGCTGGTGACGGTGCCAGCTGGCGGTATCCGCGTCCCCGTCATAAAAGAATATTAAAAAAAAAAAAAAGGAATATTAAAACCATTGATGCGCGTCTGCTGTCTTTGCTGTGTCCCGCTGTGTGTGTCCTGCCACTGTACTACATATATTCAAATTCCACAAAGCTTCCACTTTATAATGCCATTTTATGCCTCGGTTAGTTTGGATATGGATATTTTTAATCGTAATATTTATATTTAAATTTTTAAAAAAATATCAAATAAAATCTGCTTTCGTAAAATAATTTTAAATATCAATTTTATGTTAAATAATTTTATATTTACTAGTTTCAATAATTTTAAAAACTCCAAAACTTAAAAATAAAAGAAAATCATATTTAAATGAAGATAAATCGTTGGCTTTGTTAAAATTAAAATACGGCCGTTTAAAATAATTCAGAATTTCAGAAAGTTTGTTGAATTTTGATTTGAAAATAAATTTTTTATTTAGATAGTATATTAATATAATATTTTCTCTTATATTTGGGTTTTTGTTTCAGTAATCAAATATACATTGTAATAACTGCTAGTCGTAATTGCTATTTTACCGTTTAAACTTGAAAAACACGACTTCCCTTTAATTTGCTCTGCCTCCATTCTAAGCAAAGTCGTTAACGTTTTCTCTCCTCCAAAAAATCACACAATCGGTAGCAACTAAAGTCGTGTTTCCTAGTTTGAAGGTTCAGTTTCTCCTTTCCCATACCACATTTACACAGTTCACATCCCCAAATGGCAACAATATGATGATTTGGAAAGTAAGTCATACAAAAAGCACAGAATTCCATATTTACAATTGCAAAACCACAATTTGAACTCACTACATATAAATAGATAACCAAATAAATAAATAAAGACAACCTCAAAAAATGGAACTATTACAATGTCCAGTGATAGTGTTGTTGTTATTGTTAGAAGCCAATATGGTCACTTCACTTATCACCACAATTAGAACCATTAAGGTACACCTAAATAACCTTTCATTCCTACACAATTTTCATTCTTTAATTACTTCAATCTTTTCACTCTTGCAAACATTTTCTTTTTCTTTTAATTTTTGCTTCTTTTTCCAACTATGCAATAAATTTATTCGATAGAGCGAAGATGGCGATATCATCGACTGCGTGGACATGTTCAAGCAGCCTGCCTTTGATCATCCGGCTTTAAAGGGCCACAAAATCCAGGTACATGTATTTTCACACTATCCGAAAATAAGGCATGGATTCATTGAGACAAACATTAGCTAATGAAACTATGTTGTAAGAAAATCATTCATTTTTTCCAGTTGAATCCCAGTGAGGAAATGCATGAGGAAAGAAGTCAAGATCCTGCAGCAACAATACCAGCACAAATATGGCGGAGAAGGGGAAGTTGTCCGAAGGGCACCATCCCCATCCGGCGAATGAAAAAGATTAATACACCGTCCAAAGCTAGGACAGAGACGAAAGTTTGGAAGTTCGACAAGTCGTTGAATGAAAGCAAGGAATTGTATCTTATGCAAAAGAACCACTCGGTTAGTGTATACTTATATCCATACATAGAGAAGAATGTGACTTTAGTCTCTAAGCTATTTACTTCAAATATATGACGTTAGTAATTTTTATTATTCGAATAAAAGATTCAAAACACTGGATATGGTAGATTCAAATGTGTGTAATACTCATGCACTCTACCCTCAACCTTAAGAATATCAATGAATATTTAACCGCTTGAGCTACATCTCCTCGACTTGTAGGTGGCAATCTTGCACACAGAGGGATACGCATATTTTGGGGCGAAAGGAGACATAAAGGTATGGAATCCCAAGGTGGAGTGGGACGACGAGTACAGCACGTCTCGTGTGGCGTTAACCAACCACTATCAAATGGTCCAATCCGGGTGGGCTGTAAGTTTACTTGTAATTATTCTTTCATCTACGATCATCATATATATATATATGTATTAATTATGTACATACATATATGTATATAGGTTAATCCCAAGGTGTATGGAGACAGACAGACCCGAGTGTTTGTGTATTGGACTGTAAGTTCTCAAGAAACAATGTCAGCATCATTACTTGATTAATTAATTAAAAATTAAATTATTTTCAACAGCAACATGAATCAACCTTGCTCTTGCAGGCAGATGATTCGAACCAAACAGGATGCTTTGACCTGACGTGCCCCGGATTTATTCAGACAAGCAACGAAATAGCACTTGGCGCTGCACTATATCCCGTCTCCAGCCCAACCGGACTTCCATCTCAAATCACCATTTACATCCACAAGGTATGTTTTTTATCTAAAAAATTAAATTTGATCATTAAACATTTATCAATCTCAAAATTGATTAACTAAAATTTTATATAGGATCTCACGACAAGCAACTGGTGGGTGCAATACGGCGAAAAAACCAACATTGGGTATTTTCCGGCCGAACTAATGGACATGTTGAAGCACAACGCTGAAGTCGCGCAATGGGGCGGGGAAGTTTATAGCTCGAGGGTGGGTGGGGCGGGTGGGGTCCCACATACGGCGACAGCTATGGGGAGTGGCCGGTTTGCGGACTTCATTTTCGCAACGTCGGGATGTGTGAAGAGGATGAGAGAGCTGAGGGGCAATGGGGAGTTGGTGAGGCCAGAATGGGTGAATGCATACTCGGATGAGTACAATTGCTACAATGTCATGTACGTGCATGACTATGTTGAAGATCCTGAGTTTTACTATGGAGGCCCTGGTAGGAATCCTATGTGCCCCTAATTAATTAAATAAGGAAAAATAAAATTGTTAAATGATTTATAATCATATCATGTAATCAATACAAACAAAGCTCAATGATAAAAGTATATAAAAGAATCACACATGCATGCATCTCTCCACACACCATTTATCCAATACAAATACAACCATAAAAAAACATCTATAGATAGATAGATATGTGCGTATATAATATAGTTTGCAAAAATTAAAAGTTTGCTCACTTCTGGAAGTTTCCGAATTGGTGTTGCTGGTTGCTTAGGCTAGAGAAGAAATCATCGTCGGTTGCTGCTGAACCGAATCCCGGTTTACCGATTCCTTGTCCCATGCCCATAGCTCTTCCCATGGAATATGTAGGCATCGGTCCCTTGTCTTTCTCATCAAACCCATCTCCCAACCCACCAACAATGCCAACATCTGCCAAGTTTACCTTCTTGGCTGCCGAAATGAATAAGCATACAAGAAATTAAACTCTAGCCCGGTAAAATTCTAGGTCCTTAAGCTACATGGGTAACACGATAGATATCGCTATGGTTAAGAAATTTAAACAGACATTAATCACCATTCACCTTTATAACAGTCTAGGTCCACGACAGATAATTCTAGATTTTACAGCAAGGTCTAAAATTATGCAGTATGAACACAGGGAACTTATACTTACGTGCACTAATGTTTAGGTCGATCAATCCCCGGCTCAATGAGTCCGCCCATATTCCAGATTTGACTTGAAATCCATCTTTCTTGACTGTAGGTTTGTTTTCAACTGAAGATCCATTTATGTTCCCAGGATTCCCACCATCAGAAGAATTTCTAGAAGCTTCTGTCAATGAAGGATTCGACTGAGAAGAGACCGGGCCAAAAGGGTCAGTCCCATCAAAGTTATTCAACGGAACTGCAGCAAATGGATCAAAAGCACTGCTAGTTGCTTCAGATTTTGAAGCCTTATTGTCAGGCTGGGGAACTGGACCAGGTGCAGCGAAAAAATCTATTGTGGACGAAATGGAAGGAGCCGGCTGGGAAGCAAATAGATCAACATTGGTCTGCAGTAAGGACAAGTGAACAACCATATTTCTAGTTATTGTGAGGATTAGTTGGTTAGAAAAGAACTACTTAGAAGAGCAAACAAAATCTGGACAAGATCTCCGATTCCCAACAACAGACCGATGCACAAGAACCACCCTTTCCAATTCAGGGCTTTCTAAAACGGCACTCATATATGCTCAGAAGACACATGAACAAAATAGGAATTCCCAGCCCTAAAACACATAATTATGTACTCAGTAAAGCTTTATGCTCATTATGTTTCCAAACTCAAAGCACCAAGGGCCTTGCTAAGTAAAATGCTGGCGGAAGCCTTACCTGAGGGACAGTACTAGTCCCAGCGTTGGGTTGTGGTGTTGCCGATACAAAATCCGCATTGGCAAATAAATCTTCTGATGAATCATTATCCAAATTAGTGGAGTTATTGGTTGGAACAGATGCTGGAATATCCAATAGATCAACAAGATTTTGTTGCCCAAAAAGATCCACTTGGTTGCTTCCAGCAGAATTATCTGTGCAATGCAAAGACAATGAACTATATAAAACAAACATAGTTAAGTAGAATAGCATTTGGCCAAGGTAACAAGCCTGTCAAGAATGCTAAACCAGCAAAGGCGAATGTTACTACAGTCAATTCCAAAACATTTCATCACAATGAATTCTACTCATGTAAAAACTCAAATGTTGCCCCAACCTTCATGAACAGAGTTGCATCCAAAATTGATGATATGTACATCTATAAGGTATCTCCCAAACCCCGTCCACATTTCAGTTGTCCAAAAATTTAAAGTTCATATTTTGTATCACTAAAATATACCCAAAAAAAATGCTTACTAGAATTTGCAGTGCCCCGAGGATCAAAATCATCATCATCATCGTTTCCAGAAGGTGCATTTTGTGAAGGAACTGAATCATATTTATCTGACTTGCTGGATTTTTTTGATGTTTCTGATGCTTCGGTTACATGAGAATCCTGTTTATTGCTGCAACAAAGTATACAGTTCAAAGCTGTTAGAAGTGTAACTCTAAAGTAGCACTGTGGGGTGTTTCTTATATGTATTTTTTCAGTGTTATTTAGTCAGAGAAAATAAGGCAACTCTATGTGCTATGCTGCACACCAAGATGTGACAACACAAACCTGCCATAGCGAGAAGTTTCTTTCTTTGTTCTGGTAGTCTTCTCAAATTTATCATCACCGTAGTGATCCTTGTCCCTATAACTATCTTTAAATGTCTCACTGTCACCTGTACTACCAAATCCTCCATAACGATCATTACTCCTAAAGTTACTGCTACTGAATGAGGCTGCACCAGACTTGTATGTTACTCCAGATGATGAAAGCCCAAAATATCTGATACGAGATACAAAGTTCATACAATCAAAACTTAATTACTCATGACAGTTGGACCTTTGAATATGGAAGTCCACAACGATAAGATTAACAACTAGGTTTCGTGTACTTTGATGTTGATATCAATGTTATAATTTCATATTAAATGATAAATCAAAGTAACATACCCTAAGAATAAACTTACTTTTCACGATTTGCAGAAGCTTTATTCCTGACTTCTTGTATTTTGTCCTTGTTGTTGAGAAGATTCACTATGGTCTCTGCCTTTTTCCTTACATTAATTCCTTGATCTTTTCCACTTGGCTCAACATACTCAAAACTCGCAAGAGCCTGAAAAATAAAAATGGGAAGACAAACATTCAGTAAGAATAGAAAGAGAAATGATAAAATACACCATTTACATCTGATAACATCAGTAAAATTTGGTATGGTAACTACAAAATATATATTACAAAGAGAAAGATAACTAACATACAGAAATCTGAAATGTATGTTCTATTATGTCATCAACTGCGCGTTCAGAACCATGTGCCACCAGATATTCTATAACAGCAAGGGCCTAGCGAAAAATAAAATGTTAGTTCACACATATCTTAAATGTCACCAAAACAGGAAATGAATATAGATTAATATAAGAATAAACGTAATAAAAAGTTCAGATGTCAGGTCTTCTCATAGGGGGATGTGAAACACAATGAATAAATAAGCAAAATTTGCAACTTCTACCTTGTAGACGAATCGCCAATTCTTGCCTGTCTCAGTTATTCTAGTCCAGATAACATTCATAACCATCTGGCATTCAGAGCTGCAGAAGATATAAGATAGGGAAAGGAAATCAGGTCGCTTTAAGTAAACCTGAATCAAAGAAGATTATAAACTCAAGCAAGCATGAAAAATATGAATTATAGAAAGTACAATTTCTTTGTTGCCTGTGCTATCTCTGCCAATGCTGTGCCATGAGGACCCCAAGGTTCATCATCTGTCGCATCCAAAACCTGATTATAAAAAGAAATGTCAAAATTCTTTCATTCGAAAACAAAATGTATGTGTCCTTAATATCAATCAAATATAAACGGTTGCCAACAACATTCAGTTATTGATGCTTGGCCAAATGTCATTCCTTTCTTAAATTTTTACAACACTTTACAGGTTAGTTCTTAACATCGCAATTAGAATGGGGCGCCATCGTATATAAGATAAATGTTATTCCTACAGTCATATAACACAAAATTGTCCACAAAAAATGTATTTGATGCACAAAAGGATTGATTAGTAGTGAATTTTCATAACCTGATTTTGTAATGAATAAATACTTTACCAGAATACAATGGTTTCATCACTCACAAAGGTTCCAATAAACAGTGGCTGGAGATCATTAACACCAATCATTCATCATTTCAATCCATATGATCACAAATCAGCAGATAGTTTCACACACCAACAGGATTTCAGATTTAAAAAAGTTCATGCTCTACTTTGTACACGGCTATTATTATCTCCTCCCTATCTCATTACAATCTCCTAATCGACCAAAACACCACATACTACCAAAATTAGCAAATCTAATGACCTAGCAACAATAACCCATTAATATAAAGAACTGAATTCACAATTTTAATTCGTAAAAAAATAAAATAAAAGAAGGCCAGAAACTTCAGCTAAATATGATTCAATACTATTATATTACCTTCTGCTCGATCTCCGGAACCTTCAAAACCTTCAAATTCACCTCCCTCTTTCTATATTTGCAGAAAAACGCATCAAATATTGCAGTGAATTCCCAAGATAAGATCAGTAAACTGCTGTATTAAAATAAAACGACAGAGATGAGTGCGGAAGGAACAAAAAAATCGTACATGTCGCGAACAGTTTGATCGAAGACCTTCATGAGATCCATGGCTGGATCTGCCAAATTGGATACAAGATCAGCAGCAAATCAAGTAAAATTATTTGAGATTGATAGAGATGTGTATTCGCTGAAACGAATCGCTTTTCAGGATCGATTTGCGATCTGCGGTTGGGGAAGGACCTCTGCGTAAATAAGATGAAAAACAATCGATTACAAATGATAGACCCGACCCGACCCGACGGTGGGTGGTGAGGGGTTTCAATTCGCGACCCAAAAAATCCCAGCCCAACGTGACTGTATGTTTTTTTAGAATTTCATAACTAATAATATTAAATTTTCTATGCTAAAAAATTTTTAAGACGGAAATTTAAAAAATAATTAATATTTTTTTTATATAAAAATAGTATTGAAAATTTATAGAAATAATAATATAATTTTTATATTAAAGTAGAATACTTGTAAATTCAAGTATAATAGAAGTATGAAATATATAAATTTTATTCTTTTTTTCATGTAAAAATATGATATGGACATGAATTTTAATGTGACCGTATAATTTTTATTTTTTATAATAAAATTTTTAAAAATAATTAAAAGGATAACCTGTTAGAGTAAAAATACACTTTTACAATGTGGTGCATATCGTAACCTGTTAGTATCAGCTTATATACAACGTGAGTTCATATAGGCCCAATTAATAATAGTCCAATGCGATATAAAATATGTGAGTTTAGGTCTAGTGGTCCAATAACCTAACCCAACAAGGCTCCACCGGTTATGGCACTTGGGTCATTCTTTACGGGACATTTTTTTTTTTTTTAATACAATTAAAGTCATCTTCAACCATCAACTCTATTTTATCCAATTTTATCTCCAAATATGCAGTTGCTACGGTAATTTTATTCCAACCATAACTTTATTTTTTCCTATTATTCTTCAAATATTCAATTTTTCCTATTATTTTAAACTTTTTATTTTTATAATTTTAAATAATTTTTTTTAAAATTTAAAAAATAAAAATTAATTAAAAATCAAATTTATAATTTTAAAAATTAAAAAAATTACATAAAAAAAAAAAAAACAAATACACCATAAATGGTGTTTGCTACAGTGCAACACCATTTTGCACTGTAGCAAACACACAAAATGGTGTTGCAAATGGCGTTGGGTTGGAGCTAGGTGGCGGCAGAAATGGAGTTGGGACGGGAGAAATAGAGTGTGATTGGAGATGGCGTAAGTGGATTTATTTACACAATATATAATATTACTTTCATCCGACTCTAAGGGTTTCATTTATTTTTTGCGTTATAATATTTAATATTAATTGTTATATGGAAACGTAGTACAAATTAAGGTAAAATAACAAAAATATTTCTATTAGTGTCTTATAATACTATTGTAATGACATTTGTGTAAAATATTATACAAATATAAAAATATTTTTAATGTTAAGTACAATGACGTAAAATATAAATGGAACCCTTAGAGTCGGACGAATGGAGTATATTTTTCGTCCGTCAATTTAAGTTTTATTTTTTTGTAAATTTACCAAAAAAAATAAGTTAAAATTGGCGGATGAAGAACATATATATGCTACTTCATTTGTCTGTTTGTAAATATTATATTTACATTTTGCATCATTGTATTTAACATTAAATATAATTTTTTATACAAAATGTCATCATATTAATATCATAAAATACAAATAAATATATTTTTTTGTCAGTTTTTCCTTAATTTGTTATATATTTCGATATAATAATTAATATTTAAAGATCAACATGATAAAAAATAAATATGACTCTTATAAGTTATAGCCCAACGAAAGTAATATTAAATTTATTCAAAAAAATTAATAATTTAATAAAAAAATATTATTATTATTGTTTTTTATTATATATAGAACACATCATTCCAAAAGCACAAAATGGACAGACTCTGTATGCATGCATTTCTATAACGTGAGCCAAAAAGAAGAATATCTCATGCGGATAAGAAGCAAATGAAAAAGACTTTCCAGTGGTCCAAATTTAAAAAATGAAGTCCTATTAAATTTCTCAATAAAATCTAATCACAGTTAAAAATATGTATTTGTAATATGATTTTATTCTTGAATTATTTTAAATATAATGTCATACTATTTAAATATAAATTGAAATCGGATTGTTCGTGTTTTAAGGCTATGGCTCAAAAAATGTTATGATTATTTTCTCTTTCATAAATTAAATTTTTTTTGTCCATTACAAAATTTTTAAAATTTATTCTTGCATCAATACTATAACAAATATAAGAGCCAAAAAAAAAAAAAAGAAAACTCCTATATACAAAAAATACCATCAAATTTCTTAAATTTATAATAAAAGTAAATGTATATATATGAAATGAATTATTAATTTCTTATATACAATAAATTATACTCATTTAATAGTTATTTATTTAAAATTTCAAATCACAAAATACAAAATAAAAAGTAATATAATCAAATGAAGATGACAACCAACCATACTAGTAGCGGAGCTCGCGTTATATCCCGGAAGGACCGAGGAGTTTTATTGAAGTTAAAAAAATCAGATATATTTATCATCTGAGATTAATAATAAAAATATATATTAAAGTAATAAATTAATATAAAATTATTTATTTTGATAAAGATTGTTCGAATTTAGCGTATCGATGGTCAATATAATCAACAATATAATCGATCTAACGGCATGAACGATGACTCGGGACTCAATTCCCCCAAAACCCAAACAAACACACCCCTAAGTGTATTTGAGAAAGTCTAGATCTTATCCTAAAACATTAAATTGAGTTTTGTTAAATTATTTATTGTTTTCAGTATATTCAAAGTCATTTTAATTACTAAAGATTAAAGTTATTATTTATACAATGGGATAAATATTAAAATAAATTTTAAGAAATACCTGGGAAAGGGCAAGCGAAGCGGTTGTCTTAGTTTCCGTACGACCCAGTACGGGTGCGGCCGTAGATAAAGGCGCAAGTTAGCACAAGGAAATGGGAGTATCTATGATGAGCCCCAACTGTTCGACGAGTTGCGCTATTGGTATGCTTCCACGTGTCCTCACTTTTTACTGCTGAATAGTCCAAAATATCTGTACGACCACCCGGTATTACGACAACCTAGTTATGCTAACTCCACCTGCCTGTGACTGAGTGGGGTTACACAGGCTACGTTTATCCGTAATTCATTGGGGCCCACCAGTCCTGTTTGTCGGTAATTGGCTGTGACATGTGAGTGCGGATTTGAGGGGTAGGTTTAGTATGTTGAGGTTAGATTTAGGGTTTTGGCTGTATATTCTAATTTGGCTGAGGACTGGGTGTGTGGATTGACACTAATAAAATTAAATAAATAAAAAAATGTATTTATTGAAAGTAAAAATATTTAATCCAATAAATTTGATACTAAATAAATAACAGGGGATATATTCCAAATTTGCAATAAAAAATTATCCGTTTCTATACAGTGGATTAGAAAAAATTAAGGAAAGTGAAAAGGTGGATGTGATAATCCAACCATGGTTAGGTGGGGGGTCTAACGATGGTTAGGAATCCAGTTTATATAAGAGCCTCCGCATGCGAGTATACATTTAAGCAGAATAGGAAAAGATGATGATGATGACCGGCGATCATACACGGTCGAATCGGACCGTCCAAATCCCATCCTGGGATTACAATTACCCGGAGGATCCGACGGCGCAGATTTACTCTCCCATCAACGGTCCAGATGCTCCCTCAGATTACAAAAAGGTATTGGCGGCGCTGCAGCGCTACCTGCCGTCTAACAAAGAGGACGCCGCCGTTCCGGCGGAGGATGGATGCTCGGAGTTCGATTTTCCGGTGGATGCGTTTTCGTGTGACAGCTTTCGGATGTTCGATTTTAAGGTGAAGAAATGCGGTTTTTCTAGATCGCACGATTGGACTGAATGTCCGTTTGCGCATCCCGGCGAGAAGGCGCGCCGCCGCGATCCGAGGAGGTACAGCTATTCCGGCAGCTCATGTCCTGATTTTCGGAAAGGAGTTTGTAAGAAAGGCGATTCGTGTGATTACGCACACGGCGTATTCGAGTGCTGGCTTCATCCTTCCCGCTACCGTACGCAGCTCTGCAAGGACGGGATCCACTGCCGCCGGCGTGTCTGTTTTTTCGCTCACACGCCGGAGCAGCTCCGCGTGCTACCGAGTTCCGACGAGTCACCGGTTCGACTCGGTCAGGATTCGTTCGCTTCTACACCTTCCGGTTCGCCTTTATACCGGTCCTCACCGGTTCTTTACTCCCCTCCTCTATCGTCGCCGGCGACCGGATCGCCGCCGGTTTCTCCGACGCTTAACCAACTCAGTGAGTCGATGCGGCGTCTCGAATTCAATAGGAAGAAAATGGGTATCGGGTTGAGTGGTAGCCCGCCGGGTTGGGGTCTCGGGCAGGGTCCATTTACAACCCGACCCAAATTCACCAGCCTACCGACAACTCCCGTTCGGACTCAATTTCGGGGCGGGCTAAGCCCATTTGAAATATTTGGATCTTCTTGGGAAGAAGAGCCGGCTTTGGAAAGGGTAGAATCTGGGAAACAGCTGCGCGAGAGGATATATGCAAAACTCGTTGAAGAGAACTCACTGGACCGATTCGTGCGGGAAAACTCGGTTGGCGGGTCGGGTTCTCAATGGCCCGGCCCAGAGTAAGTGGAGAGTACTATGATCATGTAGAGGGACGTATGTAAGTATGGGTATTCGGGTCAAGTTCATTAACCATTTCGTTTTTCTTTTTTTGTACATGATAAGTTTGAGTATGGCAGCTATGTTGCATTATATAAATAATTTTTAAAGTATATTTATAGTGTTTTATAACTCAAAATAACTATATATATGTATAAATATAGAATCTATTCAACACATTTTACTAAAAATTTATAAATTTAAATTAGTTTTATATACAATTTTTTTTTTTTAATAACGTTATACAACATTTTGTTGATACAAATATATCATTAATATTTTGTTAGCAATGTACACAAAGAATAGTTTATATAAGTTCAACACACTATGTTAAAATAATTTAGGGTTTCTTAGTTTTGATAAGTTTGAGAAGTGTTTTTTTTGAATTTGATATTAAAATAATATATAATAGAATATTTTGTTAAAAAAAATGTATATATATATATTTTTTTTAAACACAAAATTACATAGCTGAAACTTGGAGTTTTTTATGTAAAGAAACACACTCTTTTGCAATTTATACATCAGTATATGTAGATACAAATAATATATTACTTCTTCACTCAGATACCGTGTCTGTTACACTGTAGACAAATTATTTTCCAAAAAAAGGAAGTGACATGCTATATGGGACGGACAGAAACGGCAACGTAGACATGGTACGTGGGCATGATATCTTAGACGGAGGGAGTATTAATATTCATGTTTTAATTTAAAAAATAAAAATGTATAATATTTTCAATATAAATACATATAACATTAATACCTAATCAGCAATTTATCTAGATACAAGAACACACCTATAATAGATGAACAATTATAACTACTATATATATATATATATATATATATATGAAATTACTGAATAAGTCTTATAAAATTCAATGCTTTTATTTTCCACATGACTAATATAAACGAAATTGAGTCAAAGATATGATATATAATATATAACTATATCAGATTAAATAACTATTTTAATTTTAAATTTTATTATTCACAACAACTAAATTTTCGATCCAATATCCAAACACAACTATAAATTTATGCTTTACACCAATATAAATATATAGATATATAGTGACCAAACTAGCATTTAAATTCCTGGAGGACAAAATATTATAGTTTATTTAATACTTAGAATTATATACTATAAATTTAAATAATTTTGAGAAAGTAAATTGTATATAAATATATAAAATTAATATTTTTAACACTAAAAAAATTATAAAAAAATTAGATTTGGGAGGTCAATTGACCCCCAAACTTTAGTGTAGTTCCGTTCCTATATATATATATTGACCCCCAAATTCTAGTGTAGTTCCGTCTCTGTGTATATATATATATATAGACTCCAAAATCCCAGTGTAATTCTGTCTCAGTATATATATATTTATGCTCCAAAAATGGGCACAGCCTCTGTATATGTCTATTCTACGTATACAGTATTGATTCGATTCAATACATATACATGCATTCATCCACAGTGCGACAACGACCATGACGATAATAAGTGCGAGCAATAATAATACAAGACAATATAATTAATAATTAATGTTTGTTGTCCATTCGGTAAGAAATTTTGTCTGCTGCAGGAATTTTGGGCGCTTTCGTAATTATTTGATTTGGTGAGTTGTAATTGGTACAAATTGGATGCTTGCTACCGTAGAGAAAAAAAAGAAAAAAAGAAAAAGGACGCCACTTGGAACTTTGCTTGCTTTTATGTACTTCTCATCTTGGAATTAGTGCTACTGCTGTACTGATGTACCATTCGATATTATCCTCTTCCATTTTTTTCTTTTTCAATTTTAATAATTTGTGACATTCGGAGAAGATTATTATGTTTATTTAAGTTTGATTTTGAGTTTTTATATTTTTTAAAAATATTATGATTTTTTAAACAAAGCATTAATTTTTTAGGTGGATTTTGTCGTGATCATTATTTGTTTGGGTGAATTATAAGGGCGCGTTCGGTACTGTACTGGAGTACTTAAAAGTACTTTTTTTTTTTGTTTTCTTAATTGATCTTTTAGTAATATTTTGAGTTTGAAAATTTTTTAATATAAAATAAATTTTAAAGACAGATTAAGCACTTGGATTGTACTGATTGTATAAAATTATAAATATATTTTAATTTTTAATTGCTTCAGTAAAATTAATGTTGAAATCTGATATTTTATAAAATGAAATTAAAATACATATATGCGCACATATATATATAGAGTGTGTGATAATCACTACTTTCTCGGTCCCATTTACTATGTCCATATTACCCTTTTTGTCCGTTCTATATCTTATGTTATTTTTTTTTTAAAAAAATATTATTCATTTTTAATATTCTTTTAAATTTTCTAATTTAATTTTTTTTAATTTTAATTAAAATAATGAATTATTTTAATCTTAATATATAATAATTTATATTAGATTAATTATTTTTATTAATACATTTTTAATTATCTACTAATTATACTTATCTTAAATTCCTGTGTCGTGACCAAGATACCCATTATGGAATGGATGTAGTATTATTTTGTTCAATCAATACAATTTTCAATAAAAATATGTTATATATATATTTATAAAATATCATATTAAAATATTAATCGAATAAAATTCTAATATGAAATGAAAACCAAACAAACCCATATATTCTAGTACGAAGATAAAATAAAATAAAAGATAAAATATGCAAACAAATAATTATTGCTTCATCTACTAACAATAACAAATTTTATAGCTAAAGGAGTACTTTTTATTCCTCTCTATTCCAGGCCATCCTTTTTTATTTAATTTGAATGGCCCAATTTTCTTTTTGCCCCGGCCCAATTTTGATAAGTTGCTATTGCTCGCTCAATCCAACTTACTTTACTTTAAGCAAATATTTAAATATAGTAAATTGTGTTTATGATATATATATATATATATTAATTTAAATTTAAACAAATATACAAAGTTTATTAAAGTTTGTAGCCAATTTCTACTTTTTTTTTTGAAAGGCTATTTAGAGTAATTGCTAATTATAATAGCTTACTTAATTTTAACAATATTTTTTAGTATTAACATATCATTGTAAATATTTTTCTTTTTTTATACCATATATTTGAAATTTTGGTACTATTTAAAATTTTAAAAAATATAATGTCAAATATGAATTTTTTATAAACATCATATTAGATATACTATTTTTAATTTTTTTTTTTTTTAAAACTTTAAACCTCCCAATAAGGTGATCTGAGCCGTACATTTTTTAATGTATTAAAATTTATCAGTTACTAAATGCATATAAACAAACCACTGGCAATTAGTGGGGCCCAGCGACGCTCCTCATCTGTAAAGTTTAGCTATTAAATAATCAGTAAAATATTTATTTAATAAAGAAAAAAAAGAAAAAAAAATATAAAATTAGACAATGTTGAAAAAGAAAATAAAAAAAAAATTGAAAATAGATGTTGATTTGTATATACATATATTTCATTTAAGTAGCGAAAAATGAATTCATAATAATACGATTTCTATATATTTATTTTAAAAATAAGATTTATAATTACGAGAGAAAAATTGAAAACCGAAGGCACGTGCGAAGTGCGTGCCTCATGTGGGGGTAATATGACCGTTGCTACATTTACACAATAAAGATCTGTTGTGCATTTCAATTCAAATCAGATCGCAAGATTTCTGGCTCTCTCACACACACATCCCACCCACCGTTGGCTTCCTCCTCCTTTTCCCTCTCTCAATTTGTGTGCCAGTGTTTTTCGTTCTCTGAGATGGGGATCGACATGGAATCGCAGCAGGAGCACAAGGTAACAACGCCTGTTGTGGTGGTTTCTGGATTTATAATTTTTTAGGGGAAGATTTTTCTATGATTTTGGATGTTTTGTTTCAATTAGGCTCCGATTTCCGAGGCATTAGACGCGATGCTTCTTTGTTTAATTTTCCTCCATTCTTCTGCATGTCTCTCGTTATAGATTTTCGTTTCTTTCATTATGGATTGTTTCTCACCCTCTCGCGATGTTGAGGTTGGAACGAATAACTTATTAACCAGAACGTTCTGGTTGATTAACAACCCTTGTATTTGTTGATTTTAGATGTTCTCAAAAGCAGAGGGGAAACACGGACATTGCAATTATGACCTTGTTATTCAATTAAGGCTGATACTCTCGATTTAATTTTAGGGGATATGGTTGTCAAAATTAGGGCGTGTTTTCTGGAAAATGGTGTACTTACCGGTTCTGAAAGCCGATCTATACATTGTTGTGATAGATCTAATGCATATGTTGGATATAATAGCTGGATTCTACAATTGCATTTTTGTCAAATCTAACATTCGTTTAATTTCCACGAATAGTTGATTTTTGCGGTAATCTGTAGATTCGCAACCAGAGAATTTATTATGCCCTTGTAGTTGACCTTTTTTGAAAACTCATAAACTAGTTTCTGATATATGCAATCATTTCTCTTTTCTTATAGGCTTCTTCAGAAAGCACAGCAGCAACAGAGAAAAAGAGGTGGACTCTCAGTGACTTTGACGTTGGCAAGCCTCTGGGAAGAGGAAAGTTCGGACACGTATATCTTGCCAGAGAAAAAAGTGTCAGTACTGCTCACACCAATGATTTTATAATCCATTGGCATCTAAATCTTGTTTGTATGTGAGAATCAAGTACTAACTTGTTTGATTTAGAATGTTGCTCCACATGAACCATGAGTACTTGGATTTGTAATCCTTGATGTCTTAGGAACAGGAAAACAAATGTAACATAAAATGGGATTAGACAGTGAAATTGTAACTTCCATTTTTGTCTCTCAAATGGAGGAAATGTTTATCTGATAACTGGTAATGTTGAAGTCTAACAGATATATACTCTCTTTTTTCGAAGCAGAGCAACCACGTTGTGGCACTAAAGGTATTGCTCAAGAACCAGCTAAAACAGTCTCAGGTTGAGCATCAGCTCCGGCGTGAAGTGGAAATACAGAGCCATCTTCGACACCCTAACATCTTGCGACTATATGGTTACTTCTATGATCAGGCATGAGGCTTTTCTTTCAAGATAGATTTGCAGAAATAATTTTTCTAGACTTCTCTTAAGCTGATAATCTGTGTCATCTGCAGGAACGGGTTTATTTGATTCTCGAATATGCTGTCAGGGGTGAACTCTACAAGCAGCTACAGAAATGCAAATATTTCAGCGAGAAACGTGCTGCTACTGTGAGTAATCATCCACTCTTCATTACACTTCCCTCCTCTTCATTCATCAATTATCCTCTTCAATACTGATCTGTGAATCTTGGAACATGCATCAGTATATTGCATCCTTAGCTCGGGCCCTCATATATTGCCATGGAAAGCATGTGATACATCGAGACATCAAGCCCGAGAACCTTCTAGTTGGTGCAAAGGTAAACTAACTACAATCCCTTCCCAGTTATGTACAAATGCCAAAAAATGCTACACTACATGCATTCTCCTGATTTACTGACTTTTTCCAATTTGCTCAGGGTGAGCTAAAAATTGCAGATTTCGGGTGGTCTGTGCACACCTTTAATCGCAGGCGAACTATGTGTGGAACTCTAGATTATCTTCCCCCTGAAATGGGTATGTTTATTCCCATTTTAAGATTAATTCATCATATTTCCAGCTGCTTTTTTAACCATTGTTCAAACATTTCAACAGTGGAGAGCGTCGAGCATGATGCAAGTGTTGATATATGGAGCCTAGGTGTCCTCTGCTACGAGTTTCTATATGGTGTGCCTCCTTTCGAAGCAAAAGAGCATTCGGGCACCTACAGAAGGTATGTAATAAAACTGAGTACAGCAACATAAACATGATCCACTAAATTGCAACTTGAACAAAATAATTGGAACCCCCTTGTGTTGTACAGGATTATTCAGGTGGATTTGAAATTCCCTCCAAAACCCATAGTCTCACCTTATGCCAAGGATCTCATAAGTCAGGTAAATTTTGTTGACAATGCACAACATGTGCTTTGTGTTAGTCCTTTCGTATTTTAAACTTCTAACAGCATTTTCGAATTTGGGTGGTTTCTATTCATTTACACCTACTTCAGATGCTGGTGAAGGATTCCTCACAGCGTCTTCCGTTGCACAAAGTGCTCGAACATCCATGGATCGTGCAATACGCAGATCCCTCGGGAGTTTTCAAGGGCTGATGATGAACTACGGTTCGCGCCGCCAGCCAATTCTTGAATCTAATAAGAATATAGAAGCAATATATATATATATATATAATAATCTGTTGTGTAGCCAGGCTGAGAGGGGTGTGTGTGTGTGGTGTTGTGTTGTCTTCTTGTTATGTCTGTTTTTTCATTCCATATTAATCATCTTCTCCTGGAGGTGTTGTAGACTTTGGAATTCTTTCTTAATTGGTAATGTGCTATTCTTACATTTAGAATATGGTTCATATGTGACTTGGTAGGCGTGGTTGTTCTTGTTTTTACATCATTCTTCTTTAAGAATGAACCAACTTTTAGATTAGATTATGTTTTTTTTCAACTTCTTTACAAAAACATCATATTCAAAGATTATTTAACACAAATCAAACACACCCTTATGGATTGAATCTGAGCATTGATTATCATTTGTTGCCTTTTGATTTGGTGAATGACAGAATTGAGAGAACCAGGCATGCTTCAAAATTTAGAATGACCAATAAATAAAAAATAAAAAATGCTTTCTTCTCAATGTAAATTCCATTGCAAATGAACATTTTATTTAATTTACTTCAATCATTAGATATATATATATATATATATCCATAAACATATAGTTTTACAAGAGGTCATGTATACAAATGATAATCAGAACAAGCTCACATCTTATGTTTCCTAAACCATAAAAAATGTGTTACAACAACTCTCCAACCTCCTCCATTCATCAAAAAGGGAAAAGACATGATCATAATAACACACACACTGAACTTCAAATTCAAAACTTCGATCATCCCTAAGGAAAAGAAACCCTCAAGTAGTACAATAAATCACAACCACCTGCTGCTATAAACAGTCCAAAAAAAGGGAAAAATATAAATAAAGAATCTCAAGTGGAAGATACAAAGAGCTTCCAAGCAAAGAAAATAACAACAAGTGTTCCAACAGTGATTTCACTGGTTGAAGCTGTAAACCCTAACAAATTGTTGGCCTTGGACCCGGCCTTCTTGGCCTTGGCCTTGAAAATCCCTCCTACAACCAACCACACAATACATCTATCATACGTCGTAGTATATCTCAATCTCAATACAATCATCTTTCTTTCAATCTCACTCTCGCTCGAAAAAAATTGCCACTGTATTATTAGTATTAGTTCAGTTCGTGCTTGAGTTATTACCTGGACCGTGTTCTCCATTGTCCTTATATTCCATGAAGCTCGGCTGATTTGTCGACGACAGTAGCCTCGCCCACATTCGGTCCGTTGTTACAACCTTGTTCTGTTTTTCAGTGATTCGCTGCATGTATACATACATGTCATTTATTGTTTTTTTTGGTCGAACATAAGTACGAAATAATATACTATAACTTACATTGAATGGAATGTAAGTATGCCGGCCATTGACAAGCCCTGTCGTGAAGCCTGTGTACCCTGCCATTGCTCCGTGAACGGTGCTTTGAGCGAGGAGCGTGCAGTACACGTTGTCAGATGCATTGCTAGGAATTGCGCGGATCATGTACGTTGGATCTGCAAGAAAATCACCTTTACTACACAAAGTCGGATGGTAATGAATTGGATGAAATAGTTTCGATAGTAAGTAAGTACCTATGTATTTTAGAGTAAGGGGAAGCCGCTTTGCAAAATGTTCCTGTCGGAAGCCAAGACTCAACGATAAAAAATCGATCAATGTAAAAAAAAAGAATCGTATCTCCATGACTTTAACCTTTATTTGTTGAGAGAGCCATAGCCCGACATCTTGGAGTAGCTTGTTCCCCGAAGCATCCCTTTCAGTTTTCGATTCTAGAAGCTCCTGTCCGGCTCCCTCAGCAACTACGATGACCATATGTCCATTCTCTTTGAGCCTTCGCTCAACGTATTCGAAAAGTCCACCTTTTCCTTCGAGATAGAAGGGAGACTCTGGAATCAAACAGCAGTCCACGTCTCGACTGGCCAGCGTGGCGTGCATTGCAATGAAACCTGAGTCGTCCATAAATAATTCGAATAATTTAGAGGAACCTGAGGTCATCACGACACAGGACAGCCACATAATTATGATTTGGAAAATTTTCAAGTTTGGATATTTATGTTACCGCTGTAGCGTCCCATGAGTTTTACTACACCGATACCATTCTCTGCACTCTCGGCTTCAACATGTGCAGCATCGATGGCTCGTTGGGCCTCCTCTACAGCAGTGTCGAAGCCGAATGACTTGTCGATGACCTGTTAAGTTCGATGTGCAATTGTAAGAAACGGCGAAAGAGATGGGTAGAGTTTCGGTACATTCAACTTTTCATGATCTTTTTGTCAGAAGTATTTATTTAGATGCAAAAAGTTACATTTTTCGCGATAATCATTCAAAGAGGAACTCAATAAAATAGTACCGGGATATCATTGTCGATAGTCTTGGGGACACCGGCAACAGCAACCTTAAGACCTCGTTTTCTGATTTCCTACACGATAAAAATTAGATGTATTGGGGGCAAAGGGCTGTTTGCTATCGAGAACACAACAAGAATACCTCGTAAATTAGAGCTGCTCCTTTCTGGGTGCCGTCTCCTCCTATTATATAAACCTGATCAAGAAATGCTGTTCGTCATCGACCAACACAAGAGTGCACCGATGGAAACGGAACAAATAACATTTGAAGCTTAACGCATACTTGATTAATTCCACGGTCCTGAATGCTGTCAACGATCTTCATAGTATCATGACCACCTCTAGATGTTCCCAAGATTGTTCCTCCACGCTTATGTATATCGTTGACAATCTTTGGCGTCAAATTTATGGTATTCTTCGAGTAAAACCCCCTATAACCCCCCTAATAAAAATTACATTCGATTAGTAGATCAACAATATGTAACAAATTATCACAGCCGACTGAATGAAACTGCTCCTTTTAAGATATGAAAGTTTTAAACCAGCTAAAATTGCTGATGCAGTCATGCAGATGACAGAAGTACGAGCATTACATTAAAGAAATAAAGTCGTAGTTTTGATACTGAGGTTTTGGGCTTGTTTCATAGATCGTGGGTAGAAATAGTGACTACTGCAGTTAATATTAACGAGCAACTAACTTACATCGATGCCGAGAACTTTGTTGACTCCATACATATAATCAAGGCTGTGAACAATCTCCCTGACCACTGTGTTTAGCCCCGGACATAAACCACCGCATGTCACAATGCAAGCCCGTACCTCTTCTGCCGTAAAATAAATCTGCATCCATGAGATGTAATTTTTACCATTCGTTTGTGAATACCCTACCCTAATAGCCAAACACGAGGAGACAGCAAATATACCCTCTGACGAGGTCCGGCTCGCCTAAAATGAATCCCTCTCGGTGTTTCTTTGTGAACAACCATCTGTAAAAGTATCAGCAAGTACGGTTACAATGGATGCACTAACAAAAAACATGACTCCTAAATCTGATGGTAAAACAAGTTCTGAAGTGGGAGTAACCTTTTGGGGGATGGTATCATCCACGTCGACAAAATACTGCCTGAAAAGAACATCACAATTTATTCATTTGTAATTATGAAGTAATAACATCTAATATAGGGAGTGAAGGAAAAGAGAAGAAGATCAACTTACTTGACAACTGAATAAGCTGGATTGGAGTCCAGCGGATTGGGATATGTCTGACAAAAATACAATTAACTTAGATGGCAGTATCAAAATCTTTTTGCTAAGGACAAAAACGTATTAATTGCAAAAGCTAAGAAACAACGGTGGTTGACAAGAACAAGACAAAAGTCTATGAATAAATTTGCATTTAAGGGTCCTATGTTGGTAATAAATAGAAAACAGGGGAATCATAATTTATAAAATCCCATAAAGCACCATTGTATCTCCTCATGAACTTCTAACAAAAATACCACAACTAAACCAACATGAGACAACCTTTGATCAATGCACCGAGGAAAATGTAAGAAAGTGTGCAATTTATCTAATAGGTGAGGGATGAGTGCATATTGGAGTATCGGTTATTTCTATGAGGATGATTAAACAAGTAGATGTCCGGAATCTTTGTGATGAACTCAGGCCTGATTTTGCTAACATAAGTTTTCACAAGAAAGCATGCTCAACTCAAGCTTTTGTAGTCGGATACATCGAGCTGCAGGATTTGGGGAAGATTGTACTATGTAAATTCGCCGTTTTAGCTTGCTTTGACAATAGATCATTAAAACACTAATGCTAACTAACTAAACTAGATAAGCTCAAACAATCAGCAATACGACAAACGAATTCACATAAATAATTCTTGCAGGAGTGCAATGAACAAAAAGGTGCAACTTTTGAGGGAGTTCCAACACCAGAAAGAACTATCAAAATAGCCTCACTTGTCCGATCAAAAAAAAAAAAAACCTCACTTCAATGAATCATTATGCCGTTACTGTCAAAGATGTGAAATCAATTCTCCAAAAATGATATTCTTAAACCAAAATCTATACATTCAGACCAATACAGTAGTAAGAAACTGAAAACAAATCTTCCAGGAAAACAGATTGTGCAAAATCCATGAGAATTGTACACAATCTATAAGCCAGCAACTCTGAATTAAACACTTTATGGCACTAAGAACATGAACAGATAGGGAAAATGAATGCAAAGGAATGACGGCCGTATCAATTTCTACCGAACGATATAAACTCCATGAATTAGCATAACGTCGATAAATATCAATCAAATGCGCATTACCAACACAGAAAGAGGCAAAGTGAGATGCAGCAAATCAAAAACGGGCGCGGTAAACACGTAGCGTGTGGACATACGGAGACCGTGGAAACCGCACATTCATGTAACAATTGAGAGTCAATACAAAATCAGATAAAAATACATAAAAATGCAACGTACTTTGAGATCCGAGATATAATCAGTGAGGTGAGGTACATCTTCGAGTACGTATCCGAAGTCTCCTTTAACCACCTTGCTCTGCAAACCAGCCATAATTTCTCCGACGAGACACAGCTTATTCTGGATGACAAGCCGAAGGCAAAATGAGCAGCAAATGGATAAATGCACGCACTGCAACTATTGATTAAAAATGGAAAGAATGGCTACGGATCTTGACGTGCGCCCTTGATGGTAGGAGTGATTGTAAGAACAGCTGCCAAAAATAGGAACGCTGGGAAGACAGGCGGCGCGTGCATCGCAGTTGCTGCTTTTGTGGTGTCCGGTCCGACGGCGATGGGCCACACCGGCCGCTTCTATTTTCCTGCCGTCGGCTCAACACATTTACATGCGGGCCTGATCCATTTCATACCGGGTCGGACTGGCCTTAGTGAAAAATCTTGGCCCAACTAGACTTGTCTAAACGGGTTCAAACCGTCAGTTTTATAAATTATAATTATAATTAAATTATTATTATTATTTAAGTTGATATGAGAAGTGATATCTGCATAATCTCCATTTAAAAAACGCCTATAAAGCCCATAAATTGAATTGAAGATTTAGTGCCAAAGTACGACCTGCGAAGTGCTGTCTATCGCCGGATTGCTGGAGCTGCAATTCACTGGCCACCGTCCCGCGGCGGCTTCCCGCCGTCAGCCATCTAGCTAATTACCTCCTCACTCGATCTCGTACGGTTCGGTATTCTGTGCTAAAATCCCTAATCCCTAATTGCTGTATCCGCAACATCTCGTTTTCGTTTGTGCGATTTAAGCGCCTATATATTGTATGAAACTTGTCGGAGATGTGGTAGAAAATTTTCAGCTGCTTAATTTTCTGGTGTTAATTCTACAATTAGTACTGTTGACAATTGCATGACTCATTTTTATTTATGTCTATGATTTTAGAAAGGAGGCTTTAGTTGATTCGTGAGCTAGACCAATTCAATGTATAAACCTTCCGATTCAAACATTGTGAGAGCATCTTAAGCTTCATTGCCGCGATATTGCTCTCTGTCTGCTTGGATTTGCTGTAAACATGGACGGAGATATTGGAATATCACTGGACAAGCTCCCGATAAAACGGCTGGATGCCATAGAGGAAAATGGCTTCGAACGCTTTCCCACGTACTTTTTACTCACTTCTATTTGCTAGTATATACAAAATTTGCGTAGGGATGGATTGTGTGAAATTGATGCATATACGCATTATGTGTGGTAGTGATGTAGGTTATGATGAAAAGCGAGTGAATTTGATAAGGAGAATAGACTTTGGGTGGGCAGTAGAGAGAGAAGATCCCAGCAAGAAACGAAAAACCGAAGGTGCGGAGACTAAGGAAGGTGCAGCAACTGGTCAACAACAATGGCAGTGGCACAGCTTAGTGGAGAACCTAAACTTGGCTCGCCAAGAACTTTCTGTCATCATAGATCTCATCAACACGGTAATGATTTTTAATATTTTGCCTGCTTTTTGTTTAGCTTGTTATGTATCTGACTGATATCTTGTAGTGTTGGATGGTGCGGTAGTTTATTGGATTGTTTAAAGTACCTATGGAATGAACATAGATAGGTGTATATGTGTGTATAAATATATTGTTGATTTAGTTATGCATACATGTAATGTGTGCCCTTGAATGCTTGGGTATATATATGTATATATCTATATCTAGATAGATATGGATGTAGGAATTGTTGTTGTAACTGCAATAATTAGTGGCAAATACCAAGTGGTGATATGCAATCAGTCAATCCTTTGCAATTAGATGAAATTTAGTTTCTCATTGTATTTGTTCCACAAGTCACACTGAAATTTGATGGCTTGATATTTGTGTGTTAGTGTGATGTTTACGTGATGCATCAGCTGATAACTGAAGCCAGAGGCCTGCTTTGATGAATTATGTAAAATCTTAACTGAAGCTACTCTTTATGGGTATTTGAAATGGTAATGCTTGCATGCATGCTTGACACAATTAAATGTAAATGTTGAAATTCTGAGGGCAGAGCACTGATGGTAGCAAATGGAATTGGAAACACCAAGCTGTGAATGATAAGTGACTATATATTACGTTACATTTAGTAATATTTTTGCAGTAGATGTTAGCCTATCAATTCAGCTTCCAACCTAAAAAATTTGCTCTTGTCTATTAGTAAATGCTTGCTTTTTAGCTGCTAATTTAGTCACATTTTTCATGGTATGTTGAACAAAAACAATAAACAGTTGAATCACCATAACCTATAGAAACTTTAGTGAAAATACAAGTTTTTATTAGATGTATAATGATTTATGTACACAGGTAGAAGCAAATGATGCTGTAACAGTTGCAGGCATGACTCGGCCTAAGCCACTACCTAATGAACAACTATCTGACCTTGCCGTGTCTATGGCAACCAAGCTGCAGTGCTTCCGGGTATTCATGTCTCTTCCCAAGCTTGATAGATATAGGCCTAGTCTCTCTCGGGAAATGTTTCTTCTTCAACTTGAGATTCTATTATGCATTGTATGTGGATTTTCAGAATCTTGGAAAATATTTCAAGCAAGCTGCTCAAGGATTGGAGGAGCAAATAGCAAGAGAAGCTAGATTTTACGGTGCTCTGATTAGGTGAGTGTTGAAAGCTGCAAGAGCCTATGCATTTACTGTTTTACCTAACTGGCATGTCCTTTTCCTCCCAAAATAAATGATAGTCCCGTTTTGTGTTATGAATGACAGATTGCAACAAAATTGGAAAATTAAGCGACATCGTTTGGTGGCTGCTGCATCTGGCAATGAAGGCTTCTATATTGATTTATTCGACAACTCCTTATATGACTCAGGAAATTTATTTCGTCCATCTTCTATATCGACAATTCCTATTGAACATGACAAAGCTGGAATGCTTGCTGTGAAGTTGCCTCAAAACTCTTATCATTTCCTTAGGTTTGAGTTTCTTGGTTATGGATCCGATGATAACTTGAGAAAATTCAGCGAGACTAAAACCGATGTTGTGAAGGAGGAATCCTCAAAAAAATTCGAGAAGGAACATACTAATGATGATGAACGAGTGAAAGGGATGCATTTAACGCTCAGAGAAGTCCATCGAGCTATACATGATGAGCAAGTACGTTTTGCTTTTGTTTCTTATCTTCCTAATTACTTAATTTATGAAAAAAGCGAGCTCATCTGACAGTAACTTATCATCGTTTGGCATTTCAGGTGTTTGATTTGGTAACTCGTGAAGCTTGCAATCCGTCATTGGTTGTTAATCTAACTGGAATAAAAGATAAATATATGCGCCTCAGCATCGGTCAAGGATCTTCATTTTTCATTTCACTTGTGTCATCCGATATGACTGGTGATGCAGAAAACAGTGCCGAAACTTCACCTGATCGAGTAAAAGTGGAAGAAGGGATCAATAAGGTGAAGAAATCTGTAACCCCAAGTAAACTTGGTTATGAGATTTATTTGCAACAATTATTTCATGAATATGTGTTCGTGAAAGCAAAAAACAAAGCCAATTCTTCATCCAGTCATCAAATCAGTATGCAGCCTAAGGACAATTCAGATATACTTGGGCATTTCTGCATGTCTCTTGCTCACAGAATCTTCTCGAACAAAGTTCTCTCCGTGCTGGAAAGTCTGGTATGAGTCTAGTTTCTTTCTCAGTACATACTACATTTAATTTGAATAATTTACATCTTCAGATACTCCAAAATTTGAAATTGTGAAAAATGTGCAAGTATAGTTTACTGTTATGCTACTGATGATACCTTAACTATATTTTGTGAATTGAAGGTGCAAAGAACGCCGTACGTCTCCATGATTTCTCACCCAACCTGGCATTCACGGACATCTTCATGGACGCTCTCAATGAAGATCCCTCAATCCATTCTTCATGCTGCGACCCAAATCCATGCATCGGGCACCGGCTCCAGCACCACAAAGGCTATAAGGTCTCAGTGTTGGACCAAGGTGGTGGTGATCGACGAGTCCATTACTGTAGAAGGTGAAGGTGCTCCCAATGTTGTTGGTCTATTCAAAGGGAAGTCCGAGGCCGTTTCTTCTATCAACAGTTGTGATTGCGACTTGGCTGATCTCCCTATACTACTCTTGCAGCAGGTGCACATTTTCATACCTGATTTAGGATGTTTTAGGTTAGAATATATCCAAATTATAAATATATATCTAATATGTGCCACATTTTGGAGAAAAATATCATGCAAAATTGATTATAAACTACATGTGGTTTAGAAAATTTGCACCATCCTCCCTCGTGTTTTAGAAATTTCATGAAGCTCCCTTGTGTTTTCGAATATATTGAACGGAAAAGGAGCCATATGCAGTTTTTAAGAGATTTTGTGCAATATTTCCGAAAATTTCTGTGTTTTCAAAAGTATTGAACGAAAAGGGTTGCATATGCAATTTCTAGGAAGAATTTATGGTTTGCGTAATCAATGTGTAGGTTGCGAGTCAGATTATCCAGTGGCTGCACGAGGAAGCCCGGACAGTGGGCATCAAAGCCAGCAGGGATTTCTTGTCGCTGGCGTTGGAGCTGGAGCAGGGGGAGATAGTTACGCTCGTGGCTCATGTGGATCCAGAAGATGATCAGTCGTGCATCACCTGGTGGGTGACGATAGAAGAAGGATTTGCAGAAGAACGGAAGCTTCACTCGGACATGTCGACAACGACCATGTCGTATGTTGAGTCGGAGAACAGGAAGTTCTTAGGATATCTGCCCCTGGATACTCTATACTCTACATTGTTGGATTTCCTCAACATGTGCAGCTGTTGAGGGACGGGTATGAATATGATATTTACGATTATTTGTGCCGAATTTTGATAACGCATTTGGATGTCCAGATCTAGAAATGTTCGTTTCTGTGATTCTTTCCTGTGAACCTCTGCACTAGTGCAAATTTTACTTGAGAATTGTGCTATGAAAGTAACGTATGATTATTATATTAAGAAACTATGTAATATAAATATGTTGAATTTCTCTATATAAAATTGTAATTGTATTAGAATTTAATTGTTTAGGCTTTTTAAATGGAAGTTTTGAAAATTTGAAAATTTTAAAAAATTAAATAAATATTTAATATAATATTTTATGAGATAAAAGAATATTTAATATGATAGAAAATTTAAAAAATATATATATATATAAAATATTTTTAATTTTTTAAATATAAAAAATATATTAATTGTGTAAAAAGTAATATTTTTATATTAAATTATTAATTTTGCAAATAAAATGTATTGTATATTATATAAATGTATAAATTTGTCGTAATTTCTAATAAATATTAATTGAAAATTTATATAAAATAAAATGTATTGTATATTATATAAATGTATAAATTTGTCGTAATTTATAATAAATATTAATTGAAAATTTATATAAAATATTTATATTTTTAAAGAAACAAAATTAAAACGACGACGTTTTAACTATTTTCATCACAATTAATTATAATATGCTGATCGGGAAGGCATAAAACCGAAACCCTATTATATATCGCATTTCCATTTCCGGAACCTGGGTTTCTGATTTCCCGTTGTTTATCAGTTCGCCCTCGCCGCCGCCACCGCCACAGCTATCACAATTACCCTCCGATTCATCTCGATCTTCGTCATTGTCATGAACTAACCTCTGAATTTCATTGGAAACTCTTCTCGAGGCGATATTGATATGGCGACAGCGCTCGTTGCGAAAACAGCATCAACTACAATCGGAAAAGCTTCATCCCTATTCAGAAGCTCATGTAGCTTCCTGCGCAATCTGAGCACGGCAGAGAACTCGGCTGCAGCGGCGGCGAGTGCCGAAGTCAAGAAGCCGAAGCGGAGGAAGAAGAAGAACCTGTTCGAAGTGGCTCAGTTTCTGCCAAATTGGGGCCTCGGCTATCACATGGCGAAAACTCACTGGACTGGCGTCTCTTATGAGATAACTAAGATCAATCTATACAAGGTAATGATCGAGCATTCTTTACTTTCCTGTAACGGCTGCCATTCCGGTGTACTGTGATTTTTTCATTACGTTTAGCATCGCGCATCCTATGCTATACGCACCTGCATCGCTGTTTAAAGCATCTCAGTTAGCCTTATTTGGAGCCTTTTAGCTGCGGTTCGTGTTTCTATTTTTGATTTTCAAGTAATTTCTATGGTATGTATTTGCAGGACGGAAGGCATGGAAAGGCATGGGGACTTGCTCACAGGGATGGTAATTTTCTATCTACTTTGTTTAAGCTGATTTGGGAAAGCATTTCTTATTTTTTATGCTTTTAATTACTTTGGATGGTTGTGTTGTTTGTGTTTTTGGTGGTTGTAGATATTCTGTATTTGAAATTTTTTTAATAGAGAAATAGATTATGGACATGTTTTAATTTTAAATGAGAAGTGTGTTGAATCTGAATGAAAGATAAAATTAGGAATATGATAGTTTAATGACTAAAGTATGTTGTTTTGAATATGCATCTAATCTGATGATAACTTGCTTTATTATTCATTTTACTGGAATCCATTCCCTCGTACTCTCGATCTATGTTAATTCAGGACATTGTTTTAATTGCATATTTGTGTTCTTGCTATGCTGTTTCTGTGGTTTATTTCAGTTCTTGTATCATGCAAAATAAATTGGAGAACCTTGGATAGGCGTGATTGTCTGTACATGTACTAGATGTATACACATAATTATCCCCGGGGCAGAATCATTGGATGTTAGGCCGGTCAAGCATTGTCAAAATTTGAAACTTCTTGCTCGTAAGATATAACTAGACACCAAGAGCTACTTAGTTGCCAATGAGAATGTAGCCCGTTGAATTCGGGGTTAAAGATAAAGAAAGGGATACTGCCTTATGGAGCATCAAACCCGTGGAGCTGGTGACTTATATTAGGTTTTAACAGGTTTGCTTGGGATGGGTTCTTTTCGGAAATAAGTAACAATATAGATTAGTTCAAGTTACATGACCAGTGTTCGCATGTGGGATTATATATCCATGTCGACGTAGTCATGGAAGGAAAATTAAACCAAATTAAAATGGAGGTTTCTCTTTATAAATTAAAAGTATTGTAGTCGATTCAACTTGTTGCCTGCCTATTGGTTTGAGAATGTTTAATTTTTTATTTTTATTTTTATTTTTTGAGAATGGTTAGGGTCTTGATTAAAGACCTAATCAGCACATGGAATATAATTTGTCTAACACATGGATTGAATTAATATGACATACACAATACATTATTAACATGAATTGTCTGTTCTATTTTAAGTGTCGTGTATGTTGATTAGACTATTGTTAAATATTGTATTTGTATTATGTTAGCATATATTTTGTACTGCCGCATTATATTTTGTATTACGATCAGCACTTCAACTCCCCATTCTGAACTTTTGTTTCCTTTTTGTTTTTGTTGTATAATATTAGTGTGGGAAATAGGATAAGTACTGACTAAGTTCAACTTACTGTAGGGTCACCAATTGCGGATGCCCCGAAGAAAATAAGTGGCGTCCACAAGCGTTGCTGGAAATACATCCCGAACGTCAAAAGAATAGCAGAAAAGGCTCCAGAACAAGAGCCACAATCAATCTGATTTGATTTGGATTGGTTTGCTCAACTAATCTTCCCTCCATTTGATCCGTTGCAAGTTCCATAATTTTGTTCATGTAGCTTTGAAATGTTGTGCAATTTTTGTCGATCTACTTACCCTACAAGCTACTATAATCCTCCTATGTGTGCCTCCTGCCAATAAAATTTAGAGATTTCTACATATATATTCCAAGTCTGTCTTTTTTGAGAACACCATTTGTCAAGATGTCACATATTCATCCTGAATTCATGTTTGCATTTCGATAGAAATAAATATATAGCATCACATTGATTCTCTGTTTATGTTTATAGTTTGACATGACACCATCGATGGATTTAGGATTTTTACCGTAGATAACCTTAGTGAAAAACAGGCTACATCAAACTAGGTATAAAATAAGAGGCGAAAAAGAAAACAACGTGAACCTCGATTCCATGAAAAACAGTCGATCCCTCCCTCGATGTGTTTCAACTGATACCTGCCCATTTTCTGAAAAACTTAACATACTCGATCCTCTTTCTTTGAGTATCACCTTTTACCCTCTATCAGCAACATCTCCAGCGCATCGCGGCTACACACTTTATGCTGACTCTCCATGCTCCGGCCCATAGGATAGGATAGGATAGTGATTTCGCGATGGAACAGTATCCGCAAATGAGATGGAAAAATGCTGTGCTATTCGGTTAGATCTTCATCCTGTGCATTTTCAGGTATGTATGTTTCGCATCTTCGATCATTTGGCCTTTGCGAAGAAGTAAATAGGGGAATTATACTCGTGAACTTCTCGATCCTCTTCTCTTGATGATATAGTGGGCCAAATCTGTTTTGCATTTCACAGCGAGCTCTTTCGATTCGATTTCAGCCATGGAAACATTTCTGTCGAGACAAGCTATGGCGAGACCAACTCTCCTCATCTGTCGAGCGAGACCTTCTGCTTCCCTAAACATTTATTCGATTTGTTAATGTTTGTTAAAAATTGAACTCAATTTTATATATTATAAATAAACAAATAAATTTAAATATATATATATATATATGTATATGATATTAAACTAGATTATATCATATCAAATCAAACACTTATCTGATTTGTTAATTTTTTAAAAAAATTGAACTCAATCTTATTTATTATAAATAAATAAATTCAAATATTATATATATATATATATATATGATATTAAGGTATCATATCTTTGTGATATGATATAATACGTATTATATTAAGTTAGATTATATCAAATCATATGATATTATATTTTATATATATATATATATATGATATTAAGGTATATTATATCATATAAAATCATATCATATCATTGTGATATGATATTATATTAAGCTAGATTATAGCAAATCAAATCATATCATATTATATCATATCACAATAAAATACTTATCTGGTTTGCATGTATGCCTATAAATTCTCATAATTCAATTCTCCAACCTACCTGCAAATTTATTCATCCCTTCTTTGTTACAATGGATAGTGCAGAAGGAAAAGAAATAGCGAATTCATTTGCACCTGTACCTGCAGATTCAGATTGTTTTAGCGAAGAGGAAACACAAGTTATGAATTTAGCGGCGCCATGGATACATGACATTATACGTGACGAAAGAGTAAACATTGTTTTGGATCGATGTCCTATTCCTTTTATCGTCAAACAATTGGAAAAATTTCTCAAAATTTTAAATCACAACCAATTCGGCAGCGCAGGTATCTCCATCAACTGCGACCGATTGGAGAAGATGGCTGCTTTCATGAAAACAGATGTTTTAAAGAAGACAGTGATGCCCTATGATGAGATGATGGCTTCAATGCGAATCTTCACTTTGGCCAGATCGTGGCGCCGCCGAAATATCTCTTTGACGGAAATTTAATTTTATATTTTTGGATTTAGTTATTTCAAATTTTGTTTTATTTGTTATTATTTGAATAAGTTGGCTCAAATGTACTTTTATTTTTTTAATCATCTATTAAATTTCTTTTAATATATATCGTCTTTCCCCACTCTTCTTATTTTAAAGTGATTTCATCAATTTTGTTAAATTTTGTATTTTATTTATATATTCACTTTCAAAATATTGTTCAAACAATACAATACTAATAATTTTAAAAATGAGAATTATAAAATTATTTTGCTTTTCAAGTTGACCGTGATAGTAATAAATTACAATCGATTGTAATTATTTTATACGGTATTTTAATTTTTTTTTTAAATTTAAGCCAATATCTTTGACGAGAAAACCTAATCTAAATTAAGGATTGATTAAAAGTTTTTTACTGTATATATATATGCATATATCTTTATGCATATTTTTTAATATATATATATATATATTTATATATTTAATAAGATATATAATATTGTGTAAAAAATATAATATCAAAAAAATCAATTTATTATTGCACCGTTACCAATAATACTAATCTATAAACAAAGTAATACACCACGCTCGTTGCGAAAACAGCGTCAACTACAATCGGAAAAGCTTCATCCTTATTCAGAAGCTCATGTAGCTTCCTACGAAAACTGAGCACCGCAGAGAACTCGGCGGCGGCGAGTGCCCAAGTCAAGAAGCCTAAGCGGAGGAAGAAGAAGAACCTATTCGAAGTGGCTCAGTTCTGCCAAATTGGGGCTTCGGCTATCACATGGCAAAAACTCACTGGACTGGCGTCTCTTATGAGATAACTAGGATCAATCTATACACGGTAATGATCGCGCATTCTTTACTTTCCTATAACGGCTGCCATTCCGGTGTACTGTAAATTTTTCATTACGCTTTAGCATCGCGCATCCTGTGCTACACGCACCTGCATCGCTGTTTAAAGCATCTCTGTTAGCCTTATTTTGAGCCTTTTAGCTGCGCTTCGTGTTTCTATTTTTGATTTTGTAAGTAATTTCTATGGTGTGTTTTTTGCAGGACGGAAGGCACGGGGAATTGCTCACAGTCACAGCGATGGTAATTTTCTATCTACTTTGTTTAAGGTTGATTTGGGAAAGCATTTCTTATTTTTTTTATGCTTTAAATTATGCTGGATGGCTGTGTTGTTTGTGTTCTTGATTGTTTTGGATGCTATAGATATTTTGTATTTGAAATTTTTTTAATAGGGAAATCGATTATGAACATGTTTTAATTTTAAATGAAAATTGTGTTGAATCTGAATGAAAGATAAATTTAGGAATACGATAGTTTAATGACTATAGTATGTTGTTTTGAATATGAGGATAACTTGCTTTATTATCCATTTTACTTGAATCCATTCCCTCCTACTCTTCGATCTATGTTAATGCAGGGCATTGTTTAAACTGCATATCTGTGTTCTTGCTATGCTGTTTATCTGGTTTATTTCAGTTCTTGTATCATGCAAAATAAATTGGGTCCCTTTGGAAGATTCCATAAATTCATTGGAAAAATACGAGTCTTTAGGAATTATGTAGCCGGAGAACCTTGGGTAGGCATGATTGTCTGTAGCATTTACTAGAGGTATACGCATAATTATCCCTGGGGCAATATCATTGGATGCTAGGCCTGTCAAGCATTGTCAAAATTCGAAACTTCTTACTCGCAAGATGTAACTAGAACACCAAGAGCTACTTAGGTGCCAATGAGAATGCTTTGTAGCTGGTTGAATTCGGGGTTAAAGATGTAAAGAAAGGGACAACACCTTGTGGAGCTGGTGACTTGATATTAGGTTTTAACAGCTTTGCTTGGGATGATTTGGTTTCGGAAATAAGTAAAAAAGTAGATTAGTTCAAGTTACATGACTAGTGTTTGCCTGTGGGGTTATATATCCATGTCGAAGTAGTCATAGAAGGAAAATTAAACCAAATTAAAATGGAGGTTTCTCTTTATAGTTAAAAGTATGGTAGTCGATTCAACTTGTCGCCTGCCTATTGGTTTGAGAATGTTTAATTTTTTATTTTTATGTTTATTTTTTGAGAATGGTTAGGATATTGAATAAAGACCTAATCAGCACATGGAATATAATCTGTCCAACACATGGATTGAATTAATATGACATATACACAGTACATTGTTAACATGAATTGTCTGTTCTATTTTACGTGTCTGTGTATGTTGATTAGACTATTGTTAAATGTTGTATTTGTATTATGTTAGCGTATATTTTGTTCTGCCGCGTTATATTTTGTGTGCCCTCGGCACTTCAACTGCCCATTCTGAACTTTTGTTTCCTTTTTGTATTTGTTGTATAATATTAGTGTGGGAAATAGGATGAGCACGGACTAAGTTCAACTTACTGTAGGGTCACCAATTGCGGATGCCCTGAAGAAAATAAGTGGCGTCCACAAGCGTTGCTGGAAATACATCCCGAACATCAAAAGAATGAATAGCAGAAAAGGCTCCAGAACAAGAGCCACAATCAATCTGATTTGATTTGGATTGGATTGGTTTGCTCAACTAATCTTACCTTCGTTTGATCCGATGCAAGTCCCATAATTTTTTTCATGTAGCTTTGAATTGTTGTGCAATTTTTGTCGATCTACTTACTTTACAAGCTGCTATAATCCTCCTATGTGTGCCTCCTGCCAATAAAATTTAGAGATTTCTATATATATATATTCAAATTCTGTCTTTTTTGAGAACACCATTGTGTTAACTGATTAATGCAAAATGGATTTGTCAAGATGTCACATATTCATCCTGTATTGTATTCATGTTTGCATTTCGATGGAAATAAATATACGCAACAGGTTTTGCGAATTAAATGAGCAAATGTGTATTATTATAACAGGCTTATAGTTGGACGCGACACCTTCGTGGCTAGATTACTGTACTATATGAAATGTAAATGACTGAACTTCTTATCGTTACGACAGGAAAAAGACTTGCTGTTCAAAAGGATGGATTAAGGATTTCACCGTAGATAACCTTAGTGAAAAACAGGCGAAGAAGACAACAACCCTAACCTGGATTCCATGTGAAACAGTCGATCCCTCGATGTGTTTCAACTGATACCTGCCCATTTTCTGAAAAACTTAACATACTCGATCCTCTTTCTTTGAGTATCATCTTTAGCATCCGAAGCAGTTAGAGTTCTATAGAGATCCCTGTGAAGCTTCAAGAACTCATTTTTACATCTCCATTTGTCGAGGAACATCTTATTCTTCCTCATAAATCCAATAATCTCCATAACCCTCTCGAAATACCCTCCCCGAATAAAAGCTATCAGCAACATCTCCAACACGTCGCGGCTGCACACTTTATGCTGACTCTCCATGCTCCTCTTCACATCGGCCCATAGGATAGTGATTTCGCGATACATTCCCACAGAACAATATCCGCAAATGAGATGGAAAAATGTTGTGCTATTCGGTTGGATCTTCATCTTCTGCATTTTCAGGTATGTATGCTTTGCATCTTCGATCATTTTGGCCTTTGTGAAGAAGTGGATAGAGGAATTATACTCGTGAACTTCTCGATCCTCTTCTCTTGTATTCTTGATGATACAGTTGGCCAAATCTGTTTTGCATTTCACAGTGAGCTCTTTTGATTCGATTTCAGCCATGGAAATATTTCTGTCCAAAGCCATCTTGTCGGGACAAGTTATGGCGAGACCAACTCTCCTCATCTGTCGCGCGAGACCTTCTGCTTCCCTAAACATGTTCTTGCGGTAATAAGCACTCAAAAGAAACGTGTACGAAGCTTCTCTAACACAGTAGTTCTCCAATTCTAAGTCGTCTAAAATGTCGTGAGCTGTCTCAAGCCATCCCAAACAGACGCAAGCATCGATTACATCTGAACACAGACTATTATCCTGCGGCGGATTCAACATAGAATGAATGCTAACAAGTAGTTTCGAGAGCTCATTAGTTCTCCGAGCCTTCCTGTATCCTATTACAAGCTTCGCCAAACCTTTGTTGCTAAGAACAAATTTCTCATCTTTATACGATACAAGCGCCGGCTTCTTGTCCCCCTTGCAGACAAAATCCCTCTGCAATTTCTGAGGTAGAAACTGCAGTTTCAATCCTGTTTTAGCATTGTCGGATCCAAGTGAAACAGCGCAGGATTTCTCCTGCTCGATTCGACCCACCTTGAAAGAATTTCGCTCATCATGCCATCTACATAAGTCCAATAAAAGTGTCGATGCACCATCAATGTCATCGAACTTAAAATGCAGGCTAAGCAGGCAATCATACAACGATTGATAGTGCCGTACCAGTGCATCTGGGATTACGTCGCCATGGGGCTTAAATTTCTTCAGCTCATCTCTCAGGCCATTCAATTCATGTAATCGAGCAATAATAACAGCAGTGTGAGCATCAGCTATCACTCCTAATTGCGGCATCAGCTCTAAAATCTGTTGCCCCTTCAATGGAGCTTCAAATCTCACACAGGCATCAAGAACAAGGTTAAAAATTACAGCATCAGGTTTTGTCAATCCTGTTTGCGCCGATCTTTTCGCACCCGAATTCAGAAAGCAATAAGAAATCTCCTCCAACACGTTCGACGCTAAGTATGTCCCGGTTTCTGTCTTAACTAAATGTAGAAAAATCATCTGTAAGACATCCAATGAAGGCAAATGATTCTTCTCCAGCATCAGCCTAAGAATGCTTGAAGCTGGAACAGGAATTTGAGCTCTTGACAAAGAAAGAGCCAGATTTGTAAGCATTTTCGGCCTGAGTAGAACCGATTTCTCCTTTGAAATCGTAAGAACTAAATCGAAAGCCCTACGGAGACACATCGAATCACTTGAATACGATAAGTTAGTTATTAGATTAGCCATAGAGCACTGATCAGGGAAACCATAAAGGCTCTTGAATTCCTTGTAGGTTTCCCAAGCCTCTTCTATTTCATACTCCTTCAAAGCTCTTTCGAGCTTTGCCAGCAAAATCGGCCGGGAGGACCGTTTCTGGCAGACCTTTCCCTGCTTGGAATGCATTGCAGAACATTCTAGAAAATAGAGATTACTGCTTGAGCTACTGCTGCTAAATCTGTTCAGTTGCTGAAAACTCTTCACATTGTGGCTCGAGGTAAATCTCCTACCAATTACCAATCTTAATAATCCGCTCTGCTTATCTCTAAATAATTTTTGCACCATAGATATTAGCATACTTCGCCGGCACGCCGCAAAGATGTGTCTGTCTACCGGCGAATCAAAACCAGAACAGGAAATCACGATACAATCTCCGCAACTGAATCACTTCAATAATTATTTTCGTGTGTGAATCGGTGTAACTCTGCCTCTAGAAACGGTTGAAACAGCAACAATTCGTGGATATCGCCTGAATTCTCTCCGATATCGAATTACACAGGAAACACATCAAAATTGCACTAATGCTCACATTTGTTTCTCTTTTCAGAGTTATAAAAAGTGAAGAACTTGACTTACAAATTTCTGCGCCGTACCCGTGCGAGACGAAGCCAGCTGACGGAGAGGGGGAAAAAAGACAACGAACTCTGTTGACGGAAGATTGGGAGAAATTCCACCCACGGTCAGATTAAGGTGCTGAAAGCAGTAACTATTTCAAAAACCCTATACTAAGTACTGTGTAGTCTAAATTTGTTCTTAATTTTTTTTTATGTCATATAAATATATTCTTTTTTCTTTTAATATTTAAAAATATATATATATTTTTTTATTTTTTAAAATAATAAAGGGTATATTTTTTTATGGATTTAAAAAAAATTAATTTGAATTTAATATTTAAAATAATATATAATTGAATATTTTGAAAATAAAAAATAAAAACAAAATATAAATAGTAGAAATGTGTAAAAAGAAATAATCCTCAAATAAGTATAAATATTGATGATATAGAAAGTAAATAAAAATAGTAAAAGTTTTGAATTTGAATAATTGTATAATGTGATATAAATAGATATTTTGAATGTAAAATTGATTTTTTAGTATAATATAAAAAATGAAAAATAGATTATTAATTCAATAGTTTTGGGGAAAAAAAATGAGAAAGAGTAGTGGATTTGAAATACAATCCTCTAAACAAACACTCTCTTAATTTGTATTTCACACTTTATTCATCATTACTTTAATAAATATACATTTCTCTTTTTGTCATATATTAAACAAAACTCTAAAACCCTTCTAATGCACATACAAAAACACAGCCTTAAATGATTACCCTACTAGAGAAGGCTCACATTGGCATCCCTAAGCTTCTTTGGATCACATCGATAGCTCCAAATATACTTACCCTCTTCCTCTCCAAGGAATGGAGACATGGACATGTCCCAACTACCTTTCCTCCCATGGTTGCCCAATCCCTCAAGTACCTGCAACACTTCCTTCATCGATGGCCGGCTTCCGGGCAGCCAACTGGTACACATTAGCCCCAGTTTAAAAACCATTCTCATTTCCTCCAAGTACCATTCTCCTCTCATCTCCTCATCTATCGCCTCGACGTCGTTTTCGTTGTTATCATCGCCTCCCAAGTGTTTCTTCCACGCCCACTCTGCAAGGCTCGTGTGCTCGTCTCCCCGGCTAGCTTCCCTTCCGGTCACTAGCTCTAACAGCACCACCCCGAAGCTGTAAACGTCGACTTTCTCGTTCACTTTTGTCGTGTAAGCATACTCTGAACGACGAGTTAAGAAATATTCGTCAGGTGAAACTAATGAATTTTTACGCGCCTCGAATTGACGATGATATTATGTACCTGGGGCGATGTAGCCGAAGGATCCGGCGATAGTAGACATGGTGTTAGCCTCGCCGTTCTTGATCAAAATCTTCGCCAATCCGAAGTCCGCGATCTTGGCGTTGAAGTCGTCGTCCAGCAAAATGTTGCTGGACTTTACGTCGCGATGAATGATCGGTTGGATGCAGTCGTGATGCATGTGGCAAAGGCCTTGCGCGGCTCCGACAGCGATCTTCAACCTAGTCGGCCAGTCCAAGGCGCCTTTTCTTATCTTCCCATGCAGCCATTGATCAAGGCTCTCATTTTCCACGTACTCATAAACGAGAAGCTTTGAATCATCGCTGGAAATGCAGCACAGCAGCTTCACAATGTTGGAATGGCGAATCGATCCCAGTGTTTGAATCTCGGCCAGAAAAGCTTTCTCGAGGAACAGATTCGTGGTGTTCTTGTCGCTCCAGATCCTCTTAACCGCGACATTCTGACCTCGATCCACCGCGACTTTATACACTTTTCCGGATGCACCGAAGCCAATCACATTGCTTTCAACCAAACTAGACAGAACATTAATCTCAGTGAAATCCAGCCTCTGGAACGAGGTTAGCTTCCACGTAGTCAGACTACGCTTCCTTCTCCAGTTTCGAACTGTAAACAGAACCACGGATACGGCGACCAGGAGAAGAATCAGCGCTAGAACTAAAACCACAGCAAGAATCTTCGGCGACATTTTCTTGGCTCCCCTGTATTTGTCATAGCTGCAGCTGAGAAGACCAGAAACTGAATTAGATGAACAAAGATTCGGGTTGTTTAAGAAGCTGTTTTCATAAGCCATGTTGTCTAACTCATACGGTATTCGCCCTGTTAACTTATTTGAAGAGAGGTTAAGAGAGCCAAGCCTCAACTGTCCTAACTGAGGAGGGATTTCACTATCGAATTGATTCTGTGACAAGTCGAGATACAGAAGGTTCGGCAAAGAACCGAATGCGGATGGAATTCGACCCCATAACTCATTCCTGGAGAGATTCAAGGTATTAAGAGATTTCCAGGATATAATCTGTGATGGAAGTTCTCCAGACAAGGAATTTCCATCAAGAACCAAAGTGATCAGATTAGGAAGGCTTGTTAATCCCTGTGGAATTGTCCCTGAAAATGCGTTGTTACTCGCTAGAAACACGATCAAACTCGCCCAAGACGACATATTGGGAGGAATCACACCAGAAAACCTGTTGTTGCTGATCTCCAAACGAGTCAAATTCCAAGCAACTTTGCTTGGGAGCTCACCCGAAAAAGAGTTATCACTAAGCATCAAACTAGACATATTTGGAGCAGACCATATACCAAAAGGAACCTCACCGGAGAAGTTGTTATTGTAGAGCTGCATCGTGCGCAATGTCTTGCAGTTTCCAAGGGAATTCGGAATCTGTCCGGATAATCTGTTGTTGAATGCAACCACACCAAAAAGAGTTCCTCCAGCACATAGTTTATCTGGTAAGTTGCCGATGAATTCATTGTTGCACACTTCAAAGGATTCGAGTTTGGAGTGGATACCTATTTCAGGAGGCAGTGTTCCACTCAAATTGTTCCTGAAAATCCTGAAGTTCTTCAGATTTTGGAGTAGGCCTATGCCTGGTGGAACTTCTCCATAGAGATTGTTCGAGTACAGATGCAGAATCTCTAATTGTTTCAACTTTGCAAAATCTTCTGGAATACCACCAGTTAAGTTGTTCATGGAAAGATCAAGCTCAATCAAACTGAATGATTCTATCACATGAGGAATGGAACCAGAAAATCGATTATGATACAGGTAAATTGCAGTCAAGTTCTTCAGCGAGAAAATTCCTCCAGGAATTTCTCCTTCCATATTATTCATAGATAAATCCAAATGCATAAGACTCGACAAATTGGAGAAGCTCTCAGGTATTCCACCGAACGCATTAGCTTGTGTCATCCATAAATACTTTAGGTTTTTCAACTTACCAAACTCCGGCGGGATGGACGCCATCGAGAAGTCATTGTACGCCATCCTCAGGTTTTCGAGGTTCCTCAAATTTGAAATCTCTGCTGGATAGCTGCCGTTGAGCAAATTCATGTGGAGGTTCAGAGTTCGCAGTTGAGTCAAATTCCCTATCGTCGAAGGAATATCTCCTGTGAAATTGTTTCCCGATAGGTCGAGGTGTTGAAGCGATTTGAGCCTATCGATACTCGCCGGTACATCTCCGACGAAATAGTTCTGTGATAGATCCAGAAATCGGAGTCTCGAGCAGTTTAAGATGCCTGGCGGAAAATTCCCCGTGAAAAAATTGAATCCGAGATCGAGAACAGTCAAGTTCACGAGCACGGAGATTGCATCTGTGAGGTTTCCACTGAGGTTGTAATTGTTGAGAAGTATTCCGGTGACGGAGCCGTCGCCGGAGCACCGGATTTCCGGCCAGCTGCACGGCGACGACGAAGCGGTCCAGGAGTGAACAGCCGGTGAATCTCCCCATCCTCGTTTGAGCTCCAACAGAGCATCCCTTTCTGTGGTAGAGAATTGCGAAGTTACCAAAAAGGGTACGGAGAAGAGAAGTGTGATCAATAATAGTTCTCCGGCGAGGAAGAAGGGCAATTTAGTCATTTCTCAAGCGGCTTTGAAGATGTAGAGCGATAGTGTGAGAGTTTGGCATCCAATTTGGATATGATAATATTTATAATATGGGATTAAATTCAAATTAAATTAATAAATTATTTTCAAGTGGTAGTGGTTAAGAGTGGGACTCCAACTGTAAGACGGTAATTATGCACACTTAGTAATATTCTTTTATTGCAATAAGATATAGATATATGCATATTCTACATGTGTTATTTTAAAGAATAATTTATATTATACTAAAAAATCAATTTTACATTTAAAATATTACATGACCGTTTATTTATATTACATCATACAACTATTTAAATTTAAAATTTTTACTATTCAAATCTCAACTCAAAATTCAAACCTCCAAACAAATACTCTAATGTAAAATTTTCACTATTATATAATTTAATAACTTCTACTTGTACTTTAAAATATTTTTATAAAGTTCGGCCACATAAGTACAGTGCTAAATTATAGATTCCATATTTTATTAAAAAATTTAAATACTATTTTATTAAATTTGTATCTATAAAATTGCTGCGTGGGGCCCATATCTTTTGTCGTATGTGACAATGACCTGGTTGACTTTATAGACCACACTTTAATGTGTGCCCCAGTTTCTAGAACACAATCATAACTTTTGACTTTGACCACTCTTTGTGTTCATTTTGAACCTCCCTTTTCCAACTGTTTTTAAAGGGGATTTCATATCCCATTATATCTACTTTATGTTATATAAATATATATATATATAAATTTTAAAATATTATATTAAATAATAATTTAATTTTAATTTTATTTATTATTTGAAAAAATATTAAAATACAAAAAAACAAAAATAGTTATGTTTTCATTTTCTATCAAATCTTACTTCTTGTACTTTCATTTTTCATTTAAGTTTAACTATAAATTTTTCTTTTATCTTACATTAAGGGTGTGTTTGTTTGAAGGATTTTGGTGGATTTCCACTATTCATTCAATTTTTTCTCTCCAAAAATATCAAATCAAACACTTATTTTTCATTTTTTATATTATACTAAAAATCAATTTTACATTCAAAACATCACATCAAACCCTATTTATATCACATCATACAACTATTCAAATTCAAAATTTTTACTATTCAAATCCCAACTCAAAATCCAAACCCCAAACAAACGCACCCTAACTAAATATCTATGTTAATTTTTTATTATTTTTGAAACAATGGATATAAACACAAAAATGTGACGTCTGAGTCAAAGTTACAAGGCTGCTATGACATGGCATTGACCAGAAGACCACATAATAATAATAATAATAATAATAATAATAATAATAATAATGCCACTTCAAACCCACATTACAATCCCAAGAAGCTTCTCTTTTGTCATTTTCTTGAACATCACAAATAACTAATTTGGCTTGGGTGTGTGTGTTTATGTTTTTATGTCTAGTATCGTTTTGATACAATAACTCTTATGTTTGGCGGATTATACAAGGGTGTGTATGTTTGGGGATTGAATTTTAAATATATATTTATTTTTAAAAAATATTAAATTAAATATTTATTTTTTATTTTTTTATATTATATTAAAAATTAATTTTACATTTAAAACATCACATCAATATCTATTTATATCGCATTATACAATTATTCAAATTCAAAATTTTTACTATTAAAATCTCAACTTAAAATCCAAACTCCCGAACAAACACACATCCCAAGTGTGTTTTTTTTTGTTGAGTTTGAAAAATTTTGGTTTGTGTTTAATATTAAAATAATATTTGATGGGATATTTTATGAGAGAAAAATGTGTATTTTTTTCGGAAAACGCAGTGTCCAAATAGTAAAATTTGAAAAAAATTGTGTAAAAAAACATAAATATTATATCAATTATTATTTTTATTTATTTAAAAATATTAAATATAACATAAATCATTTCAAGATTAAGAAAATAAAATAATTGTGACAAGTATGAGACATGCCTTTCACAGACATTTAAACCACCTATAAATTTCAATCAGCATTTTGTGAAAAACATAAAGCCCAAAATAGCACATTAAACGAAAGGCTTGGGCCATCTTGGGAGAGAATAATACTTGTAGTTATATGTATCTATTCAATATTTGTTTTTTATTCAAAATTTTAAACAAAAGAAAGGACTTCAAATATTAAATTAAATAGTTATTATTACTTATTTTATTTCTTTATTTTTTAAATTAAAACTTCAAAATATATATTTAAATTATTTTTTTATATTTTAATTTGAAATATTTTTCAATATGAAATATGAAAATCGTCTTACTAATATATTACTCCCTCCGTCTAAAAACTATAGTCTAGTTGTGTTTGGCACGAAATTTAAAGACTATTGATATTATATTAATAGTGAGTAAAAAAAATGTGGGTAAAAGACTTTTTTACCCTTTGTGAGTGTATTAATATAAAAAGTAATTACAATTGTGTAATAATAATGAAAAAGTAATGGTAATTTTATAGTGATATAATTATTTATGGAAATGAGACTATTGTTTTGAGACGGACAAAACTGGTAAACAAGACTATTGTATTGGGATGAATTGAATATTTTTTTTATTGAATTAGTAATTTTTGTGAAATAATATGAATATAAATATTATACATATCGAAAATCATAAACAAATTCCAACTGCTGGTGTTTTAAAAAATAGGAGTGTGTTATATTTGTAATTTTACATTAAATTATAATTTTAACATAGTATTTTAAAAGAAAATAAATATTTTATATGATAATTTAGTTTATTTTAGTTAATAATAAAGAAAATGTCCAAAAAAAAAGAAAAAAGAGCATAAGTAAAGAGCATGAAAGAGTGTATACTGGGAATGCATCCATTTGATGCAATGTACTGACTGCAACGAATCACAATAATTATACTGTTTAAGGAAAGTCACTCACTCAGTACACTACAAACTCGATTCGTCGCCACCATTCAATCATTAATTAATTAATTAGGTCAAATTATTTCATTTAATTTGAATCGGTTCATTATTAGTATATTAATCAAATTATTTACAAAACTTATTATGTTTCAAATTTCATCTAACATTAATATTCTTTCTACTCTCGTAAAGATAACTTAATGCTATTATCCATTATTTAATTGCTGTTATTTGTATTTTGAAATAATATTTTATTTTTCTTTTTAATGTATTTCGTTGTTTATATAATATTATAAATAACGAATATAATATTTATTTAAAAAAAAAATCACGCACAATGCAAAAAATAGCGTGAAAAAAAACAATTTTAAATGCGTTTTTTTAGTTTTTATTTTTTTTAATTAAATAAAAAAATATTTATACATGAAAAAAAAATAAAAATGTATATTTATGCGTACACATCATTATGTATTATATAATACGTGTATATATATATATGTATGTATAGAAAGACCAACCCTATATCTAGACTTTGCTCGGAATTGCAGACAGAAACCCACTCTTTTTGGTTCCCTCCGTTTTCGTCGATCTCTGGTAAGAAATTGCATCGATTCTCGACTTGTTTTTTTGCTTGTTCTTCGCGCTTCTCGCACGATTAGAATGCACGCAGAACAGAGTTTTGTGGTTTCACATCTTTTGTTTAATGATGGATCGATGTTAATTTATTTGTTCGTGAATGCAACTGGAAAACGATAGGTGCAGCAGTTGTGCATTGAGAGTGATAATTGTGAAGGAAATTAAGTAGTATAACTTTATTTTCAGCGCTGCTTATTTATTGGCTTTACTATTTCTGTACCTTCTTTTTTTGTAGTTTAAATTTGGTGGTGGAGAAAATGTATGTTGATTTCTGGTTTTTGTGCCAATTTTCAGTGTTTGATTTGGTATATTTGGTTTTGGAAGTTAATGATTTTGAAAGTAGTTTTGGTTTTTCTGTAATTGTTCGACTTATAATGATATGGTGGTGATGATTTTATTGTCTGATGTAGTGATCTGTATGTTTGATCTCTATTTGCGGTTCAATTGGATTTTTTCAATTTACTTAATAGTTCCACAATTAGAAGAATCGCTTGCTACTAATGCTCCGTTGACATTGATTTGAATAGATTTTCTTTAAGAGTCAAATATCTGTAAACGCCTTCTTAAATTGGCCTTGATAAGTTTCAAACTGTGGATTTAATGTGTCTGTTATTTCCCCCTACATTGGTTGATTTGTGAATCAATATGCGATTGTAACCATTTGCAATTACCACTGGATCATGACGTAGCCATTTTATTTTTTTTCCCCTTCTCTACTCTTTGCTGATGGCCATTTCAACCACAGTTCACTAGATGGATCAGGTAATGATACTAACTCGCTCTTATTTCAGATTATGGTGCTTGTAATGAATTGTGATGTTCTCAAAATTCTAAAATGCAGTATGAAAAGGTTGAGAAGATTGGCGAGGGAACATATGGAGTGGTGTACAAGGCTCGTGATCGTATGACTAATGAAACTATTGCTTTGAAGAAAATTCGATTAGAGCAGGAAGATGAGGGGGTACCAAGCACAGCTATCAGAGAAATATCTCTGTTGAAGGAGATGCAGCATGGAAATATTGTAAGGTATGTCAGAAATCCCTTTAAGAGGAGGCTTAAAAATGTAAGAGGGTAAAAGGTTTGACAGCATAGAATAAAATGTGAAGGCAGATGCCTCGATGTAAATAAGATATTATAGTTTAGCATGGTTTATTGAAACTCAATCTTTAGTAAGGAGCATAATATATAATAATTACGCAAATGCAGAATAATTTCTGACTATTTTCACAGGTTACAGGATGTTGTGCACAGCGAGAAGCGGTTGTATCTTGTATTTGAATATCTGGACTTGGACTTGAAGAAACACATGGATTCTTGTCCAGAATTCTCTAAAAATCCTCGCTTGGTTAAAGTATGTGACCTCTCTGTTGCTTTTGGATCCCTAAAACCTTTTTGTTATTTGAGCAATCCGGTTGATAGATATGTGGTTTTTGGATACAATTCCCAAAATATAAAAACTGCAAGATTCTGATTTGTTTAGGTGATGGTATTCATGTAATGAATGAAATTTTTTTTAAAGGTTCTAAGTTCTTGCAAATGTAAGTGAGTCCTAAAGGCTAAGAAAAAATTATCTCGGAAGAGCTGATCTATTTCATATATCTGTGATGATAAGAATAGAATCAATACTTGAAAATCAAAGTTGTCATGCAGTCAATCTCTAATCATGCAGATGTTTCTCTATCAAATACTACGCGGCATTGCCTATTGCCATTCTCATCGTGTCCTCCACCGAGATTTGAAGCCTCAAAACTTGCTGATAGATCGCCGTACCAATGCATTAAAGCTTGCAGACTTTGGATTGGCCAGAGCATTTGGCATTCCTGTCAGGACCTTCACACACGAGGTACATGTTTCGAATTGGATGTCCTGCTTTTACTTTTGCAAGCTACTGGATCTATTGATAACTCTGTAGCTAGCTAGTTTGAAACTTCATTGCAAACATTTTATTTGTCTTTTAAAAGTATAAATCATCGTGAATAATTAATTTTCGTTTAAGTTGCTACATTGTTTATTTTCTCTTATATGAATTCATTATGCTGCAGGTTGTCACACTATGGTACAGGGCTCCGGAAATTCTTCTAGGATCACGCCACTATTCTACTCCTGTTGACATATGGTCAGTAGGTTGTATATTTGCCGAAATGGTCAACCAGAAACCTCTGTTTCCTGGTGACTCTGAGATTGACGAGCTCTTCAAAATATTTAGGTAAAATCTGTCCAACCATTAATTTTCTTGCCTTAAATAGTGATGATGCGATGCAACATCTGTCTCCATTTATTGTATCCTTCATACTTAATATAAACCTCATCGAAATGTAAAATAAGTAACAATTTTCTTCCATTCTTCATATCTATATTTAGGAGCCTTATTTATATCTACATTTTTTATCAGAGTCATGGGCACTCCGAATGAAGATACATGGCCTGGAGTGACGTCTCTTCCAGATTTTAAGTCAACATTTCCCAAGTGGCCTGCCAAGGTGATTAAACTTTGGTTAAATTATCCATCCACCCTCTCTGCATCGCAATCTTGTGCAATCCATTAACGGTACAATTGGTATATCGTAAATTTGTAGGACCTGGCAACTGTTGTTCCGAATCTCGATGGAGCTGGACTTAACCTCCTTGGTGTAAGTTCTTTATTTCCTTAATTTAGGAAGTACAAACGAATGGTAGCTACAGAATTCTTGGCTACTATCTATAGAACATTGAAAACCAAAAACCCACACAAGGAATCTTTACGACATAAAAGAAAAAATTCAACAGAAGGGGCATAAAATTTTCTTTTATCAGATCCTCCTCGTGTCAGAATGGCTCTTTAATATGCGAACAAGTTTTAACGACTTAGAAGAAAATATTAACTCGAATAATGCACACTAAACTTTGTACATGAGATGGGTATTTGAGGTTTGGATAAAACAATCTTGTAGGATTATTCTCTGTAGAAGGTCTAAAAATCTTGGTTGGTCTGATTAAAGAAATCTGACGATTTATTTAAGGCGGCTGAGTTATTCATTGTTTGTTCTACTCTTGCAGAAAATGCTATGCTTTGATCCCAGCAAAAGAATCACTGCGAGGAGCGCTCTGGAGCACGAGTACTTTAAGGATATCGGGTTTGTCCCGTGATTGACTCCGCGATAAAACCTGGTGCAAATGTATATTGTGATTGATGCTGTAGTATCAGGTTAGATTTTGCGTGTGAGCGCCGCTTATATAATATCACTGCTGCATCGTGTTTTAAATTCTTCGGCTTCTTCTTCTTCTTTGTTTGTTTGTTGTTGTTTTTTTAGACGTGTGGTGTCTGCCTTATTCATTTTGGCTTGCATTTGCAAAAGTGGGGATATGTTGTTTCATTGGTTGTGCCTTTTGCCTTCTTTTTACGACTGGTTTGTGTGATTGTTTTACTTTTGTGGTAAGAAGATGATAATGGTGATGCATGGCTTCCTCTGATTATTGCAATTATATATGTTTGGAATAGTATCAATGTTTGGATTTGATTTTGTATATTGAATGTTTGTATTTATTAATTTATTTTATTTAAAGAGTGGATCACGCGCTGGTGTGGTTTTTCTATGAAGTCGGTATTTAATCCTTTTGATCTCTGTTACTTTATATATACAATGGTATTCATATGTTACATGTTAAAACTGCAAATGAATAAATTAGTAAATAGTTATTCAACTATATATTTGATTTAAATGATGACCAGTAAATGACATTGTTGAAATGTATGCAATACAATGTTATTTATTTATATGTATTTATATATTTTTTAAATTAATGTTCCCGTTTTAAAATATTTAATATTTTGTTTGAATACATTTTTTTATGTTTAGAGATTCTTTATTTCATATATATACTTATAAATTATTATTATTATTATTATGCCTCAATTTTTGTTTCGGCCGTTTTTTTTCTAAAAAAAAAATTAATAAGATTTTTTATTATAATAAGCAAATATTTTAGATATTTTAAAATAAATATAATAGCAAATAAATTGTATTATTAGATAATATATATTAAAAAAATTTGTCAGGTCTAGATGGGCTCATTCCTGGTGAGGCAGGCCTAGGTTGATATTGTTGGGTCATTTAAATGTTCGAATTCAAGGCCCCGCATTTGTTGTAGCAAATTTGATTTTGGGCTGGATTGGACTGTACCAATTTGGGTCTTTATATCATTTAAAACCGCTATTTTAATTTAAATTTTTATTATTCAAAAATTCAAACAAAAAAATCAAATCCACAAACAAACATCACTTAAGGGATTTGATGATGTCAAAAATGTTCAGTATACTATCAAAGTTAAATCAAATCAAATCAAATTTCGGAATAAATTAAAATCTGATAAATATATTTTGGTGGAACCAAAAACGTGCTACATTACTCGATCATGTGGTGGTCTCCTCTCCTCCGTAAAAACCCCATGGCTTGGTATACGTTGTCTAGAGTAGCATCTGCTATGACTGCAGCTTCGCTAGCTCCCTTTGCCAATACGTCGTCCAAGTAATTAGGATCCGAAGTAATTTCCGCGTAGGAAACCTGCCATCGACATACACACAGTACTTATAATTTTCATTTTTCAAGGAATAGCATTAGCAGCTGCGAGTGGGAACTGGATTTTAATTGATTGATTTGCAATTGCAAGAGAAGACGAACCTGGATCGGATGTAGATGATCGACTATTGCATCAGTTAGAATAGGTTTGAATGCTCCCCAATTCATTGCTTCGCATTCTTCCGCTACTGCCTGCACCGACGTCACCCATTTCAAAATGTTAACAACATGTTTGTAATTTAATTAAAGCTTTCAAACAGATAAATAGGTCGGTGGGATTTTAAAATTAGTAGAGTGATGTCTTAGACTTAGTACCTGTTTCGTCTTGCCACTAACGAGCTGATATATTGAAAGAAGATTATGGCATTCAGGTCTCTCGGGGTTGTCGAATTCCAAGCTGCAAAATTCCAATTAAACAAACGCAATATTAAGCTTGGGGACTTGTCGCAGCGAAGTCTTGGCATAAATACGAGCACATATATAAGAAAGGATAAGTTTCAACAAGGAAATAACAAAAGCAGAAAATTCTAACCCTGGAAACGAGTCGGTCTTGCAACGTTTTATCTTGTTGGCAATCAACTGCGAATCCAGGATAAATGTGAAGATAATAAGAATATCAAGGATTGCTATATGTAAACTATATATAGAAAATAAGAATCTTAAACTTCATTTCATGCACGCTACGTAACATTTAGCAGCATAGCATCAGAAACTCAACCAGAGGTCTCACTTTTTCGATTTGAACACCTGTAGTTTTCTCTTCAAAATAAAAGCTCATAATGAAGGTAACTTGGCTATTAAATAGGAAAATCATCGAGGTGCTACTTTTTAGAGAATAACGAAATTTAATTAGATGCAATGGGACATCACATAGTGAAACATAGGCTCGCGAAATTCATACAAGAAATTATTATACTCACATCTTTTGAGTCAAGCAAGTTGATTCGAGATTGATCAGAAGGGGCCGATTTAGACATCTACGGACAAAGATTAAAGCCTGATTTTAGTCAGAAAACAGAAGAGATGCGAGACTGATAGATAAGAATATTGTATCAGGCATCCAAAAATCAGCTGCTAGAAGAAACGGTGATGATAAGTTGCCACCAGATGAAAAGCAGATTAAATAACAGAAAATTTCTTTTAAATGCAAAAAAAATATATTCTAACTCTGATGTTGATTATCCATAGATCACAAAAACCACATGTTGACTGCTTGATTAACAAAACCAAAGAGAGAATTTCAACTCAAAATTAATCAAGATCATGTGCAGTTGTGCTCATCAAAATTTTCATAACTATGGCCCCATTTGAAGCTACAGGAAAATAGCAGACTGGTCAATTATGAAGCTACAGGTAGAAAATTCACATGTTATGCAACAAGATCAAGGAGTACAAAATAAAATTCTTTAAGTTCACTCTCTCAATTGTAATCCCCATACCCCCTTGGAAAAATCTAAAAAGGTAAGGTCGCCCCACCCAAATCCTTATCCAAGCTGATAATTTTAATTGTGCAAACATTTTCCTTCTACATAATTTAAAAATAAAAAATAAAAAAAAAAAGTTGTGCAATTCAATTGTTGCTGAAAGATGTTCATCAGAAAGGAAATGAGAAGGGTATAACCTTGGAAAGACCATCAGTGAGAGACATCACACGAGCTCCAGTAGGAGGAATAAGGGGTTCGGGAACCTACAACCATCATATCATGAAAACATTTTGTTAAATCTCAATTTGTAAGGTATCTGGAAACTGTGTGCATGTTTGATTGATGAGCAAAACAACACCTTAAAAATGGCACCACCTCGTCTTCGACCCAAAATGTTCATAAAAAAAATCATTTAGTCTCCTATGCAAAATAGAAACCAAATACAGTAATAGCAGCAATTTTGAGACAGAAGTTTAGCATGATCATTAGGCAAAAATCCCGCATCTCCTAAACTTACCCTCCAAGCTTCTTCCACTTTCTTCCACCATATACATAATTGAAATGTTCAGCTATTTCTCGAGTCAGCTCAAGGTGCTGCTTCTGATCCTCGCCAACAGGGACAAAATCAGACTGCACAAGCAATTATTATTTAAAATGACAATAGTCATTCTAGAAATGCAAACATAATCACATTGGAGAGCAAGTAACTCTATGAACAAAACAAGTATATACATAGTGTAAATAAATAAAAGTTATATTAGTAAAAGATAAGTGCTGTTGCAAGGAAAATTGCACAAAAGATAATTACTTGATACAAGAGGATGTCAGAAGCCATAAGCACTGGATATGTTAGAAGTGCAACGCCAACGTTGCTATCCCCCTGAAAAGTAAAAACAGAGGTATACTAAGTGAGCATGCTTTCTAATATTGAATGTCTTCATAGTTACTGCAACACAGCTAGTAAAAAATGCAAAAGATACAGATGATTGTTAGCAGAGACAAATGCATCTCAGGAAATCGGTTATCTACATGATACATATAACATCAATACATACATGCATATAGATTATAGGGTCATATTTCCAATGTTCCCAAAGCAAAAAGTAATTCTATCTTGTCACTTCATGCTATCACAGACACATATATCAACCTGGGGCATTAAATTAAGATTACATCTAAGTTACAAGAAAGATTTAATTACTTATTTGAACAAACAATAATACAGTAAACAAAGGATAAATAAATTAATAAGTATGAGAGAACAGAAAACCCACAGCTTTCCGAGATTTCTCTTTAAATTGAATCATCCTATTGAGCCAACCAATCGGGGTGCCAGAACTCAGCAGCCACATCAATTCTACATGAGCACGAACATGAGATTGCACAAAAACTGAGGCCTGCAGATGGAAATTAACAGATCCTTTTATAGGAATCTCCTAGCCAACTAAATAGAATTTTTCTGATAGGAACATAAAGCAAAGGTAAACCTTAGAAATATCAACACCACACGCCAAATAAAGTGCTGCAGTATCTCTTGTTGCTTTTGACAACTGTTGTGTATCATATGGCAGTGTTATCTGCAAGCACAGATAGAGTAGTATGCAGTAAAAACCATTAAAATGTTGAACAAAAGATGAAATTTTCAACTGTTAAACAATAATAAATGGAAGAAATTTTCCTTATAAAAAATGTGGCATAAATTATGAAACCATCACTTCATTAAACTGGGAATTGGCAAATCATAGCTTGTCATTTTCATGAAAATATGTAGAAAGTATGATTTCCAAATGGTACAGTAATGCAGATTTCATCAAACAATATTCGACCTTATCCTAAACTCCCAAGACCATAAGTTTCTTGCCAGTACTTCAAAGAGACAATACTAATAGGTGTATGTTTAATTGTGTCTTTACAACTATTCAAACGCTATCTATCTATTTTCTCCCCTAAAAAATTGTCATTTCAAACACCTAATTTCCTTTTCAATTTAAAATATCACATCAAAAGCCCATTTTGATTTGAACTTTTACTATTCCCAAAACAAGGATATCCAAAACATTGGGGTTCTAGAGAATTCAGGGAGTACATCAGACTGAAATTATAAAATGCATGATACAGGAGAAATTAAGTCAGACATTAGAGCTTACAGCATGGAGATCCACAATGAAAAAGAGAGTTTCATATGCATTCTGCAAGAGTAAAGAGGAGAGGGCACATGAAACACAAGATTATACTTGGAGTGAAGAGAGAACAAAATAAATTTTAATGTCTCAACACTGATAGTATGCACAAGACTTGAACACGAACCTGCAAGTCAATCCAATTTTTAATGGCACCAAGATAGTTGCCAAGATGTATGGATCCAGTGGGCTGGACACCGGAGACTATTCTTTTCCTACAAAATAACGAAATTCATATTTGGTGAGGACATGCGTTAAATAATTTTATTACAGGGTGATCCCATTACAGCTAAAGACTAACATGCCTGTTGATGCAATGATCCTAAAAGCATCAAGTCTGACAAAAGTTTATATGAATGAATGCATTAAACTACACTCATATCATATGCATTTGTGTGCCACTAAATTAGCTAACAATATTTTATCATCATCAAACATTTCTGTTTACATACGTTTTCAAAGCTATTTTCATACTATTCATCAACAGATCTCTTTTAAAAAAGCATCACATGTTATATCTATATTTCATCTCAAATACTGAATCAAAAAACATATTATCTCTTCTAAACATCACATCCAAAATCTATTATGTCGCGTCAATTACCTAATATATATATAAATAAAAGAGATGCAAAATAACAGCAAACAATATGGTTAACTACTGCTTCCAACTTGGAAGAATAAACAAGTGAGGAACAAAAATAATGTCGATGAATTAGTACTTTACGGAGCTAGAGGCGGTCTCAGAAGTCGAAGGTTCCGAAATCGAGACGCTGCAAAGGCACCGGAAGTTTTCCCCAATCCGCAAACGCCGCTTCTGAGGAAATGCACCTGGTCTGCTCAAAAATTTGGTCACACCAACACAGCCATGCCTGCTTCCACAAATCAAAACATCAAAACAAACTCAACTCAAAGCATCGACAGCAAATCAAACCTAACCAACCAAACAAGAAGATAAACGCACAATGAGGAGATGGAGCAGGGGGAAGTGTTGGAGAGATTGAGGAAGTGAGTGAGTATCGAACGCCCCATGGCGGCCGAGCTATCTAAGGCTCGCTCAGCTCAGCTCCGTTTCCGCCTTCGTCTGGTTTAGAAAAACGCTCTTCAGAGGATATGATTTTGCAATCGGATCTGACCCGACCCTAACCCGATGAAGACGCCAAACGTCGGGCTAGAATACGTAGCTGTCATTTTTTTTTAATATTAAATATAACTCTGATTTTGTTTCGAGTGTTTTTTTAGTTTAAAACATCCTTTTTTTGTGTGACTATATAGATTTTAAGTTGAATTATTATTTTTTTTAAATAAATATATAGAATATATATTATATTTTTTATTAATATTAATAGTGAAGAGGTGCATATAAAATTTTTGATTGGGTGAAAACTTTTATATGGTATAGAAGATAAAAATGAGCAAAAAATACAAACTACTAACGCGGCCAGTGTTACATTACAACATGAATTAATTCTGCAAATCAATGCAATGCTCATACAATTGTACAAAAGAACAGCAACGCAAGTTCTCACAAAAGAAACAACAAAGAATCAGGAAATAATAGTGAAGATACTGCTTCTAGCTCAAGAACAAATTGAATTATTCGTTGTCGGGCCAAATGATCGGTCGGTGATCAGCGATAGCTACCATAAACTGGAGAATACATGCAACTCTCTGCATACTTAACAAGGTCCTTTGGGCGAGGGAGACGCGAAGCCAAACCTAAACACAAAAAAAAAACTCAATGTCATTTTTCACGAGTATTGTATATGTTTTGTTTTTCGAGAAGTTAGATAAATGAATGAATTTGAAGAATGTACCAAGTTCGTATGCTTTCGCAGCAACTTCAGCTGCAATGTGAGCTGAAATCTTTCGGATGTTTGTGAAGGGAGGGTATATTAGTCCTTTTGCGAAGTTCTCCTCCGACACTTGGGCTGCCAAAGCTTCAGCTGTATATATGTGGAGTTAAGATGATCAGGTTGCATTCATGGAGAAAGGGCAGTAATAGTTAAGGGATGTGTGTGTGTGTTTTCGACTGCGTCGCTTACATGCTGCCAAAAGCAAATCGTCGTGTATGCGAATTGTCCCAGACATTATCAAGCCCAACCCGAAGCCGGGGAATATGTAAGCATTGTTTGCTTGTCCAGGCATGAACAGTTTTCCATTGAACTCCACCGGATCGAATGGGCTTCCGCTAGCGTATATGGCGCGACCCTGTAAGTAAGTAACCTCAGAAACTTATTGCATATGATGTTGACTTCATAATATCTAAATATAAATAAATACTTAATATTTATCTCTTCAAGTTCAAGTTTTTTTAATGAAATACTTGTTTAATATGGTATTAGAGTCGCGACTTAAAATGTTTGAGTCTCATATTGATCTCTTTAAATTTAACTTCAGGTGAGGTGATTATTTAACAACATATAACACAAAGTCATGTAATGTACCTCACTCCATGTGTAAGCTTCCTCTGCCGTGCATTCGGCTTGGGAGGTTGGGTTCGACAGAGCGAGGATGAGAGGTTTCTGCAAGTTAAACCATTAGAAATTACAGTGTTAGATTTCTGATGAATTATAGTTCGGCGGATACATGGAGATCTACACGTGCTCGCGGTGTATAATGTTTATAACCTCGTTGAAAGATGCCATGGCTTGAACGACTTCCTTCGTAAATGTTTTACCAACTCCGGACGTTCCGATTAGAACTGTTGGTTTTATGGCCTGAGAGAGAATGAAATTTCAGTTAACCAAGAAATGCAGGCATTATGAGGTTTGTCATTAGTAAAAGCTCAGCTGAAGCCATAGATATGTTACCTTAACAGCATCCAAAAGATCCTTAACAGGTTCATGCTCGTGAGCCCAAGGCTTCTTGAAGTGCTGAAGGGATTCTTTGCGGGAGCTAACGATCAGCCCCTGTTATGTAATTAAGAACTATCAGCAATTGGGTATTGATTATCAGCAATGCGAAAATGATATACGACAGATAATACCTTGGAGTCCACAAGCCATATTTTCTTCCGAGCCTCTTCAATTGTAGCATTTGTCTACCATCACAAGAGTTCGATATTAATCAAGAGCATTAGCAAGTGTGAGATTATCTTATAAGGTAAGATGAGTACTCGTTTACCTTTTTCGACATCTGAAGAGCAATAAGCTCAGCTATACCCGTCCCCGCCTAACAGAAATCAAAATTTTAAGTAAGATCAGCAGATGAAGATATACATCAATGATGCAAGAAAATACAGGCTAAAGCATACACATATATCTCTTTAAATATGAAAATCACAGAGAAAGGTTTGATGATTATGTCTGTAATGATATGAAGTTTCAAAACTAGGCATAGGAAGTTATGAGTGTTGAACATGAAGAAATTCAAGGTACCTCTCCAGCTCCCAAGAACAAGAAAGTATGATCCGCCAAATTCCCACCAACTAGTTTCAAAGCGGCGAGAAGCCCGGAAAGAACCACGGAGGCAGTGCCCTGTGAAGGAATAACAAGCATGAAGATCTTAAATCGAGGTCTAGGGTTTATAACAAAAACTAAAAATAAATCAAAATTACCTGGATATCATCATTGAACACAAGATGGCTTGTCCGGTACTTGGCGAGTAACTCAAAGGCATTGTGATTTGCAAAATCTTCAAACTAAAGGAATTCAAACAAGAAATCGGATAATTCAGCAAGGTAACTGTGGGCAAATTAAAAGGCTTGAATATTTTCAACGGTATGTAGTACCTGTATCAGGACTTTCTCTCCATAAACTTGTTTAACTGCTACCATGAATTCTTCTAGAAGCTCAGCATATTCCTACAGGCAGACAAAAGATTATAATCCACCAGAAACAGCTGAAAGACTAATAATAGGAAAATAGTAATCCTTGCTTTCAGAAATGAAATAGGAAATCATGAGACCTGTCCAGTTGCTCGTTTGTGCTTCAGACCGATGTAGAATTCATCCTCCAGCAACTTCTTATTGTTTGTCCCAACATCAATAGTTATAGGCAAGCACTGTTCAAGGCATTCAATGGACAATATGACGTGAATATTATAATTCGATAAAAGTTATGTATCGGATGGCACCAACGCTTACAGCTGATGGACGAACTCCCCCAAGAGCCGTATACAAAGATAGTTTTCCAACAGGAATACCCATGCCCTGGCACCCAAGATCGCCAAGGCCTAAGATCCTCTCGCCATCAGTTACCACAATAACTTGGATAGACTTTTCGGGCCAATTTTTCAAAACTTCAAGAATTCTTCCCCTGGATAAATAACATCAGAGAAACACCCATCTAAGAAACTTCCCTTCACCAATTCATCTTGTATAATATAACACAACACTAATAGAAAAGTGGAAAGAAGATAAGAAGGAATACTTCTCTTTCAAGCTGATATAGAGACCCTGAGGACGCCTGAAAATGCTACCATACTTCTGGCAGGCCTCACCAACTGTAGGAGTATAAACCACGGGAAGCATTTCTTCAACGTTATCTATGAGTAGCTTGTAAAACAGCTTTTCATTCCTCTCCTAAGCAACATTGGCATAAAAAAAAAAAAAAAATATGCCAAGAATTAGCCGCCATTAACGTTAAAAACCACTACAAAGGCTACAATCAGATGTATGAAACTTATCTCACTGTGGCAATTTTACCTGGAGATCCATCATGGCCATATACCGCTGCAGTGGCACCTTATAGTCACGCAGAATGGCCATCATCCGCTTCTCCTGATTTACAAAAACAAGCAGGTGCTGGAAATGTTATTATCACAGAAAATGGATTGTTGGAGACCTAATTAAGCTAACGGTTTCTTAATTACCTGAAGATCTTGAGTAAAGCCTGCTGGAGGGAGAAGCCCTGTCAAGTAATGAGCATCCCTTTCCTTTTCGGTGAAGGCTAATCCTTTGTTGTACCGTGGATCACGCAGTAAAGTATACCCACTGATCATTCATACAATAATTTGAATGACAAATAAATATAGACACAGAGAATAATGATCAACTTATCATGAAAAAGAATGGATGGAATAGGAATATGTACAGAAAAGTTAAAGGAGCCAAACAATACAGAGAATAATGAACAACTTAGTTACGGATTTTGAACGTTTAGACTACCTTGCAATAGACGCGGACCACGGAGTTAAAGTTTGTTCCTCAGAAGCCTTATCCTCACCATACACATCCACAGAGTTAACCGACTCTCCATTAACATGATTGAATGCTCTCTCCATCTCTGCCCTAATCCTGCTGTTTCTTCCTCCTCTATGCAATTTCAGAACTCCAACTGCACGTTTCTGCCAAAGAAACGAACTGAAACACCAAATCAAAATGAATTCACAGAAAAACCCGCAATTATATTTCTAGCTTGCGCCTCTAGCCTATTCAATCTCTTTCACAACTGACTGCCTTCCCTCAATTCTAAAGACACCGGTATTTATAACCAAAAGTAGTCTTCTCACGGTCAAAAAATCATCAAATATGACAGCACTTTTTCTCGACGACGAAAATTTGAATTCTAGAGTGTGTGAACTCGAAAATTCTGCAAAAGTTAGACCAAGTACCCGGAATGTGGATGGATTGACTCCTCGCAGCATCAGGGAAGGCGCTGTAGGCGAAGACAATCACAATGCTGATATGTAGATGCTGGACCGTTGCTTCCGCGTGCAGAAAAGTAGTTGGAATCTGCTTCGTCTCTTCCTTCCTGATCCGTGGGTTAAAACTGTAAAATGTGTAGGATGAGAAATTTTGATAAAAATAAATGCGAAAATAAATATAATAAAGTGAAAGTATAAGGATACAGTTTTGGATATTTTACAACCAAATATTATTTTTGATATTTTTAAAATTTATCAAGTCAAAACCAAAGAAATTCAGAATATTAGTACATATTAATCGAAACCAATAACTAATGAAAATTTTGATATTATTATAACTTTTTAAAAATTACAATCATGGGTTTGTTGTTTAATGTTTTAATTTAATTTTACTTTTTTTTTGTAAAATTATATCGCTAATATAAAAAATAATACTATTTTATTTTTTCAAAAAATACTATTGAACATTATTTTATTTAATATTAAAAATATTAATATATTTGTATAATTTATTTCATAAATATAATTTTATTTATTTTATCACAGACTAATAAAAATATTTTTGCATTTTTTTCTTAATTTATAATATTTTTATTAATATAATAAGTAATATTCAAATAACAAATATATATAAATAAAAAGACAGTAATATTCTTTTTATAAGATAATATTTTATATTAATTATTAATTTTATAAAATAATGAAATATATATATATGAAAAAAAAAAAAAAACTCATTTAATTTTAAATATTTTAAAAATAAAAATCAAAGCCTAGCCTACAGGCTACAACAAACCAATAATTAAGAGTGTGTTTGTTTGGAAGATTGTATTTTAAATTTATTCATCCAATTTTTTTTTAAAAAATATCAAATTAAACAACTATTTTTTATTTTTTATATTATATTAAAAATTAATTTTACATTCAAAATATTATATTAACACCTATTTATAGCACATCATATAACTATTCAAATTCAAAATTTTTACTATTTAAATTCCAACTCAAAATTCAAATATGAACAAATACACCCTAAAAAGATTTGATAGTTTGATTATAGGTTGAGATGCACAACGAAGATTGTTTAGACATGTATTTCTAGAGTATTGTTTCCAAAGCTCCACGGACTCGGAGTCCTGGATAAATCTAAGCATTCAAATTATGGGTCCCATCTCAAATGTATGGCAGTGATTTAGTCTAGAGTAGAAGTCCTTTAAATCCATGACCATATCTGGATTTTGAGTAATACTACTACATTTTTTTCTTCACGCGGCGTTGTGCGCCACGTATAATTAGAAACTAGTCTTGGGTTGAATTGGTATGTTAATTTTCTTTAAAACAATATAAATTTAGCGTGGTTTTTTTGTGTTTTTCTCATATATATAAAAAATATATATATTAAATCAATATATTACACATATTTTAATTTTTATATTATTTATGTAATTTTTATATTTTTAAATCAATATATTACACATATTTTAATTTTTATATTATTTATGTAATTTTTATATTTTATATAAATATCATTTTGAATTATTTTACAAAACAAATACAGTAGTATAAATATAATAATACTATAATAGTTTAATTATAAAAAAAAATTAAATATTAAATTACAAATAGAGAAAATTATATTTTTAAAGGTGATAATTAAAAAAAAAAAATTGATGAATGCTAAAAGTAATAGTAATAGTAATAATAATAATAATAATAAAACATAAATAAACAAGTGTAATTGTGTTTAAATATATAGTAGAAGTATTTTGAAATTTGAATTGATTTGGAAATAATAAAAATAATATTTAATATGATATAAATAAATATATTAATACTAGTTAGACTAAGTATTTTTTATATAATACTTCCAACAAAAAATTATACATCTTATATAATGTTTTTTAAAGAAACTTAATTGAAAATGATGTAAAAATAAAATAGAATAGCTTCAAAGTTATAAGTACTATAAAGTGTATAATTATATACTCATTTTGACTCAATTTAATATATTATTTCATTTTTTATATTATTTTTTTATTATTCAAAAATTATAATATTTTATTTATTTGAAAAATATGTAATATGATTTGAAGATGATTTTAAAGCAGTACAAAGAACTTGATGATGTCAACGCTAGACAAGGTCAGCTTAAAGTGATGCCATATTTCTTTCACATTTGATGGTCAAAGTTGGGCAGGAAAACTCCACTTTGAATTTAGACCGTTCAATTTCGAATTATGAGACACAAACAAAGATATTAACTAATACTAACTTATATAACAATATTATATTATATTGGTATTTTTTTCAATAATTTTTTCCGAAACTGATTAATATTAAAAAACTACAATATGTGTACACTATATAGGCTTATACTATAATTAATAAACATTTTTTTTTTATCTTTTTGGTAAAAAAGAGTATAGATTTATTTGGTATGTAATTCAAAATAATTTATTTACTATGTAGTAGGTTTTCAATAAAATATGTTACTCTTTCCTTTTTATAATTTCTACATAAATAATGTAGGTTCTATTTGGTTTACTTATCATTCTTAATTCAAATATAAAATTATTTTATTGTGGTCTGATTTTGATTTGAAATTAAATATTTATTTAAAATTTTATTTAAATAATATTATGATATATTATTTTATATAAAAAATAATATATTTTTATTGAAAATTATAACGAAGGAATAATCTTATTAATTTGATTTGAAAACTAAACAACTATATTTATTTTAAATTTTAATTTTAATTTTTGTTAATATAGATATACTAATAACTTGTATGTATTTATCTATTCATTCAATAAACAAACACATTAATATATATTGTTTTTTTTATTTCATTTTTTTTAAAACTAATTTATTTTAATCATATATTTATATTATATTATATATATAATATTACGCGCTATAAAATGATATATATCATATAAATTATATTAATATTGCACCAATACTTAAACATATATTTTAAATTTACTTTAATTATATATTATAATAGTATTATAAATTAATATCAATTATATAAATTTTATCAAATTTAACTTTTCAATTACAAATTCAAACTATCGTTTAAATAATTTTCATCTCTTATACAATATAAGCTTCTTTTTTTTTTTTTCTTAAAAGACGTCTTTAAAAAAAATAATAATAATAAATTACAATTTTTATATACTTTTAGCCAAATATTTGAACTGATTACAATGGAGTGTATGGAACATAAAAATTATTATATTTTAGAAAGTACTTAACATTTTTTAATTTTATACATTTTTATTATTTAATTTATTATTCAACAATTAAATTTATTTTTTAAAATTATAAATGAAAAATAAAATGCAAAGAAAGTAAAACCAGGTCATTTTAAACGAAATTATTATTATTATCATTATCATTGTTATTATTTATGTAACACTTTTTATTTTTATCAATAATATTTTTTTAAAAAAGATTTTATATTTTAATTATATTTTAAAATTTATAATTTATATATTTTTAAATTTTTATTAGATTAATTAATTATTTTAATTTTAATTTATAAATATTATTATTTATTTTAATATTGCGCTTCAAATAGACGGACAGAAAGGCTACTGAGTTGGAAAAGGAGTTCAAACCAACGTCTGCCCTTCGCCTGCGCCTGCGGTCACACCGCACTCGCGCGCGCGCACCCCTCGCCGAGCTTTGATTCCGACGAGGACCAGCCAAAATCGTATCTCGGATGAATCTTCGGTCGAAACGGGAACCGTTTATGGGTTTTACTAATGCTGAGGTCTCCTGCTCAATCATTTTAAACTTCTGAATTGCCAACAACAGCGTTCCACTCCTAGTCGAGTGAATTTCTGGGTCTTCGTGCACTAGCTGTATTTTAATCTGTTCTTAGGGTTTGTTTGCGTGTTTATTGATTGTGGTTTACGGATTGAGTTGCATTCATGACTGTTTCGGCGGATTGCCTTCACCGGGAATGCGTGCCTGTGGAAATTCTTAGTTCGGTTAAATGATGAATTCTGCGAATCTTCGTTGTACTTTTTGTTTTGATTCACTTGGAGATGACTTTTTACTTTCTTCTGTTTTTATAATTATTGTTTTTGGTTAATGTGTTCTAGGTGTTCTTTATATTTGTGATTCCTTGCTGCTTAAAATCGTTCAGAGAATTATCTGTTGGTGTTTTATGATTAAAGAAGGTTTTTAGGTTATGTTCGATTGTTTGTAATTGATCAAAAGTGAATGTTGTGTTACATTCAGTTTGGGGATCAGTTTCTTTTATCGGAATTTGTTACTTTGAAGTCTTGAACAGCCATAGATATTAGTTGTTTTGATGTAGTCATGTAGATAGATATATTATTTTATTTGATGTGTCTATGAATCAGAACTAACATTTACAAGCAATCAGTAAAGATGAGCACTAAAGGATATATGCTAATTGTGAATTGTAGCAAAACTTGGCAATTATACTTATTATTTATGAATCAAGCAGGTTCAGAAAATGGAGCAGATGCTCAACGAATCTAAAGTTCGGTTGCTGGATGTGGATTTCTACAAGGAACTAGCGAGACGATTCAAGTAAGATTTTCTGTGCATAGAAACGAACAACTACTCTTGAATGATCTCTATGCTATTGTTGGTCTAACTTTATAATTGGGTTGCAGCCGATCCAGTAGTCGAGCAGGGAAGCCTCGTTTGAAGTGGACTGAGGTCTGTATCTTGCTTTGCTTCAATGTACTGCCGTAGTGATGGTTCCTGTCTAGACCAAACCTTGCGAATACTCCTACTGCTCTCATGTATTTCAGATTCAGAGTTGGTTTCAGACGAATCAACAAAGCTGTTCCTCTAGAGGGCCTTTATTTGATGCAGCCGAAAAGTCACATCTTGCCCCGGGAGCTCTTTCTCAAAAGGAAACAACTGGAAATCCAAAGATGCCGGAAGGTACTTTTCTTAATAATTTTTATCTCTTGTTTTATTTTTTTGTTTGTTACAAGGAGTGGAATTTGTATGCTTTGCTCACAATATAAATATATCTATATATCTATATCTATATCTATGTGTGTGTTCCAGCAATTCTCATATGTTAAGTATGGTTAGACAGTTATGACAATGATTAAAATGTTCCGATTGCAGATGGAAAGAACCAAAATATGTTAAAAAAATTGGAATTTGAAGCCAGGTCATCGCAAGATGGAGCTTGGTAAGTTAGTTTTATGTTGATTTCTTATTCATATCTTTTACCGTTATCTTATGCCAACATCTTTTCCGTTTCTCTTTTTAGTTGCAATGGTGGGATATCCTTCCGGCATTTTTCATATGATTAAATGTATTATAGGCTTTCTTCGGAAACTTGGAAAAAATTAGCCAAGCCACATTCAATGCTGCTTATTATTGCTTTAATCACTTTGTGTTACTGTTCTTTATTGATGCATTCGAAAAATATTTTTAGATGCTTTCAGTTTTTCTCTATCTCCTCATAACACTCGCATGCTCATTTGTCTATACTGGCTTGGCCTACAGGTACGATGTCGATGCATTTCTCTCCCACAGGGTTCTCAGTTCAGGAGAAACTGTGAGTGGATAACATAACAGTTATGCTCTGACGGCACTATCAATTGTTTCACACTTCTATAGAGTTATAATGCAAACTGTTTCATTGTTTTCGATTATTGCTGATGATTTTATTAACATCACTAGGAATACAAGAAAAAATCTGGTCTAGAAGTCATTTAGATTTGAAAGGTCCAAATTTTGTGTTGCAGGAGGTTTATGTACGATACCTCGGATTTGGAGCAGAGGAAGACGAATGGGTTAATGTAAAAACCGACGTGAGGGAACGGTCAGTTGCCTTAGAGCATTACGAGTGCCAGAAAGTCAAGGTTGGGGATCAAATTCTATGCTTCCAGGTACCCATTTTCACATCCTTACACGAGTCATTCCAATATTCCATCCTTCAATAAAAATGGGTTCAATTTTCGGAAGTTTAGAGTTTTGGAAAATTTTGTAAATAGTAAAAGTATTGTGAAAGGAAAAAGATATTCGATGTACTAATCGTCGTTTGTTTTTAGGAGAGACAAGATCAAGCGAGGTACTATGATGCTCATGTAATTGAGATCCGGCGAAGATTGCATGATATCAGAGGGTGCAGGTGCCTTTTCTTGATCAAATACGATCACGACAATACACAGGTAGGTAAATCGACAATTACCAATTCTTACCCGGCGAGCTTAGCAGATAGGCAGCCTTTGATGTTGTGCTTATCTATGGTGACTATAGGATCGAGTGCCTTTGACGAGACTGTGCTGCCGGCCGAGCATGCTGTCCGAGGACCGGGTAGCGAGTAACTAGACGTACAAACGAATTGAACTGTGGCGGGTCTCTCAGTAAGGATTTGTTTCGGAGATAGCTAACTTGGTAATTAACATGGTAAACTTGACTCGAACTTGAACTTGAACTCTTGACTTTTTTTTATTTTAATTTTTCTAAAAATCTTATATTGATATATTATTATGAACTGTGGTGTCGACGAGCATTGTGATGCTCCGTTCGTCTTGTCTTTGGTAATGCATGCTCTTTATTATTGGTCAATGTCATGGGTTTGTTTGTTCGGGGATTTTCTCTAAAATACATTATTTTTTTATTTTTAAAACATTAAATTAAATACTTATTTTTTATTTTTTTATATATATCAAAAGTTAATTTTAAGTTTAAAATATTGTATTAACACATTCGTTAATTTTAACAATACTTCTGTAGTTTCTAAAAGATTTCTGAATCTTGCATATGCAATGTCTATGTAGAAAACTCTATAAATTTTTTAAATCTTGCATATGCAATGTCTATGTAGAAAACTCTATAAATTTTTTAATTCTTGCATATGCAATGTCTATGTAGACCCTATGTGTGGATGCATTTATAATTATATCCACTCCTAATCTGCCCTATATGTATGTACGAGTGTATTGTTAGATTGAATGAACGAGAGAGAAAGACTTAACTCCATTTCTTCTCTATTTTCTACTTCTATGGTCTAGTAATTATATACATTATTTTTATAATAAATTTATTAATATTAAATATATTTATAGAATATAAATTAATTTGATTAATTTTTTAACGTTTTATGACTTAATTCATTCAAAATTCTTTTATATCTATTTTTCCTATTAATTAATTAAATTAAAAATTTAACATTTTTGTCTCCTTTTAATAAATAAATATTTTTATTTATATTTATATTTTTTAATTTTTTATAAAATTAATTTATATTAAGCATAAATAAATAACAATGTTTTTATTTAATTATATTATATAAATTTTATTTTCTATAACTTAATATCTATATTATATAAACCGTATATTTTATTGAGATAATAAAATTTAAAATATTGAAATACATATTTAATTTTTTTTTAAAAAAATTAAAACCATTATTTATATAAAAAAATAATAATATTTATGACTTATTACATTATATATATTCAAATATATCAACTTTATACATATCTATATGTCAAAACATTATATGGGATGTAGTATTATTTACTAAGGTAATCCTCAACTCACAAACTTCAGTTTTAACTCAAAAAAACAGTCTGTTACGGTATTTTTAATTTAATCTATAATTTTATTTTTATTAAAAAAGAATAATTTATAAATATTCTATTTTATACATTATTTTAAAATATTTTTTATATATTATTATTAAATAAATAAAAAAAAAAAAAAGTAAACAACATCAAAAATAGCATTGCACTGTAACAAGCACTTCCAATTTTGACGTGAATTGGAGCAAAAACAGGACACCAAACGCTAAAGCAGTTTAAAACTCTAAAAATAGATCTAATGTCAAATTTGTTTTCTAATACTATGTTTACAACAAGAGTGTGCTGAAGTGATAATTTAAATTTAAATTTAAATTTTGTATAAAGATATATGTAAATTAAAAATAGTAAATTTGCATTGAAAACAAAAAGACATAATTAAACTAATGCTTCTTACCTTAAATTGGCAAGTCAGAAATATGTTAGTTGACTCATGTTTTTTCATTACAAAATTAAAATTATCAAAGTTTGTTATATGATAAACTTTAATGTAAAATCATCTTTATTGTAATAAATACATTCAAATAGATTACACTGCTTTTCAAAAATAATTATTATAAATTAACAATATATATACATTGAAACTCTTGTTCAAACACGTGATACTTTAATTTAAAAAACATATTACTGTTTAAAAAACTAATTATATAAAACACGTGCAATTCTAATTTAAAACATATTTTACACATTGATTGTTTCGCTAATAAAAAAATAACCACCAAATCAATTTGTATAATTCGGTCAATACTCGAGTTATCCATTCTAAATGAAAACAATTCGCAATTAATTCTACAACTATCATTTGTCTATTTATATTTTAAATCGTATTTTCACACTATAAATAAAAAATATCAATTATCATTTTTAACTTATAAAATTTATACTAGTAATTAATTTTCTTTATATACTAACAAACAGCTGTAATAACAGATAATTATCATACTACAAAACGGAAAAAAATGATAATCTGTTGTAAGGCCTCATTTTCAGGTGTCTCGTTTTGTCCACTTCCAACGCTAACAAAACTCGTCTCTTTCCCTAACTCTGGATCTCGATGCGTATATATATATATATATATATATATGTACATAAAATATACAGAGAAGAGAGGAGGTGATGCCTTCTGCTGCTGTTGTTGCATGAGTCGAGAAGAGAAGAGGTTTCCCAATGGAAACCACCGTCCAAACAGGCTTCTGTGATACACACTACTTATACCACAACAAAAACAACGGCGACGACGACGACGGTGATTTCCTCATCGAGGAACTTTTAGACTTCCCTAACGAAGACATCATCGCCACCACTGCCGACACCGCCAATGCCGGAATCCACCAGCCACCAGGCTTCAACACAACCCCGACAACGACCAAAAATTCGTCCTCGCCCTCATCTTCACCTACATCATCCTCCGATTCTTCTTCCGCTCCGGCGGTCCCCGAATCGCAAGCGCCGCCGCCGGACAACCAGCTCCAGCTCGGCGACGATTTTGGTGTTCCGGTAGGTTCATTTTGCCAAAATGTCGGAAGTTCATCTTGTGTAAAAGGGTGAAGACAGCTCCTCTTATTACCGCTTATAGAACTCTTGATTCTTCCCGAATTCGAATTCGGGAAGAAAGGTAAGTGGGTGATTTAACCATGAAAATTGCTTATTTGGTGCCGCAGCTCGAAGACTTGGCCGAGCTCGAATGGCTCTCGAATTTCGTCGAGGAGTCCTTCTCCACCAATAACCTCCCGGGGTTCACGGCCCGACCCGAAGAACAACTTGCTCTCAAAAGTAATTTCCAGCCCGAGGCCTCCCGACCGAGCCCGATTCTCCACCCGGAGGTGTCCGTCCCCGCAAAGGCCCGCAGCAAGCGATCCCGCACTGCGCCCGGGAACTGGACCTCACGACTCCTCGCAGTGTCCTCTGGGCCGCCGCCGCCGCTGGCGCCATTGCTTCCGGTCGCTTCGTCGTCAACAGCAGACTCGTCCGAAGTTGCTGTTGCCCCGCCAAAGAAGGCGGCGAAGAGGAGCAAGAAGGAAACTCCGAACGCCGGTGACGGCGAGGGGCGGAGGTGTCTCCACTGCGCCACCGACAAGACGCCGCAGTGGAGGACAGGGCCGATGGGGCCGAAGACATTGTGCAATGCCTGTGGCGTGAGGTACAAGTCAGGGCGGCTCGTGCCGGAGTACCGGCCGGCCGCAAGCCCCACATTCGTAATGACAAAACATTCAAATTCCCACCGGAAAGTTCTTGAGCTCCGGCGGCAAAAAGAGATGGCAGGAGCTCAACCGCAGCCGCCAATGCCGCCGCCGTTAGTAAGCTATCATCATCATCATCATCATCAAGGTATGATGTTTGATGCACCATCCAATGGTGAGGATTACCTGATCCATCAGCACTTAGGACCAGATTTTAGGCAGCTCATCTAAGGTTAGAGACAATTTTGGGATTTTTTAGTTTTTCAATTATTGACTTTAGATTTTTTCATTTTTTTAGGTAGGTATAAATTCCTAACTCACTGAAATTTGTTCATTACTTTTATTCCATGAGCAACCATTCTCAGGAGATGGAAAAAACCAAAAAAGACACAATAGATAGAAGGTAAGGTCAGCAAGGAGATCTGAAGCTCTAATTCAATGTAGCCAAAACACAATTATTTTGCTACTGAGTTCAACAAATTCAATCTATATTTCTATTCTATATTACTAAAGATATGAAAATCCTTTTTTATTTTGAGATTCATAGCAAAAGAGACGGTCACAATGTCCAAAACCACACAGAACAGCAAACGGATCATTTCCAACTGCAAAGCTACTGATACATTGTCGAGATCAAGAATTTGAATGTACCTCAACAATGTCTTATGTCTATGCTGCAGTCCATCGAATCAGGTTTTTATCGCGGCACACTTAGGCCTAGTTCTGAAAATAAATGGGAACAATGTCAACAAACGATCGGTATATGGAAATAATTCAGTTCTAAGAACTTCTTTATGAGAACAAGACCTATATTATCTAATTTAAGAAATGAAATGAGAAGAAACTAATTTAAGAAAAACAAGGAAAATTTCAGCAGCTAAAAGCAGCAGCAGCAATTTCAATCTACAGTTCGAAGTGTATATTATCTATCTACTCTTTCAAGTTCTTCAATCATCAGAAAATTTCTTAACAATTAAGCTTCAAGCATAGACATATATTCCCTCCGTCCCAATTCAAAACATCCATTTTAACATTTTTGCCCGTCCCACTTCAAAGTATCCATTTCCTATTTTAGAAGAAGTAATCATACACTACTACTAAAATACCTTTAACTTTTACTCAAATTACAAACATATTATTAAACATACAATTACTATAAGAAAAAAGTCAAAACCTTTTATACACTTCCACTAGCCAATAATATACTATTATTTCTTAATCTAGTAGAAAATCACAGAGAGCTCCATTTGACATAGACCGGAGGGAGTATAATATACCATATGACACACATTCAGTTTTTTCATGGTATATTAGGACAGTAAGAAACTATTTTGGAAAATGGGGACAATACAAAAAAACAAAAAAATGATACTTTCAATCTATGGACCAACATGCATCTAGGACTAATCGGTTGAGGAGCAAAAATCAAACTTTATTTAATCTGTAATGCTACAAACATCAGCTCCTAACAGTGGATTGGTGGTGATCCTATGCCAGCAATCATAACAGATGAATAAGAACGTAAACGGAATATAATGGGATAAGGTTTGTCAAAGAAAAAGAAAATTAAATAACGGGGACAAGGAAACTTAAAAAAAAGAAAGAAATGATCTAGCAAAATATAGGCTGGAATGAAATATTTCAATCACTAGCCAAAAAATTCACCTATATACTAATGCAATGCGAATGCTTACCGAAGTGTCCTAGTTTAAATTTCAAGTAAAAGAAATACCTAAATTATTTAGGCTTTCAGATAGTTTTGCCTTCAAATACTCTATAGCATCAAAATATTCGCAGTTTCTAAGAATTAATGTACCAAGAACCAGTTTATATAATCTAATCCATTTATGCAATGGGAATCAGAGGCTTTCAACTCAAAATGATTCAGACTAAAATTCATTTGCTTGATTCATCATCACAACCCAAGCCTAGAGGCATTTGGTTTGAATATATATGTACGTATATGTAGCAAACTAGTGCTTTAAATCTTCACGAATAAACCTATAGTTAACCAAAACTGCATATACAGTACAAAGTAAAGTGTCCATTTATGCAAAGAAAATTCTAGTTTTTTCAACTTAAAATTATACTAGCTTATATTCACTTATTTGATATGTTTACTCAAAAGTATGTTGTGAATCTCTATGGAAATTAACCTACAAATCTATCTACTCACAGAAATACCATAGGAAAGCACAAAAAAAAATTAAGACTACATTAGAAATGAAAAGTATCCTTACGGAACATTACAAAACCTATCAAACTCCAGGGTTGGCACTGCATAGCGTACCCTGAGACAAAGATCTGCAGCCTTTGGTGTCTGCACCTAAACCAGAGGTAAGCCTGGCGGAGGAGACTGCACTGTGAAAAGGTAACAGAGACTGGAGAGCAACCGTTTGAGGCATTGGCCTGAATTGCACACATTCAAACAGAAAATGAACCAGAGAATTTATGAATATGTCTTCGATTCAGGACTTGATAGTAATTACGAATCGATGACCAAATTATCATACTAATAATTTGAATATCTACTTCGCAAAGATCCATCATGAAATAGATCATGCAAACGAATAAGAAAATGCTGGATACGAGTAAAACTTTAGATGCAGTTGCGATTACACTCCTTAAAAAAAGAAAAACTAAATCAATAAACAGTGCGTTCAAGATCTGAAGATTGCACCTCCAGAAGAGAGACGGCGAAGAGCGCGATGATTGCACAGAAATCGCAGGCCTTCCCGAAGGCTTCGCAATGGCGGATTTAAGAACGCTGATCGCAGATCTTGAGATAGTTCTGTAGCGAGACGCCATTGACGTCACTGCTGCTCGGAGATTCGCTTTCTGCGGAGTGAAAGAACAAATTCGAGGGTTTTGGAGAGGTACTACGATTTGTAGCGCCGTACCTTGAGCTTCAATGTTTGTACCTTGAGCTTCTACTTATATCGCACGGCCTTCTGCATCCTACGCCCTACGATTATAGGAGTTTTTTTTTTTTTTCTCTCTCATTCCTACTTCTTTATTGTTGTTTAGGTAAGCATGTGAAACATACCTGATTGTTAAATTGAACTGGGCTACTCTAGTTCGTTCGCGAGACTATTTAGACTAGAAAATTCGTTGTGATGACATTATGTTTTAACATAATTAGGAAATCAGTCGATGAGTACTTACAAGGCATGCTTATTGAAATTTGTGTTTGTTTTTCACCGAGGACCTGAGCAAGAAATTAAACAAGAGTTAGTTATTTAGCGAAAAATGTGGTAATTATAACTTATTTAAAAGTAAATGAAATTACATATTTACGTAGGATCAACTTCAAAATCTAAATTGTCAGGCTAGCAGTTCAGTCTTTATTGACATACTCCAACTATATTGCTTTATTTTTATTATGAAAATAGGTATATTTTATTTAATTTTGCAGGCGCATGACAAGCGTTGTCAAATTTTGGCTTGTGACAGTGAGATTAATAGGTTCAACCTTCCGATATTTTTAAATTTTATCTATCACACATGATTTGTGTCTAATATGATTAGCCTTGCATTAAGAGTTTTAAAAAAAAATTATAAATGCATATTCATGTGTACGTATATAAAATAATGATTTCTCTTTTATTAAACATATCTTGTTTATTATTCACTCCGTTCACATAGAAAATAAACATTTATTTTAGACGCGAGAAATAATAATATTTTAATTACATCGATAATTAAAAGCAGTATAATAATATTTTTGCCATTTGTGAAAAAAATGAGATATTTAATAAAATATTTATTTTATAATTCAAACGTCGCAAAATAAAAACAATTATACTTTCTATTATATATTGAATTTTCAGCCTATGTTGAATAGCGAAAAATAAGTGGGGAGAAAAAATAAAATTTTTTAAAAATTAAAGTGAGAGAGAAGATGGGAAAGAGAGAGGGAAAAAAAAAAAGCTTATACAATTGTGTTGCTCTTAGCTAATTCAATCATTATAAGTACATTCTACAACTATTTATACTTTTAAGTATGATTAGGTTATATTTCATGCGAGCTATGTTTATTTATATTTAAAAAACTACTACATTTTATACATTTAAAATTAAAATAAAATTGTTACTACCGCAAAATAAGTTATAAAAAAAAGTCAATACATTACTAAGAGAGCCAAAACAGCAACTTTTGTGAATGCAAAAGCAGAGAAAAAGCATCAGAGCAATCTCAACTTCCCAGTTACTGAATCCACAGCTGATTTATTTCCTGCTCACACATCAAATTCGCCTTTAAATTTCCAGAAAAAAATAAAAATATATAAAAAGATCCGAAGAAGAACAAACCAGGTCCGACAGCTAGAACAGTTGTCGATCCAGCAGAAACCTGGCAATGCATCGAAAAGATAAGAATCATTTTCGATGGATCATGCAATGGGAATAGAATAACATACCTGAGTTCGTCCTGCATCAGCGACCAAGAACGTTGGGAGGCCGATGCTTTCAGCAGCATCCCTAACCTTATTCCTGTTCATTGTTGATGTAAGTAAACCTTCCCGAGATGAGCTAAGGTTTTCGACAAGTTGGAGGGTACAAACAAATGTATGATAGCAGCGCAAGGTTGGTTGACCTTCTTACATTTCTTGCTGATTCTTGCACGTCAAGACTATTTTCGCCTGCCCGCATTGCTCCCATTGCCTCAGAAGGGACCGGTGGCTGAGCATCAGCAGTTTGTAGACATGATCAGCACATGGGCCAGTGATTCGTACAATTATCATAAATGAGAGATATCCAAAAGAACTAAATTATAGTCATAGATTTGAAGAAAACGAAGAAAATCAAATGTGCGAAAAAAAACAAGCATCCCATGAAACCACAAAGCAATTTAATCATCGAACAAGCACAAAGAAACATAGTAGAATTGACCTTTGCATAAGTTCAGCATACATTCCGGTGGCAGCATCTGCGCGACAAACATGAATCAGATATTCCAACAACTACGAGGCGCTGAATTTAACACCACTTTTATAATAATGAACAAAAATTGACTGTATTGTATATATGAAGCAACTTACGAGCGCATTGAGACGCAATCTTTCCAGCTCCCATCTTAAGGTCATTTCTAACTACTAAAACCTGACAACAATTTTCAGCAGTTGTGTAAGTTGCCACCATTAGACACATACTAAATACTTATTCGTCGTTGTTATAATCAAAAGAGGCTCATCTGGCCGGGAAACGTATAATGTGCTGCTCTGTGTTGGATGACTACGAAGAAAGATGCATCCAAACAACAGTTTCTTAGATATTCGATCATAAACTGCACGATGATGGTGCACAACAATAAATACATAAACTGCATCCAACGCTATTTATAAATTATGTCTTCCAGTTCAATATACACAGCGATAAAAATCAAAATACATGAAAAGGAATACATTTACACATAGTCTGCATATATGCGTGAAATTTCCAACAGCTTGAAAAGTATATCAATCACGCAAAAGCAATCTTCTACATAAGCAATCATTAATGATAGATTATCTCAATATCTTGCATAGAAAAACTAAAATGATCGTTTAAATTGTCAAAATATGAAAACTATCTGAAAATAAGGGGTAGATCAACACAAAAATCCAGTGAAACGAAGTTATATATACATACATATATAGATATAACTGCATACCATTTTGAGCTCTTCGTCAGCGGCGGTCGACAGATTTTTTTGCAGCCGTTGATTTTTGGCAAGCGGTTGGCCACCAAGTTTCCTGCCACCGGAGCTTTTAGCTGGCTTAGAGAAATCCAATATTATGCCCAAAATGAATCCTATGACAAGGCCAGGAATGAAGTTCTCTGGCTTGAAACTCACACCTAGCCATTCCCTTTCCTCGTGTTTCTGCAATAAATTGCTTGCACCTTCGTAAATAATGCATAGGAAAGTTTTTCCAGAATCAAAATTGAAGCTAAAACATCCACTCCTACCTTCTTCGAGGCGGGAGAAGAGGTCCTTAAAGAGCTTATCATCTAGCTGGGAACGGATTTTGACAATTTTGAAGCCCTGAAGATGGTGGACTGTAATTCGCATGAGAGATGGAGCCCGGAGGAGTTCGTGTAAAGGAGGAACTCTAACGGCGTCGTTTAAGGGGATCAAAGTCTAAGTGGGCGGGCCTGTGTGAAAATTCACTTGGGCCGAAACTTATTAGTGGCCCAATAGGGGTGTGTAACTGAGTTCACTGTTTGTTTGGGGATTGGATTTATACTATTCATCCAATTTTTTTCCCCAAAAACATCAAATCAAACACCTATTTTTTATTTTTTATATTATACTAAAAATCAATTTTACATTCAAAACATCGTATCAACACTTATTTATATCATATCATACAACTATTCAAATTCAAAATTTTTACTATTCAAATCCCAACTCAAAATCCAAACCCCCAAACAAACAAGTACTGTCACTATTTTATACTTATTGCTTTTTAAAATTTTGAAATGTCGCAAAATTAAATTTTTGTTTATTAATTTATTTGTTGACTTCAAGAAAATAGGGATGTTTTTAATTTTTCAATTTCTGTAAATTTTATTTTATTTTTTAAAAAGTACTTTTTCCCCAGATCTCCAAGGCGAATACAAGTGTATTTAATATGTTGACCATAGATAAATATATGCATGAAAGGTTAAATGATTTTAATTATAAAAAAATTCATTGAATAAATTAATAAAATTATTATAACAACTATAATAATATACAATATATTTAATATAAATATAACACTAACTTTAACAATGTAGACTTTAAAGTATGAGTGTAAGTTGGAGTGACTCACAAAAAACTATCGACACAACCCCCTGTTGGCTATATTTTCAACTAAAAAACCAAATATATATATATATATAACTTACAAATACAAAAATAACATTAAAAGCTCATTGTATTATTTACTACAAATTTATCTATTTTTAAGACCAGAAAATCTACTGACAATAAGTTCCATATTGAATTTAATCAAGTTTCACCACAAAATCTACGTCTCCAAACTCGCCTTTTTGTAACCTTCTCAGCAAAATCCAAACTTGCCAAAACCTGAATACATGTCACAAATCTCAAAGTTAAATATATCACAATAAAACATAACATAAAATCCAAATTCCCATTCAAAAACATTGGAGTGTTTCCTATTCAAAACATAAGTGACTTGTTTATTATAAATCATTCAAAAACTACATCAACAAAAGCAAAAAAAAAAAAATAATGGATATAATCAATCAATCCAATTTCAGATTAAGGTAAGAATATTAATCACATTTAAACTCCAAAAATAATCAAAATCACAATGAAAGAGCCTCAGTCATCTAATAGAGTCTTTGTTAAGTGCCTTCATCCCATTTCCACAATCAATTTACCGATTGAATTGAACTCCTCCTGTTCGTTCACTAGCCCGACACTATTTACAACACTAACAAATACTCATCAGATAATAAAAGGATGTCGCTCCAAAGAAAATTAACGCAATCAAGTTACACGGATGAGTTGTTAGTAAGCTTTAATGCAATTTCACAGATAACATACTTATAGGGTTGTTAATGAAATAAGTTACTAGATACCTCAATCAATCTTGGCTTAACTCTTTATGTTAACAAGAGACATCAAGCTGAAACATGGTTAGAAAAACTTGTTTGACTCATTGATTATGCTCAAGATTCGCTCATTCATGTTTGACGTTGTTTTCAATACTCAACTACTCAGATCTACCAATTATGCTAATAAAAGATTCACTAAATACTCAGAAAAACAGATCACTCATTACCCAAATCAAGCAACACAATTGTGCTTATTAGGGATCTTCATTGCAACTGGTAATATAACAATTTCATCAAGTGAAGCTCAGTCCAATAAGGCTCAAGTCTGGATCTTTCAAGTTGATAAAGAAGTCGAGCTCTAGCTTTATTAAAATTGTTTGAAACCTGGAAAAAATAACAATGACAGTGATAAACCTGAGAAAAGACGGCTATATAGACTTCGATGATTAGTTTTTTGCTTTGAAATAATGCCTAATTGCTAGATTAAGACAATTGCAAATGTTAAATCCTTCAGCAAAAGTTTCAACTTTAATGCAACCCGTGAAAGAACACCCCAATCTAGAATCTTTACTACGTTTATAATCTGGGAGTAAATAGCTGTCCATATATCTAAACAAACTCATAAGCTATAGCAAGAGACAGACTTTGCTTCTAGTCGAAAAAGTAGAGTTACAAATGTATCCGCTCAATCTGCAAATTAGAGTAATAAGCAGTATATTTCACATAAATCATACCAATCAAAAGCCAGTGAAGACTCACCTAAACATATAGCTTTTGCTCTTACTGCTGATTCTGAGGGGGCGGCATTCCCGGCCTTGGAGGACCAAAGCCTTGAGATTGTCCACCTGCAGGTGGGGGAGGAGGCATGCCTGGTCTTGGTGGTTGTTGGCCTGGCGGAGGCCCGCCAGGCATTCCAGGTCTCAGTGGAGGTCCAGGGGGAGGAGGACCTCTCATCATCTGAGGTGGCGGCACCATCGGAGGCCTCTGTCCGAACTGAGGCGGTGGAGCAAATCCACCAGGAGGCGGCACACCTGGCCGAAACTGTGGCGGAGGAGGCATCGGCATTCCAGGCCTCGGAGGAAAGCCTCCTGGAGGAGCAATGGACGGCGGCCTAGCCACCGGCGGCGGCTGTTGCGGATACGACACAGGCGGACCTGATATCTGCGGAGGGCGAGCAATCTGTGGCTGCATCATACTAGGCGCAGGTCCTCCAATACCGCGAACCGGACCGGCGAGTCCGGGCTGAGCCTGAGTGACTGCGCCGGTGATGACGCCTCGACCGGCCGCCCGACCAATTCCAGGGCCAGGGAATGCGGTAGCAGAGGCGGTTTTGAGGCGAGATTCGTCGGGGGGAGGAGGACCTTCGACGGTGAGGGAAATGACTTCTTCGCCCCTGAGCAGCACGAGGCCGAGCGTGCGGCGGTCTTCCCGCTCCTCTTTCGAACCTTTCGTCGGCGGCAATTTTCGGAACTCCTCGCAGTCTCCGAGGACGAGGTTCATGTGGCGATCGAAGGCCATGAACTTCCCGATCAACTGACGGCCGTCCTGAATCGTCACGCGCATGCGATAGTTGATGTATTGAAGCATCTTGGAGCTCTTCGACGACATCGACATCTTTGCCGGATTGCCAAAAAATTTGCAGAATCACTGCGTCTCTCCCTCCGCTAGGGTAACTGTGGAAGATGACGAGCGGCGCTGGGTTTTACTAATGACAATGTAAAGAAAGCTCAATTTACTTATAAATAAGAAGCGTTTTTTCAGTAACGAAATAAAGAATGCGACTCTTGTGTTTGACCGACCACTTGACGATTTCTATTAATATTGGCCACGTCAGCAATTGTTTTAGCTTACTCTCAGTGCCCAAATTTTAAATCCACATTTTGAAACTCGGGCTTCAAACAATGATAATATTGAACTCTAAATTGATATACTGTATATCCCGTTCAGAATTTTATTTATTTTTGTGTTATAATCTTTTAATATTAATTATTATATTAAAATATAATACAAATTAAAAAAATTATAAAATTATTTTAATTAGTGTCTTATAATATCAATAAAAAAATATTTGTAAAAAAATTATACAAATATAAAATATTTTTAATGTTAAGTACGCATAAAATAAATACGACCCTTAGACGCAGACGAAAACAATATAATTTTCACATGTTTATTGCACTTTGGTAACGACCGCAAATTTCTGTGTTATAAGATTAATTAAAAATGTTCCATTCAAAATATTAAACAACAAAATTGTACTACAAACCTTTTTGATCCTATTTGTGTTATTTGCTTTTGGTACTTACTAAGATTTAAATGATTAGTATTTTGATATAATAAATCTTTAGATACTCTTAAATAATTCCTTTTATTTTTAGTGCACATTAGTTAAATTTTCGATCAAAATTTTACGATTATAAGTTGATTTCTACACTAATTTGATTACCCCTTAGAGGGATCCCTTATTCATTTTTGTTTCGAAATGAAGCTTTGGTTCTTAACTACTCGTTTTCCTCCTCTTTTGACAAAGTACTTCATCATCATTTTCGTGGTCATCATCCTCCTCCTCTTCTTCATCATTGTTGTCACTTTTGTCGCTATCATCACTTGAGGAGCTCTTTTGTGCTTTTTCCCGGGCATTTTTTAGATTAGTTGGTTCTTTGAATTCACTCTTTGTTGCACATAAGGACAAATTTGCCCGAAGTTGCTTTTGCTTTTGTTGTTTCTTCTCAAACGCTTTCTTTGCTCTCCCCATAGGCAAAAGCCCATGTTCCATCAACCTAATTCACATTTAAGTTTATATGAATTCGATGTAAAAGTTTTTACAATTTCAAAAATAATCTTAAAAAAGAGTATGATTATGGGACTGATTTGCTTAAGCCAGCGTAAATAAAAACATGTAATTTCAATTCATACTAATAGGCATATTGTATGAATATATTTTTTTCCTTATAAAATCAACAATAGCATGTGAGTAATAGATGCTGTTAGACTCTTTGGCTTTTTATAGAGAAAAAAATAAAAAAAAAATTTTTTTTTTCAAAAATATTAATATATCATATATTCTACATAATTTTTTATATTTTATATATATAAAAAAAATTCTTTTCAAATTATCTAGCAAAAGAAATACATCTATATATTTAATTTCAGTTTTAGGAAAATATGATACCGTAAATGAAATGAAAATAATTTCGTAAAATAGAACCAAACAAACCCAAAAGAAATACTAACCAAAATTCAGCCATTTCACTGGAAGGTATCTGCTGCGACAGCGATCCATAGAATATCCTCAATGGCTCCCTCTGTTGGAAATGGAGAGCAGATGTTAACGTAATTAAGGTTGATCCAATTTAGGATAATGGCAATTTAGGTTGATCCACAGAATCGAACCTCTTCAGGCACATCGTGCTTCTGACCAGGCAACGGATAAACTTTCTTTTCTCTTGATTTCGGCGCCTTGGAATCACTTTTTGGTGTTTTCTTCGTCCTCATTTCATCAATCGATGGTCAGTGAGTGCACATTCAACAATTGAAAACTGATCATGTCGAAAATCAATAATGAACATAACAGAATGCGTGTAGGTACTGAGATGCAGCAAAAAATTGAATACATCAGAAATCAGAAGAGTATTTGAAGAAAATTTCGGAATATAAAAAAGTAGTAAGATGTTATGAATCAAGCACCTTCAGTTTTTCGGAATTGGATCGTTGTGTCGCTCAAAATCTGAATTAGGGGAAGGAAACACAGAACGCCAAATTGGAATTGGGGGAAACGCAACAAAAATCAGCCAAATTTCACAACAAAATCCAGAGACAATCGCAAATTGGTAATGAAATAAGCTCTCCTTTGCCCATTCGCACCTCAATTGACGAAATTTGTGCGCGAACAGAAAACCTAAATTAGAGACAAAGAAATGTAGGAAAGGAGAAAGGATCGGAAACACAAAATCAGCAGCCATTAGCCATGGTTACCGTCGGGAGAACAATGGCGATGATCGTCGGCAACAGCAGCTGAATTCTCAATTGGCGGTCTTCGTCAATACAGATTGATGAATTCTAGGGTTCGTTCAGTGAGATTGCATTAACTATAAAAATCAGGAAATCAAGAACGGTAGTTATATCATATGTTCCGAGTTCCGAAATTTAAATGACATTTTATAAATAAAATAAAAGTTTTAAACCAAATTAATATCAACCATTAGATTAGGCCATGACTTCAAAATTTCAGTACCACTTTATTTTGCTTCACACATATAGTTGTTTAGGATAACTTATTTTACTAGTATAAGTTGCAAGATATTATATTGAATTCAAAATTTATTTAGAATACACTCGAAAGATAAGCGTTGCAAATTTTTATATTATTAATTTTATTTATTTATTTATTTTTTTGGAACATCTAATCAAATGCTTTGTTCATAAAATACTTTTTAAAAATTTGGCATTATTCATTTTTTTCAAAAATATCATGTTAAAGAAATTTTTATCTTTTAAAATATTACATCAAATATTAATTTTTTTTATTATTATCAAATTTTTAAAACTTCAAAATTCTCTTTCCTAGACGGAATCTTAACACAAAATATTGTGAATGATAAATACAAATATTTACATGTTTGTTTGATTGTAATTTTAAACTAAAATCAACATGTACTTCCTACTATTTTCAATAAAAAATATATTATTTTTTAAAATATCGTATCAAATAATATTTAACCAAAAATTCAAATCAAATCATATTTCAAATCAATTTCAAATTACAACCAAAATAATCCTACGCTACTACGAATATCAATTATTACACAAAACGAATATCAATTATTACACAAAACGATCATCGTAGAGGCGACCTTGACACTCTATTGTACCATATCGAATGAAGTATCATATGAAAGATGTCATATTTGATTGGCTCCTTATGCCAAACAAAATGGAGCCTTACTTGCTCGACCCTCTTGTACATCACAAGATACTTTTTCTCTGGGATCGACTCGAGTATCCTTTTCAAGTTTGGAATATCTTTCTCTGGAACAAAAATAGTGAATGCTTCCCAATTCAAAATATCGAAAAATGGGGGCACAAAATTGTCCGATATGATGACGGGCACACATCCATAAATGATCGACTCTACCACTCTTGGACTATTCACTTCGTATCCCTTGGCACATATGCAATACTTGCTATTCTTCATATACCATATGTAGCTTTTCTTATTGATCTTACCAAATATCTTCATTTCGGAATCTTTGTTTTCCCATTGTTTTAGAAGGATTGGACGAAGTTCACCGTGCATTTGACCGGCAAAGAAGGCTAGGACTTCCCGTCTAGATGGAGGCTCGCCACCTGTCGACCTCATCGGATTTTTAGGGGAATGAATGTACGTTTCTGCGAGAGAAACATCTTTTCCAAAATGGAAACCTTCTTTAACATCCGCATTGCACAATGCCCTCAAGCAATTAGACATCCGATGCTTAGTTTCATATGGTGCCTGAAAAAATAATAAATCTATAAGCATTCGAGCATTTAATCACATTATAAGTTATATTAATTCAATTGTTTTATATAGGGAAAAATCAATCCTTATTCAAATATATCTAATATAAATTAAGAAAAGATACGTTGTATGTAAGAAAAAAAACTTACATAATTAATGAAATTCCATAAGAAAAAAATACGTTAATTTAAACATTAGGTAACCATATATATATATAAAAGATAAATCGACGCCTAAGTTACAATTATATGAGATTGATCGAAGATTTCAAACTTACCCAATCATGACAAGCCACCAAAAAATGATCCGCGCCATCAGTTCTATTCCAAAAGGGATATTTCCTTTTGATCGTATTGAGATAATTGTTTAAATACTTATCAATATCAACAAATGAGTGTGAATTCCGTACATATATGTGCTCAGCCAACAATTGAGAACTAAACGGAAAGTAAAATAAGTGAGCTTTTTGCGGATTCGTGGTTAAAAAATTGTTACTTGATTTCATATGCTTCATGAACCATCCCTCTGATGCATATATTCCCCTAAGCTTCGGTTTATGGAAGACCGGTCTTTCCCCTTCTTTGTAAATGTAAACTTTGAGCTTTCGTTCCATAATTTCGTAACTCCTATATGTTTAATAAGTTTAGTTTAATTATATATACTTTAGAAAAGACTAATTACTTAAAATTAATTGTAAGAAATTTATAAATATGATAATTTACTGTACAAATATTATGAAAGTATTCATATCATGGTAAAAAAATGTATACTACTATAAACTTTAATTCGGTGATATGATTTACCTCACAAATGTTGAAAGATTTCGATAAATTGAAACATGTAGAGTGGGATGATGGTTGATTTTTGGCGCCTGTTGGATTTGGACTCTTGCAGCGGATAATTCATCATCGGCCAACGATTGCCACAACGGACTCTTCAAGTCATTGGTGAAATAGAAATCAAAAGGTTACAAATAATTTAGACTCTTTGTTTACATGAATGTTATTGAATTTTTGACGTTACACTACAAAAAAAATAATATACTTGTAACGAAATTCCGTTCCTAAAGTTCACGTAGCTAACGTAATTCCATCACTAATTCCGTCTAATATCATTAGTAACGGAAAAAGTGAATTTAGAAACGAAAAAATCTCGTTACAAAATTGATACTTTCTTGCAGTGCTATAATTTTTTTGGAAAATAAAATCATATTAAATATTTCATTTTTATTTATATAATACAATACTCTTTCGGTATTCTAAAATTGTGCTTATTTTTTTTTTATTTCTCTAGAAAAATGTTCTTATTTTATTTTTTTTAATAGAAAATTATATTATTTTTTATATTTTGTAACTATAGGAAGTAAAAAGTATTGAAAGTTTCAATCAAAATCTCAAAACAAAAAATTTTGAGCACAAAATTAGGAGCGTAGGTAGTATAATTATTTTTCTTTATTAATTATTTTTAAAAATTTTGAAATAAAAAAACTTCTATCCAAATGAAGGAATAATACCTTTGTAAAGAACAAAGCATTATTTTGACGAAGCATATCATTCATCTCGGAAATCGACACCACCGCTGCCGCCGCCGTCGCCGCCACACCACCACCACCCGCAACCGCAGTTGGGAGGCTCACATTTTCTGCTACGATATCATCGGAGGGTACAATCATTTTCCTATCGGATTCCGACAACGAATCGGAATTATTCGCCGGATAACCAGGCGACGGCGGAGAAACGCCGGAATCAGGCGCCGCCGGCGGAGCGAAGCCTGTACGGCTTCCGCCGGAGACATTGCGAGATTTATCACTACACCCGTAATTATCCTCCGGCGTCGGAATATTAACCGCCACTGATAAATTGTACTTCAACTGTGACGGCGTTCCGTCACGGCCGGTGACTCTATCATCCCCTCCGCCATTAAAGGTCGAATAAACCTTCCCGGAAGAAGACAGCAAAGCTTCATATGGAAAATGGGATTTCTGAATAATCAAAATCGAAAATAGCGACAGGCAAACAAGCCCCAACACTCTTCTCGTCTCCATTCGATCTGAAAATCCTTTTCCCGTAAAATAAAATTAAAAACCCTCTTCAGAAAGCAAAGAATTATTAATTGCTATTTTCACTGTTTGTTACCTTTTTTCGAGAGAGAGCAAAGACGATTCTGCAAGTAGACATGCAATGGCTGCCCTCGCTAAGACCGCGTTTGGCTGCGTACAGGTGTCGAAAATCAGGTTTTCATTGCTTACAGGTGGGCTTAAGGTTCTGCCATTTTTGTCCGTACATGCATTTTTTTAAAGCAATAATTTAGGAGTTTCCGAATCCCTATTTACACCTTATGTATGGTAAAAGCAAACTCACCATGCTAATATGTAATTTAGAATAAAAGTATTTGACTTTGTCTATATATATATATATATTTATAATTTTAGTACTATTTGTTAAGGTTTGTTTCTTTTCCTTCCGAATAATACACTTCTATTATTTGTAATCTGAAATTTTCAAACAATAATACATTTGTTTTTTCTTAAAACATATTTCATCATAAATTATTTTAATAGCATTAAATTCATAACAAATTCTTCCTAAACTCATCAGACTAAACATACCCTTAAAAGTTTTATTAAAAAATATCAATATTTTTTTTTTTCCATAAAATATTGTATTAATTAATTTTTTTTTTTCAAAAACTTCAAAAATATCTATAGGCGTATGGGACTTTAATTTGTTCGATTAAGAACATAATTTATTTATTTGAGATTTGACGCTAATTTTTTTAAAAGGAAATTAGTACTATAAGTATATGTTTTTAATCATGAAAAAATGGTTAGAATTTTGTTTATCCAAATATTTTTTTTACTAAATTTTTTTTGTACATTTTACTTTTCATATAAAAAATTAATATTTAACACAAAATATTATTTTTTATATTATATAATTTCTCACACTCCACAATAATATAAAAAAAAAAAAAATCAGCAAAGAAAGGTTAATAATGTAATTCTGAGAGAGAAGTAATTAATGGTTTGGATTTGCTTAAACGTCACTCTTTTAATATATTGAGGAAGTAATTTATTCTCTTGCCATAAATGTATCTATTTTAGGGGAAGGTAGCTTTAAATGCCTTTTTCATTATTTGGCTTCCATCTATAATTTGTCAATAATCCTCAACAGACGGGACCATCCTATTCTATCCTTTTTATTATTATTATTATTATTATTATTATATATGTTTAATCTAATTAAGAATTCATATAAATAAAAAAAATTATTTTCTATTGTAATAAAAATAATATAAAGTATTTTTTAATTTTATATAAATTATAAATATATTATTACACATAAAATACAAAAAAAATATTAAAATTATCTTATACATTTCTATTACTAATAAAATATTAGTATTATTTTTAAATTTATTATAAAATTCCAAAAGCATGTTAAATGAACACATAAAGATATATTATATGAATATATTTGTTATATTGAAATCAATTATAATATATATTGTATTGAATTACATTATATGTTATTTTTATACGTCTCAATATTAGGTGATAAGTAGAGCTATGTCATGTATTATTAATTCATGAACGTCTATTATTATATTAACACAATTTATGTGTCAATCCTTTTGTCAAAATGTGCATTTAAATTCTACACTAATTTTTATGAGTATGATATTATATTGATTAATTGTAATATAAAATAATATAATTCTTCTAACTATACAAATAAATTAATAAAATTAATAAATTGAATGTTTAAATAATTATAATGTTTTTGTAAATAAATATAATATAAATAAAAAACATAAAAAAGAAATATTTGCTATAAATAAATAAAAAATGAAGGCATATTTTTGTGGACAAATTAAAACAAACAAACAAACATACATGTGTCTAACAAATTGTAACTTATTGTTGAATCCAACACACAGCAGTTTAAATAACATAACAGAAAATATCTGTTCCAAAAAAAAAACAAACGAAGAACATAACAGAAAACAGAAATTCAAAACACCCATCACAATAAATCACACTCTCTACAACCCTACCTTATTACCCTTCCTTCGTAAAATGTCTCCACATCAAAATGCACAAACAAGAATACACTCCAGCATCAGCCCTGCAACCAAAGTAGAAGACGACGTCGGAATAACATACTTTCAGACCAACGAATTTTCCCGATAAGACTTTCCGGCGGCCGGAATTTTCCTCGCGCGCTGCCTCTTCTGGCCGTCGACATTCGCATGCTGAACTCTTTCCTTCAACGCATTGCTGCGCTTCCGAGCTTTCAAGTCTTTTGCGCTTATCATATACTCGTTGCCGGCCTCCGGAACGGTGAAGTCGGCAGGGTTCCGGTTCAGCGCGCACACACCCATTGATAACGTCTCTCTCGACGGCGGGATCGCGCCGCCGAAGTAAGGGCTCTTCGATTGCACCGGTTCTTGCGACGATACTTGGCCTGCGAAATCAAAAACCGATTAATTATAGCAAAGGCGCGACAAAAATGGAAAAAGTTAAAAAATATGGTTCACCTCGCGGATGAGGCTTCTTCAAGCTCTCGACGCCGCCGGGAAAACCAACTCCGTTGTATAAACTGGCCGGGAAGTTCTTGCAATGGCTGCCTTGAGAGTACGTCGCGGTATTAAGGAACGGAATTCCGGTGGGTGTGTCGTTCGAGTTCAGCGGCGGCGGGTGGTGGCTGCATGGCGTAAAGGGCTTGTTGAGGAAGCTATTTTTCTCGGATTTGAACGACGTGCCGGCGGAGGCAATGCCTCGATCCATCAAAGACAGTAGCTGCATCGCTGGGATCGTATCGTTCGAATAAGAATCTAACGACTTACGTCCCTCCATCCCGTCGCCCATAATCTTCCCCTTGCCCTTCGAGTCGTTGATCGACTTTCCCTTATAGTAGCTGTCTGGGAACGGCGGCGGACCTCCGAATGTATTAGCCTGAGTCGAGCAATTCGGAGCGATACCAACATTGAACGGCACATTCTTGCTCCTCGGCGGCCACAGCAGGTCCGATCCTTCGCCAAGTTTCAGCCCCGACGACATGACATTACTCGGAGTTGAAAATTGCGCTTTCCTCTGCCGATTCGGATTGAACGGACCGAAGAGACTGAACCGGCTGCCATCGAGATTTCCTGTATCCATACGACACTTTTTCGGATGGGGAAAGTTTAGAAGCCCCCGATTCATCTCGTTGCTCGTGAAGTTTACGCTATTTCTTGCCGGGAAATGAAATGTGCTTGGGTGTCCGTCCAGATAGACCGGCGGAGGCGGCGGTCCTCTCATCGAGCCATGGATCCCCTTGTACGGTATATGCTGCCTCGAATTCGCGAGTGCTCGTTCTCGCTGATTCTTTGCCAAGAGCTCGACTATTTCCATCGGTATATCATCCGAAACTCCTCCGGACTCGACAGAAGTGTTCACGCTTTGAACGCCTTGCGGCTGAGAGGCTCCCGGAATCACTTTGCCTTCTTCACTACACGACGCCAGCATTTCCTACAGCCGCGAACGAAATTCCAGTTAATAACACAGCATAATCCACACATATACAGAACGAATGAAAAATCGTAGCAGCGTACCATTGTTCGGTTAGGAATCAAGCTCCCCTTCTCAGGAACTGCCGGTAATTGCTTCCCGTGAGCAGTCGATGTTTTCTCGGTGAACGATTCGTTGAGATCAGGAATGTTGCTATGCTGCTTCCGGAAAGACATGTGGCTGTTGGTGTTTCGCTCGGCTCCGATACAACTGTTGAGCGAAAGTTCCAACGCCACTTCTCTTTGTGCGGCGCTGTGATCGCTGAACGCATTCTTTCCGAGAGGAGCCATCGACGAGCAATGCTCGGGTTCAGCTACGGGTCTCTTGCCTTTCAAAAGATGCGGGATTCTATCCACCTGTTTCTCGGATTGAAAGCCGGAGAAGTACGTCTCCTTTTCTCCCCGGCTAACCGCAGAATGGACATTTCCGGTGGTGTTACCAATACTCATCTCTGGGGGGGCGACGAAAGGTTTCTCCAGATTCGGCGAAGTTCTGTTATCAATGTAACTCGGCCTCGACTTTTTGCCAGCATCGAGCATCCTGTTCTTCTTGGCTTTGGTCGGCTGAGTCTTGGCATTATGTCGAATTTCCAATGGCGCGGATGCGGTGTTATTTCCTTCTGATTCAGAATTGGATACTCCGACTTGCCGGCGCGATTTCTCTGCATCTGGAGCATTGCCTTTCAATCTTTTACTTGAAGCTGTCGGCTCGGAAGGTCCCCGTTCTTCTTCGACTGCGCTTTTCCTTTTCCTTTGAGGAGTTTTACTACTTTTCGGAACCTCTTCAAGGAGATTTTGATGGTGTAAATCGGTTTCTGCCTCGGTGGATTTAACCTGCGTTCCGCTAGATGATGTAGATCGCATTCTTGAATGCTCACCGCCCGAATTCCTATCTTCGTACATGATATCAGCCAGAGAACGCAGCTTCCGCTTTCGCCTGTGCACGACAGACACACTGAAAGCATCTTCACTTTCGGACGAAGCATTGTCCACTTCATTGTGCACGGTGTTTGAAGTATCTGTCGACAAAAATAAGTGAACCTGATCCATCTCGAAATAGTGCACAAATAAACATATGGAGAAAGAAAAAGGGGAAACTCGAGTTACCGGCACTTTTCTTATGCTTCTGTTTAGCCTTCGGCGAATTAGCTTCAGTTATATAAGCACGTTCATTTCCACCTTCATTATCTTCGACTATGTCGATTTTCTCTCTGTTGCCTGCAGAGATATTAGAAAACATATCAAACTGAGAAAACCAATCAAAAAGCATGTCTAAAAAGCTTTGAAATCAAACTCAATCTAGTCGACTTATGAAGGATTGTACTTGTCGTAGTTTTATGTCCTTCAATGGACTGCACATGGCAACTCATCACTTTGTTAGTTGGATCACTATCTTCTTCTTTGTGTCCAGAATCTCTCGACTCGAACTCTTTGCCTGCAAAAGCAATGGAGAAATGAAAATTGACAAAAGAAACATCGTAGGCGATACATATACATGTACTCATACTTCTACTAAACAATTACCTGCCATTTGTGCTGCTACTACATTATGCGAGAACAAGCCGACTCGTTCTTCACCTACATTTGGGCGCGAACTTGTCTCGGCATCATATTCAATTGCAAGAGGTGTTTCTAGAGCAGACTTCTCATCAGCATGAATATCCGGAACACAATGCGTACAATGCCACCATCGCGACTTTGGAATGGACAGCGGAGGTAGATTTTCCATTAAGACATCATCAGCAGCAGAATCGAAAGGCAGACACATCTTCCAATCTTTTTCGCGAACGCCAGCAACAAAGCCACTGCATGCATCCACAGTGCGAATAATCTTTCGGAATTAAATGAATCCATTCAATCATCAACACATTGTAAGCATATATGGTAGCTAGGAATGCATCTAGCAAAATAGCGAAAATCGAAACCATCTTAATATGGAAAATGTAGGAAGCTCAGACACTAATCAATGCCTTATCAAAACCCCGAGGAACTCCTCATCAATGCAAGATGCCTAAACCCAAAATTTCGACAACCTACACTCCTTAATAAATGAATCCTTGATTTCTAAGAGAAGCGGACGGCGTTTCAAACACGTGGAATATCATCTTTACATACCATAAAATTTCATTTCCATATGCATCTAACCATAACTAAACACATGATGTGTAGATCAATTAAACCGTCGAAGCGAAGGCATTACCATGAAAAATAAATGAACTTCAACACCAAGACAAGTTTCGAAAGAATCAAAACTAGATGAAAGAAATGTGTGAGCGAGTAGTCAAGTAAAGAAACGATGAACTACCGAATGGAGAAATGCCCTCCGGATGGCGACTCTTGAATCGCCTCATTCGCGCAGCTAATATCTATTGCTATGGAGTTAATCTGAATTAGTGATCCTGAAGGCCTTGGTGGAGGTAGAGCTATGGCATCGCTTACTCTATGATTGTCTTCCACAGCCACAATACTTTTGTCCATTTCAATGTAAGTACCTAAAATCATTGAAAGAAACATTTATTAACAACAATGTTCATGTGAAAATGACAAAACTTGATACTTTAAAGTTTAATGATGATCAAGACCAGCCCCAAATCGATCACTACTAGAACTGACTATCCACATGCAATATAACAGATAAAGTTGAAGTCAAAAGGTGTTTGAATGTAAAACAAATCTATAAACAAGTTTACAACTAGAAGATTACCTCAGAAAGATCGAAACCAAGTTAACCAATGAGACAAATCGCAACAACAAGTGGAATAACAACTACTATCACTAAAGCCCTCATTTGGATAAGAACAAAAACCCTAATTGACAATTAAAGCAAAATCTAACCCAATCAAAGCTTTGACACGATCGAATGCATCCCAACAGCAATAGATAGGAAAAGGAAGTAAAATAAGGCACAAAAGGAATCTCAAGAATTCGAAGCGATTTTAGGGTTTTGGTTTGGGGACAAAATTTCAAGAAACAAATCGAAAAAATCAAGACATGACGAAGAATCAGAAATCAACTTCAAATCAACACAATACAGTCGATCTCTAACAGCATAAACAAATCGAAGCTTCGGATGTTAATCCGATGCATCTCTTCCATTAACTTTAAACAAGCGTTTAACAAAAAAGTCGGGATTTATTTTCCCCCCAACACCCACTAAGCAGTACATCAAAAACAGTAAAGAATAAGTAAAACAGTACCATAAAATGATAGAAATGTCGAAAGGAACCCCAACCGAAAAAGGACATTAAAAAAAATCGACAAACTAAAAGTAAAATGGAAAATCCCAAACTTCGGATATAATTAGAGTCGGAGGCGGAAAAATTCAGCTCGAAGTCAGCTAAGATATCAGGGAATTGCAACAAACGACACTCGAATCCCAAACAAAAACAACCACCAGATCGATAAACAGTAAACCAAAATCGAAAAATTACGAACCTCTTTATCCGAATCGGAGAAATAATTAGATCAAAACCCCAGAAAAATCCCTCCTCAGCTCACTCTCAAAACCCTCTATTCGATTCAAGTGCAGCTTCGGAACCCATCTCCATGAATTTCCCTCAACCGATTCGCCACCGGATTGTGCGAATTGAAAACCCAGATGATGGAGAACCCTAGATTTTTTTTAGGTTTGAAATTCGGTAGAAAGGGAAAATTGTTTTACACAGAGAGAGAGAGAGAGGAGAGAGAGAGAGAGAGAGAGAGCGCGAGCGATATAGAGAGAGATTGTATGTGTTTGTGTGGGCGTAAATTACTAAAATTAAAATTGTCAGTTTTTACTGTCGACGCATACAAAGTATTTATATTATTTTGTCGCCTATACATACAAGCGAGTGTATCTAACGCAGAGTGAGTAGTCCTCAGCCAATCAGAGCGCGCCAGCTGGATCCGCGGTGGGATGCTTATCGCCTTCCCCATTATAGGTTCTCTGAAACCCTAGTCAAACGAGGTCTGGAGCGTGGTTTACACGCGCTGCGATTGAAGGGTTGCTTCAGAGCAGTGTGTTGTCAAAGCACTTAGACGGCATCCGATTGGTCCGTGACGAACACGCGCGTAGGATGAGAGTAACAGAATTTCGAGTGGAAAAAGGGAACCCTAAATTTGTGTGGGTAATAAAGAAGGAAGGTAAAGGTGGGGATAACCCTAAAGGCTCCTCAGCCCATTTTCTAATAATTATTAATATACAAAATTTTTTATTTGATAATTACAATTAATTAAAAATTTCATATATTTGTGTTAGGGTTTCTTTAATTAATTAAAATCATTCAATTAGGTAATAAAAGTCAATCTGGTTGTATTTCTTACAAAATCTTGAAAATTGCTATTATTTAATAGAAGATCAGATCTTTATATTTTCACACAATTTTATTAATATAATAAATCATATACAATATATATTTTTCATTTTGATCGTGTAATTATATTAAGCTTTTATAATTATTTCGATAGATACGAATTTATTATCGTCTGCGTACTGAAAAAAATAAATTTCGTACGGATCTGAACTATTTAGTAGTTATTTGGTTTATACTATTGTAACTATAAGTTGGTCAATTAATAAATTAAATTAAATTAAATAAATGAAGAATTATTATTTTGTAATAGGGTTTGTTAATTTGTTATGTTGAATTGTAATTCTATATATATATATATATATATTTAAAGACAACAATTAGCATGCATTTGTGAAATTTAAAATTCAATTTAATTCAGTACAAATTTTGATTTAAGGAAGTGTCTAATCGAGAATGTGATGTTTTCACTGTTATTTAAATTAACATTACAAGATCCGAAATGTTTTTATTTTTATTTTTTTTTACTTTTCAATTATTATTTCCATTGATTAAGGTTGGTGTGAAATATGGGGCCCACGTGTTATGGATCTATGTGAAATAATTTTTAGATTTAAATAAATGTACGTATTGTGAGTAATATATTGGTGTTTGTGTGTATGTACATCATAAACTAATAATGTAATTAATATTATTGTAATAGTCTTGTTAAGATTTAATTAGTACTTCAATATAATAGAATGAATGTCATGCATCTTTATATTTTTAAATTATATGAATATATAATGTTAAAAAAATAACCTTTTAAATTGTTGATAAACTTTATTTTATATCTTGAATGAAATATATGTATTAAATATGAAACTCTAAAAAATGCATTTTGCCAAAGAATATAATTGACAGGGCAGAAAGGTAAAAATGGTCTTAAACAAATGAATCCATAATTTTTTATGGGGAAAAATAGGTGAGTATGAGGTAGATTTTTGTCACCATATATATTAGTCTAAAAATTAGATGTGGATTGCACTTTTGTTCCTTTTAATTTTTATTTTTATTTTTTAATATAAAGATTTTTATATACAAATATATTATTTTTTTTTTCAAAAAAAAAAAATATAGCATAATATCTAAATCAAATATGACAATATAAAACAAGAGCCAAAATGAACAAACCCAACATCTTTGTGTTAATCTCTTATTATTATTATTATAATATATTTTTATTTTTTATTTTTTTAGTGTCATTTCATGTCATATCTCTTTTAAAGTTTGATTTTTGTTTTTATATTGAATAAATAATTTGAATGTGATGCTTACAGAAAAAAATAATAATATATTTTTAAGTAGAATTTTAATTATTATAAAATAAACATTTAAAATCAAACTCCAAAAGACCAAAAGAACGTATCCATCTTCTCCTTATATATTTGTTCCAATTCTATTTAGATTCACAATATATTTGTTTGGGGGGTTTGGATTTTGAGTTGAGATTTGAATAGTAAAAATTTTGAATTTGAATAGTGGTATGATATGATATAAATAGGTGTTGATGTGATATTTTGAATGTAAAATTGATTTTTTGTATAATATATAAAATAAAAAATAGATGTTTGATTTGATATTTTGGGGGAAAAAAATGGGATGAACAGTGGATTGATCCAATCCCAAACAAACACACCCAGCATTTCATTTTTTATTTTTTGAATAATTGTCTTGGATGGAAAATTTTGTTTCAAATGAATAATAATATATGTATGTATTAACAAATGAAACCATATATTAAGTTCAAACTACTATTCAAATTAAAACCTAAAATTGAAATTTTAAAAAATATATATATATATATATATATACTTTTTTATATGAGTTTAAATCATTAGATATTATCGATTTTATCACATGGCTATTTAAATGCTTTTTATAATTATAAAATATATTATGGCTCAAGAATAGAGACATATACTTAATTCACATTTGTTTAATTATATATATTATTTATATTAAGATGAAAAATTAATTAGAGGATAATTAACATTAAGAGGTTAATTTGTTTAGTTCTTTTATATATATATATATATATAAATATTTTCAGTATGCAACATCATAATTCTCTATAATTTCTTCACATTACATCTATAATTATTTAAATAAAAATTCACAATCAAAATCAAGTACAAACCAAATACATTTTTTGTTTCTACTGTTGAGGGAAGAAAATATGTACATTTACATGCTCTGATGAGGATATGGACCACATAATAAATATTTGTGTATATATATATATATATATGTGGATGTGTAAGAATTATTTAGGTCCAAAGTATTTATTTAATTAAAAATAAATATATATATATATTTTTTGTATTTAATTATATATTAAATATGTTTCTATTTTGGTGAGTAACATCTTTGTCCTTGTAAAATAATTGTACCTACCATACTTGAGTTAGTATAGAAAATTTATGATAAAATTGATCTTTCTACATTTGCAAATTTGTTGTGTGCGTGTATATAATAATTATATTAATACTATTTAATAATATAAAAAAATTATAATAACATAATACTATAGCCATCTTATAAAAGTATGCGCATTTTGTATAATAATAATAATAATAATAATAATAATAATAATAATAATAATAATAATAAGACACAAATGTTAAAATGTTAAATTGAGAAATATATTTTGGTGAGTAATATAATTTTAGAGTCTAAAATGTTAAATGAATCATTTATGTTTCTTACTAAAAATTAGAATGCATAAATATCATTACCATATATAAATAATTTTATTGTGCATTAAATTTAAACAATTATTTTTCAGCAATTCTTTTTAATTTATTTTATTTTATTATATTGTTTTGCATTTTATAGAAAAATTGTTTATTTAAATACTTTATATAATATATATTGCTAGCTCATTACTATATATATATATATATATATATATAGAACTAGAAACAAAAATTTTTATGAACAAAAATTTGAATATAATATTTTGTGAAATAAAATAATCAAACAACTATATAGTAGGTCTAACTAATGGCCCAAGCCCAGAGTAGTCGATCCCGATAAATTGCGCCGAGCAATCAAGTTGGACATAGAACAACTATTCTATCCAATCGATTAATTGCTTTCTTGAGCCGTTATATTTTTATATTTTTTTAAACATCAATTTAGATATAATACACCAACTCGTGATTGCTTAATCCTCTTCCAATCGTAGGGATCAAGACATTTATAATCATCTTCTCATTTACATGTTGAACAAATCAACAAGACATTTGTTAAAAAAATCGATGGAGTCTCAAAGTTTGGAATTCTTGTCCTAAGCTTACTATTGATAAGTTAGGATATTAACATTTAGTTAGCAGCAACAATGAACAAAATAAAAAACGATATGTATCACAAGATTTAGTTAGCCCGTATTTTTGTATATATCATTTTCCAACTATGATCTTTATTAAAAATAAAATCGACGAAAAGAATATAAATTACATTAAACAATCAAGATCAAATTCAATCAAAACCCTAGAATTTTCTTCATATATATATAAGCTAATATAATAGATTTTATAATTAGAAAAACAATTGTTTATAAGCTACATTTGTATGATGGTTACTTTACACTTTTACACGCCTTCAATTACATTTATAATAGTATTTTTAAAAACAATATTACCTGAGATTATACTACATATATTATCAAAAATATTTTGAATCATTTTAGAAAAAAAAAAAACAAAATTTAATGTTTTTGAATAAAAAGATCATTTTTCTTATAACATTATAAATACAAAACATGAGTTGATGAATATAAATTTTTATGTTTGAATTGAATACTAAAATATTAAACTATAAAGTAAAAAATATATAACTAAACAAACTCTTAATATAAAATTCATTTTGTTTTTCTAAAAAAAACACTAATAGAAAAAAACCAAATTTGATTGAATTTCTTTTGTTCATCCAATATTTTTTTAATAATACCATTCTCTATAAATATTATAAATATATATATATAATAATAAAATAATAGTTTGAATATAATCTTTTGAATAAAAGACTATTATTTAACATAATGTATTTTTAATTAGGAAAAATGGGTGATTAAATAATAAATTTTTGAAAAATAAAAAACCTACAGTACAAACAAATCGTATGTGGTTTGGAAATAAAATTTTCGACAGTAAAATTTCAATTATATACATGATGGAAATTGGAAGCTTCCTACAGAAATTTTAACTCTTATTAATTATTGCGATAATTCCAACAATTAACGTAATCCAAACGTATACCGAAATAATATCAATGTTTGAATCTTCATCGATTTCTTAGATCGATGAAGTTATCCTTTCAAAATTCTCAAATAATTTTGCTCCAATTATATGCCAACTAATATTTACCCAAAGCTCGGATACTCATGTGAAAATTTCTTACAAATTGCTCGGATATGAAAAATAATATTGACTTAATCCTAAGTTTTAGCCGATAGAAAGAGTGAGATTTTTAAAATCTTTACTCATTATTTTTTATTTATTCAAAAGTATGAAAAAATAATTATGGTTACACAAAAGTTCTTAGAAACTGCCATTTTTTTAAAATCAATATATATATATACATATATATCTAGTTTCATATAGATTATTTAAGTGGCTCAAACAAATTTTTATATGATTTAATAAATTATTCAATTATTTAATAAAAAGATTAATTACATCATTGCCTATTTACTTAGGCCATGTTCCCTTATCTTTTAGAACCTATATTTTGGCACGACAGGCCAGTCAACAATACCAAATTATTTTTCGGTGGATCCCATTCATTATATTAAAGTAAAAATTTTTATTTTCACATTCTAATGTTTAAATAGAAATTCAGATAAGAATTTGGAAGTTTGGAAGTTTAAAAAATGTTTAGGAATAGTAAAATTTGATTATATGATGTGATTTTTTTTAAAGAAAAATATATTCCATGTAATAACAAAAATTCAAACAGTACGTGGCAATTCAACAGTCTGCTTTGGGCTGAGTCCGCGCGAATTCAACAGTCTCATTCCAGTGGAGTTTACTTGGAACTTATAAAGCCTCACTTTTTGTAATTTTTTTCATCACATCCAACGTAGAACTTGAGTTTGAACCCAACAAATAATAATGATAATAATAATAATAATGGAATTTGGCTAAGGCCACTTTCATACACTTTCTTATTCACTACTTCTCAATGTCTCTGTCTGTCTGTCTGTGGGTCAATATATACATATGTAATAAAAATATAATAAGTAGTCCTAAAATTTGCATGGCGAGTCAAACAGGTTATTATTACAAATGAAAAGTAGTTTGAAGAGTTTGTACCCGATTTCAACCTTATTTTTGCATCTGGAAAATTATATATATATACACACATATGTGTGTGCATATTACAAAGTTCATCATCATTCATTCTGATTATCAAAACGGTGCCATATATATATATATACATACATATACTTAATACAATTTCTATTAAATCTCTCTCGTAATTTCAGTAACAGTAGAGAGAGAGAGGAGAGAGAAGAATTGAAAAACAACAAAAGTCCATTCCCTCCTTCCAAGAATTCATTCATTCTAAATGTACAAATCATAGATCATAACCCTCAAGCTCAAACACAATACAGAAAAAGCAAAAAGGCACAATTGATCAATTTCAAGAATATATCAAATAGAAAAACAAAGGGGAGTTACAAAATACAAAATATATATATATATAAAATAAAAATTATAGTAAAAACTTAAAAGAAAAAAAAAAAAAAAATGATCAATCCGTCACAGGCTTCCAGATCTCCCTGACGTACTTTTGGCCGGTTTGAATTTAGACATGTCGACAAGGTCTCCAAACAGCTTATCCTCCGGCTTCATTGGCTTTCCCGGCGGCAGCACATACGAGTTTCTCAGGGCACTGTCGTCCCTCACCGACATTCCAGCCATGCCCTGCTCGAGATACTGGGAGTTCGGCGCCGCCTGCCCTTGGCCATAGTTGTAGGCGGGGTACCCGTAGCCACCGACTTGGTTGCCGTACATCTGTTGAGGATACATGTAGCCCATCTGCGCCGCCTGCTGGGGATACATTCCGACGGGCTGTAGGTTGTTCTGGTGAGGATGCACGCCGCCACCCCCCATCATAGCAGCAGGGTAGTTGCCAGGGGTTGGCTGCATGAACATTCCAGCTGCCGGGAGGTTGTTGGCCATGGTGGGCGATCTTGGCGAGTATGGTAGTGGCTGGGCCGGGCTGAAGACTTGCAGTTGTTCGGGCTCGTTGACGGCCGCCTGGCTGTTGTCGAGTTCGGCTTCCCACGGGGGAGGTGGGAGCGAGCTGCTATTTTGCACGCCTGCAAATCGAACAATCGAATAATCAAGTATATATGTTCGATGAATAAGTTTCGAATTTATTGGATTTTTGGGAACGCACCGTAGCCGGGGGAGGCTGGTTGTGGTGGCGGGGCGATCTGGCCGTTCCAGGCAGGAGCAGAGCCTTGTGAGTAGAAGGAATGTTCACCAGGCGGCAATGCGGGGGCGGCGCTTCCATTTGGGTACGCAGAAGCTGGCAGCGATTGTACGTTTGATTGCTGGGGGAATTGAGGCGACGAAGGATGGGGTTGTGCCATGGAATTCGAAGACGGACCGTTGTTGCTCGGTGGATACATGTCGAGAAGAGCGAGTGCGTTCTGCTGGGATGCGACAGGGCTTGCGGACTGAGGCTCTCCGACGGAAACTAGTGCTAGTGAGTTTTCGGTGGAAGTGTTGAACCCGTCGCCACTCAAGAGATCGATATTTGCATCCACTTTTTGGCCGTTTGTCGCTGGAGGAGCAGGGAGCGCTAGCTGTGTCGCTAAGCTAGTACTTGACGATGTAGATCTGCAATTCGGATAAATTTTTTTCTTAGATGACAAAATCGAGTAATTCAAGTGGATAATAACATAAAAGCTCGTGGACTCAATAGTTATCCAAGAATATCTCGTAACAGCTAGCAAAATCAGAATGATTTTTACCCGTTATCCAGTGGTTGATCACCAGTGTCGATAAGAGGAGCATCAACATTCACCAAAGATTTATCTGATTCAGGTTTCGGCTTCTCGGGCTGAGCTTTGATAGTTCCTGATGCAATGGATTCATGCTTGGCAAGTACGCGTTGCAAATCATCATTTAGAGCAAGTCCTTGGCTTAATAGTGATTCATCCCTACACGGAAAGCCAGAAGATGGCCAACAAGTCAATAGGACATGCCCAGGAAAAAGACGAGACCCTTATAGGGTTATACATAAATGGAATTCGGATGAGGACATGGTATAGGACAAAGTCTTACACTGTAGAGTTAACCAGGTGTACGACTCTATGCTTGAACGATCGACATTGTTCAACCAAATCGAGAATGACTTCTTGCTTAGCCCCCTGCCACCCAGAAAATAGAAATTAATCTTAATCATATTAACATGCACAATTTTGATTCCCGAGACATAGAAGGAAGTAGAGTTAGTCATCATTGAACATTTCCAATGCCACAGATTACTAATTATCACTTCACATGTTTGCCAGAAAATGCATCCCCAATTGAACCCCCATTTAATTTAAACTAAGCCAGCTACAATGGGAATGGTGATCGACAGATTTACAATTCCAAAACACATTCGTACCTCTTTGTTACCAGGATCTAAAGCATTCAGCATTTCAGTAAGGACATCCACAATTCCACGTGCATTTTGAATTTCGGACAAGCTACAAATTACATAAAACAAAGATCAACAAAACTTCATGACCTAAAAGCCTTACAATAGAATCCTAGCCTTACCTCATTGCTGGAGCATCAGCATCTGCAGAAGATTCAGGGGCAGCTGATCCAGATTCAGGATTTCTAAGATTTGGTGGATAAGATGACAAAGGTTGTGATTGTGGTGGTGTCAAAACAGGTGCTGATGACTCAGATCTTTGGGGGAAAACAACTCCAAGTCTCTGTTGCAATGATGCCACAGAAAAGCATAAAAAGAAATAAATTGACATCATCTTACATAGAACTAGCCAACTAGATTTGAAATAAAACTAAATGACGAGTCAAGAATATGCTAGCTAGCATGACATACCAATAACTCCTGATAAGCTGCAAAGAATTGGGGATATCTTGCTCTCGGACCCCCTAAAGCTTCTTGCCAAGTATCTATTAGAACCAATATCTTCTCTCTTACATGAAGATCAGGCTGAAACAAAGAAATTTTCATTTTTGGTGTGAAATGTCGCAGGGACCAACAGTTGGAAAAGAAAGATTTAGTCACAGCACACCAATTTACCTTCTTTTTTATCATTTTCACCATGTCACGAGGTAGCTCTTTCTCAGCAACATACATATGGACAATGTCGCTACAATTCTTCACAATAGTCTCTAATAGCTACAAAATGAACCCATACCAGCTTTGTTACCCCCTCACAAAATGGCAGTATGTAATATTGAAGGTTTACTAAGATTCTAGTATATGTACACCTGGCCATTGATGCATATATTATATGGGGTACTAAAATAATCTTCTTAGAAATTCTAGGTTTCGTCTAATTATTAATTACCATCTTTCTGTCCCGTACAATTTACTAAGTTACTTGCAGTCTGCAGATCACAGCAGCTATATGAAACGATAATCCAGTAATTAGCCTCTTCAGGTTTGCCAATGCACACGCTATGCTTTTTCCCAATGTACACATTATAGTCTTCCGTCGACGAATCAGTTTCGGTAATTACAGTACAATACTTGAATATCTAGGGTATTGTGTGTGCTATTTATTCCTCCTTTTCCCCAGTTTCTTAATCAAGTACAGCAATTTTGCTGCATCCTAAGACTTTTCCAAACTAAACATGCAGAGCACTATTAGTAAAGCAAAGAACTATTTATCATATATCTAGAAATATTAGTATTATTTTTCAATTAGTATCATCCATCCAGAAAAGAGTTTGTTGAAGCCATAATTTGGTTTGTGGCTTGAGTGCAAAAATTCAAATGAACAAGCACTAGCTTAATTAGGATGAATGGATCAGAAGGCATGATTAACATAATAACAAGCAAATCAAATAAACAAACAATAAAGATGATTCAACTTGCTACTATAGGAGCTCAAAATGAACGTAATGCGATATTAGTAAACAAAACTCAAGCTTACCGTCAAGGCAAGAAGCTGGGTTTTGGGATTTTTGCTACGAAGCCGCTTCTTTATACCTTTAACAACATCTTTTGCTTGTCTGATGTAAAAGAAAGAGAGACATAGAGAAATTCAACACAGAACTCAGATTTTCTCACAACAGAAAAGCAAAAGAATACATCATATAAAAGCAAGAAATGCGGCACAAGGAAAAAATGTCAAAAAATTCATGTATTCAGGAAAAGCCTCCCATCAGAGCTACTCCTTTACTCAGTGCTGAACTGGGCAAGCCTTGCTTCACAATCAAATGTCAAAACAACATATAATGATATATATATATATATACATTTTCTTTTTACATATAATGTTATATCTACTTGTTCTATAATGCAGCCTGGATATGATCATTTCTCCTAGCAAGATACCTTCAAAATGCTAATTAATCAAAGAAAATTCCTGATCATGCCAATATATGACTAAATATTAATCAATCGCCCATGATGTAGAGAAAAATTCCATCGGCAAGAAAACAAAATAAACAGGAAAGCAGGGAAGATATAATTATAAATAAATAAACAGCAACTGCAAGCATGTTTTTCTTTTCATTTCTCCCATCACAACAAACCGAAGACATAACGAAAGAAGATACAAGGTGAGAAAATTACGCAGGATCCTGGTTGCAGATATCACAGATCTCAATATTCATTGCCCAATCCGGACCGATCAGCATATTGCTCGTCGCCCTTTCCACCATCGGATTCACCATTTTTTCACCCTTTACCTTCAAAACCCCTCTCCCCGGAGACAAATCGGAAACCGCAATTAAATCGTCGCCTCGCCGCCGGTGTGTAAACTGTCGCACGAATCCCCGATATGCCCCGAAAATTGAATCTCAATCCAAATTACAAATATCAAATGGAGCCAAGACGATGACTCAAACTCCTCGGATCCAATCGCCCCTCCTAGGAATTGAGATTTCACACAATCGGGGAAAGGGGAGCGGAAACAATCTGGGAAATTTTTACGGAATATACATAGAAATGTCAAGAAAACACCAACGATTCGAAGACGCGTGGTGGTCCATTGTGCCACGAGTTCATTGTTCATATCGACGGTCAGTTAAGCCGCCGACTATCATAATAAACGGCTACGATTGAATATTCTTTGGGCCAATCACTCTTATTGGGCCTCATAATTTATTGGCCCATTAGGCCCAATTTCGTAAAGCGATAAAACCCAGAAGCCAATTCTCGCTACAAGCCTCCGCCATGGCCGCCGCGACGGCGTACGGCACCGAGCTGCACACCTCCGGCGACTTCCTACGTTGATAACGATCTTGTCTTTTGCTTGATGTGTTTTGAGATGCGGTTTCGTCAGGCTTTCTCCTACTGATTCCTGGATGATCATTATTGTCGGTGATTTCTTATTAATGCTTGTGCTGCTTTTATTCGTACTGAATTCTGTGGATTGTGGATTGTGAAGCTAATTTGGTATTGAGTTGCTGTTCTTCTTTATGGAATGTAGACTTATCCAGATATGGTCATCATCATAGTTTCTCCATCTGGTAGTTGTTTTGAATATGGATCTTAGCGACTGTGTGCTGATGAATGATGATCTTCCTCCATCTTTGAGGAGAACAAAAAGCGTTTCTCCAACTAATGCGACTACTACGTCATTTCTAGATTGGTGGAACCAAAAGCGTGTTTCTCGAACCAATGCTAAATGCTATTACGTCATTTCTAGAGTGCTGTGCCTATCTGATCCTATCGAAATTATGGATGTGTTCCGGTACGCTCACCCCCACCGTAAGGGATCTCGACACGCACCCCTCTGTCAATCCTGACCCTAGATTAATGACGCGGGATCCTTCACACTGACGTCTCTTCTTCCTATAAATAGGAGTAGAGTCAATGCGCAGGACAGCGAAAGCTTTGATAGTTGTTACCTGCGTAATCTATCATCATATTCTGTAACTTGCTAACATGCACGGTGGGAACGCTGATCGGAGGTTGCATGCTCTGTTACGACACCTGGAGGGAGCCAATCCGACGGACTCCGGCGATCGTTCCGTCTCCTTTGCTCCGACTTCGGGTTACTCTGGAGCCTCCGTCTTTGATCATGTCGTTCGCGCGCCGGAAGATCCGATTCTCGGAGTAATTCTTGCATTTCTCTATTTTTTTTTTTTTTCAGATGTGATTGAGACTGTGATTGATCGTTCTGTCTTTGTGCTTTTGGTTGCCGCTAATTTCAGTAACAGATAGATAGATCGAGGAGATGATAAGCAAACTACGAACTCTAATTTTTGTGGAAGTTTATAAGAAACGTGGATCATACTCGTGTCTATAGTTGAAAATGTAGTTGAGATCATTAAAGAAAAATTTTCTTCCTACTTTGAAATAGCAACGACACTAAGGCCTAAGCTCCTTGGGCAAGGATTTTTTGCATAATCGTAATTGGAAGGTTTTCAAATTTTCATCCATAGTCTTGGAGTCATCGTCTTTACTTTGATTAGTTGTTGTGATTTCAATATCTTCCTATGCTTTGTCATGTCCTTGGAGTTGAATCTTCATGTGCTGTTTTCCTTGCTTAAAAAATGTATCTAAACTGCTTGTATAAGCACTGTAGGTAACTGTTGCGTACAACAAGGATCCCAGCCCTGTGAAGTTGAATTTGGGTGTGGGTGCATATCGGACCGAGGTGAATCCTCTTATGCTTGATTTAGTTGCATTATCGATTATTATTTTGTCCATACCAATCACAAAATGCTCTGTATTGTCTCAATGGAAGGAAGGAAAGCCTCTTGTTCTGAATGTTGTTAGAAAAGCAGAGCAGATTCTAGTGAATGACAGGTATAAATTTATTTTTATTACTATTGTGTGTGCATTTTGAGCTTTTTCAGAACTGATGTTTGAGCTGATTCATTGGCAGATCTCGCGTGAAGGAGTATCTTCCCATCACTGGATTATCAGAGTTTAATAAATTGAGCGCTAAGCTCATACTCGGTGCTGAGAGGTAATTGTGTTACACATGTTAGCAGTCAGTGCATCAAAAACTTGGTCTCTCTTTATGGTAGGAGATGCAGTAACATTTTCAAGGTCATTGTATCTCACTGAGTATTATATGTTCATTCATTTATGAAGGTGTCTTGGTTTTTACTTAAATGTTTACATTGTGATGGGATGGTAGTTAATAATCCCTGGACTAACGAGTTCTCATTCTATCAAAATTTCATTAAAATAGGCCTAGATCCCGCATATATTCTATTAGGAAACTTGGAATAACTTATCCATCCCCATCATTCATGGTAAACATGTCCAAAGTGCATAAGGACAAATCTATAGGGTGATTTCTTAAGCTAGTAGTGATTCAAACCATGTTTAGTATTTTCATTACCTTGGTATGCTGTTTGTAATCCTGTGTCCTACATTCCTAATGCAATGGAGTTGTCCGGTTGTCCCTTAGGATGTCCGCAGTTCACATGCTTGCTAAATGAAAAATATGAAATGATTTGCAATGTGCTATCCCCATTCCTTGATTTAAGATTTTTCAGAAACTTCTCTAAAATATTAATGTTAGACTAATTCCAAATGAAAATGGTCATCTTTCTCGAAGTCTCTGATGTGTAAACATCATAAAAATGGAAGGGGATATTGATCCTTCGTTAGTGCCTTTTAAGTTTTACTCTATATGATACAACTTTAATTTCCTTTATTCTTGGAAACAGTCCTGCAATCCAGGAGAACAGGGTTACAACCGTCCAGTGCTTGTCTGGCACGGGCTCGTTAAGGGTTGGAGCTGAATTTTTGGCCCAGCACTATCATCAGGTAATACTTAATAAAGTCATTCTACATTTCACTCCATGACTCCCGGCCTATAGGGCCGATTTCACTAGGAATACTTCACTTTTGTCGTATATTCACTTCATCCCTATTTATGTTTTGTTCATGCTGCAGCACACTATATATATTCCTCAGCCAACATGGGGGAACCACCCAAAGATTTTCAATTTAGCTGGTTTATCAGTAAAAACTTATCGATACTATGATCCGGCAACCCGTGGACTCAACTTTCAAGGTTCTCTTTCTTCATTGAACATTAGAGGATATTTTACTTATGAATTGGCTGATTTTATACTTCTCTTTATCTTAACCTTTTCCAGAAAACAGTAAGAACTTTTTTAAACTCCATTCTCTATCTGCTAAATTAATCTTCAATATCACTGAAAATTACATTTTTCATGCTTGAAAATCAGCCAAAATTTCCTCATTTGAACTGTCAAGGACTAGCATTTCAGGTTATAATAAACCCTTTGACTTGATCATCTGAGAACTTTATAATTCTCTGCACAAAGGGATTTGCGTCTCAATTTTGGTTTAAATTTCCAGCATAGTCCAAAATTTTGTAACAGATTTTGGATACATTATAGACAATATTGTCCTCTCAGGTGTGTTTTGCATGTTTTAGTAACCAATGCTTGCATAATCAACGATGAACTGTATATTTATTGATGTTTCTGCTGATAGTTTTTTCGGGACAATCTTAGACATGGTTATTAAAACCATTTTCTTTTGTTCATTCATATTTTTTCAATTTGACAAGGAAGGCCTCGAAACAAACTTCTAGCCCATGCTTCTAACGTTTCTATCTTCATAAAACTATGATAATTACTGCAAAACATACTCCTCTGTTGGAAAATCCCAGGCTTGTTGGAAGACCTTGGATCTGCTCCTACGGGAGCAATTGTTCTTCTTCATGCTTGCGCTCACAACCCAACTGGTGTCGATCCTACTCCTGATCAGTGGGAGAACATTAGGCGGTTGATGAGATCAAAAGCATTGCTACCCTTCTTCGACAGTGCTTATCAGGTAAGTAACAAACAACCTTAGGAATTTCTGATTTTGCATCAACGCCCTGAATTTCAGACTGAATGATTTCTTTTTATATTTAAATTGGAATTTTGTAGGGTTTCGCTAGCGGAAACTTGGATGCAGATGCACAGCCGATTCGGATGTTTGTAAAAGATGGAGGCGAATGTTTAGTGGCTCAAAGCTACGCTAAAAACATGGGGTTATACGGCGAGCGAGTGGGTGCACTAAGCATTGTAAGTTAGGCAGAACCGAATCCATCAGTCTAGACTAAGAATTTTTACATTCCAATGCTTTTACAGGTCTCCAACTTTCTTGACAATTTCCAAATTCACAGGTCTGCAGGAATGCTGATGTGGCGAGCAGAGTCGAGAGCCAGTTAAAATTAGTTATCAGGCCTATGTTCTCTAACCCTCCTATTCATGGAGCATCCATTGTGGCTACAATCCTTAAGGACAGGTGCTGTAATTTTCTCCATAGCTGCTTACTCAGAAATGGCCAAAATCATGGATATCCAAATTTACTGTTTTTTTTTCCGACAATATACTTGCAGGAACATGTTCCGCGAATGGACAATTGAGCTCAAGGCAATGGCTGATCGAATCATCCACATGCGAAAATTACTTTTTGATGCCTTACGCAGTCGAGGTGATTGATTCAATCTCTCTATGCTACATTATTGTTTCTTTTTTTCATTTTTCTTATAGGTTGTGTTCTAATGTAGAATTTTTAAAATTTTTCATTATTCAATTAATTTCTTTTCCCTAAAACATCGAATAAAATATATATATTTGGGAGAGTGATCCCACGTCTTATTCAATTTTTCCCCCAAATTATTCATCACACTCATCACCATTTTTATCATTTTTATTTTCTCTTCTATTTTGTGTGCTTTCACATTCGCCTTATTATATTTTTTTTCAAATCTTATCGATCGATCAATCCATCAGGTACGCCGGGCGATTGGAGCCACATTGTAAAGCAGATAGGGATGTTCACCTACACGGGGCTCGACTCAAAGCAAGTGGCATTCATGACCAAGGAATATCACATCTACATGACATCGGACGGGTACTTTTTACTTTCTTCTATGAACCTTGTCGAAATAAAATAACAATAGTGATGAATCAGCTCGATTTTTTCGTAGGAGGATAAGCATGGCAGGTCTGAGTTCGAGGACAGTTCCACATCTAGCAGATGCAATACATGCCGCTGTCACTCAGGCAACCGTCTAAGGGACCTCCCGGTGTGGCAGGCAGCCGAGTTGTCTACTTAGTCCATACAAGACATATAAGGTAATGTGAAAATAAATATGCTTTGGATGCAAGCGTCAATAGCTTTCTTTCCTTAAAATGATTTTTGTTTTTTAAAAAAAAAAAGAAGAATGAAATTATAAATAAATGTTGTGTACGTTAGGAAGACAATTGAGGGAATTATGTGATTCAGAATAATGTGAACTGCATGAATTTGGTGCTGCTGTAAGGTGAATTTAATTGTTTGTCAAACCTTTTTGCTAATTTTTTTTTTTTTTTTTAAATTCTTAATTGCATTTTTCTTTTAGATGGTGTTGGTTTACTTTACTTTACATTTTTTGCTTGGGAATGCTTCATAAATTAGTAAATTTTCTAAAAGTTATATAATGTGAGAAAGGGAACAAAAATTCACAAACGGTTCAGAATCTCTCCATATGCAGTTAAAATTTAAGGTATTGTTTGGTTTTGATTTGAATAATCTTTTATGAAAATAATAATATATTTTTATTTAAAAATTAGTAGAATAATAATAATTTTGATGTGAAACTAAAACCAATAAAATCCCAAGTTATGTATTGAGACAATAAGATGTAGATGTGAACGCAACCCCAACATGGCAAGGCCCATGGAATAATCGATCAATTACAAAACAAAAAAGGGCAAGAAATGAGTAATTGCTTTTATACATAAAACATACTGTATTATATATTACACAGACATTATATATATTTATATTATAGATGGCATGTATAGTAGTAGTTTAGTGTATTTGGACACAAAACCACCATGTTGATTTGTTGTAAGTTTTAGAGTATATTCCATCTTCTTAAGATCAATAAATGATGCACATATTATACTTGCCACTACTACACATATTCTATAAAGCAAAGCAAGTAGTAGGAAGAGTAAAAAACACATTATAGAACATTAAGAGCCAAGCAAGCAAGAATTGATCAGATCAACACGCAACTTTACCTGCAACCTTTCAACAAGTACGAAGATGGACTGGAGAAACTAGCACTGCTGCTTGAAGGTTTTTTACTTCCCTTTTCCGGACGAGGAGGAGTTCCGCATTCGCTGAAGTCGAGAGTGCGCCTCTCCCTCTACATTAATGAAATCAAGAAAAATATACGTACATACTTACTTGAACAAAAAAGATACATGCTATTTATGTAACACATGCATCTATCTACAAAGTTGTAGTAGTGATGGTGCGAATATGAGATGAGAGATTTCGAAGTCATAACATTATGAGCATGTAAAAAGTTGCAGTGTGTTTTTATTGAAAATAAGACTCTGTTTAGATATTTTGTTTTGGAAGTTCTGTCATTATTCACTAATAAGAGTGTACTTATTTATGTTCCTATTCTATGTGACGTATATATACACATATATATAATGTGATTCGAAAACTTTTGGAAAACACTGTCATAGAAATGCAGGTGCGCGTGCAGACAGATATATATATATATATATGCATATATGTATTCTAGAACTAGATGGCATTCCAAGAAGAAACAGGGAAGCATACATACCATGGCATTTGACGATGAAACCAAACGATGTTCTTGATTCTCCTTTTCAGCTTTAGAGTATTTTGCCTTCATCAATGTTTCAGGGGTTTCATTTCCCAAAACCTCATGTGCATCAGCAAAAGTTCTGGCTGTTTGCTCTCCTAATTGCTTCATCAGCCCGATTGCATCGTAGCTACAATCCCCGGGGCTCAGAAAGTAGCCAATGTCCTATCAGAACCTCTACTCAGATCAGAAAATCAATGATAAATGTGCTTAACTAAAATCGACTGTGGGATAATTATAGGGTGCTTTGTTTGTGTTTTCACACTTACTAACACATAAAATTCAATCTTATAGTCCTAATATCAAGCATCTTAATATAACAGACGAAATTGCAATATTTCATAATCTACCAAACATGTTCGCTACGAATGATTAATTAAAGATCCCATACAGTTAAGCTAAATTCAAGCAATGAAAGAACTAATCCCACTATTCAAGATAGATTTGATGTCTAGAATAGTAATCATGTATAAGTTCAAATTTAATTTCAATAGACATCATGACTAAGAGAAATATTTTTAAAAGAAGAATATAGTGATCTTGAAAGGTACAAAACATGAATATACCTCGACTGTTATATCTGTGTCAACTCTTGGGCCAGGAACGAAACCATCGAGAAACCATGGGGATTTCCAAGCTGAGGGAGATTCTAAACTCCTCCTGAATGGTGTCTCGACAAAACTAGCAGCATATTATTGGAAGTGAATTGAATGTTCGAAGAAAAATGGAGGATGAAGAAATGATCGAGCAGGCAGCAGAGTAGCTACAATCATGAACTTACATGCTGTTGTTTTCAAAGGCGACACCTTTGCCTGAACATTCGGCTTTCTTATTTGCAGGAGTGGTGGAAGTTTGCAGAGATGTAGTTATGACCAAATTAGTGCCGTCCTTACTTGCAGTGAGTCGAGGAGAACAAACCACTGAAAAACGTGAGTCAGAGGAAGGTAGAGTGATTCCATGCTTCGACACGAATGCTTTATCAGTTCTGACTCCATGACGATCCGGAGAAAAGAATAGCAGATCATTCAAGTCATGCTCAACAAGGATTCCTGAAATCTCTATTCCCTGACATAAAAGAAACAAAAAATAAACATGTTATTGAATGTTTTTATCCTTGCTGATTTCGATTATCTCATTCAGCAGAAAACATTAAAACCAGCAATTATAGAATCTATACTTACTGTTTCCACAGAATTGCCTTCACTGTTTATTTTGGCATCCTGGACTTGAGTCTCTTCTGCAATCTCGGTCGAACAATGGCTGCCGTTTGCCTTCCGCGCTGCCATTGCGTTTTCAGAAATGATGGCATGGTCTTTTCCTTGATTTTCGGTGTTTATACCAGGAGAAGTCGCACCCTGTTTTACTGTACAGGACACCTCAAAGTGTCTTTGGTTGGGAGATGGTGGAAGCAGAGGTTTGTCTGCACATTCATTAAACATAACCTCTAATCTGGAAAAATCATTGGCCAGATTCGAAAATGCACAGCTTCCAAGCTTCTTTTCGCCTCTTTGTTCCGACAAAGGAGACACTAAATCCCGGTGTCTTTTCCTCAGTATTGACGGCGTCCCTGTAAACGTCTTGGCAGCACTCTTTAGGACTGCCTCAGGACTACAATTATCTCTCGATGGAGAATCCCACATTTTGAATGGAGTTAAGGAAGACAGCATCAACTGGCGAATCCCCAGGGGACTGTACTCTTGCTGCATGTCTGATTGCATGAGATCACAGCTGAAGAACGGAACATCCAAGCTTGGAAAACGAGGAGGCTCGTAGCATAAAACCCCAGAGTCCTTTGGCTCATTGGTTTTACTGTCCTCACCCTTTCCCACCAAAGAACAGCATTGAGATTCACCAGACCGGGCCGAAATGAGATCATTTGCGGGAACTAGTTTTCGTGAGTCCATTGCAGCACAATCACCACCTTCGTAGGCTGATCCATCGGACTCTTTGGGTTCAATGAAGTCTTCATGCATACTTGGTGGATTCGACTCCAGCTCGGCATTCTTGTTTGAATAACAAATGCTTGAATCTTTACAAGAGCTGGACAGTAATGAACCATCTGAAGCAGTTGAAAGCTGTGTAGCAATGGGGACTTCAGAAGGGATTAAACAAGACTGCAAAGTAGAAGTCCCGTCTTCAGGAATCTGAAATGTCGAACCATGGCAAGTCATGTTGATTATATCTATTTCAGATGGACAACATTCTCCATGGACAGCCTCATCATATACCATGTTAGAGTTATCCATACTGGCAATTATGTCTCCAGATGCAATACAAGGTTCTTGAGGAAATGATACGGCTGCTTCACAGTTATTCTGCGGTGCCCAGAATAATCCGGATGACTCTTGCTGGAGTTCAAGCATAGGCACATTGGGGAGTTTTTGAGGATTTTGTTGCCAATCTTTCTCTTCGAAAACCCCCCAATCAAGGCAAAGATTGTCGTCAATAGGCAAATTGGATCCCATGAATGCAGCTTCTTGAAACACAGGCTGATAATCTTCAGGATATGGAACCAAAGATGCCTCCTCAATTGCTGCTCTGGAATTATCAAGTGAGATATTGTTGCTTGTAGTTCGAGACATTGAACCTTGACTGCATTCAGAAGCCTCTTCCACTTCTGCTCCAACTTTAACTACACTTCCATCTTCACTGCTTTGCTTCGCCTTTGATGACGAGGAAGCTTCCAGATGATGTGGGCGAACAACAAGGGGAAGATCTTGGAATTGTGAAAGCAATCCGGAAGCCATGTACATGTCCAGTTTCTTCTTGACAGCACTATTCCAGTGATTCTTGATTGAATTGTCAGTTCTAAGGGAAGAAAAACTTTAAATGAGAAGTAGCGCAAAGAAGTAACATATTGCACGTATAATAACCATTCAAAAGTTCAAAATAACATGAAATCCTGCACCTCCCGGGTAAAAACTTAGTTAACTCTGCCCATTTATTTCCATAGACTTGATGAGCCCGAATCAAAGTCAATTCCTCCTCTTGCGTCCAAGCTTCTTTGTTTATGTTGGGATTAAGATGATTGTGCCACCTAATGGATGGACCAACATTAAGACATGAATCACAGCACAAGGACATACATATATAATTTTCCTATGTTAGAATCAATAATATCTTCAGGCTCGTTCAGGCTTACCTCTCTCGGCATTGCTTTCCAATCCGACCTGGAAGATGCTGTGCAATGGTAGACCACTTTTTTGGTCCAAATTTATTCACCAATTCAATTATTTTCTCATCCTCCTACTTTCCACACACCAAAAATTATGAATGAATGCAAATTTATGAAAGAAAAACAAACATAAGTAGCTAAAACATGTAGTATACAAACACCAATCAAATTTGAAAATAAAAAAAGAAAGACAGGAGGTACCAAACCTCTTTTGTCCATGGTCCTTTGACCAGTTCAGGATTAAGAACCTTCTGCCACCTATGCAAGCACTGTACATCTGTTCTATCCCTGAAACACTCCGCTGGTGGGATAAAAAATAAGATATCATGCTAGTGAAATCAGAACAACAATTTTGCCAATCTATATCTGGTAGAACTCTCCTATCAATTAACTTCTCTACCTATCTTTTTCCAGTTCTTTCCTTTGAAGCGATGAACAGCCATCCGCAATATCTCATCCTGCGCAAAAAACAGGGGTTGTTTGAGGGGGTGAAAAGACTGCAATCAGCCAGATCTACCTATTCTGAAGTATATTCAAATGGAATTGACGCTTGATTGACTCCTCAAACTCCACATAACAAGAAATTTTGGTTGCTAGTTTCTCATGTATTCTTAAAATTTTCGGAAGAAAACTAATCATGCGGAACCACAAAATTGAGATGCTGACAGATAAATTTAACAATTATAGAAAAAGTTTCCAATGAACCTCTTCGGCAGTCCATTGCCCCTTTGTGGAACGCCGAGCTGGTCCACTGGTCCTCCTACATAACAAGTATGTAATGAGTTTCCTAAATCAATAAAAAACATACAAAAAACACCATGAACGATTTAGATCCAAAAACGTTACCCATGTAAAGCCCTTGGTCTTTGAAGACTAGAACCATCATTGCTTGCCCTATCAGTTTCCATATCTATTTGAAAAGACCCAGTTTGCTCGAGGATGTCTTCCACAAATCATTATACACTACATGAAAGAAGCATTTCCATAGTCCATATATAGCCGGGGAAAGGAAAATTTGAAATATAAAGCTGATAAGAAAGCAATAACTGACATTAGTACGCAGTGAGTAGGCATTCGCTGTCTTCACCTACTATTGAGAAGGCAAAAAATAATCCGCATTTATTACTCGTCGATATTACTGATTCAAAATTATGTGGTCCAGCTGCACGTTGTAGAATGGCGCTCAAATTTTTCAAAATTTCAAATTAATATAACGGCAACTGCAATTTAGTAAACCAATAATAAGGCACGCCAACAAAAAGATGACACTTGTCCAATGGCACGGGATGACTTGTGTATTGCTTGGGCGCGTAGACAATTGATATTTGAAAACTAACAAAATTACAAAACCATTATTAAGAATAGGATAATCTTAGCATTTCAATAATAGTCTTTGTGAAGATGTAGTGACAATCACAAATGATTCTATAAAATCTGCAAAAGAAAACTACTAACGTGTTTTTTTCCCTTGCAAGTCCACAATATGCACAAATTCAAACTCATTAATTAAATTACCCCAAAACAGCTAAAGAGAATGCCCACATAGTAAGAGGCCACAATATCACTCAAATGGTATATAAACATAGCTGAAGATCTCAATCAAGGAAAAACCATCAAATATAACATCGCGAGAAACCACTGCCATCAGAATAAGACCAAACCCTAACCAATCCCCAAGTGAAATGAACTAGAAATACAATCTCAACACTCAAATTCACAAATCTTTCGTCAAACAAAATAAGGAAAAATTCAAAATTGGTGTACAATCAAAGCTGTCAAATTCAAAACTTAACCTCCCACAACCAACTCGGACAAATTCAAAATTAAACCTCTCAATAGGTTACAAACAAAGCTGTGAAAATTCAAAATTTAAACCTCTCAAACAAGCCGTCAAATTCAAAATCAATCCTCTCTCGAATAATGCTTCGAAATTCACGACCGACAAACAAGATACGGATACTCACCGAACCGCACGGAGCTTGATGAATTGCAAACCCACTCAAATTTTAGCCAACAGCTTCCAGATGCGTTTGCAGATCCGCAAGCAAACGGAAGTATTCTTCACATACACCAAAGGATCTGCAAACGCACGGCAATTTTCGAGAAGAACTCAGCGAGCAGATTCGAATGAGAATTACTGTGTGCTTTGAGAGAGAGAGAGAGATAGAAGAAATGATACAAACGGTCCGAAAATTTTCAAAATAAAAGAAAGCGAACCCGAAGAAAAAAAAAAAATAGACGTTATTTCAAACCCTTGAGATAAACATCATACAACTCTGCTTCAATCGACGCTTCACATTTCGACACGTGTCCGAATCTCCATGGCTATTGTTCGGAGTATTCTAAAGGTTTAAGCGGCAATTCATTTCGTCATTTCTCTATAAAGGAGAAAAATTAATTTATTCTAAATCATCTTTAACTAAACAAATATTATAAGTATGTGCTGACTGCTGATTAACCTCAGTAGCTTCATTATTTAAATAAATAAATACATAACAAGAAATTTTTATTAATATGCATTGGTATGATGAATTGTCCCACTGTTTTTTAGAACATTACGATTTTAATTAATAAATAATTGTCTGTAAAATTACTCCAATTTTCTTCTTTTAATTATCTATTACTCCGATACTTATGCTTAATTTATTTATAACCACTCTCGCCATTAGAGCTGTCAAATGTGTAGAGTAACCAGCGAACCAAGTTGTTCTCGTCAAACAATTTTCTTGTATTATTTTATATATATACATATATATACCCCAAAATTTAAATTTACTAATAAAATTAAAATTTTCATTATAATAAACTGTGAATAAATTTATGTTTATTTAATTTATATATTAAAAATATTATATATAAAATTCAAATCAAATCCAAACTCGAATTCGAGCATTGCAAGCCAAATTTGAGCTAGGAACCAAGTTTGAGCTATTATTTTAGCTCGAATTCTAAACGAACCCAATCTAACGTGTACCCACAGCAAATTCAAGTGGAGTTCAAACAACAATTACTCAAAATTGTTCGACTCGTTTAACCGTTCTATCCACTATCACTCGTTCAAAAGCAGAATTCGAACACTAATCGACATACTTCAACTCGACTACTCTTTCCGGCAAAGTAATATATATACCAAAGAACATATAGCATTATATATTTCATTTTCAGCATATGCAACCAAAGAAAATAGCATATGGAATACAGTATTTCATCAGCACGGTGCTAATTAAAACTAATCCGCCGACCCCAAATATGTCGATAATCATAAAACAAAGGGAGAAGAAGGTATCCATCCCAAAACTATAGTCCCATAAATAAACACCAAAGAAATTTTATCGCAATTAACAATAAGGTTAGAGATAAGATAGAGAGAACCTGCAAATAAATCGGATTGGCGCTATGCACCTGCATTCGGCTGCTGTTGAGGCTGTTGCGTAAGCATTCTCAACCTCTCGTACGCGTCGAAGCAAGCCTGGGCGTAATCTGACAAAGCCCGGAAAAGCTCAGGCAGCCGGAGTTTCAGATTTCCCACTGATTTCTCCCTCACCTGCATACAGTGCTTCTCGTGTTCTTCCATTTCATTGTCAAGTCTCTTCTTCAAGCTTTCCACCACAAACTGCCTCTCGGAGACTGGATCTTTTGTGTTAAGATCGACAGATCTGTCAGCGTTCGTTTCATCTGGTGGGGTTCGGCGCTGCATGTATTTCTGATACCAGTCTTCGAAAGCCTGTTTCTTTCGGATGTACTCTTTCCTTGTTTCTTCGTACTTTTCCTTCAGCTTCATTTCTTCCTCCTGGTGAAGGACGATGGTCTTTATCACAGCTGCGAATGATGAAATGGCGGACTTTGCCACTTCGTCGGGGAGCTTCTCGAGATGGTCGTGCCACGCTCGGAGGAGAGGCTGGATTGGTGGGTTTGGGTTTCTCGGGGGAGATGAAACTTTCTCCTTCCAGTTGCTCTCAATCGGGATGAGGTTTAGCTTCAACCAGCTGTTGAGGCCTGCGATGTATTGTCGTTGATTGGTCACGAGTTTCTCGAATTGGGAGTGCCATCGGTCCACCACAGCTGCGAGCTGCTTGGTATGCTCGTGGTGGTTCTTGCTCGTTTCGATGAGAAACCCAGAGACATCGAGGGATCTGAGCTCTGTGACAATCTTCAGTTGGGTTTCGTGCTGGACGCACATGGATTCCCACATATTGGTCATCCTTCAAGATGCACAAATTTTATGAAAATGTTAAAGATACGAAGAAGCCAACACATGAAAACACAGAAATTGAACAATGGAACAGCACATCATTAATTAAAACAAATATGATATGTTGAACAATAAACAGACGAAATCGTAGATCTTTATTGCAGCTTCACAACTAAAGTAATGTTCTGTGATGGGACTAAACTTTGTTAAGACACTCAAGTGCTCCTGTAGATAGGCTTCGTTAAAATATGGAAGAAAATAAAGATAAAAAGGAATTCCCACAACTCGAAAAGTAGGGAACATAAGAATTTCTCACCCTTGAACTAGAGCCACGAGTTTTGGATACAACTGCTTGTCACGTATATCATTCACTTCTGTTACAGTTGAATCCAAGGATTGCATGTCTACTATATACCGCGTATGCAAATGACTTACAGCAGCTTTGGCTTTCTCCAATTGCTCGGTGCTCGCATTTCGTTTTTTCAGTTTGTTCAGCAAGGCAACTTTCCGCTGATATTCAATTTTCATCAGCTCGCCAGCCTAGCACAACAATGGATTGAAGTCACATAAAGATGCAATTGTAAAGCTGCAATCTCAAATTATTCTCAGCCTTAAAAGTAACTTCAAATAACACAACAGAATAGTTAAGACAGAACATAGTCGGGTCATGTGGGGATAAGTCGGAAAAAATTAAATGAAACATGCGGCACAAGGATTTGTTAAAGAAGACACAGGATTCATCAATTCACCTTAACTTCTTCATAGAGCTTTTTCTCCCAAGCCAACAACTTATCTAAAATGGTGGCGTGCGTCTCATAATCTTCTGAATCGAGGTTGTCTTTTGCGCCATCTGCATTTGCAGCACCTCTAAAAGATTTGTTCCAAGTTATAACTTGCATGACCCTTGCGGCGTGATCAATATGTCCTGAAATAAGAAACAGAGCCATTACATTTAACATGACGATTTATGTAATCAAGTTTCGCGCCACCATGCCAAGTCCACGTGTCAATGCTGTTTCATTTATTAATATGATCTCTATCGTGTAACTTTTGGGCGTAGACTAAATTACCACATACATATAATCTCCTATCCACAAATAGCAGTGCCCCAAGTAAATCATAACTTAACACTTAAGCATGAAGCAAAAAAGCAAGCTTATTTAATCAAAACAATAAATTTAAAGAATCACCTCGATTATCCGCAAAATTTGAATGATAATGCAACCTTGTGGCCTCCAACATCTTTGAAACCTCATGTGTGCTTTGAGAAGCCTTAAGGAAATGATCATCGATCTGACTCAATAGTTTCAACAAATCCACAGCGTTTTTATTACTCTCCATGTTCCGGGCAGCCAGTCCGAGTCTACTCATTGCAGGAGGAGCTGTGTTAGAATGCATAAACTGCTTCTCAGCTACTTCATCTGCCGGTGTATCTTCAGGTGTCTTGAACTCTTCAATGCCCTCGAATTTCACTTGCTTCTCCGGTGTCCTAAACTCCATATCTGCCGCCGCATTGTCAAACTTCTCATTAAGGTTTCCATTTATATCCTCGGGGTAATCCTCCACTTCTTCCTCAACCTCATCCAGCGGCGGCTCATGTCCACTGTCCATGAAGAAATAATCCCACGCCATCCCTCTCATTTCCGGTTGAGTAGAATGATTCAGAGTCGGCTGTAATGGCGTTTCCTTCTCCTCTTTCTTTCTCCTCTGAAAACCACCTTTTTCTTCCACCTCCTCTTCTTCTTCCTCAATATCACTCTCGTCGACAGCAATACCCTTCATCTTCCTCTTCTCATTCTCCGAATGAGACAGTGCAGGCATTGTTTCAGCTCTGCGAAGGGGCGGCATGGGGGAAAATGCCGGCAAAGGTGGAGGAGGTGGAGGGAGATTGGATTCCATAGGAGGAGGAGGCGGCTGGAGCCTCTCTGAAACTGGCAAATCTGAGGGCACCACCTCCTCCGGCGGAGGCGGAGGAACCTCACCTTGAGCATAATCACTCAAGGCGGCACCGGTGTCCTTCAGAGCCATCGCATACCCTGTGTGCGCCGACGCAAAAGCATTCCTCACAGAAACAGCCTCCTTCATAAGGTTCCTCCTCTCCTTACACCTCGAAACCGACTCCTCATTGTCAATTTTCGATTGCGCACAACCCATTCAGATTTCTCTAAACTCTAAATCGGAAAGGATTTCACACACACGAGCAAAACAAATCAATCGCATTCAATTAAAGACACAAACAAATCCTGAATATTCAGAACTGTGCCTCTCGGAGTTAATCGCCAGGGTTTCCATAAACAACAAATCCATTCCAACAAAGCGAACACAAACAGCCACACGGTTTCTCAGAAACACAACCAGCAACAAATATCCGAATTAAACTAGGGTTTCCACCACGAAATCTACACAAAAAAACGATTAAAAATTTACAACTCACAATCAAGCTCAAACATCATCCGCTCTTCAAACTCCGGCGCCTTCCACAATGCACGTGGATGCAAAAACAGTCAGCATCTACACCAATATTCAATCAATCTCACCCTTTTTTCAGCCCTTTTGAGATAGCGGTGGATGAATGATGAATGCTGAGGAGGAAAGGGGGAAACGGACAAATTTTGCGCAGAGAGACAGAGAAGTACAGAGCGGCACGCAGAGAGAGGGGCTCCGATTCTCTCCAGTGTTCTTCCCTGCGGTAGTGAGCTTTTAGAGCTAAATGGCCCCGTCCGGTTCAGCGATTTTGGTACGGTCCTGAAAAGTTGCTACTTTGTGAAAACGCGCTTTTGGAAGAAAGTTGGTGCGAGTGTGACTGGCCTTGTAGGTGTGGAGCGGATCGCGGTTTTCAAAAAACGGAAGGTCAGTAACGGTCACAATGCTCGAGGCCGCTACGACGTCGTTTCTTCTTTTGGCTAGAATTTACTGTACGTATTATTATTATTAATTATTGTAATTGTGACAGTAATATTTGTGTGAGATGATTTTGTACACTTAATTATATATGAAAATTCATGTAACATAAAAAAAAATATATATGATATATATTATGTTTTTATAATATTTATGAAAAATTATTGAACAATATTATATATATTATATATTTGAGGCTTTTGGGTTTGATTGTATTAGTATTTAATTTAAAAAATTACATATACCATATAAAATATACCTAGTACTAATATTTATTAAAAGAGACTTACCATTTTCCAAATTACTTATAACTTAATAAAATTCAAAATAGACTTCCATTTTAGTTTTAATTGAGAATGCGGTTCCATAATGAATTTAGAATCATATTTTATTTAATAAAATATATTTGTTATTGCAAAAAAATAATTGTTCTCGGAGCATTTTTTAACTAAATAAAATCAATATTTTAGTTTGATATTAATTTAAAATTTTGTTTAAATAATATTTTTATTTAATGTTTCATAAAAAATATATATATATATTTTTATAAAAAATAGTACAAAATAAATAATTGTTATTTGTATTTCAAATCACAGCAAAACACAAATACTTCAATTTCACATATTTAATTGATTCCACCTCATTTAAATAAACAAGCTTGTATATTTAAATTCAAAATTGTAATTCGAGCAATTAATAAAATATAAGCAAGCTTGTTTTATTAATTGAGCAATTAATGACTCGGAAATTTTGAAATCCAAACCTAAAATTGTGTATTAGAAACAGAATATAATACTAATAATTACTAATATGTAATTTAATACATTTTAAATTGTTTTTATCTCTAATACATACAACAATGAATTTTTTTCTTCTTCTTTTTTTTTTTTATATCTGTGTTTTTTTATATATGTCAAATAGTTCTTGTATTTAATTGATATTATGAATATAAATTTAGTGACAAATAAGATGTTCTTTTTTATAATAATAATAATAATAATAATAATAATAATAATAATAAATATTCAAATTCAATATAAGTTGCAAATGAGTCTAATTGAGAGTAGATATATGTAATTTTGGCCTACTTAGCCTTCTTGATTAATTTTTGGATGTTATGAGAATTTCTTTTTTTTTTTTTTTAATACAGATTAATAATCATGCTAATTCAAAATTCATAAAATTTAATAGTTAAAAAAAAAACATTATATAGAAGAAAATTATTCAATCCATCGTGTTAAAATTTTGTTTTTTATTAAAAAAAATATATAATATATATATATTTAAAATATCAAAATATTTCAAAAAAAAATTATATACTCAAACACGAACATAATGATTATAATAATTTCAATACTATCGTTATTAATAAGATTATATAATGTGATTCTACTCTAATCCAATATTTTAGTATATTAGTATGATATCAAGATGTGTTTGATTTGTTTGATATAAATTTAGTTGAGTGTAAATTATAAGAGAAAAATAAAAAATTCTTGCAAAGAATCACGAAGATATGCTATGCAAATAAATAAATATTAAAGAAGAGCAAAGAATTTGATATAATATTATTTTATTTTTAAAAAACATCGTATTCAAATATGAAATTTAAAAAAAAATTAAAATAAAAATAATTTTGTTAAATCAAATCAAAACAAGTCCATATAGTGTATTAAACAATAGTACTTATATAGCAAGTAGTTTGCCTATAATATGCGCATGCAAGGCCTCAACCAATTATTTAATGTAGGAGTAATTACTGCTATATGCATTTTCTTTATCTCTCATTATAATTTTGATAATTTTTTTTTTTTTCTATTTTAATTCTACTGTTTATTATTATTATTCCCAATATATTTATCAATTTTGGTCACAATATAAAAGTTTTATCAATTTTGATCCCAATATAACTAAAATTCATCATTTTTTATCTTAATATAACCAAAATTCATCATTTTTGATCACAATATAAAATTTTTATCAATTTTAGTCCCAATATAACCAAAACTCATCATTTTTTGTTTCAATGTAATCAAACCTTATCTTTTTTTGGTCTCATTGTCAATAAACTGACGGAAAATGCTGATGTAGACTTGCAAGATTGTGCAATTTCTTCAAATATAAATATGAGGTTTGATTTCTTTTCACGTCAGCACTCGTTTGTTGACGGTGGAACCAAAAAAGATAAAGTTTGATTATATTATAACCAAAAATGATGATTTTTTTTGTTATATTGGGACAAAAAATGATGAATTTTTGTTATATTGGAACCAAAAAAATGAGTTTTAGTTATATTGGGACCAAAATCGATAAGATTTTTATAGTGAGACCAAAATTGATGAATTTTTATTATATTATGACTAAAATATTTTTTATATATAAAATATACTTAGAATGATAAAAATAAGAAAAATTACAGAATTTTAAAAATATTCCAAAATAAAAACAACAATAAAAATTTAGAGATTGGGGAGTCTAACCACTACTTCTACAATATTGGAGTACTATATTTATAATTAGTAACTATATATTTTAATATTGATTACAAAAAACACGTAATAAATAATTATAATTATAATTATATATATATATATATATAATAAGATATAGCACAGGTATGCATGCATTATGCATATGCATATCCTTTTGTTTGAAGTTAAATATGACATGATATCATGCTTAATTAATTAAACTTTGTTTGATGATTTGATTTGACTCAAATATTTAAAATTAATTAATCTAAGTGCGATTCAATCTCTAAAATCTTCTCTAATTATTTGATATTTTGACTTGTTGAGATTGTCTGATTAATTAGTGTTTGAAATCTAATGAGTGGGTGCGCCTCTTTTTTAATTAATTATTTTGTTATTTTCAAATGAATTACGGGTTATATTGAAATTGTGAAAATATTTAGAAATAAAAAATAAAAAAATTTTTATTCTTTTGTTATATTACAATAAAGTCATTTTACTTTTTTGGTTTGTGAAAATCAAAAACTTTAGATTTTTTTTTTTTTGATAAAAATAATTTTTAATTAAATATTAAAATATTTATATTTTTTATTTTTATATTATTTTTACTTTAATTTATAGGGTAAAATAAATATATATTACTTTATTAAATTTTATATTGCTTTATTTTTATATTATTTTTTATTAGATTTTGATTTGTGATTTGAATAGTAAAAAATTAAATTTGAATAATTGTACGATGTAATATAACGAGTGTTGATGTGATATTTTGAATGTAATATTAAATTTTAGTATAATATAAAAAATAAAAAATAAGTATTTAATTTAAATTTTTGGATTAAAAGATTTAGTATAGTAGAAATTAGAAAAAAATCTCTCAAACAAACACATCCTATATTTTGAATAGTAAAAAATTTGAATTTGAATAGTTAAATGAATATAAATAGATATTGATGTGATATAAATAGGTGTTGATGTGATATTTTAAATATAAAATTTATTTTTAGTATAATATAAAAAATAAAAAATTGGTATTTGATTTGACATATTTCAAACAAACACACCCTATGTGGGTATTTCACTCTCTCACAGTGTACACACAGAACACTTCTCTCTCTCACACACACACAACATGGCGTATATATATACCCCACTCCGAGCGCTACATATTTACCTCTCCAAATCTTCTTCCTCGTCTATATATAAACTCAATTCACTCAAAACCCAAATTCAATTACTGCATATATATCTATCTATGCAGGAATTCATCAAATCTTTGATTATTATTTTCCAAACTAACCATTTCGATCCTCAGTCTACAGCCTTCTATCAATTGATTTTGATAAACTAGAGCTAGCTATTTCCTGATTTCATTAACTGTAGTTGATGATTTGTTAGTTTTGATGGATGATTACTTGAGAGAAATCGAGGGGAAGAGTGTTCACGATCCGTACCGTAATTGTGACTCGAAACGCAGCGTTTTGATCCGCACTCCGGTGATAATCGGCGCCGGTCCGTCCGGTCTGGCGGCGGCGGCTTGCCTGAAGGCCAAAGGCGTGCCGTCGCTGGTACTCGAGAGATCCAATTGCATAGCTTCACTATGGCAAATGAAGACCTACGACCGCCTCAAGCTCCATTTGCCCAAGCAATTCTGCGAGCTTCCATTCATGCCGTTCCCCGAGGATTTCCCCAATTACCCTACCAAGCAGCAATTTATTCAGTACCTGGAGGCCTATGCGGATCGATTCGGAATCACGCCGGTCTTCAATCAGAGAGTCGACCGCGCAGAATTCGACGAGAACCTAGGGTTTTGGAGAGTTCTCACCGCCGCGAAGGTGGAGTACCTTTGCCGGTGGCTGGTGGTGGCGACCGGCGAGAATGCCGAGGAGGTGGTGCCGGAGATCGAAGGAATGGACGAATTCGGCGGCGAGGCGGTGCACACCAGCGCGTACAAGAGCGGCGCCGCTTATAGAGGGCGGAACGTCCTCGTGGTCGGGTGTGGGAATTCCGGTATGGAGGTCTGTTTGGATCTCTGCAATTATAACGCCCGCCCTTCCCTTGTCGTCAGAGAAACCGTACGCCTTTTCCATAATTATATATTTTTTCTACAAACACGTCGCTACCTCCATTCTACAAATAAAAAATTTCAATATTTAATTAAAAGTATGTACAGTATATAATTTTGAATTAATCTTTTTCTTAGGTTCATATTCTGCCTCAAGAAATGCTGGGAAGGTCGACGTTCGGGTTATCCATGTGGTTAGTGAAATGGCTGCCGGTCCGACTCGTCGACCGGCTCCTACTGACGATGTCCCGACTGTTGCTCGGCGATACATCCCGGTTCGGACTGAACCGCCCGAGTTTAGGTCCGCTCGAGCTGAAGAGCCGAGTCGGTAAAACCCCGGTTCTCGACGTCGGGACGCTTCGTAAAATCAAAACCGGAGAAATCAAGGTATGCATATATATATATATATATATACGAACAAATATATAATTTCAGGGCTGTTAATGTTTTATTATTATTATTATGAAATACAGATTCGACCAGAAATAAAGAGGCTGAGGCACAAATCGGCAGAATTTGCAGATGGAAGAGTGGAAAAATATGATGCAATAATTCTGGCAACGGGTTACAGAAGCAACGTAGGATCATGGCTAAAGGTAATTAACATATAATCTGTTTTTGGTGTTGATAATTGAATAATGAATTGATGAATTAAAATGGGTGCAGGGAGGGGAGGTGTTTGGGGGAAAAGATGAGAGAGGAACGGGAAAGGGATGGAAAGGCGAATTTGGGGTGTACGAAGTAGGGTTTGGCAAACACGGCCTTATCGGAGCAGCCATGGACGCCAGGAACGTTGCAGAAGATATTGAGGTTCAATGGAGACGATGGACCACGCCTTTGTCTTCAGATATTCATCTTCTCCTCTGATCATACTATTAATTCGCTTTCTCTCTCTCTCTCTCTCTCTCTCTCTCTATATATATATATATGTATTTGTATGTAGGAATTAAGCATGGAAACCCTAGGTAGGTAGGTAGGGTAGGGTAATTGCAGGAGAGCTGCCTGAGAAGAAACCCTCTTTTTCTGTGTAAGCCTTTTATTTGATCAATTAGTGTGTGTATTAAATTAGGGTTAATTATATATATATATATATGTCTGTAGAGAATGAAATCAATTCCATGATAATGTTTTAGAATTATCAATTATGTTATTGAATGGTATAAAATTCTATTAAATCCTAGCTATATATATATATATATTCTTTCTGTCTGAAAATTATTTATTTATTTGATTTAAGTCTGGCTATTAAGTAATGTATTATATTTAAGCATGCAATAACAACTTTGCATACTATTATTACATCACTCATACACGTTTATCATTCTCTGGTGAATTTCTTAACATACTCTTACATCATTTTAAAATTTTATTATTTGGGAAGTATATATTTTTTAATGCAATACTTGTTGTTAAATACTTATTTTTTAAATATAATGTTGATTAATGATACTATTCTTCTTGTGATTGTATTATTGTTAAATAATGTAAAGAAATATATATATATATATATATCGAACCATATAAAAATTTCTTATCTTATACACACTTACAGGATTTTATTTTTTATTTTTGTAAAATATATTTAATAGTTATTATTTTTACATTGTAAATAATAAAGTTTGATTATATCAAAATACAAATAAACATAATCAGACATTTCTTTTTTAAACGTATTTACATTCAAGTTGAAGGCACTAAAAATTTAAATATTGGAGGATATATTAGTTTAATTGAATTATCCTTGCGATAATTACATATTTTAAATTTGATGACGTGAATCCGCAATCGAGAAGACATTGGCAGTAATTGTATCTATAATCTTACATGATCACAAATTTTCCGATCACATGAAGGGATCGAATAATGGTTTGTAGTTGAAACTTTGTAAATAAGTTTTTTCTTTCTCCACTTAAACAATATATGAAATTAGAGTTTTGTTACTTGTATTTTTCTAACATAATTTTCACTTTATATATATATATATATAAACACACATTCAACAATTATTTATCTTAAAAATATTAAAAAGCAATCAAACAAACAAGTGAACAAATTTCCCTATTTAATTTGTGAGATAGCTCTTACACAAATGCGTTACCTAAATCTATATATATATATATATATATATTGATATTTAACTCCTAACTTATCATTATTTACAATATAAATTCTTGTTATTTTTAGGGTTTTTAACTATGATTCTTTTTTCTCTCGCTTTTTGGTACAATTTATGTTCTGCAAATTTTTGTTACCAAAAGCATATCATGATATTTAATAAAAATAAAAAATAAAAAATATATTTTTATTAAAATTGTAATAAATAATGTTAGTTCTGGATGCACACCCAAAAAGAACACATGGTGATATATTTTTATATTCATTATATTATATTTTGTTCACCAAGCAATTTCCTAATTACAGAATTTTCGATAAATATTATACTAAAATATATTATTTACATTCGCTTATATAATATAGCATTATATTATTTTTTTCACAAAAAAATTAGTATTTTTTATATTACTAATTGATTTTCCATATTTAACATTTTTTATTTTTTTTTGAAAAAAAAAAAAAAACAAGGTGAATAGACCCTTTAGTGATTGTGGGCTTTGTATTAATCCTATTTATTTCGAAAATCTGAATAATTAGAAAATGATTATAAGGGGAAAAATGTTATTAAAATTATTATTTAAAATACATTAATATTGCATGGCTAGGAGCAGAACATGCAAAACTTTTTTGGTAAGAATTATATACAATCATGACAACAGCATGCATGCCTGTACTTTCTCCACTATTACTTTTATTTTTTATTTTCTAATTTTTCAGCATGCAGTAATATACCACTATTATATTTACCATAGTGCACCAATTATTATTATTATTATTATTATTATTATATGTATATATATGTATACAGTATATATACTTATAAGTAAACGAAAGTGGTTATAAGTTATATTTAAAATTATGTCTTGATTAATATATATAATGTGACCGTTACTGTAGAAATAAAAATTTATAATGTCAATTCGAATTTTATGAGTATAATTAGTAAAGAATTAAAAATATATTAGTAAAATATTAATTAATTGTAGTATAATACAAATAATTGTAAATTGATATTAAAATTAACATAATTGATTAGTTAATAAAAATTTTAAAAAATTTAAAAATTTAAAGTATAACAAAAATGTATAATTTTTTAAGAAAAAAGTAATAATCCCTCTGTCATGCAAATATGTGTTTATTTGATCGGACACGAGTTTTAATAAAAGTGAGTAATAATTATTAATTTTTTCTTTTATAGTACAAAAATGTACTAATTCTTTACTTAAAAAGAAAACGAGAATATTTTCAATGGCAACCCCAAAAAGAAAAGTGAACATAAATTTGAATGACTGAGGAGTATGAAATATAACATAATATAATATGGGGATAGATGAAATATATATTTCTTTATTGAAACCCATGAAAAATTGTTTAATTATATAAAAAAAAAGTAGTATAATTATGAAATGTAGTGTAAATATAGTAGTAAAATGTGGTAAAAAAAAAACGACGTAAACCCTATTTATGTTGATTTATTTTTTTTCTTTTTAAAAAATATGATAATAAATTAAATTTTTTATATCTGATATTTTGTAAATAAATAACTGTTTATAGCAGTGAAAAGCGACAAAAATATCAACACAAGATTCACACACTTTTTGACTTGACAGCCAAACATAACATGCCATTGCCACTGAGGCTTTAATTTGTGACAAATATTTAAATTAAAATGAAAATGAAAATGAAATTGAAATAAAAATAAAAATATAATTAATTAAAATTAAATGTTGCGGTGAAATCTGCAGGCACTAATGTCTGATGTATTCATGAAATTAGAATGTGTGTAAAGTGGTGCACTTGGCCAGGACTTCACTTACCTTATAAATTCCTCAAATTTTATTTTGAATTTTAATTTTTTAATTATATATTTTAAATTATTTGATTGATTGAGAATATATTTGGGAAGATTCTTTATTGGGAGTGCATGTTAGGAATCTCCAGATTCCAATTTCTGAGCCCTCTCTCTCCCGTGGCCATTAAAGTTAAATAAAGATGAAAAGTGCACCTACCTAAATATCATAAATTATTTCAAGCCTGCCATTATATTTTCCATGTTTTTTTAGTGTTTTTTTTTAATAAAGAAAAAAATATTTTATTTACTTTGCATTTTATGTTACAATTTTTTGTTTAAATAATAGTCGAGTGTGTTTTATAAGACAAAACAATGTAAATTTTATAGGACGTGTCATCTTGAAGATTTTATAGTAAAAATTTGAAAAATAAATAAATAAAAACTTATAGACTTTTTATCTATTTGTTTAATTTTACCATCTATTATAAAAATATTTATTTTTTAAAAATATATATTATAATAAAATATCTATTTTAAATATTCATCTAAACACTTTCAAAGAAAATAAAATTCAAAACACATGTACACTCATGGTGTGTTTGATACTTGTGCTTTCAAATCGAAAATGATATTATTTACTTTTAATTGTTTTCAATAAACTATGTATATATATATATATATATACAAAATATAGACATTAAATAAAAGTATTATTTAAACAAAATTCAAATCAAAATTTCATTTTAAATTACAACCAAACAAACCCTCAATATGTGCATCTTAATTATGTTTACTACACTCGAATTTTAATGATTATTTTTGTACATAATTCGATTTGTAAGAATTATAAATGTAATTAGAGCTTCTACTTGTCTTTTGTAGACATGTATATATGGATACAAATTAGACATTTATTTTTTCTCATTTTATTTATTATTATTTTCAGTTTTATAAACTATTAACAATTGATGTTAAACATAAATAATACACATTATTTTGTAGAACACAAATTTTATAAAAAGAAAAATGAAAAAAAAAAAAGGTTTAAAAACATTAAATATTAATAAACCTAAGATATTTAAGAATAAGAGGAAAAAGGGAACATAATCTAGTTTTGTCGAATTAGCGTATGTTTACTATAAAAGATTAACTAGTCTTTTGGAAACATAATCTAAAGATCGACATTAAGACTGTGATAATGAGTGGTCGAAGAAATTCAAAAAATAAAATAAAATAATCAAATATTACAAACCAAACATGCCCTTAAAAAAATGAATCGAAACAAATTTGATGAGTAGCGATGAATGGTCACTTTCATGGACACCGTCTTTTCTTGCATGCATATTTATGTTAAAAGTAATCGCAATCCAAAGATATTGGAACATGGAGGGCCGCCTCTCATTTGTCAAATCGATCGATGTATATAATTTATGTGTAGTGACATTTTTCAAAATGCACTCGATGAAAAAAAAAAAAAAAAAAGTAGATTCATGACAGATACAAAAATACATACAATCATTGTTGAGGTGTTCATTGAAATATATAAAAAATAAATTTCATTCAAAATATTATATCAAACATCTATTTAAACGATATAAAAGATCATTTAAATTTAAATTTTTATAAATTTTAAACTTTCGTACCAGATCCAAACATACTTCGAATGCGTTTGATTTTGAATTTTTTATTTAAATAATATATCAATATAATATAATATGTTTGATATTATATTTTGAGATATAATTTTATTAAAAATAATGTGAACTTTAAAAACAAACACACCTTTTTTTATCTTTTATAAACTTTATAATCTTGTTCAATACCAAATTTAATATTTTTTAAAAGATATTTTCAAGTATTTTTAAAGTAAAAAATTAAATGAAAAAATAAATTTAAAAACACAATATTGGAACTTATCTCCCCTAAATTTTTATATATTTTTTTATTCTCAAAATATCATATTAGTATTTAAATACAAAATTTAAATCAAATTTACTACATTCAAACCCTAAACACACCAATATTTTTAATAGGCAAGTAAGTGTTGAATACAATAGCGATGCTTTAACCTTTCGAAGAATAATATTTTAAATAAACAAATAAATATTTTATCACAATAGGGCCTACAGAAAGACTTAGAGCTGGGCCCAGACTTGTTTTTATTTTAATGGGCCTAATCGTTAGTTGGGTTAGAATATAATGGGCTAACCCTGTTTACTGGATAACTGAAATTGGGTCTCTATTTGGGTATTCAGATTGCGGGTATGAATAGGGTCATGGGTTATGGATTGGGCTTATTTTGTATTCGACCCTTAAACGGTATAAGCATAAAACCCTAATTCGTCGTCTACTTCTCAATAGGGCTTTCAGATAATTTTCTTCCAGTCCTAACGCAGCCGCGCCTCCGCCGCCACCGCCAGCTTCCGCAGCGTCATGGTTTGCATCTGTTTCTATTACTGTACTCGCGATTCGTATTTCTCAAATCTCAATAGAGATTTTATTGAAGCGTTATTTTTTGTTTTTTCTCACTGATTTTAGTTTGTTTCATTGTCAGGCATCGGAGAAGAAACTGTCGAATCCAATGAGGGAGATTAAGGTTCAGAAGCTGGTTCTGAACATATCGGTCGGCGAAAGTGGTGATCGTCTCACCAGAGCTGCTAAGGTGCAATTGCAACCAAACACTGCGCCTGGCGATCTCCGGAATCATTTATGCATTGATTTTGTTCTTATATTTGTTAATTTTGTGTAATAAAGGTTACCATTTTTTTAGGTGTTGGAGCAACTCAGCGGCCAAACTCCTGTTTTCTCCAAGGGTAATTCTTTGAGAATATTCCCTATTTCTTTAATGATTTCAATTTTATTTAGTTCAGATAGAAAAAAAAAAAAAAATTGCGGAATTTTAACCCTAATTGAATGCTGGCGATGATGAATCAACCTTATTGCAATTAAAATTTTTAGTATAGTGTTTAGTGCAAGGAAGATATTGTTTTTCAGTTTGTTGAGAGTGCTTACCAGCATGTAAATGCTTAATTTTATTAAATTGATGGAAGGATTGTCAATATTAATATCATAGAATTTGATGGATTGCGGCGAAATTTGGTCGCATTACATGAAATATTCATTGATAGATCATAGATGTTTGCTTTTGACATATACACCAATTAATATATCCAGAAAAACTTGACTTAAACTTGCTAAACAATAGTGTTCTAATCAATATTATGTTTGTCATCTTATACGGGAAAACTGTCATGTAAAGTTGGTTTGTTATTTCAACATTCGATAAAGGATTAGGATATGTATTTATTGCGCAAATTTGTTTGCTGCATTCACGGGGTGACACTTTCTTTTGGGTCACTACGTATAGTTTAGTTCATAGTAATTAGAAAGAAAAAAGTATACTGTCCAGTGGCCAACACCAACGTGTCTTTTTATTTATGTGGTCTGCAGCGAGGTACACTGTGAGGTCATTTGGGATCAGGCGTAATGAGAAGATTGCATGCTATGTCACTGTGAGAGGTGATAAGGCAATGCAGCTCCTTGAAAGTGGCCTGAAGGTGAAGGAATATGAATTGCTGAGACGAAATTTCAGTGACACCGGCTGTTTTGGTTTTGGCATTCAGGAACACATCGATCTTGGAATCAAGTAAGTGCATCCGTATCCCGGTTTCTCTAATTTCTAGGGTTGTATTTTAAATGATTGAATTAACCCAATTTCTCCAATGTTAGTTACTTTTCGACTTGCATTCTTGAAAAGAAAGATTCCTAACCTACCAATAGCATATAATTTATTTACAATTGATATATATATATATATATAAGCTGGATTTCGTAGCAATATCTTAAGTATTTTATCCAAAACTAAACATGGTTTGTTACATCTCCAGATATGACCCTTCAACGGGTATTTATGGTATGGATTTCTATGTTGTCTTGGAGCGCCCGGGCTACCGTGTAGGGCGTCGCCGTAGGTGCAAATCCCGTGTGGGAATCCAGCATAGAGTCACTAAGGAAGATGCAATGAAGTGGTTTCAGGTGAAATATGAAGGAGTTATACTTAATAAGGCATCCAACATCGGCGCGTAAGTTTATCGGTATTTCGAGCCTGTCTGAATTCTATCTAACTAGGCATACAATATCTCTTGCTTGATTTCAGTGATTTATTTGCAAAGAAGACAAAGTTAGTTAATGGTTTTGGCATACCATATTTGTCATTTTCTTGATTTTGTCTACAAGAGCAGTGAAAACTACATTATTTGTGTTCTTTTTGAGGCTATTTTAATTCTACGTTCCTGGGGAAAAAAATATTTTATTATTACATTAATATTATTTTAATAAAAATTTCATACCTTCAAACAAGTTGAGTGGATGCTACGGAAATCTTAATTCAAATCAATTTTGTCGATAAAAATGTATTATATTCTTCATACAAGCGGATGATATATAATTTTAATTATAGTATCTTAACAACTAATAAATAAATATAAATTAATTAACAAATAAAATTACGTTCAACACAATACATAATTTATTTATTATTTCTTTAAAATGATATATTGATACCTATTCTTTGAAACATTGTAAAAACATAAAAGCAAAACAAAAATGAAATAAGTAAAGTATTTATTTTTCAAAAATATAATAGTATTTGTTTAATATTTTTAGCTTGAAGTATATTTTATACTCCCTCACTACGTCCTCCATATTGTCGTTTCTGTCCGTCTCACATATCATATCACTTTTTTTTAAAAAAAATATATATTACACACTTTAATTTCATTTTAAACTTTTTAATTTATTTTTTTAAAATTTTAATTAAATTAATTAGTTATCTTAATCTTAATTTATAATTATTTATAATATAAATAATTATTTTAACTAATACATTTTTAATTATTTACTAATTACACCCCTTCTAAACCGGAGATAGTATTAAATATAGAGATCATTTTATTTTTACAAATATCTACTTTTAAAATGAACTAAAAATAAATATATTGTGCGAGTATATATATATATTTTTTAATATTAATTGAAAAAATGTGAATTTTTATTGGATAAAAGCACTCAAATGATGTTTGTTACTTTGTTAGATTCATCATGCATGCATTGTACAGTAAAAATGTACATTAGTTTGCTAAGAACAGAGCAGCTCCTTCGAATCACAAACATACATCAAAAGCTATGCAAACAAACCAAACCATTATTTATTCCTCATAAAATTAGAATTAAAATTAAAATTTAAAAAATTCAAAAGTGAGTAACTTAAAAACCATTGCATTGCATTGCATTGGATTGGAAAGTTCAACTTCAATTTCAAAGCACCCCAAATTTGGAGAGGGCTGTTTTGAACAAATCTGAGAATGCCTGTGATGTGCTCTCATCATCACTTTTGATCTTCAACTGCACCTTACAAGACGACGAGTTTATCACACACTCCACCAGATACATTGCCGCCGGCGACCCCTCCGCCTTCCGCGCAAAGAAAAAGAACTTGAAATTCGGGGCTTGACCTCCCGACGCTATAATGTGTATATTATGGCTCTCCATATGCTGAGGGAGTGCCCGTGGATTCGTCATCGCAGCCACTCCTTGTGGTTCGATAGAAATGTCCTGAAAGAATCACAATAGATTTAATACAATTCTCGTATATGTAACTTTACAACATATAATCCGAAAAGAGTCGCAACTATTTGTCATAAAATTATCATTTTGATCATTTCAATAGAAGTAAATTGCATAATACCCCTCCCTTGTGTTTGATTATAAATGCACAAAGTTGATCGCACCTAATACAAATAAAAGGAATAAAATATATTAAATAACATTTTTTGAATTAAATAAATAATTGATAACCCTTCGTTTCATATAATATTAAGAAATTTTCCGCAATAAATGAAGCACAAAGTATTTTGTACATTTATAATAAAGCACGAGGGGTGCGATGCAATTTACCCTTTAAATATGGTATTTGAAAATAGTTGAATATCTCATTTGTGGGTGCTTTAATGGTTTTAAGACGTGATGACATTTCCGCGTGCATTTTAGACCAATTGCATGTCAACTTTTCACAAACACGCATTTTAGTATCACATCGTAATTAGTCCCATTAAAGCAAATGACGAATGAGATCCAAGACCATTTTCAAATGCAGTTACTTTAATCCAAAATGATAAAAAGTTGAGAATTTTGGCGAACCTCAGATACAGATACAGGGAGTTGGCGCCATTTCTGCTGAAATCCATTGGGATCTATAGATACTTTGGCGTTGAGCTGCAAAGGGGAAGCTGCAGAAGTAGGAACTGACATTCCCAGCCCGAGTAAATCATCGATTGCAGAGGTAGTAGACATGTGCACCGTAGATGGTTGGTCGAGCGATACTAGGTCCAAGTGACCCTGTGAATAGTCTGTTGTAGAAGCATCATAGGAAGGAGCATTGTATTCCAAACCATTGTTACCGTAGCCGTGGCTTTCTTCCTTCTCAGAAAGACTTAGTAGCAAGTCTTTGTCATTTGCCTCGACTCCCTGCGCTGCAATTACTGTATCTACAGGCTCTGTGGCAATGGACAAATCACCAAGCTCCTGAGAGAATGCAAATGGCCCTCTGTGCTCCTTATCGGTGAACAAATAGGATGGCTGCACAGTTTCTTAATTAGTTTGCTTGGTTTGAAAATGCAAAAAATGTGTTTTCTAATACTGATCTAAAGACATTTGTGTTAATTTTGGGGATAATCAGTTCATCTGCAAAAACCAGACACCTAGGCGTTAGAGGAGATACCTTTTGGTAGACAACAGAGAGACTATTGAACTCATCGAAGATGCGATCTTTAATTTCACTTGTTTGGGTGTCTGCAAAGACTGAAACAGCTTGTTTGGGAGGATTTACGATGCGTTCAGCTAAAGCAACATCGTGCTTTAAAAGCCGGTAGTAGAATAACACCCTATCATGAACATCCTGGGGGGTGAAATACATGTCAGAAATGCTCTGATGCTAAGCTACTGTACATATTGTGTCATGTTAACAAGACAGACCTGATGGAAATCGGCTAGACCCGCAGCTAGAGCAGCTCCTAAGGCTCTTTGAGTCTCAGGTGGCCTTCTGAAGAAGCACTTCATTACTGCTGTAAGAAGGTGCAGACGGACCTGTGCAGAACAAGAATCTTATTACATTAAATACCAGATGATATGTGAATGTCAAAGGAAAATGATAACAAGCCAATCTAAATTATAAGAACACAGGTGGTAACTGCAAAAAGCCATAAAGTTCGATTATCTACTGTATTAGTGAATTGATGAACAAGTTGACATGTTCTGATGGAAAGAGCCCAATCAAGTGGTGATTGTTTCAATGCTGTTTTTTTAGTTTCACAAGATCTCTAGTGCATGTTTATAAAACTAGTTTCTGTAGGGAAATCAATGTACTGCCAGGGAACAAAGAAAGTACTACAATCTCAGATATCCATAGTCATGTAAGCACCGTATAGAAGCCACTGAAAGAACTTACTTACAGTACAGTGCCATCTAAAATGCTCTCAGAGGGAATGCCAGTGTTGTCTGTCTTTTAAGGGCATTGCTTGAATGATAAATATACCCTTCATTGACAGCAGATAAAGTCTAGATAACGATAATAGATGGTCTTCTAAATGATTAACATTGCCGACCAGACTATTTTCTAATTTGTTTTCAGCCTATTAAAAAGGATTATGATGATGAATGTATGAAAAATTGCGCAGGGATGCCAAGAACAAACATACGCAATGGTTTAAGAGAAAAGTCCCAATTAGATCAAAGAGTGAATGAACAGATGGTGGATGAGGAAATGATTCTTAAGAACAAATACAGTAAGAAGTACAAAACAGCATCTAATTACCTCTGCAGAAGGCTCCTCATCCCAGTTCTCAATTAGGCTTTCTAAAACGTAAGGACTGTCTTGCATGTCTTGAGCATATTCCCCTAGCATCCAAATGAGAGCAGCCTTGGCTTTGGGTTCCTGAACATTTTTGCTGCTTATGTTCCCAACAACTGCTATGCAGTCATGACTCCACTGAGGATATTTCCGGAGAAGATCTTTCACTAGAACCTGAAATAAGAAACTGAGTCTTGCTCAACCTTCCCCAAAATTATAATGTAATGGTAAAAGTTCCCTTTCATTGGGATAGAATCTTGGAGTGCAAAGTTCTTACAAGAGTCTCAGCAGTTACATGTTCCTTTTCCATTTCCAAAAATTGGAGTAGCCGATCTACAATGGCATTTACATCATACTGTTGAAGTGCAATCTTCCCTACTGCGCGAATTGATTCTCGGGCCATTGGAATGTCAACATTTGCAACATATTCACAAAGTTCGGTCACTGGAATGGAGAGTACACAGGCACGTATTAGTTATGACAGCAGTGCAACTAGCACATCAACCAATTTTTCACTGCAATAGTGTGCTTACCTATCTCATATGTGTTGCTCTCATTTGCAACAGCCGTCAACATTTCAAGTTTCAGTTTTTTCACATAAAATGGTTCATTATACTGGCAGTAAAAGTGTTTGTAGTCCGAAGAGAAAATAAATGGAGCACGCATCACCAGTAGATGAAGATGGCTTAAAACTGCATATGATTGCTCAGGACTCCCTGAGCTTACCAAAGTGAGCAAAGGAGCTTTAATTCTCTCATACACCTGGAGGGAAAAAAATAAAATTTTACTGGACTGGTAGCAAAAAGAATACGTTGATGCAAATAGCTGTAGTACATTTTTATCAGATGGGCATGATAAGAGTGAATGTTTCAATCCTAGCACTGATGCATCTAGGAGATGAAACAGCTCCACATCTCTGTAAAAACTAGTAATGCCGAGGAATAGATCATATATTTACATACTTACAAGGGATTGAGGGTCTGTTTGACTTAGAAATGTCAACATAATAATGCTCATGTTTGGATGCATTTTGGCATCTAAAATATATATATCAAAACCCTAAAATATAAAACATTCAATGTCAAGCTGCCAACATCAAATTCCTCGCTTATAGCAAGATAAGAATTTGAACCTCAGGAGTTACAATGCAGTTAGTGGCGTTACAATTGATAATGGAGTAGAAAAAGATCAAAAAAATGAAGTAGCTTACTAAAATGCACACCTTGAGGCTGTGAGGAAAGCGCCAAAGATCTATAGAATACCAAAGACAGCAGAAATTGACAAAGATAAAACTTCTATCTAGAAATACCGACCAAGAAAATAAAACCTCTTTGTCTGAGTTCCATGAGAACACTATCTCAACCTTTAGGGAAAAAAAAATTGATAAGATGATACATATTGTATTACCTGTTGATGAACATCAGTCATGGACAAGGTCATATGTAAAAACACCTTGATGGTGGCCAAGACAACTGCGCCATTTGCATGTTGAAGCCTATCTTCAAGAAGATTCATGATGTCGAATATCTCTTCACTATCACTTGGAACATATTTTGAAACCAATTCCAAAACAATACATTGTGCCCATTCATTGAATTCTTTTATCCTGGATCCATTACATCAGATTAAGAATTTCCACACAAAAAGAAATATATATTTTTTCTTATTTTTTAAAAGGTAAATATATTTACACTTGCATCTGGATGCATAAAAAGCCACAATGACAACAAAAATCAAGCAAAGACATTTAAAATATAAATCTTCCATCACTATATAATGACAAGCATCATAAGTTGATTAAATATATCACATGAATAATCCAAAAATATCTATTAATTGCTGGATGTCTGAAAGGTAATAGAATCTAACCAATATTTTTGGTTCAGTTGTATAACTTGTATAGTTCTCATATTCAGAATGCACACATGTAAAAAATATATCTTAAATTTTCACTTGATTCTTTTATGTCATCTGTCGCTCCTTTTCTACTTCACAATCTATTAAAGAAGCTATTCTTTCTTTACATGTGTGCATTCTGAATATGAGATAGTGTTGAAGAAAGTGATCCGAAGATTGCAAGAATGAAATACATCCAAACGAACCATTCGAATGATGAATACCTATTCAAAAAGTAATATATAAGTGGTTTGCTAAGCAAGGCTTCTCTCTCTCTTGCAGCCTCTTCAGATGTACTCGCTTCCAGACCCCAGATCTCTTGTAGAGAAGTCAAACAGTTTGCAACAACCTAATTAAGCCGAAGAAACACTTAGACAAAACATGCTAAATATAAAAGGAATGAGTATATTTGTAATTTCAAAAGTTTAAAAATGAAGATTCTGAAACTCATTCACAATTTAGGAGCTTACAGGATAAATACCGTTAAATAAGAAGAGTCAAGAGAGTTAGAAGCAGAGTTTATGAAACCACGAGGGAACAGTTTTGAAAGTATGGGAGATTTGACACAATTTCGTGAAATCACGAATGGATTTTGTACAGTTTTGCCTTTTAATTATTCACTTACTCAACAATCATCAAGCATGAAGTTAAATCAAGCTTAATCTTTGAAATGCAAACACCCATCTGATTCAAGGATCATATTATCTATATAGGCGGGGAGATCGCCCAATGAAGCAAATATAACCTGTGCATCTTTGTCTTTGAGCATTAAATGCTTGAGCAGTTCTGGAAAATCAGCATCAATGCATGTGGAAGATGAAATATGGTATAGTTTGAGCACTCCAATTGCTGCCACCATCCTCACATAACTGTTCCCATCTCTCAAGCCATTACCTAAAGGCCCCACCAAGTACTCAACCAAATTCGTCACACCAAGTGAACACAAACTTCTCAAAGCTAAACCTCTAATCATAGGATCCTCGTCCTTGCAGTCCCTTTGAAGAAAGTTAATTGTCAAAAGTGCAAGATCCGGATTGTGCTTTGCATAATTACCAACATATAAATAACACATCTTTTTAAGCACAATGTCCGACGTTGCTGAGCACATCACCATTTCACTGAAAACTGATGATACATCAATCCCAATGGTCATAAATGATATAACCTTCTTGAAAAGTTCCCTCTTTGAATCATCTGCACCAGGAGCACGGCTACCTGCTAGCTGGCGAAGCTGGGTTTTAAGTTCGGTAATCTCTCCTTTTCTGATGAAAACATAAGTACATAACAAGAATAAAATTCACTAAGTCTCTGTCAACCAACCAACATTCAAACAGAGGAAAATCAAATAGCGTTACAATTTACACAAGGCATCAATTATGCTGTGAAGCCTACCCAATTATTCTACTTACATACAGATCCGTAATTATATAAAAACCAAACAATTAGTTCCAAAACTAGGCACATTTCCCTTCTTCATCAAAGGTTAAAGAATAGGTTGTTGCCCTATTTATATGGTGAAGTTTGACAGCGTAGTTATGAAGACCATGCACAAACAATTATACTGCCATGTCTCCAAAATTTGACTTTTGAACTTTGATCAGATAAGCAGTGATCTCGAATGAACCCTAAAACACTCCGATGCAATTTTGGGTTACGTTACTGTACCGCAATTTGACTTCACCGACTCCTCTACTGGTAAAAAAAACACAAGAATATGCAAAAACACACAATCATTTACATAAATAAACAGAAGTGTACCCTGAAGGTTGAGACGGGGAAGGGGATCGCTGAGATTGAGCAGGAGGTGCCATGTCCGACTTCCGAATTCTTTAAATCAAACAATCCACAGTTCTCCGCCGGACAGATAGAGGTCGAGATGGCTCCACAAGTGATGAAAGCGGATCTTGGCGAGGAAATTGCTCTCCGTGGAGAGCTGAATTCCGATCGAACGATGGCTGAACGAAGCTTTTCTTGACTACCTTTGAAAATGAAAGAAACATGTTTATGGTGAGCTATTCTCTCATTACTTTATGGTCCATTAAAATTTTATTGTTTAGCGTAGAATCCCCTGTAGTTTTCAAAATTTCAATTACCTCCCACTTTCTTCTTGTTACTATTATGTTCTTATCTGTTTATGTAATTTTATATTGAAACGAAAAGTATGAATACATTCGTTTAGTGAAATTACTGAAAATGATAATTTTTATGTGAAGTATAATAAATTATATCATTAATATAAAAATAAGAACACACTTTATATTTTGTAGATAAAAATTAAAATAATGTATAATAAAAATTTTACTATTAAATAACTAATAAAAAATAATTAAATATAATAATAAATTAGTTATTATTTATTAAAATATAAATAATAAAATGAGTGAATAAAAATTTATACATAAATTACATAAACTTATCGACAATTAAAAAATTTATACGAAATATAATATTTTTTGTTTTAATTTAAAGAATCTTTCAAAATTTTATAATTAATTAAAAAATAATAATAATGTAAGGAATAATAAAAATATATAAATAATTTTAATATTTAATATTTTATAAAAATATATTTTTTAAAATCAATAATGATGAATCCTAAGAAATGATGGTAGCCAAACATGGCGATTTACAGTTTGGGGACAAAATGAACATAACAGAAAATGGAAGGACTGGGATGTGAACAAACCACATGTATATAAACCCTCTCTTCCTCTCTCACGTAATCTGCACCACACTTCAGCCTCCGCTGTCCGTCACCGTTTTGGCAAACCCTCGGTTTCCATCTCTATCCACAAGAATATCTCTGACCTCTGTATGCTACGCAATTTCTTTTAGCGAATCGGAGCCCAACCTCACTGTACCCGTGTTTTTTTTTGTGTTTTAAACCCGAATTTGCGTATTAAACTGCATATCTAGGTAGCATTTCGGAATCCTGGGCCGGTTGGAGCTGAGGAGGTTGTACATCTGAAAGGAGTATCTGGATATAGCAGATTTGAGCGTACAAGTTTGTTCGATTTAAAAATTCAGAGGAATTTTACTTATCTGGATTGACTTATTTTGTGGCGAGTGTTTTAGGTTTTTATTTTTTAAATTTTCGCGTTTGATCTTCTGGTCGGTGTTTGAATTCTGTTAATCTTGTTACTGAAATAATCGGCGACTTGGTGTATCTGAGTTTCGGGTTTTGGTTAAAACTGATCTGCCGCTGTTCTCTAGGGTTTTCAAAATTTTCGTATAATAGAAAATGGTCGGTGGTGGGAACAGAAGGGATGAAGGATCATTTACGGTGAGCAACAATAATGTTTTTGCAGCTCTAGGGAGTTTGAGAAAGAAGAAGAAATCTGACAAAGAGAAGGGTTCGTCCAAGGGAGGTAAGGGAAAAGCTTCTGAGTCTAAATCCAAGGAAACTGAGGAGAAGCAGGTGTTCTGGGCTCCTGCGCCTTTGACAGTTAAGTCATGGGCAGATGTTGATGACGAGGATGATGACGACTATTATGCTACCACTGCACCTCCCCAGGCTATATGGGGTGGTTCCAATTCAAATAAGGCTGAGGAAGCTGATAAACATGATCATGTGGAGGTATAAAAGAACTAGATTGTGGTTTATTGTGCTAGTGTCTCGCATCTTTGAACTTGTTTAATTTTGGAAATTGTTGACTGCAAGGTGTTGCTGTAAGATGGTTAATTGATTTAATTGGGTTACTGTTTGATTGGCTGTCCCTTTTGAATTATAAGAATCTGGTTTGGTTGGTGCGTCAGTGATGCATAATGGATGAGCCGCTTGTAAGTTCTTCCTTTAGTTGGTCTGCCTATGCTGTTTTGCAAACATTCTATGTGGCCATTTGCTTCTTCATAATTGAATTCCTATCCGTAGCAATATCTCAATGATTTGCATGATGAATTATGCTATATGGCTAATTTAATACTTTGTGTAAGTTTCTCAGGATTTTCAATTGAATTGTTCCTGATTAATTTTGTTGATTTTATAACAAGACAGAATTAAAGCTTGTATGGGAAATGCATCTTAGCTAGTTTGCTGATTATTAATGAGGAATTTTTGTGTTCCCTTTGCTTCGTCTTTCAATAGTTCTACAACAAGAAATGTTCCACAACTAAGTCATGTTTTCTGCTGAAGCAAATAATTCATAATTCCTACCGCATGTAACATCACTTGCAACCAATATAATTTTTCAGTACCTTATTAAAAAAAATTTAAAAATTGATCTGTGGTTTCTTTTGGCATATCATTCTTAAAACTTATTAGTATGGGATATAAAATGACATATGCCTGATAGTGTTTTAAACTTCATCTGGTATATGTGCTGATACTCTCTAACCTTTAGGTTCATAATTACTTTCAGAATCTTGTAATTTCCTGGACCGAAAAATTTCTTATAATGCCCAACAAAATGATAAAATTTTGTATTTTTACTTTCGGTGTAAGTATTGCTCCTGCCCAAGGAAATTGTGCTTGATGGATTTCAATCAACCTTCCAATAAATTATCATGAATTTTAGATTCCAATGAAGTTTATATATTGATTGACTCATAGTGCATTGTAATTGTAGGAAAGTGAAACTGAAGATGAACTTCTCGATGAAGGTGATGATGATGTGGAAGAGGAACATGACCATGAAACCGAGGCTCAAGAACAAACTGAGCCGGAGTCGGAGCCAATTGTGAAAGAGGCTGTAGAAGTTTCTCCTGCTCCTAAGGAGACAGAAAGGCAGCTTTCAAAGAAGGAGAGGAAAAAGAAGGAGCTTGAAGAGCTGGATGCAATTTTAGCTGATTTTGGTGTCAACCCAAAAGAGAAATCCCAAGACAAGGCATCAGGTATCCCCCCCACCACATTTCCTCTTGTTTACGAAAATCATTTCTGTTTCTTGAGACGATTCCGTATGATGTGTTCTGACTACCTTAGTTTCTTCCACCGAACTGGTGCTGTCATAATGTATTATATATTTTCAGAATTACTAATAATGTTTTTAATCTTGTTTTAATGGCTTTATTGAAACAACCTGTTACTATTTAAGCTAAAATTTTCACGTTCAATTCACTTGCAGATGCTGTCAACAAAGAAGGAAAAGATGAACAATCAAACGGGAATGGAGGAGATAGAAAAGACAACGCACCTGCAGAATCTAAAAGCGCAAAGAAGAAGAAGAAGAAGGACAAGATTAAAGAAACACAGGACCCGAACACCAATTCGGATGTCTCCAATGGACACGAGGAGGACACCTCAAGAACCAAACAAGTGGAAGAAGAGACTACAGAGGCATCTGCTGTCGATGTAAAAGAGAAGCTCAAAAAGGTCGCATCTTCCAAGAAAAAGAAATCGAACAAAGAGATGGATGGAGCTTCAAGAGCTGCTGCCATGGAGGCTGCTGCTAGAAGCGCCAAACTTGCAGCTGCTAAAAAGAAAGAGAAGAACCATTACAACCAGCAGCCGGTGCGTTAGGTAACAAGTCATACAATTCATTCATACGTACACTCACTCTAGTGCATGTGGGAGGGATCGTAATAAACTTGTCGAAGCTTCTTGTTTTCCTTGCTTTACGATTGAACGCCGGCTTATAAACTGTACTTTGTGTTGTCTGTTTGTTGTTCTCATTTGGCACAACACTGTTTAAACTTGTTAGATCATTTTGTAACATTATAGAACTTGTTGCCCTCTGCTGCTGCTGCTTCTGTATCTATGGTGTTTCCCTTTTCTTGCATTGTGTGTGTGTGTGTGTGTTTTTTTTTTTTTTTTTTTTTTTTGGATTTTTTTATATAATCTATAGTAATATAAATAGTTATTTTGTTTGAAAACAATTGGATAGTTAATTATCTAATTTAACATTATTGCAGGTGGGATGAGTTCATTCAAATGTTTTTTCATTTATTGACTATAGCTGTTTATTTACTCAACTTTCAAGCGTTATTTTTTTAAAATATATATAATTATAAATATGACTTGATAGTAAAAGTTTTTGATAAAATTGCCTGCAACAAAGTGTTACTTTTTAATTAATATAATTCTTCTAAAAGCAATACGATAAAATTAATAAAATAAAATCCTAAATATAATTTTATATAAAATTTTTATGATTTTCTATACCCAGAAGCAAAAGCAAAATTTTAAATTTTAAATAAACATCTTTTATGAATGAATTAAATATATAATATGAAATTTGTTGAATTATTAAATTATGCATGATATGTATAAAAAATGAATATAATTAATTTTCAAAATATTCAAATCCTATGATATAAAAATCAATGTAAACAAAACAGATAAATTTATTTATCCTTTTACGGAAAAATAAATATCACTTGACAACAGTGACTGACGTCACCTTCCAAAGTTACGCTATCGAATAATAAAATATATGTGTATATATTTATAATTATTATTTTGATCGTGCAAATGCAAAATTTCTCCGGTGAATCCTCCGCAATTCCTTTTCCCTTGAATCTTGAATTGGTTTCACTTTTGCCTTCTGATCACCAAATCTAGGGTTTCTCAGTTCCGTCGTGGCTTCGCCGTCGTGATCCTACTTTTGCACTTGCTTGTTGCTTATAGGCGTGTGATCGATCTTGCTGCGACACGGTTTTGTTTTGTTTATTCATATGTATTCAATTGATTCATTACTTTATCATCGAAACTCTTGACGAATTCTTTGAGCATCTTATTCTTTTGCAAACGATGATTGTTTTTTCGAATAATTGTAAATTTTTTCCTGCTACGTTAAAGTTTCCTCGCCTTCATTTTGAAATTTCCCCTGAGAAGGACAGTTTGATCGCAATAGTAATATGAGTAGGATTAGGGTTAGGGTTACGGGTAGGGCTGTGGATGGAGGTGGTGGATACTTTTTTCCACTTAAGGTGTTTGTTTCCGAATTTGTTCCGATCATATAGCATCATAGAAACAGTTTGCCTCCATCTTTTGTTGATGTTCATACTCTGAATTTTGGTATAGTTATGTGTCTGTTTATAAGCTCTAAGAATTTGTGACTGGTTGCTGTGTCATTATACAACACCCTATCTTGTGCTGTTGCATTTGCCCGTAGAGTGAGACAATTAGACCTTAAAGGATCTCTCTGTTTCATATGAACGTATATATGTGTATGTGTGTGTGCGCATATATTCTGTTTTTCGTAATTTTGTATTGTTACTCTTTGTAGAAATCTATTTGAGCAGGCAGTGTTACATCTCAATTCTAGTCGAGTTTGGTCTGTATTATTCCATTAGGTTTTGCACAGCATTACTTGTGATAAGCTTATTATCGAAGAACTTTGTGTTTTTATTTCCAATTCTTGGGTTGCTTCATCAAGAGTTACACCTTTCCATGTTGTCAAGGGCACCTTTTCATTCAACTCCTTGCTGCAGCAATGAATTCAAGATCATCTTCTTTAAATCCGTTTGCATCGCCCTACACGCCACTCTCAAAAAGAGTTGGTTCTGATGTGGACAAGGGCTTTGGTCCTGCACAAGAATTCAATAGAAGAAATGAGGCGTATGGGAATCATTCTGAAAACATTTTGCCCCAACAAAGTCACCGCCAGAAACCTTCTTGGAATGATGGAGCAATACCGGCTGCTGGTGACTTCTCCAAATGGAAGAAGAACGATCATCGTGGTGGCGAATACTTTAGTTCATCGTCTCGATATGCTCCATCAAATGAAATGATGACTCAAGAAAAGACAAATGTTGATGAAGACATGGATTTAGCTTACCTTCAGATGACCTTTCCAGGAATATCGTATGAATCCCTTCACAGCGTCTACATAACCAGCAGATGCGATCTGGATGCTGCAGTCGACATGATAAATCAGCTTGAGGTAATTTGCTCTAAATCTTCAATTAGTTGTCTTCTAAATTGAGTCAACTCCATCCCTCTATCTATCTGTTTGCCTTCTTTACTGCCCTGTTGTTGATGATCATGCCTTTGCTATCGATTTCCTAAGATTGCTATGATTATCATGGAAGAAAACAGTAGCCCTTGTCATGCTTCTTAAATCAAATCAAAGGATATAACAGTAGCCTGATCGGGGATTTTCAAATGTGGGCTTCGTATATTTCCTACATTGCAAATCTTGTTTATGTATAAATGACTTAGAGAGAGAGTATTTTGTTGTAGATCCAACCTCATGATCCATCAGATAAGCTTCCCGACTCTCTGGACATCGGTGATGTTCCTGAAATGGGCGCCGGGTCGTCACAGAAAGCCAAAGGGGCTTCTTCAACCTCGGGGTGGTAATCTTCTAAGTAATCGGTTTGCTATTATGGTGTGGTGTTTCTAGGCTTCTGCTTGTCGATGTAAAACAAACCTGTTAGATGTTCGTATTTGCTGGATAAAAAGACAATGAATAGGAGGAAGACGAAGGCAAAGGTAAGAAGGTAAGTAAAATGAGAGATATTGGAAAAGAAAAAAAGAGTGTGTTGTGTTTGTTACACACACAATTCACTTTTGGACTGACTCTATCCATTATTCCATTGCTGCTGTTTTTGTATTTTTGTCTCCAAAACATTCCCTTTAGCAAATTATCTGGATAAGTAAACAACATACAAATATTACTTTTGTTGAATTTGCTGTTTTATACGTATATTTTTGGGAATTGACAGATAGATTCAAATTTGAATTTTTTATGTCTATCGATCTTACGGCTTTGGGCTTTTATGCTAAAAAAAATGATTTAATATAGTAGTAAATGCATGTATACTACACCACTTTGTTGGCTATTGTTATTGTTATTGCTATTTAATTTATTTGTGTTCAATATATATGTTAATCTAATAATTTTTTTACTACAAATTAAAATAGTAAATAAACATACATATATACATTCGATATTGTTAATTTAATTAATAACGTACAATACAGAGCATAACCACAAGTTTTAAACGCTAGCCATCTCACTATCCCGACACTTTTTTGCTTATTTCTCTGAACAATATTTAAAATTAAAGATATACGTATTGTTACATTATACTAGTACTAACATATTTATTCAAAAGAAAAACTACTTGCTTGAAATTCATTCAATGAAGATATATAACCGTAACAACAAACGGATAGATAGATGCAATTCTGTGCGTGTGTTTTTGTTTATGATTTGATTCCTTGTTGAATTTTTCTAATCTCTTTCTTGACCACATTCAACTGTCCGATAGGATTGGATTGGGCGGGTGTAGACTAGAAATCGAAATCGATTGGTAATTGTGAAGAATTGGCGTTGATGATCTGATCTGAGGTTAGGTTAGGTTAGGGTTTGTTTGTTGTCAACATATAGTAATTAACTAATAAATAATTTGGGAAGGAAGAAGAAGAAGAAGAAGAATGGGTGTGGATTATTACGAGATATTGAATGTGGGAAGGACCGCAACGGATGATGATCTGAAGAAGGCGTACAGAAGATTGGCCATGAAATGGCATCCCGACAAGAATCCCAACAACAAGGACCAAGCCGAGGCCAAATTCATTGAAATTTCTGAGGCCTACGAGGTTAGTTTTTTTATAAGCGTAAACATGTTGTTCTTGAGATGTTGGCCGAAATGCCTCACAGAATTAGGCGACGCTTAATCATCATCAATTTGCTGCTGAATTGGTTTCTGTCTTGCTCTAATTTCCTGCTTCGGTTTGGATCGACAATTTAAAGCTCACATTTCGGAATTTTGTGTTTCTCAATGCCCTAATTTCTTGGCTATGATCAACAATGGAGAGCCCACATTTTGTTGATGAGAATTATTAGTTCAAAACATGTGATGATTCAGAGGTCTTTTTTGTGGATTACTTCAGGTGTTGAGTGATCCGAATAAACGGCGAATCTACGACCAGGACGGCGAAGAGGGTCTAAAAGACACGCCACGACCGGGCTCGTCTGGGAGCCGGACACAATTCAATCCAAGAAATGCAGAGGATATCTTTGCTGAGTTCTTCGGGAGCAGTCCATTCGATTATGGATCCTCAGTTTCCGGGAGGTCGAGGAGGTATTCAACGGACGCAGAGTCGTTCAGAAACTCTTGCGACGGAGCTGGAGTCAATGTGCCGAAGAAGCCACCTCCGGTCGAGAATAAACTTCCTTGCAGCCTCGAGGAGCTTTACACGGGTTCGACAAGAAAAATGAAAATTTCTAGACAAGTAGCCGATGCGAATGGGTATGTGTATGATGTCCTAATCCATCTTCTTTTTTTCAAAAGGATATGTTGTTATTTCGAGTTCGTGTTTCTTGCAGGCAAATGTCGACAGAAACTGAGATACTAACGATAGAAGTGAAGCCCGGGTGGAAAAAAGGGACGAAGATAACGTTCCAAGACAAAGGAAACGAGCAACCGAATCAGCTCCCGGCAGATCTCATCTTTGTGATCGAAGAAAAGCCACACGACAAGTTCAAAAGAGACGGGAGCGACTTGATGATGAGTTATCAGGTAACATTGGCGCAAGCTATTCGAGGGACAACTGTGGAGATCGTCACACTGGATAATCGAAACCTATCCATACCGGTGACTGACATTATAAGCCCCGGTTACGAGCTCGTCGTCGAAAAAGAAGGCATGCCCATCTCTAAGGAGCCTAGCAAATATGGGAATCTCAAGATCATTTTCGACGTTAAATTCCCCGAAAAATTGGCACCCGATCAACGAGCTGCCCTAAAAGAGGCTCTTGGGGGTTGATGATATAGTTAACATTGTTGGTTTAGTACTTTAGTTTATATGTAAGATTGATTGGGAATGAATGGTTAGTAACGATAATAATAATAATAATACAATCAAACTTTCATATATGAATTGAGATGATCACAACAAAAAAACAGACCAAAATACCAAAATTGATCGATTTCAGAAAAAGAGTAAACTAACTTTGCTGGTAAAAAGTAAGTATCATCCCAACAACAAAAAGTTTAAAAAAAAAAGTCTCATAATGATAAGAGAAACACAAAAGGTCATAACAATGCCAAAAAAGCAACAAATGAAACAAAATTTATTTACAAAAACTTCGACTTTAACTGCCATCTATTATAATTAATAAGGTCTCCATCTTCCCTCATGAGGAGGAGGTTGCACCCACCTCCCGCCGCTGCCGGCAGGCGGCGGAGGCCGTCGAGGCGGCAGCTGTTGATTAGGACGGTGGCCGAGGCCCACTTCCGGCCGCCACTCGGGTATATCATCATCATCGTCGTCATTCCATGGCTCAATGCCAGCAAGAGTGCTAGCACCACCACCACCACCAACAATGGCGGCGCCACCACTTTGGCCATATTTTTTAATGAGTTCCCTGACCTGATCTACATGAGGAGTCAACATCATATTTTGTGAAGGAGGGTTTAAATGACTAGAAAAGTTGAATTCAGGCAAGTCATCATCATCTTTTCTTGCTGCTGCTGCTATTGCACCAGGCCCAAATCCCGGAGGGACATCGTCATCGTCGTCACCCTCCGGTGGCGGAGGAGGATGATGCAACGACGACAACGACGGGTTGTTAAAGGCCGGACGGGATGGCAGCCTAGAAGGGGTAGCGATAGCGTTAACGGCATTCACATTAGTAGTAGTAGAAGTAGTAGTAGAAGATGAATTTTGCATCATCCTATTAGGAGCAGATGTAGAAGAAGAATATTGTTGCTTTTTGGTGCTGTGTTTGTTGTGTGATGATGAATTACGTGATGGTGATGATGATGATGAAATGTTGCTGCTTATATGAGCTCTTCTCCATACAACAACACCAATTAGTCCATTTTCTGTAGAACTACTCGGCTCCGGCAGGGGGCGACGTTTGGGCAAGTATTTGTTGAGCATTTCTGTCATTTTGGATGTCGGGGGGCAGAGATAGAGCTCGACGCCGGGCGTTGGTTCTGCGTATCCTAGCCGTTCATCTGCAGAGTAGGATTCTACAGCCTGGATTCGGAAGATGGCTTTTGAGTACAAATAGTCGGGATATGTGAAAATCTATATGTATAAATATGTATGTATAAGTGTGAATGAGGATTCGGACAATATTTGTTACCTCAGAGAAGTCACGCAACTGTTTCTCGGGGGAGTTGTCCTTCAAGTCGATTTGGAGAACCTGCGGATAGAAACAAGGCCAGGCTTGATTAATGAGACTAACTGGCAAGAATTTGGAAAAATAAGTCGATGCCCTAGATCAAGCAAATCATCAACTGCCAGAATCGAAGAAGGTTATAGACAAGTGATTCCTGATTAGTATTGCCATCAAATTTGCTCATAACAATTTTGAGATAGTGAATTAACTGGTATGGCTTCTGAGTTCAAAACAAGTTCACTTCCACACAGCAGTCACAAGTTCTTGGGAACTAAAAAAGCCAAACTATATCTAGAAACTACTATACCGAATACATGGCAATCAAAAAGTATGAGCAATTGATTATACTACAGCATCTACGGTTTCTTGCAAAATATACCAACTATATCAATACTGATGATATCAACTTAAATGGCATTTGATCGGTAATAAATGGAAATATTGTGGGGTGTGCTTAAGTAAACTCTTGATTGCTCTTTTATTATGAAATGTTGTCATGGAATGTTTTGCACTTGTCTATCAAACAAAAAATTATCCAACAAGTTTCAACCTTTTGCATATTTTTCTAATTAGCCAACAATCCAATACCGAGATAAATGCCATCTATGTACACACATCACCTTAGTTGCAAACAAAATGAAAACGGGCAGTAAAGGAGACGGATACTAGTTATAAGGTAAAAGAACAAGGAGGCCCTGAAATACCATGACTGCACGAGTTCTAGACAGAGGAAGTTCTTGAAGAAATTTGCCGAATGCCTCGAGTCTAACTCTTCCCTTGATCTCCAAAGAGGTGGGCCACTCCTTCACAGAAGTTTTCTCGCCACTGTTAAAGAAAGGGTTCAACAAGTCAGCAAGAAGAGAACAATAAATATATGGATACAATATTACTTTCCCAAAACAAGAATTCTAGTCAATAATTGATGTGACTTGTAAATGCTGTTGTGAACACCAAATAGTTAATGCATTATATCTGTATATGCCAATATGCCATCATAACTCAAAGTAAATAAAAACCAAGGAAGGATAAGCCTAGGAGTAGAGCAGTTCCTATTCACAGATGTTTAATAACAGTTACATGCTAAGCAAATTATACTTTAAACTCTAAACACCACATTATGCTGTCAAAGGGGCTATGTCATTCATTCTTGAATGACATACTTTTGTAATTTTACAAACTTTAAGCTTATTTACAGCTACTAAAGATATAGCTTACAAAATAAGTGTTTGCACAAAAATGCTCAAATCTTCAAAATATGTTATTGAATTTCAGAAACATGGTATGAGTTCATTGTTGGAAAACTAAACATGGATAATGTGCAAAATTTGAAAATAAATGAAAATTCATCAAGTTTATTAATACATACAGCATAAAACCTTCTTTTAATTTTCCAAAAAGAAATGATCACTTTCTGCTCTTAGGCCAATATGAACATTCTTTTTTTTTTACTTCAACACTGTAGCTAATAATTTATACAAACTTAGGGGCGGTTATTGATTAATAGGGATATTTTCATCATTAGCGGCTCAAAAGCTTGTGAAAGAATTAAATTAACAACTGAATAGGCTTACTAGAATTATTTCTAATTTATCTCACAATTTTATCAAACTTAGATTGAGAGGCACACAAGCTTTACCATGAGCCGAACAAGGTATGTACAGAAACAATCTTCAGTAACAACAGAAAGAAACCCAAATAATAAAATGCATATAGACTATACTATAACTGTTGGTATAACCAATAATAAGATGACCAAGATAATAAATGCTGAAAAGGCCTCAACCAATACTATGAAGATTAATCTAACATATTGATCATTTACCGTACTGTTAAGAGGGTAATGTCGGGAAAGGCATAGATAGTCACTACATATATCTAGTATTGACAACCATAAACACACAAACCTTCGAAATTGACAGTAAACAGTCACTGATGACGATACACTCAACTGAAGTGCACCCTCCCAAATATTTTCTTCCTTGACTCCAACAGTCGAGAGAATGCTCTGCTTGGGACTTCTACTGGATTTAAAAGTCATATCAATGTCATGCTTCTTAACAGCATCAACCTCTTTGGAGGAATCATCTTTAGGGGAGTCTAAAGCAGGAGCGGATGTGTTCTTCACAACATTAGACTTTTCTTCATGTGTCTCTGAGGTCTTCAGCAATCCATCTGCGGATAAGTTTGCAAAAGGAGGTTCAGAATTCAGGGACTCCATAAACTCATCCAGCGAAACAATTGGGGGTAGCGATTCAGCATCCTTCATTTCATCCACCATCATTCCTTGCATCAAATCTGCACCATCAGTTGGAATAACCAGGCTACCTGAAAATTCCTGGTTTTCCGACACACTCTTCTGAACTGAAGTATTCTCTTCATCTTTAAGATTTGCCTTGGTTGCAGAATGAGATGCAGTCTCCTTTTTTGGCTGAAGCCTTGTTACCATTGAAGTCCCACCCGAAACTTCTTCCACAATGCTATCATCACGGTCAAACTCCACTTGATACTCACCCTTGTGTGTTTTTTTCACCAAACGCCTCATATCACCATCAGTATCAGGCAAAACTACCATTTGAGCCAGCTCTACTGCTTTCGTCATGCGCCACTCAGATAATTCCTTGGAAGCAAGCTCTTCTGCTGACATTGAACAAAGTTTTTCTGGAGGTATCTCACCAGCCATGACTCTTTCCCTCAATTCTGGATTATTTCGATCCTTAAGATTGAACAAAAGGGACCTGCCCTTTTCTTTGTACTTTTTGTTTACACCACCAAATAGCTTAAAAAGTTCAGCTTCAATTTTGAAAGCCAAATCCTCTGGCTTCAAAGTTGGTTGATTAGCTTTATCAGCAACATTTTGATCCTCCCCCTCCCTCTTCTGCATATCAAAATCAAATGCCCAAGAAAGCCCATTTCCTTGCAAGAGATCATCTTTTGCAAAAAAGTTATCACTAAATGGTACATCCACATCAGGGAAAATGGAAGTGTATGGAAATTCTTGAAAAGTGTGCCCACCATCCATGCTAATTCCATTAGATGGAAGCTCAGAAGAATACATCTTTGGATCATTGGCTGCACCCACAACTATTTCTTTAGACACTTTCTGAGAACCAGACCCAGTATCATGACCATTCAAAGCTGGATTGGATTGAACAGCCTGGGTATTCCTTGACAGCTGTTGAGTGTTAGTAATGTCACTATGATCTTTCTCAGAATTTAAAATACTGCCTTGCTTCTGAGTTGCCATAGCAATTGCAGATGCAAGATTCTCTCTCATTTTCGACCTTACTGCTTCAGATGACTCAGGCCGAGACTTCGTTGCTGATTCAATTTGGGTGGTTTGTTTTTTGGGAGGGCGTCCACGTTGCGCCACAGGTTTATTATGTGCAGATTCATTTGATGCAATTTTCTTGTTTAATGCAGATTGAACCTGTACACCAGAACCTGAATTCGGTGGAGCTGGTCCAGGTCTACTCTGCAGCCCTGATGGCAACAAATGCCAATTGGCATTGGTTCCCATCTGCGCTGGGAACTTGTTAGGCAGAGAATTAGACATGTTCGCCAAAGGTGCCATCTCAGCCTTTCTTTTTACTGGCAGTGATGTGTTCAGGTTGTATCCTGCTATATTGTTTGGCACAACTGTATTTTCACGAGCACGTTGGTTTTGCATACCACTTGAACTTAGCCCAATATTGGCACCGGAAGATCCAACATGTCCCACTGTATTAATTGGAATCATTAAGGTGTTATACCCAGAATTACCAGACATCTGCTCTACCAAACCCACATGTTCATTTGATACTGAAAATTGCTGGTGTTCTTGATTGTTTGACATATGACCAACCATTCTCATTTGCATTTCCATAGAGTGAGGAACATGATCCATCAGAACCACCTGATTTTTCTGTGCCCAATTACAGAATAGACGAAGGCGCAACAAGTGCACAAGTTCCACAGCTTCAGATAACTTTAGTTGAATATCCAAGATATACCTGCATGAAATAACATGAGTTAACAAAATGCTATGATATAAAAGAAAAAAGCAACTACCGCATAAACAATTCTAAGGCTTTATTAAATGCTATCAACAAATTAATTCCAACAAACACATCAGTTATCTCTAGATCTATGCAAGTAATGACAACATGGCTCAAGCCTCTTATGTTGAGGCTGGAAACGATCAAGTCTTAATCAAGGGCATCACAGAAGAGAACTTTAGGTAATAGTTATAGCAGGTATTGTTCATCCTTGTCTCCTTGTATGAACACTTCCATTTCTTCTTTGTTCTTCTCACAGTGCTTTCTCTTCTTTCTTCTGTTTCATTACAATTTCACCTTCTTAGTTTCTTGCAATTTTGTTTTTCTCATTGGTTTCCATCATTATATTGCTTGCTATGATTAAATTGCTAGATTTTATAATTATCTGGCATGCTAAATGTTACTATATTATATATAATATTTAATTCATTCTAAATTATGTATAAAAAATTAGAATACATTTTCAAATTATATATTTAATTCATTTAATAGATTTGTGTATTATCAGTTTTAAACAATATTATAAATTTGAGCGTTTTTAAATTTGGCACTTTTCTTTGACACGAGCAGGGTACATAGCAGCACAGAGCCATGTGCCATAATGCATCCATTTTAGGATTAAAACCAACAGAAACTGCTTTAAAATATGTGTGTGTGTGTGTATATATATATAAATATATATTGAGAAAGGCTAAATATTAAGGAATATGTAATATAGCACATTACAACCACAATGCTCTTTTGGAAAATAATATGACCCAGAAACATTGATCAAAATAATATGATCCAGAAACAAAAGACCAGTGGTCATTTAAAGGCTAAAATAAGAAATATATGAGTCCCGATCACACGCAACTCTATGCCTGTAGACAAGTAGCAGCTATACATGCTGCAGCTTTCAGTATATCAATTGCTTAGGGATACATATGGTTACATACTTACAAGTCACAGACCAAGAGTTGTTATGGTAGGTAATGGTGTCAAGTTTCAACCACAAAATATGGCTTTGCAAACCAAAGAAGTAGCAACAACAACCCCAAGCATCAAATGAAGTGCGGTGCCAGTCTGTACGGTCACAACCTGACCAAACTGAATGGAAATATAGAATGAAAAATTAACATACATCAGCAAAAGAGGTAAGCACATCAAATCTCCAATGAAATCAATAATTATCATGTAAGGAGAATAATTTAGAAAACAAAATCAAAATTTCAATTAAAAAACATTTTTTATGTACAAAATCTAAGATTAGCCATGCCTAAAACTATGAGACGAAAAAATATATATCCATTAGAAACCTCAAATTCAATACTTTAAAAAACCAAAATTAGATAGATCTCAAAATGGAACAACAAAACGAATTCACATCCCCGGAAGAAATTAACAATACATCAACCCCGTCAAGATTTCCCTGACCGATCAAAGAACAACATGTTTTACAACCAAATTTCCATCCATGTCCGATTTAAACTAAACTATCTTAACACTTGCCATTTTTGAAAATTCAAGAAAATTCAACCCTGTCAGGATTCAAAAACGCCACAAAAGATTCGGCCTTTTCAACAACCGAAATCCGTCGTTCGTCAACACATATCGCAGGAAATAAATTCAACGGCCTGCATAAACAAAGATTCCCAAATGCACAAAACAAAAAGACGACGCCTAGAAGGCACAAAAAGCATATCATTACCCAAAAATGAGCGAATCGGTGGAGGAGTAGCCGCTTGTGAAGATAAAGAGATAGGGCGGCGAAGTTATCGAAGAACCCTAGAAGAGGATCAGGTCTCGTTTGTGGTTACCTCCTCAGACTCTCTAGTTTGTTCCTTTCTAAATGTGTGCGTGTGCGCCCTACATACATATATATACATATTATTTTCCGTTTTCATTATTTGCAAATGCGCTTTCATATAAACTTAATACAAACGCGTTTTTGGTCTGCAGTGTAATGCGACTTTAGAATGGCACCATAACAATAAGTCAAAAAAAACAAATACTATTCCTATAAAACCATTTTATTTTTTATTTTGAAAATATTAAAATAATATATACTCTCTTCACGTCAAATTCAGCCGATATTATCTCATTTACTATTTAGGACTGTTATGCGTAAATAGTTTTTATGTATATATATAAAAAAGTACATATTTAATTATTAATTTATCTTAATTTTATTTGTATTTCTCAAGATAAAATTAAGGATATCTTTAACTTTAGAATTCTTTTTACACTTTGCAAGTTTATGTCATTTAAAATAATATAAATATATATATATAATTTATCATTAAAAAACTTAATTATACAGTAAAATATCTTGAAAAAAGAAACAAAAGATAACGTCCTAATGAAATTTCGACTTGAATTTATCCAAAACGAACTCGAGATCGTAGTAGCTACGGATTCCTGTGTAATATATATATATATATATAAACCATATAGAATGATATATATATATATGGTCAATGCGATTCGACTAGAATATAAATATTAGTGATACAATCAATCTAGAATATAAATATTAGTGATACAATCAATCAATATATACAACAGCAAAGTTGATGAGTAAAATAAAGTGTAGTAGACTCAACTAAACTACCATCTCTGAACAATTTTAAGTTCTATATTAGAGCAGGGCAGGGCAGGAAGTCTTTAGAACAGTAGTGTTCCAGAAGTTGAGAGCTTAACTTGCTAGTTGAAAATGGTGTCTCCGACGACAGCTTTGCAGAGGGGACACGAGGCGTTGATTTTCAGCCATCTGTCGACGCATTCTTTGTGAAAGAAATGGGAGCATGGCAGCTCCCGCAGCTCGTCGTTGTGGACATACTTGGCTAAGCAAATGCAACAAACCTGCAAAATACACTGGTTATTACTCGATTTCTTCTTAAACTTGAATCAAATTCTCATTCGCGTAGATTCTATATCTTAATATTTGACCATATAACTCGACCAGCTTGCTTATGATGCTCGGTAGGAATAAGGTTTGAAGATTAGACAATTCTCGTTTGTGTAGATTCTAAAATACTCGTAGAAACTTTTGTCCCTATTTATCGATATTTTCCAAAATTCCAAAATTTCTATCTAAATGGAAGCAATTACAATTTTATGAACACTAGCAATATAAGAGAACAGTAAATAAGCTTTTCAACGATCCAACAACTATACGAATCGCTTAAATATAGATTAGACATTTACCACGCACGATTAAGCTCATAATCACATCTTATTTACGAATCAAAATGATATGGGAAAGAAGCATACCGCATCCTCTGCAGATATTGCGCGCTCATTTTCAGTACCAACAGCCACTCTACCGCCTTCGTCTTTGCCCAAGCTTTTATCCTTGTTGTTGCCACTCCTGTTCTTCTTTCGTTTGAATTTATAGGTCGGCAATGAATTAATTGAATCTTGTGTGGCACCTTGGTTCATGGTGAAGTCTTCTCTGAAGCCAAGGACGGATATTATGCACGGGAGGCAGCAACAGATCGTAGTGCAGAGGATAAACGGCATTGCGTATCCAATGCAGCTGAAGACAAGAAATACTATACACAGCCTGTAAGTTACAGCACAGTGTGAGTGTATATAGTAAATGGAACCGAATCGATTTCTTTCTTCACATCATGAAGTATTTGTAGCTCCAAGATGCAGCAAAATCATAAAATTCAATTTGACAAGATTGATGGAAGAATCTTGAGGCATTTTTATCTCATTCTTATGGTCTCCCTAAAATTACTAAGAATTTGGTTAATTATTGCAGCTAATATATTTCAAAAATGCTCGATGCAATTAAAATTCTATATGTCCCGGCACGATTAAAAAACAAAAAACGGATGCTTGTAAAGGTACAACTTTACCACGTACATGTTGGAAGTATGTGTCTAGCAGTACCTGTACACATTGGGAGCTTCAGCCGATGACGAGTGCCCCCCAAAAATCCATACATTGCCCACAACAAACCAAACAGCAAAGAAGCAATCTAAAGCCATTTTGGTGTATTCGACGAGTACTTTAAGCCTGCAAGAGTAAAAAGAGAAAACCAATAAAAAATGAATCCAACAAGTATAACACAAAGCAGCAGCTATTTGACTCTCATACACTTTAGCCATTCAAACATTGATATTCGATTTTTATTTCATTAACTAGGCTTCATCCATTGGCTATAATCTCACTTAATCACTATACTTGTGATAGATAAAGAAGACTAATAAAATTAAATTCTATGAGAAAGAAGACTACATGCAACTCTCACATACAATTTGAGATACTTGCTACAGATAAAGGACCAGATAAATTCATGAAACAAATAGGCATTTGTGTAAAACCTAAAATATAACCGATCGGGGAATTAGAATGCTTCAAGATTATGAATAAAAAGTAAATTACAGCTTTGTTAATACCGTGGATTTGGTAATCGATTACTCCATGTGTTTCTTGTTTCTATGTTCACATTTTCCCCATTCGCAGCTCTCCGATTTAAGGGACCGACAGTATTATTCCTTCGAGTAAAATCTTGCTCGGCTCGAGAAGCATGTTCAAGTCCGGCATTTTGATGTAGAAATCTCCAATATAAAAGGGGGATAATGACAGCACAACCAGATGCATATCCAACGATCCATGCTTTCAAAGGAACGCTCGGTGTCTCATTCTTTGACAAACACAAAACAACAATGGCTGCAATGATTTGGGCAACGATCAAAACTAACTCCACTGAAATCCATACAACGGAGTTCAGAGGACTTCCTTGGCTGCTTCGACTGTTGGCTCTTCGAATTAGCGACGAACTCCTCGAGTTTGGTCTGGTTGGAAAGGGAGACGGTTCATAGACTGGGACCCTCGAGCTAGTAGAAGGATGTGTATCACTGAGCTGCACCTCCAAGCCCCCGGGCGGTCTGTCGTGTGGTGAATTAGAGGAAATGGCATTAACTGTACTAGCAACGTCAATAACATGTTCGATGTTGTCATTACGGGTATTTGCAAGCTCCATTGATAAAGGCACTCTATTTGATTTTTACGGCAATGCCTTAGTATGCAAAATCCATCCAAGTTCGCGCACATGGAGACAATAGGCAAATGTCCTCCTCAAAGCTTAACAATATTCGATTTTCCACTTCTTCAAATGGAGAGAATAAAATATTTTCATCCTGTAAGCATATAAGAGAATGAAACCATGACGACAAAAAGAATACATGTCTCAGAAGACTACATTTTTCAAAACGAATACAGAGTATCATCACATCTATTTTACTCATCAAAACATCAGAAGCTTTCTAATCTTATTTGGCTTAAGTAAAAGAATTCGAATAGAATTTTGTCTATAAGACACCATATCCAACGAGCTTTTATAATACCTTATAAGACAAGCTCTCCAGAGCATTATCTAATTCTGTTTTCGACCAAACAAAGCACAACCTTATTTCATTAGCCGAGCCAACTCATAGAATGTTGCAACTAGAAATCAAAACACCTTTCGACATTTCTATTCAATGTGCTAATTATTATCATCCCTCTACTAAACAATGTTTCCCAAGATTCGAACAAACATATAAAGACTTCCAACTGTAGAAAATTAAAGAGACAAATAATAATGCATTGAACAAATAACACAGCATCTAATCCCTAATTCTTAACATACCAAAATTAGTCAGTTTCTTCAAATTTATGCTAGCAGTCGCAAACACAGATGATAAAAACTGAGGTCATTTCTTTAAATCAATTCCACAAACACTACTGATTCAATCCAAATTAATCCATTTTCAAACCCGCAAAAAAAGCCTAAATCAAGATTACATAAGCAAGTCAAACCTAAATCGCAACAAAACAATTTAAACTACGAACTCCAGCAACAATTAAAGTTATCCAAAAAAACCAGCGCGAAATTAAACAAGCACAGAGATAGACAACAATTAATATATACCTACACAGAGCAGAGATGAATTCGCGTTACCTGCAAACGAAAATCAATTAAAATTCACCACCGCCTTAATGGGCTTTGTAGGTTGATGTTTTTAGAGAGAGAGAGAGAGTGATTCTAACGTCAGGTCAGCTGGTGGGGTGGGGGAAGAGCTCAGTTTTTGTATCTCTCGCTTTGGCTTTGGAAGTTTGCCTCCGAATATTCTTACCTGTCAGGCCATGCCATGCCATGCTTCCTTTTACTTTTTCTACTTTCTCCTTGTTCGTTAGCACGTCTTAACCTAACCATAATTTTAAACTGATGAATATTGTTAAAGATTAGTCTTAATAATCTGCATAAATTAATACAAATCTTGTTATTACAATTTTCATCTCAATTATTATTAATACTAAGGTTTTTGTTTTGAAATTGATTTAAAATAAATATTAATTTAAATTTATGTATTTAAATAATAGTATATATATTTATTTAAAATATTTGATTAATAATGTTTATTATTTGAAATAAAAAACAAATACACCCTAAGTCAACAAATAAATTTTTTATAAAATACCATGTTAAATTGTGTTTGTTCATCCACACATTTTGTTTATACCATTTACAAAATATATCTCATTTTCTTATAAAAATTTATTCAGTAATAATAAAATATTATTTTTATATTACCAACATAATTTACAATACACACTGAAAAAAATTAATTTAAATCACTAAACAATTAAACTCATTACTTTTCTCTCATTTGGTTCTACTTTTACCTTTCTTCTGAATAGTAAAAGAAATATATATTCTTATTATTATATATTTTAATAAAAAACTGAAATCAAATCACTTATACAAACATACCTCTTTAATTTATTTTGATTATTAAAATATATATATATATTGAATTATTAAATTTTTATGAATAAATAAATTATATTATATATATATTGTTTTAGGGGAATTGTTTTGTATTGACTATGGAACATGGATGGAGTGATACCTTAATGAAGCTTTGTGTCTAATCAAATCGAATTGAAGTCAAGAATGATTCTTTCGCGAGTTTTTCTCAATTTAATGCAATTTCATAATTTTCAATAAGGACCGTGTGGATTGGCTTAAAAAATAAGCAGAAGCCAAAAGCAGAAGCAATTTAATTTTATGTTTGGATAAATCATTATAAAAACAGCATTCCGTATAAAAAACTGTTTGGACGTTAAGTGCCTTTAAATTGTTAAGATGCGGTTAATATAATACTAGTATTTTTCTATAACACTTTTATAATTTTATTTAAATTTTATAAATTATATTTAAAGATTTTAAATTAAAGTATACAAAATGTTCTTTTAAATTTTGATTATTTATATTTTAAAATTTTAATTTAAAGATAATATATCAATTAAACATAAAATTACAGTATAATATTATATAATTTGTATTTTATAATTTATTTTAAAATTTTATAAATTATATTTAGTAATTTAAGTATAATTAAAAAATTTATATACTCTTATTTACATTCGGTATTTAAATTTTAAATTTTAATCCAAATATAGTACATAAATTAAAAATAATAATGAATTGTATTTTTTAATTTGTATTAATATAATATATAAGTTATTTATTTTTATATTATATTATATTATTGTATTTATTATTATTATTATTATTATTATTATTATTATTATTAAGGATAAAATAGTAATTTTAACTGAAAAGTCCTTCTGTTTATTTCAAAAGTTACCCCCAATGTGCTTATGAAAAAAGCACTTTTCAACTTAAAAAACTGCTTCTGCTTTTGGACAGAAGCCAATGCAAACAGGTGCAAACTGCTTTTTTTAGAAGCAGAAGCAAAAAACTCCTACAAGAAGTCAATCCAAACGGGGCCTAAATCCGTATTGCCAACAGCAAAATATAAGGTCTACCAATTATTTCATCTAAAAATAACCTGATCGAAATATTCAAAACACAAAAAGAGTTACAGTATTGTTGCAACAACTTTACACCATAAATAGAAGAAAGAATCACAAAACAAGTACAAACAAGAAAATGTCTATTCATCATAATATTGAGAAACAATTTCATAAACCCAAAAATTGTTGATTAAATGTGAAAGTAAGTACACGAGTGACAAAAAGTGAGAGATAGAGATCAACTACAAGTGTTCCAAATTGCTAAGAACTTGCCTGAGGCTCTTACAATGGCTAATTTCCCCTCATTTCATTATCGGGTTTGCCGTCATTTTTTCCTCTGAGGCAACCTTTGAACAACAACCTATAGAAATGAGAATTCGAAGTTATTTTCAAATAAGGTTAAAAAACTTCTTGAAGCTGAGCTATACTAATTTCCGTTCTCTCTTTGTGGTTTTCGATTACAACAATCTTTCTTTTCATGACTATATGAAATAATGAAAAGGATATCAATTTGGACAATGGGCTTGTTTGACATAGAGATGAGTTATGCAACCTGTACCCGGCATTACCTTTCCACTGTTCTCTTTGTTTCCGACAATTGTTTGGCAGGCTAATCTCCAAGACTCCGGTTTCTGTGAGCAACGAGCGAATACCAATGAATATGGTCTCATATCTCATTTAATTTCAAGAAAAAGAAGTTGAGTGCAGGAAGTAAACATGCCTTTTTGAGATACCGAAGCTCTGTATTTGTTCTCTCGTTCAAGAGATCCTTTCCATTGATAATCTACAGGATACAGATATCATAAGCTGTAAGATAGATAGCTATAAGTTCTTGATACTAATTTGTTATTGTTGGAGTTTCTCCGGATGAGAGATTGAAAGCTCACACTATCTGTCTGTATTCTCTAGTCAAAGAATGATCAAACAATTTCATTTTATTTTTCTAATGTTACTGGCATAAATAGTACTGAATTAGTGGTTCAACATGCACATTTTTGCGGCATCATTACATTCTTGAAATGTTTACTATATGAGGACAGCATTAGACATTGTTTTTTTTTTTAAAGGACCAGAAGTAGGCAAGAAGTTGGTTGTCTCACCTCCACGATACAAGTTCCACAGCTTCCACCTCCCCCACAATTCATCAACTTTCCCTGTCACCAAGAAAACTTCAATCAAAATTGTGGCAAAGATGACACTTCAATATATGAGAAGTACTGTTAGCCTCTTGGGCTCCATTTACTGACCAACTCTTTTTCAAGCTTTTCATTATGCAATCCCCTATAAGAATACGCTATTTTATCTTACAAAACACCATATCCAACCCACTATTTAACATTGAAGGTGGAAAAGACACTCTGAAATTTATGTTTTTTTATGCGAAATAATGCAATTTCTTGGTGAACCTAGAAAGAACAGGTTGTTACACTCTCCACTTGTGAATCTTAATATGCAGCCGCCACAACTACCACTTGTCATTGTCATGCTATATGGTTTAAAAAATTTGTTAAATAATGGCAGTATGTTTTCAACATAAGTGATATATAATTGTCGAATGAATTGATTCACAAAGTGATGCTGAAATAGAATTCTTCCTCCTTCCACTCAATGTCTGAACTTGGATTAGACAAGAAAATTAATACATCCAAATTGAAGAACTGATGCTGAAGTAGTTATCAATGGATGGAATTGGCTTAGGAAATGGAGAGATGAAGAGTTCAGAGTACACAGATGGTGGTCAAAACCTAAAATTGCTAAAATAAGTCAGAAGAAAGTGGAACACACTATTGGCTTTCAATCCTGATAAGATCATGAGACATCCATAAACAACAAAATTTATATATCAGTGCTGTCTTGAACACAAATAACTTCTGTTCAATTTTGCTTTCCAACTCCAATGAAACAATGCAAGAACAATTATGATCAACAGAAACGAAAACGAAAAGAGAATGTGCAATTTTAACTTACATATACGGCGTAGAGCTCAATCTTGTTATCCAACATTATGTTCCTAAGCAGCTTCTCACCGCTAATAGCTGTGGTTCTGTTCACTGCATCTCCCGGATTAGGCTACACCACCAATAAATCGAATAATTGATGTAAACATGCAAGCAATTGTTCATCAAAACAAATAAAAAATTTCAGAAATCAGCATCCAATAGAAAGTTGAAATAATAGGGAGTTAAAGGAGAATCGGATGTACCCCGAGGAATTCTAGCTCGATTTCTGGTTTTTCAGGTTGCGAAGTGGAGGAAGCACTTGCTAAGGAAATGCAAAGGCGTTTTGTCGGAGAAACAGGCGCGGCGGAGATCCGTCGGTTGGTGCGAAACTCCGGCGGGCAGAAGGAGAGAGGAGATAAACTCATGGTAGCCGTAAAGCGCAAGAGGACTATGTGAGGCTGACGTGTGGACAACGGCCATTAATGCCACTTACACTTCCTTCCTTCGTTTTGTGGCTTTAAATATTCCATTTGTATGAATAAGGTCGTGTATATATATATATATAAATGGGATTAATTATTTTTTAATATATATAAATAAAATACATTGAATCATAAAATAAACTATATACTACTATGTAATACAGGTAGATTAGTACATAATACATGTTGGTTATTGTAAATTTCTGCAAAGAGACCGTACATAAATTATGTTATTTGTTAACACGGTAGACGTGTGTGTATCTTTTCCATCCAACTACATATTTTTATATTATAAATTTTTCAAAAAGGAAAAATATATATATAATTTTTCCAAACATAAATATTATCTCCAATGTAGGATCCAACATAGGAAGTCCTGATTATTTGAAATCATGAATTCAAACTCTCGCCATTATAATATAAAAAAGTTCTAATATATACATACATACATACCCTCCCTGGCTATTAGATTCGATTGAGATTTACGCGGTGCACATTGTCAAAAGCAGCTGCAGGTACCCACGTTAAAAAAATATACATAGTAATAATAATACATACATACAAACCACGATATACCCCATAGCAATGTATACATTAACACATGCTGATTTAATTCAAATCATAAAACGAAAATTTGTTGTTCAAATGCTGATTAGAGCTAACCAAAACCCTAATTCACATGAATTAGCTTATAACAGAAAAAGGAAAAGTGAAAACCAACAGTAGCAGCAGTTAAGTTCACTAAAACTTTCTTCTAATGCCCAATTCAACTTCAAAACAAAAACAACCATTAAAAAGCACCAAGTATCATCATCTCCAATTCAATTCATACAGATGCCTATATACACACACACACATAACCAGAGGTAGCCATTGATGAACACGCTAAATACTCACTTCCACAGTTTGACATACTTGTCATGGCTAGCAGAGGCAACCAGGCCATCCGAAGCTGCCGATGCTGCCAGCGATGCGATTAGCCTATCGTGCGCCATCGCAACCGTCATTTTGGCATTCTCGGACATGTTCCAAACCTCCAGGGACTGTATGCGCCGAGCTTAAGCTTATTAGTCTAGTCACCTGAATAATACTTAGAAACAAGAATATAATTTGATGGGACCGATTACTTGCCTGGTAACAGCCAATAATGAGCAGCAAAGAATAGGAAGGATGGAAGACACAGGAATAGAATTTGTTTCCGGTGCAACTGAGCTCATACAGACACTCGCCTTCACTGCTTCCAGCTCTTAAAGTCCACACTTTTACAGAGTCGTCGCTGACTGATGCCAAGAGCTCTCCCGATGGATCCCAGCATATGGAGTGAACGGGTTTTGTGTGACCCTAAATGAAAAGAATATGCGCGCATCAACATCCAGTGTCATCAATCTTTCGATATAAACCTTGATCAGAAATAGAAATCGAGAATAGCATTATATTGAAGAACAAACCTTTAAAGAATGTCGAGAGACCTGTGTCTCGGCATCTAGAATTGATACAATATTGTCAGAAACTGCAGCAAGGTATCTTCCATGACGCGGTTGGAATCTCACTTGGGTGGTGCTGCCCTAATCCGATCAAAGAGAGAAAGTCGACCAAACCATTATTAGCTTGCTTTCCTAATAACATCAGAGATAGAAAATGCAGACGGAACACCGGAACAAGTTGGGATAAAAGAAATATGCCATTGTACCTTGAAAACTTTGGTGCAGCTGCCATTGTTAATGCTCCAGTATCGTATCTCCCCATTGTCATCACAAGAGCAGATGATATCCTCTTTATTAGGATGAAAATCCAACGATGTTACACATGCTGAATGGCCTGTGAATGTGCGGATCGAATAGCTAGGCTGCAACAAGTGCATTTACAGTGTCATCCATCCACTAGTAATCTCAAAAGCAAGCAACGTTCTGAGTTAATATGCAACGTGCATTCGATTATAATAAAGGAACAAATGCCATTGAGAGCCTTGAAATACAAAACTGCAAGTAGAAGCTACCGAATCAGACAAAAATAATCAAATGTAATAATCTCTACCTATTCCGACAAGTAACCACACGTAATATAACCTTAGATATCTTGGGAAAATGCAATGTTGTACGCCAGGTGTTGGAAAAGTACAGTACGAATACCATAGTTGTTGGCTTCACAGGGTATTAATATGAAGTAATTAAGAGAATGGCATCGGCACCACACCTTAACAGTATGCTTTGTAGGAAACAAATAACAAAAAGATAAAAGCAGAGAAAAAGAATACGACGCAATAGAAACCGTATATAAACACCTGAGAACATATAAAAATGTGACAGTTGAACGGTATAACAGAGTGAGAAGAGCACTTTTAAAATTGTAGAGAAAATGACGAGAATATAAAGCATATTAATGAGGAAAAGCAGGAAAAAACAAACTTTCTTAAGAAGGAAACAAAATAATTGTAGTAAATGCGTTGGCAACTAACATTGTCGGCATCCCAGACTCTGACAGTTTTGTCAAAAGATGAGGTGGCAAGGCGGGCCATACTAGGACTGAAACGAACATCTGTAATAAATGATGAGTGTTCTTCGAGTGTATATTTTCGCTTCAGAGTGTCCGTGTGCCACAAAACAACCTGCTTTGTGTGAAGAATAAGTTCCAAACCATTTCACGAGCCAACGTTAATAATTAATGACAATGAAATTGATATTGACCTTTTTGTCATGATCACCACTAGCAAGCAGCTTTCCATCAGATGAGAAGTGACAACACACAACTTTATTAGAACTTGCACAAACGGATTTCACTTCCTCAAATGTGAAACCTGAATAGCATGAATATCAAATTAAAAACAAATACTTACAAAGATCTTTCATATGAAAATGAAACTCAATTTTCTTTAAAACCTCAAACTAGTTTCTACAAGTTCATGCTTACAATCTTACAAACTTTCTATAAAAACCTCAAACTCTAAATGGAGTTGTAGTAGTGAATATAATAGAGTGAGAAATCTGAGCAGGATATCATTTTCAATCTTGCAAGTCTCGTAATACATAAATGTATTTGAAATTGAATAAATCATCTCCACGTGACCATAGGAATGCATATTCTGGAAACCACCAATGTAGGCTTGAGCAAAGAGGAAAGAAAGACTTCACTTGCCTTTGCTTACATCCATGCCACGCCCAACATCGTCTCCAAGATCAGCATCATCATGGGACAGAAACGATTCAACATTATCTTCAACATCATCCATTAAATGATCCATATCGGCTGGCGTGAACTTTTTATCATCCCACTACCATAAGATAATATTATTGGTAAGTTCACGGATACTACAAACATGCTTTTATTCAACCGAAGGCAAAAAAAAAGAGAACTATTCTTACCAACTGATTTGATGGAGATTTAAGAGTGCCACTGTTGTCAGCTCCAAATTGCATCAGTGGCTTTGAAGAACCAGCACTGTGTGGAGGCAAAGCAGGCATTGACATTACATCTCCAGCAGTATGAGTTGAGGGAGTCGATGGAGCTGAACTTGGGGACGGACCAGCTGTGTTTGGAGTTCCAGAGCTATTGGCTGGGCCAGAAGATGCGGGATGCCTCCTCTTTCTTCCACTCTGATTTTTAGAACACTTGAAATGGTAGGAAACACCCATGTTAGAGTATTATTCTACCTTCAGATTTGATATCAATACACTTCCATCAACATGATTGCATCATTTTGCGGGGCTTTGTAGCAGCTTATAATATATCACTAGAATCAAATGCATTCTGGGATGCCTACAGATTTGACTATCAATTAGAATTCTAAGAGCATTAGATGCATATTGCAATTATCTATTTTCAATGTGAAGAAATTCCAGCAATTAGCATAATATCTTCTGATAAGCAAAAAAATACGTTCTTCTATGGAATGCTCACAGATAAGGCGGCAAATCTCATGGCTAATTTTTAGTATGGCCTGCTAGTGCTCAAAGCAGAAATCTCACTTTACATTATTTGCAGTCAGCGTCTCAATTTCCGTATTTAGAGTTCAAACTACTAAATTCTACTGCATTCTAAACTTCATGTATTCAATGGATGCATAACTCTTCAACACATAAACTAGAGAATCCTACATATGCAGCTTCAAAACTTTACAGGATCTAAAACTGTTGTAAAATGGATGTTTCGTTGAGGCTTATTTAAATTTTAATGGTAAAGTAAATAAGTTGATGAGATGACATCTAATATGTTCAATATAGTTCTGTTGAACATGTAGAACTATTTCTAGATCACCTGCACTACACATTAGACGAAATGACATTTGTCAAAGATAGTAGTACAACGATTTTGTTCATGCATTAAGAACAGATAGAATCTTGACAATGTTTTTGTTCACCATAACAATGTGTTTACGCACAACACAAAGTTCGAAATATGATTTACAGCAGGAAAAAAAATGAGTCTAACAATGCAAATGAAAGCTATAGCAAGAACATGAAGACACATTATGCGCAGGGATCAAAAGATTCTTTTGTTTCAAAGCAGCAGTGCTTATAAAACTTAAGATTATATATATATATATATATAATCCTACGACGATATGAAAAAGGATTGACCTGATCATTTCCATGGAAGGAACTCGACACACTACCATCACCAGCTACATGCCCTGCGCCCATAATTTTATCTTGTTGGAGAATTTGATTTGAACTCTGAGGCTGCTGTCCAGAGAGAACAAGCTGCTGTATCTGCTGCTGCTGTGATTGAATACCGCTTTGTGACTGTTTCTGTTGTTGTAGTTGTGCAAATTTCAACTATAAAACAGGTAAAGAGAGACATCCATATGTAAAGAATGTGCAGAGAGTTAAGCAAAGTTTTAGACAACACAGCATGTTTAGGCCCATAAAAAAGAGCAGTTTCAATTTTAGTCTCATTCTCACCAATTACAGAAATTTCAATTGAGTCCAAATTATGATAGATTTGGTACCATAAGACTTTGGGTCATTAAAAGCAAAGGAGTTAACTCACACAGTGTTAATGTTCCAAATTGTACCAAGATCTTTGTGAGTGAATCCTATCAAAATTGATGATGTACAACCTTCTAGGACTAAAATTGCAACAATTTAGCCTCAGATTGAATTTTCTGCTTGGGACCAAATTATAACATTGATTCCAGTAGAACTAAAATTTCTTTGGGCAACACATGCTATTTTACCCAAGTCTGTCATTCATAAGATTGTAAGGATGGCAAACCTTCATTAACAAGTCTGGATCTGCACGGGATAAAACTGAGCCACCAGCTTGCAAGGGTGATGTCATATTAGCAACTACATTATCGGCTGAATTAGGGAGCCCATCTTTCCCCAAAGCCAAACTTTGGTTGTTCAGAAGCATTCTGATTCTTCTGTTTTCCACATCACTTGCAGAAGGGGACGCCAAATTCTGTTGTGCAAGCACAAGCTGCTGCGGGTGGTGAGGTGCTAGCATCTGCAGTTGATGTAAGGGTTGATGGCCAGGAATGATAGATTTCGGCTGCTGGAGAAGTCCTCCATTCCGAAGCTGATCAAGACCCTATGAGATTAAAATTGTCAAAATATACACGACGGAAATTGGAAGCTATGAAAAGAGATGGACCACATCAAAAGTATATAGAAACTTAGAAGGCGGCTGGTCAAAAGAATATAGAAGCTTAGAAGCTGGCTTGATGTCCAATCACAAAAATCTACATTGATCCCAAGCTTCAACATATTTTGGATATTTGGTACAGTTAATGTGCCTGCATAGCTACATATATTTATCAAGAAAATTATAATTCCCCTAAAGATTGTGAAGCCTTGGAGATGAGTTCCAAAAGCATTAACACAGTATCAATAAGGATATATACCATATTCAACAAAAACTGTAAGGGTGTCTCTAGATGTCAGGATTTATAAAGAAGGTTATTAAAGTCATAATAATAAGTTCATTATGTATTTGTTTAGATGGATTGCACTGCATTAAAAACCCTAGGTTTTATTTCAAACTATATTTTGAAAGATTCTATAACCATATATTGTAATATCGTCAAACACTATATAATCGCATAAATGGCATGCAAAACCATATAATATTCTCACCATTAGTGGCAATCCTTTCAAAGTCAAATTGTTCCCACCTTGATTCTGCGACCCTAGATCCATAAAACTAGTGTTAAGTAAAGCACATGTGCAATAATTTGAGCTTCATGAAACAGGGACATAGCTAAGTTTCAAGCCCATCCAGGCAATCAGATTGTGTAGGGACGCTTCATACAACAACAGATAAAAAGAAGCAAAATTAACTGCAGACATAAATGAACATAGCATTTACCAGGAACCCCAATCAATGACCCTTCAAGGCCTGCAGCTCGGGCATTTAATATTGGATTTATTTCAGGCTTGACATCCTGTTCATGATATGAATGTCATGACATATTCGCAATTCGAAACACAACATGCATAACGGTTATTATGAAAAAATTAAAATAGCTACTAACAGCGGTAGAGCCTGGGAATTGCTGGCTGCGGGGTTGACCATGGGGCCCCATACCACCAGCTGTGGCAGGCGATACCGGTCTGCCAGAAAAATATATATAATTAAAATTTGAAAAAACACATGAGCACCATACATACTTGAGGAGATAAGATTACCAAGATGAATATTTTGTTATTTATTGCTTAATTTGAAAGAATTAACATTTACACTCGTACAAATAGATTCCATTAGGTAGTCAAATTAACATACCCAGATGACTGACTAGGTGCTGCAGCTGATTTCAAGATTGAAGCATGGTTTGAATCCAAAAGTGAGTTGGCATTATTCCCTAACCTTTGCTGCAAAGATATGTCAAAAAGATTATTAGCTATAGAAACTAAATGACCGATATTTCCATGCTCTTCGCAACTTCACCTTCATAACGGCATCATCCAAAGAATCCCTCTGAAGAGGGATATTTAACTTCTGATCAGACAACTTTGCTGCAAGGGCATTAGCAACACCAGGACTTTGCTTTGCAAGAGAATCATTTTCACCAATCCCATTAGTCGTACCATTCAGGAGGTGGCCACCGCCGCTGTGCTGTTGCTGCTGTGCATGTTGGTGATGGTGGTGTTGCTGCTGAGCCTGCCTCTGCAATAAAAGCTGCTGCACCTGCATCTGCTGCTGATGCTGTGAGTGGTGTTGCTGCTGCAACTGCTGCTGATGTGGTCGCTGTTGCTCTCTAGCCTTCATCAGCTGAGTCTTTTTCCATTATATATATTTCCCCAAACAAGAAAAGTAAGTAATAATATTTCAACACGGTATTGTGAAATGTATAATTATTGTTCATGAATCTATGCAAGGAAGTGTGTAAAATGAATTATTATTTGGTGTTGTCACTAGACGAAGTCTTCAAATACATAGTACTCCATATAATTTTGGGGAGGCCCGAAATTTTAGCCAAGTGTTCAGGCAATAAATTGCCTAATTTCAGGATGATTGTAATTTTTTATGAAAGATGAATACTAACTGTTAAAAAGAGATCTTGTTAAAGAAAACAAACAAATAGCATATGCAAGTGTCCAAGATCACTTCAGATTTAGCGAACCTCAATGTAAGATGCGGCGGCATCTGAAGCTTTCTCGCTTGTCCTGGCAATGAATATATCCCAAAACACCGACCACCATTCAAGCAGAAAACCACCAGGAGCATCAATAGCTGTAACATGCACATAAACGATAGGCAAAATATCATGAGAGGGGACCCTTGAGAAAGAACACGAATGCCCTCCTTGAATACATGTTTTCTATATACTAACCAACAGGGTCAGAAGAGACTTTTCCCTCAGCTTTGAAAGTTTGGGCAGAGGCCTTCAGATCTCTCTTTATGAAATAATCATGAATATATACATCCAACCTAAGAGCAACAATTCAGAACCTTGAGAAAGTAAGTGGACAAGTTTATATATGAAATTATAAACAGTATTCCAAATTCATTATAGGTAAAGCTTTGTCTTGGAACTAAGTTCGTATAGACAGTTACGCACACATTACCACGACCCAAGGACACACTAAGCAAGAAAACAGACAAATCATAATCTAAGAACCAAATGAGTGGAAAAATAAAAATAAAAACCCTCGAAATCCATCTGCAAGAGTTTGATGGGGAAACGAAAATCCTTCCATCTAGTTGTAGTAGTGCTAAGAGAATCTCCAAATTATTTCAGTTAAAAGACAATAGGGTCGGACAAAAATTCTGACAAAGATTAAACAAACTTTTACGAATTCACTGCCTCAGAAACGACAAAAACTAACAAAATCGAACCTAAATCACGAGAATAACCCCAAGAAAACATGAATCTTGAAAACATTGGCGTGTATTAAAAAGAAGATAAGAAAGAACTTATGCGAGGAATGAATTGGAAAAAGATATCAGAAAAGACTTACATTTTATCAGCTTCCCAAGTGGTCTCAGTCATGCTTTCAGTCAGAATACAAACGTCAGATCCTAAAGACAGACTTCCCCTTTTCCCACCACTTCAGCCTCTGAAAACCCCACAATTACGCATCAAGCTCTTGAAGTACAAGAAATTGCAAGACTTCCGTTAATAACAATAAACAAAGAAACACGAACAGACAAGCAATAACCCCAGAAATTAACGGATTCACAAGAAAACCAATAAACACTAAAAACATAAAAGAAACAAAAGAATAGCCGGACACAAATTGGACTGAGGAACGCGAGAAATATAGAACCAAATAACACCGGAAACTAATGCAACACACAGCGCACGCCTATACTCACATTCCTGAAACTAAATTAAAGCGGCTTAGCTCAAACTGCTCAAATCAACTGAATTTTTTATTTCAAACAAAGCAATGGATTCCCCAATAGATATTCCTCAAAAGGGGAAAAACACAAAGACGATTAGAAGCTAGTTCCGGAGACGAACGCAATTCAATTTGAAGTTTCCTTGATCAGCAACTATGGCGGAGGGAGGGATTTGCGAAATCGGAGGGCTGTTGCAGAGACTGGCAATGGCTCGACAATGAGAACTATTGTTTAAAGCCAAATTGCGAAAGGCGGAGGACCCGAAATGACGGAAAGACCCTGAAGATTTCTAGAGTCGTCGAAAAGACTGGGGTTATAAACGTCAATTAAATGGTCTGTTGCTTTTTGAAAGTCCTAAATCCGTGCGAGCTGTTCGATATATTTGCAATTCGGTCCTTTTAAGTTTAGGAGTTTTCAGAATTTTCGTCGTTAAGTTTGATGTCTGGACTGGTTGGTGCAGTGAAAAGACGATAATGCCCTCCAAAGGAGTCAAATACGTGTCAATGCAGATCAGAGAGGCAGGGCTGGGTTTGGTTTGATATTTTATTTTTCATGTGAATATTATTACAAGAATATTTTTACTGATAATTTACAGAAATAAATAAAATATTACGTAACTACCTAAAAAGGTTATTTTAAATATATTATAAAAAAATTATGCAAATCATTATTTCAAAGATAAACTATCTATTATATTTACATTTTTCACATGTTTATTTGTTACTTAAATTATTTAAAAATTGTTTATAATACTATTTATTCCTATTGTGGTATTTGAAAATATATATTATATCAAATATTCAAAGGATTTTTTTTGTGGCAACAATCCTTTTTTTCCCTAATCCGTTGCAAATCTTCACTAAATTTGCCATGGAGTTTGGCAAATACTGTAGACACGGTATTTTTAAGAAGAGTGTAATTAGTAGATAATTAAAAATGTATTAGTAAAAATAATTATCCTGTAATATAAATAAATATAAATTAAGATTAAGATAATTAATTAGTTTAATTAAAATTAAAAAAAATAAATTAAAAAGTTTAAAATGAAATTAAAATGTGTAATTATTTTTAAAAAAGGAAAATGTGGGACGGAGGGAGTATAATTTAATTTAGAATTTGCACAATTTTGTTGTTTTGGAATTTTCATGTCGCAACAATCCTTTTTTCCCTAATCGCAAATCTTCACTAAATTTGCTATGGATTTTGGCAAATATAGACAAAAAAAATTAGTACTCCTATAATTTAATTTTAAATTTGAACAATTTTTTTTTCCTTAGTCTCAACTTGGGAGAAATTTTTTACGTCATTATTTCTCTTGCAAAATAAAATTAAATTATTAGAAGGAAAAGTTGATAGGGGTTATAAATTATAAGTTGACCCCATTAGATCATTGCTTATCATACAAAATTTATTAGCATTTGTATATGTTATTTTAAAAATTGAATAGAATCGACAAGTAATGTGTAAATAATATAATATTACATTGATAGATTTCAATTCAAAGGAATTCAATGAAAGTTTGTATTTTTTTATTTGGGATGAAAACTTCTCTGAAAAATGCTCAGAAGATTGGAGAGTGAGAGGAAATAACTGTTAAATTTACTTGAATCACATTCTTGTCAAAAATAAAAATACTAAATAAAACATTACTTACAAAGGCTAAAGATAAGAAAATTATAAAAAAAAAAAAAAAAAAAAAAAAAAAAAAAAAATCAAGAAAACACAAATTCATTAGAATGTCACAAACATCATGATCCATTTATGATAACCTTTCTAAGATAATCAAGAAACACTCTACAAAGTAACTAACAAAACCCAACATTTAAAAATTTTCCCTCAACATTAAAAACATCGACTTCCCGTTATAGATTTCACTAAAAAACATAAAGAATCAAATAAATTACTACACTAATTTGTTAAAACATCAACCTATGATCTAACTAGCAAGTACAAGATGATCGTCGTCTCTTATTACCTCAAAGTCTTCGATCAAAGCTCCATCCGTGTTAAGAACTTTGGTAGGATGGAATCCGAATATCTGAGATCCCAACTCCAGTAGTTCTTGAAGAGATCCCGGCAAAAACACAGCCTGTCCTTCTAGATCACTCTTGCCTGAACAAGTTATAAACACCCGAGCACGGCTCTGTGGCTTTGTATGATCAAAATGAGTCGGGAGCCCCGCAGTTCCACCTGCATAATGCATATTTTTGGTTACCACATTTATATGGATCATTGCATTACTTTAAAAAAGCAAAAAAAAATCTGTTCATATGGTAAATCTGTCATAGTGGCGAAAAGTTACCTTCGCTTTGTCTGTAGCTAGCCGTGATGATTCCTGCGAGTGAATTCCGATAATCACTTGCCTGTGATCTTGAATCGCTGGTGTAATATTCCATCTTTCCAGAATCTTGTGTTCTTTCCATGGAATCCCTACTAGGCATCGAGGACTCGCTCGAGTGTTTCTTGAGGTAATTAGGCGCTTCTGGCATTGTTGAGCTCGGTGGGCTTGCACCCGGTTGGTCAGACTTCTTGATGGTCCGAAACAAGGCCTTGATCTCTTCGTGCCCCTGGTACTCAGTCAACGCCCGTGGTGTCCATCTGTGAGCGTCCGGCTTGTCTATGTCGGCTCCTTGTTTGATCAGAAACTTAACAACTTCGATGTTTTCCTCGGATATAGCTGTGTGGAGTGCAGTGGTTCCTAAGCTGCTGCATTTCGTGATATCCCCGCCGTACTTGATGATTTCTTTGAGTAAGTCTATGTTGTTCTGCTCGGCAGCGTAGCAGGCGAACTGGCCAACGTCTCCGGAAGATAATTTAGCCCCGTTTTCGATGAGAGTTTTAATCACTGCCTCGTGCTTCCCCAATATTGCTTCCCACAATGGAACGTTCCCTTCAGAATCTGCAAGCATTTCATCGTCAACTTGTTTCCATGATCACTTCTATTACAAACACATTATAATTTTAACTTCTGGTTTTGATTTTTCAAGGCATGCATAATTAGATTACAGTACCTCTTGTATTTGGATTAGCGCCGTAATCTAAAAGTAAGACGACGCATTCTAAGCTTCCTTTTGATGCTGCAATATGCTGCCATTACATAAACCGACGGTGTCTTTATCAGATGCAGAAACTGTATTCTGAGTTATGGTTTTAGTAGAATAGTGCAGGAAAATACCAAGGCATTGCGGCCATTGCTGTCTGGTTCATTCGGGTCTGAACCCCGTCTTAACAAATGGTGCATCAGTAGATCATCTTCTCTGGCAGCAGCAAAGCATATGCTGAGAGGCAAGTCCATCCTTCCATGGCCCAACATCTGCTCTGTGTCCCTATAAATATCGTGCATCATGGGATCTTTGTGCTCCTTCAGATGCTGCATACTCCAAAAACACACATATACATCGAAAGATCATCAAATGTTACCTGTTAATTTAGTCTTCATCTACTAAAGCAGAAGTTGGAAAGATGTATGTTTCATACCTGGAGAAGGTTGTTCATGATTATAGTTGCATCTCCAACGTTAGCCTGAAGAATATTCAAGAAAGAAGTTCGATTTAACCGCAGCAGCTGACTAAGCCGTTTCGTGCGAACTGTGAAAAGCTGTGGCCGGTAGCAGAGAACACCTATTTCACCACAGACATCGCCCGACTTGCCTTCACCCACAACCTGTTAGTATCAGCTCGTTAGGTGGTTTTATTAATAAAAAATATCCGATCAATGATACGTGCAAGGGAATCAGGACCAAATGAAAACTTACCCATTCCATTGCATTTCTGTGAGAAATGTATTCCTGCGGCCATGTTAACAGCATCAGAAAGTCAGATCAGCTTTTACATAGAAGAAATATGGAGGTATGAAGAAGCTGACTAAAAAGGATGATATCTAGTTTGCTTGCAAATAGCAATGACTTTTAAAATAAAACTAAAAAATAAAAAATCTTGACATAACCTCACATTACAATAAACAAATATCTCATAGTTTGGAATATGGTGAGGAAAGGAGATAAATATACCACTGCCCCATTGACCAAAATATATAATTCCGTAGGCGCCTCGTTTTGTAAAATTATATCTTCCTTGGGAGGGAAATACTCTGCTCTCATCTCAGTGACCTGAGAGGTAGACCATCAACAACAACAACAATATGAAAATCTGGTTCATTCTAGAGTATTTGATTCCAATAATGAAACCGAATAGATCACAGGAGTATATATGGTTCTTGGAAGTTAATCAGATAACAGGAATCCACTCATAATGCTGCATAAGGTATTTCCACAATCAAATTAAGGGCACAGTATTAGTTCTTACCAGCTGAAAGAGTAGGTCGTTTGATATTCCTTGGAACAAATACACTTTATCAACGAGTGCATAGAACAGATAGTGCAGTATACTTGAACGGATTGCTTTTGGTAGAACATCAAGAATTTCATGCTGCTGCAGCCCTTCTGAGTCAGCTCTGTATCTCAGGCTCAAATGAGATAGCATCTGATCTCCTAGTCGAGGAGGCAACTGGTTCCTTTTAGCAAAGCTTGAAGCACCACGGATAGTATCTCTCTGGACACAGCACCACGTGTGAATAAAAAATTAGATTCAGATACTGAAAAATTCCATCACCTTTCAAGAGTTTTCATGTCTTTAACTCCAGATATACAAGATATAATAATCTTTGGAAAAGTATGCTAGTTTTGGATTGAAATTCTTGAAGATAGTCCAAGGATTGTACTTACAAATATCCTAGTTTTGGATGTTGCCTCAACAATCAGGGTGGTCATGTTTCCGATGAGATAAGAATCCATAAAGAGGTTGAACAACATGAAGAAAATGTCAAATATCATTTCTTTTGTGTTTACTGGATGCAAATCACCATAGCCGGTAGTTGTTACAGTGACAATAGACCAGTAGATGGATGTAACATAACGGTCCCATAGAGGTTCATCATGAAAATTCTCATTTACAGAACCAATCCATGTGTTTGTTGGATCTGGATAAGTATCGGCAATATAATAAAAGAAACAACCAGCAAAATGAGTCGCAAAAAGTACTACCTACAAAAAGCATGAAACATTTATCAGGCAAACGCTTTTAATTCATGTCATTTCCATGTAGTGGCTTCTCATGAGATACTTACACACGTAAGTTTCAAAATTCGAACCAGCATGTAACTATAGTTTGTGTCTTTCTCCAATCTGCAGTAAGTTTAACACATGTCATCTCCCTATTAGCATTACCACAACACAACCTCGAATATGGTACACGTCAGAAGTGAAATCTGTGAATAAGATTTAAATACACAGAGAACACTGTAAAAGTGCAAATTCATGTGTAGTTGCATCACAGACTGTGCTGACCGTAAATTTTCAACATGCAAAAAATTAGCACCAACTAGAGATTGTACCTCCGAAACATTGCACTGACTCTTCTGAGACGCCATAGACGGGCCATACTAAGGATGCCGTATACGAGAGAAGAGCTGATAATTATGTGTGCAAGTTGATAGGGAATTGTGGATACAACATCAGGGATCAGCCAGGTTCTAGTGTACCTCAAAGCAATCTTCTTGTGATCATCGACCATAAGAAAAGTTCCTTTGTCGAGGTAGGCAACAAAGAATGTCAGAATGATATCAATCGCGAAAAATCCATTCACAACATTGTCTGTGATGGAGAGAACTCCACCATCGCGTCCTATGCTGAAACCAAATTCAAATGGAGAGACCCATGCTGTGTAGAACACCAATACATTCAGAAACGTCTGCCAAGCTCTGTAGAAGGATATCAATTTAATTCAATACAAAACTAAGACCTTCTTTCGTTCATTGTTACATTTTGCAGAAATTTTAGAGTTGCATATTATTATTAATAATGAAATAAAGGCGCAATGCTAACTGAAAAATAATAACAATCTAATCTAATAGATTTAATCAAACAATAACTCTCTACTCTAGATAATAGAAATATAATCATCATAAATTATTAACATTCTTTCAAACTCAAGTAGTGACAAAGAAACAATTTGAGTTAGCTAGGAGAGATCGAAGATGGCGTAGCTAAAATTGTCCATTGTATCATAATCAGGAGTCAAGAAGATCGCTGAAAATACGGAATATGCACTTATGGAAGGTGGTTGGCAGACAATTTACCAAATGATCTAAAAGTGGACGTGAAGATGGTACGGAGCGGCATTGATCATTTGATAGAATCAAATGTAGCAGGCGTTGTCAACCGAATTAGAGTAAAACACAAGACTCGCTTACAACAAAGTCAATAGTCGAAAACGAGACTTGCTCACAACGATGTTATAGTCAGAAACATAACTTGAACATAAACATTATTGAAACTGAAAAGCAAAGTTGAAAAATAAGTTTGACAGACGAGCACCTGCATACGGGTCTCGAAATTAGAAACCTCAGATACGTTCCAAGTTCAAATTCATAATTTGCAGCTTCATTTTCTCAGTTGTTCCCCTCTCATCCTCTCTAATTTTACAAGGAATTTACAGATCTCTCTATTAATTAGAAACCTCAGATACGTTCCAAGTTCAAATTCATAATTTGCAGCTTCATTTTCTCAGTTGTTCCCCTCTCATCCTCTCTAATTTTACAAGGAATTTACAGATCTCTCTATTAATTAGAAACCTCAGATATGTTCCAAGTTCAAATTCATAATTTGCAGCTTCATTTTCTCAGTTGTTCCCCTCTCATCCTCTCTAATTTTACAAGGAATTTACAGATATCTCTATTGCCAGTTTCTGCAATAGACAAATCAAAATCTAGGTTGTGAAATAGTCTACATTCCATATTTTTATGAACCTCCTCTGAGTGTTGAAACCAAATTGGATCTTCTAGGGTTATTACTTCGCCATTATCATATAATAAACGCTCTTGGAAATCCAGCAGGCAAATTAACATGATCACGCCAAGGCATTTCCCATTCCTAATTCCACATTTCTACCAGAACAAAAACAACAGCAACAAAATGCATAGGAAAGCTAACATCCGTACAAAAAACACGCAAATGCAACCAGGATTCGTTACATAATACGCACCTGTAACGAGTATCAAGTGGAGACACAATATACGGTCGCAGCTTGATCCGGTGGGTGCTGTGCGCGCCGAGTGCTGGAAGAATTCCGCTCGAGTAACCATGGGAGCTCCTATCATCTTTCGACAGGCTCTCCTCGTAAGAGTCGCCGTCGAATTCCTTAATCACAGACATCGGACTATCCTTCCGCCTCGAGGCGTCCATCATCGATTCCTTACCCGACATTATTGCCGCTTCAAATCATCATCGTCATCTATCCCCAAAGCATATAGTTTCACAGTTGATCAATCTGTCTCCCGCGCACTCGATATAATAGGATGTGGTGTGCCTTTTAGGCCCCAGGATCGGATGGTTTGAGACGTCCATTCCAGGCACTGCAAGCATGCGCTTCGGGTGCTTCGTCGTCGCCATGGTAGTGCCAGTCGTTCTTCGTCAGCCATTGAAACTAATTTTCCTAATTTTGTATAACTAATTGTTGACTATTTTTGCGCTATTTCAAAAACTTGTGAAATTTATCTTCCACAACATATGTTTACCAAAATTTAACTTATTGAGCCAGGATTTTCAATTATACTTTTATATAAAATTTATATAATTAATATTTTTGAAAACACTAATAAAAATCGTTATGCTATTGGTTATTAGGAGTATTAAATTTTGATAAATTTGTCGAACAATAAAGTTATCAAATAGAATTCGATGAATTATTTTTTTTATTTTTTTTTTGAAATATTAAATTTTTTATGAATGAATAATGTATATAAATATTAATATTTGTATATTTATATTTTTTAATAATATTTATGAAAAATTATTATATTAAAAAACATAATGAAATTTCAACTAGTATTGTCTATGTATTCATTTGATGATTAAAAATTTTAAGGTGAAAATAGATTCTTATATAATATATTTTTAAAATACATAAATATTTAATGTGATATTTTAAATTATAAAACTATACAATATTTTAGCTAAAAATAAATATTTAAAACAGTGGTCTATATAAAAAAAAAAAAAAAAAAAAAAAAACATTTATTTATTTATTGTTCTTATTTTACTATAACACATAATATGAATCCCATATTGAAAACAAGCCTATGTTTTGCTAATAAATGGTGTAAAATGACGTCTACTATTGTAGAACATTCCATGTGATGTGCACAAATTAGGTATAACTTAAATTTTATGTGCATTATTATTATTATTATTATTTTTATTATTATTATTATTATTATTACTGGCAAATATTATTTGGTAAAATTTTTAAATCAAATTTTAAAATAGAACTGCCATATTCATCTTTATCAAGTAAATGTTAATTAAGTCCATGTTTAAAATTATTTGTTGAGTTTGAGAAAATTTAATTTGTATTTTGTATTAAAATATTATTTGATAAAATATTTTTTAAGAAAAAATTGTCTTTTTATAAAAAACGCATAGTCAAATAGTAAATTTTGGTAAAAAAACGTACCTCTAAACTTTACAATAAAATGAAAAGATAAGTAATTACTTTTTAAACTTTATTTTTATATGAAATAATAGTTGAATATAATAAATTTATATAAAATAGGATTATATTATTATTATTATTATTATTATTATTATTATTATTATTAGAAAAGGAAGTTACACAATCAATAATAATAATAATAATAATAATAATAATAATAATGTCTAGAAAATTGTGTGATTCACGCAAATTATGGTTATTATATTCTGAAAATTAATTTTTATTCCCTACATGTCTGTCTGAATTCATATAATAAAATCAATAACGATAACTACGTATCAGAATATTCAGCACTTCATTGAGAAGCTATTACTATTTAGCCGATGAGTATTTAAAATAAGAAAAATAAAAAATAAATAAACCGACACTAGCCTTTCATCTTTTATGCTTTCTAATTTATTTATTTTTCTAAAAAATTACATTAATTAATATTAATTATATATATATATATATATGCAAGAAGACAATCTAAAACAATTATTTTTACCTTCAAATAATAATAGATATACAAAAGTACATCCTGATTATTATTATGTTTCTATCTATATACGTGGACGTCTGTTTGGTTTAACTACTTTTTGAGAAAATTAGAAAAATAAAGGGTGTGTTTATGCAGGTTTTACATCTGATTTTATTATTTTAATTTTTTTTTAAAAAAAATATTAAATTAAACACTCAATTTTTATTTATTTTATTACACTAAAATTTAATTTTTATGTTCAAAATATCACATCAATATATATTTATATCACATCAAACAACTATTTCAATTCAAAATTTTACTATTCAAAATCAAACTCAAAACAAAAATTTCAAAGTAAACACACCCAAAAGTATTATATTTCTCAAAATATTACATAAAAAAATATAAAATATACATACCTTATGTGAAAAGTTATTTGAAATAATAATAAAAAAAGATACACACACAAAAAAAAAATCCTTACATATAATGATGAGAAAGATTAAGGTGTCCATTTTACTGTAAATACAAAAAATTATGAATGATATAATTAGTAGTACTAGTAAATAAGTAATAATGTATTACAAAAAATAATTATTTTATAATAAAAATAACAGTCTAATTAAATTAAAATATGATTAAAATTTATAATTTTCTTTTCTAATAAAATAAAAATTAAGTGAGACAAATGAAAATAAAAAAATAAACAGGACGTTTAGGACAGAAGGAGTAATATAACTGATAAAATTACTGTGAGATTATTTTTGTATTGAAAACATATAATTATATATATATATATAAAAGTCTATATATACACATATGGTAAGAAAGATAAGCCCCGGTTATGTTCGTTTTTTTTTTTTTTTTGACAATATTTATTAATATATATATTTATATTAAATATCACGTTAAAAATTTATTTAATATATTAAATTAAATATATATTTATAAAATTAATTATCACAAATTTTTTCCAGAAACCCTTGTAAAAATATGAATGGATTGTGGTCCAAATTGAATTGAAACGACAGGTGCAGAAATTAATGCTACTTTCATGGGATGTTCCTTCATACATTTCAATAATGCAACCAAATTTATAATAACAGCATCCCTCTTTTAATTTCATTTTTTTTTTCAGAGTTTTTATTTATATAAAAAAAATTACATTTAATTTATCTTTCGTGGTGATGATGATGATTATTATTATTATTAAAACGATAATATCGGAACATCGTTTCACTTAAAAAAAAATAAAAAGCAAAACAACCAAACTAATTATAAACAAACTCATTAAAATTTTGACTGTATTTGTTTGTTTGGCTTTGGTTTGATATCAAGATTTTAATTTTAATTTTATATTTTTATCATAATTATTACTCCCTCCGTCCCATATAACGTGTCCGTAGACACGGTATTTTAGGAGGGGTGTAATTAGTAGATAATTAAGAATATATTAGTGAAAATAATTATCTTATAATATAAATAATTATAAATTAAAATTAAGATAACTAATTAGTTTAATTAAAATTAAAAAAAATTAAGAAATTTAAAATAAGATTAAAGTGTGTAATCATTTTTCAGAAAAGGAAAGTGACACGGTACATGGGACGGACATAAACGGCAACGTGTACATGGTATCTGGGACGGAGGGAGTATAATTTTTATTGAAAATAAGTATGAACAAATATTAATTTTTATTACAAATATAAAACAAACAGACACACATTGTCTACAACGAATAGTAAGAATTATTTAGCAATGATGAAATTACAATATTTATAATTATTCTAAGAGGTTATAGGAATGTTATGAGAACTCATGATGGTGTTTAAGTAAAATAACTTGATTAATTTTTATATATGTCATAAAAATTATTATATTTTTATTGAAAATATAAAATAGCATAAAATAAAACAACAAATCATTATATTTACCACAAAATTTTTTAAAATAATAAATAAGAAAAAACATCAAAGTAAAATGGGTTTGATTTTGATTTCAAAATTAATAAAATATTATTTAAATTAAAATTCCAATAAATTTAACATTTACATAAAATATTATTTTTTATATTATTACATTCCATCAAAAAATATCTAAAAAAATAAAAATAATAAATCCTCAATTTAAAACCTAAATCAAACACACCCAATTAATACAATTTTCCCATTAATAAAAGTAAAAATTTGAGAAAGAGAGAAAAAAAACCAAAAACGAGGGTGAGGTGTATTGTGGGCCCAGAAAATTGAAAGATGGAGGGCCCACATGCCCTAAATAGGCCTAGAAACATGATCTTCTATATTTACTATTGGGCCTATCGGGCCCCACAAACCCTCGTGCCATGTTTCTCTCTTTATTATTTTATTCAACCCAAAAAATAATAATACAAAAAAATATAAATATTAATGAGGATGATATCATTACATGTGAAATTAAATGACATATATACGTACATACATAGCATCGATGGATAGTGTTACCAAATCCTCGCAGAGTATTTAAATTTTATTTTCTTAAAAAAAAAAATACTAAGGGTGTGTTTGTTTGGAGGTTTGAATTTTGAGATGGGATTTGAATAATAAAAATTTTGAATTTGAATAGTTGTACGATGTGATATAAATAGGTGTTGATGTGATGTTTTGAATGTAAAATTGATTTTTAGTATAATATAAAAAATGAAAAATAGGTGTTTGATTTGATGTTTTTGGAGGGAAAAAATTGGATAAATAGTAAGATTTTGCACAAATCTTACAAACGAACACACCCTAAGTGGTTATGCATGAATTTTGAAATATGTATGTATAGTTTGGTTGCATTCATGATTCCATTCCCCAATAATAATAAGGGAAGGCTTTGCTTGCTGAATAAATGCCACTTTAATCAAACTAACCACGTGCCTCTTAAATTCATATTTCATTCTCAAATAAATAAATTTAGAAAATCACAACTTTATCCCGTATTATATTAAAAAAAATAAATAATAATAATAATAAGAAAAAAAAAAAAAAAAAAAAGAGGAAAAGTTAAGAAGCGCCGACAATGATGATCCTCAAATTATTACCTCAAATATTATTCACATCGTTCACTCTGATAGAGGTTTGGTCGAGAATTTACTCAAACTAGACTAGCAGCTATTTGCTGATTTTATAAAAATAAATAAATAAAATTAAAACACAATATGACAAAGTTTTATTGCCAATAATATTACCGTCATTGAAGCAGGAATTTGAATGAAGTGAATCATACACATTTGTTTTATTATATGTTATCAAGGATTTTTGTGTCATCATAAAGTTTTGTGTATTATGAAGGATTCTTTTATCCTTAGATTTATTTATTATTATACATATCTTAAAATAGGAAAGTGGATAAGTATGGAGAAGAAGGAAGAGTGAAAAGAAATGGCAGAAAAAGGACAAAAAGCAGGCTCAATTTATGGCTGCTCAGTAGCAGTAGCAATAGCAATAGCTGCAATACTGCAATGGCAGCAGCAGCAGCTGCCTCTAAATCAAAGTGCAAAATCAATCAATCAATCCTTGTGGCTCCCTCCATTTTCTTGTCATCTTCTCCATCTGCCCATTTCCCAGATAACCCTAATTCCTATACAAGGACTGAATTGGATTCGATCCATCCATGGATATATTATATAGGAGTATATAAAAATCTTGTGGGGAGAGAGAGATGGAGATATATACAGAGAGGTAGAGGGAGACAGGGTGATCCCCATGTGAGAGAGAGGGCAGACTACTCACCCATGGCCCTACAAACTTACTCATCAATTAGGGCACCTTTGTAATTCGTCCCCAAACCCATGTCCTCTTTCATATCTCCCCATGCATAAAACCCCCTTTTTTGAAACCCCTCCCTCTTCAACTCTCTCTCACTCCTCCCCTCCTCTCTCTCTCTCTAAAAAGACAAAACCAAACCCTTGCACAGTCAAGAATGAGGGGTTTCACTCTTCTCGTTTGGGTCCTTTTGTGTTTTGCCACTTGCCATTCTTCCTCCCTCTTTAGGGATGGTCAGCTCTCTCTTTCTCTCTCTCTCTCTCTCTGTGTGTGTATATATATATGTATATATACATTGGTGTTTTACTGTTTTTGGGTCCATTAAGAAGATTTGAGTGCATTTTCTTGACAAAGATCAGATCTTTATTTTGATTTACTCAGCCAATTGAAAGTTTAGTTTGAGAAATCAAAGTCCTAACTGGTACACATCAAATTACAAGATTCAGAATGGTTCTTGCTATGCTAAATTAACACAGATTGGTTTAGTTTTATGATTTTTAACACTCTTTTGGTTCCAATGTTTGTTACATAACAACAAAACTGGTTGATAGAATTGTGTGTTCATCGATTGATTGAGTTCTTGAACCACTTTCCCCTACTCTCTTGCAACATTTGCATCAGAAAAGACTCTAAAATGTGTTCGGATAGAAACATTGCACAGAAAGGATCGATTTCTAGCTCACATCTGCACTTGTTTAGATCAATTTGTATGCTAACGCTTTGTATTCCTAACATATCGACTCTGTTTACATGGATACTTTAGAGCATTTCAAGCTATTATATCAAATACTAACTTTTTATTTCATATCGGGTCCGAATTATATATTCGAAATGTAAAATTCCACAGGGCTTCTGGACAATGGCAATTTCGAGCTAGCTCCGAAGGCCGCCGACCTCAACGGGACGATCGTGCGCAGCTCGAATGCCATTCCGAAATGGACAATCTCCGGCTTCGTCGAATACATCAAAGCAGGGCAGAAGCAGGGCGACATGCTGCTCGTCGTCCCGGAGGGCTATGCAGCCGTCCGCCTCGGCAACGAGGCGTCGATAAAGCAAGATCTTAATGTAACTAAAGGAATGTGCTATGCTTTAACGTTTAGCGCCGCTCGAACTTGCGCGCAAGAGGAGAGTTTGAATGTATCCGTGGCTCCCGACTTCGGCATCCTCCCGATCCAGACGCTCTACAGCAGCAATGGCTGGGATTCGTACTCGTGGGCGTTTTGTGCACTCTCCGCCATTGCTCGGATCCTCCTCCACAACCCCGGCACCGATGAGGATCCAGCTTGTGGGCCTTTAGTCGACTCCATTGCCATCCGGGCTTTGTATCCTCCTAGACCGACGAGCGGTGAGTTCTTGCTATGGCTATTGAGGTATAATAGTTTGTTGTTCGTCGAGTCAAGTAAAGTTTCTTAATTTTGAGGATTGTCGATGAATTGCATTTGGACATGAATGTAGGAAGTTATAAAACCAGATTGTAATCTTGTCGTTGCCGTAGGGATGATTGAGTTAGCGTAGTATGGTGATTGATGATTGCAAGGTCATTCGGTCGACCCTTGCTTACGCCCCGTGGTAGTTGAGTATGGCATGGTTTTAAAGTTATTGCGCTCAATCGAGATTTGGAGTAGAAGAGTAGTGACTGTGAATTCCGACGTAGTTGGATTTTTATTTAGCTATTTAGCTTGTTTTTGGCTATATATAGATCGTGATGATTGCTTTTCAAGATTTACCTGCTAGCGACTATGAGTTCTCACGTAGTTAGATTTATAGTTGGCTATTTAGCTTGCTTTTTGGCTATATACAATTCGTCGTGATGATTGCTTTTCGAGATTTACTTGCAGTAGAAGAGTAGAGACTACGAGTTCTTATATAGTTAGCTTAATAGCTGCTATTTAGATTGTTTTTGGTTATATATAATTTGTTGTGATGATTTCTTTCCAAGATTTACCTGCATTAGAAGAGTAGCGACCACAAGTTCCTATATGGTTAGCTTTATAGCTGCTATTTCAATCATTTTTGCTACGTATAACTCATAAAGATCGTTTTTTTAATGACTTGTGTGTACTTACGCAGCGAATTTGCTCAAGAACGGGGACTTCGAAGAAGGGCCGTACGTATTCCCTAACACGAGTTGGGGCGTATTGATCCCCCCGAACATCGAAGACGACCACTCCCCGCTCCCGGCATGGATGATCGAGTCCCTCAAAGCCGTCAAGTACATCGACTCTGCCCACTTCTCCGTTCCTCGTGGCCAACGTGCGGTCGAGCTCGTCGGGGGCAAAGAGAGCGCAATCGCTCAAGTGGCCCGGACCATAATCGGAAAGACGTACCAATTGACGTTCGCGGTCGGGGACGCGAGTAACTCTTGCGAGGGGTCGATGGTCGTGGAAGCGTTTGCGGGTCGAGACACGGTGAAAGTCCCGTATGAGTCCCGAGGGAAGGGTGGGTACAAACGAGCCGTGCTACGATTTGTCGCGACCGCGACCCGAACCCGGATCATGTTCCTTAGCACGTACTATCATACGAGGAGCGACGATTACGCGTCCCTTTGTGGCCCCGTCGTCGACGATGTCAAGCTTCTTAGCGTTCGTAAACCAGCTGAGGTCTCGGCCTAACACCCAACTCTGAATGGAACGCCTTGTTATTTGTATACTAAAAATATCCAACTATCGATCGCGGGGTTTTATTTATTTTTATTATTTAAGAAAAAAAAAATTAATATATGTAATACGTTCACACAGAATTATTTGGCCTTTTTAAGTACATAGGAAGAGGTGTGGTTTGGTTGTCAGGTGATGTTGTGTTTTACGCTTTGATCTTAATCTTATTATGCTTTGGGAAATAAATTTATAAAATGTATGCTTTCGAATGTCCATCATACAAGATATATGCATTAAAGAACGTTTTTGATTTGGTGTCATTGTTAGGGCGTGTTTGTCTGGGGGTTTGGATTTTGAGTTGGGATTTGAATAGTAAAAATTTTGAATTTGCATAATTGTATAATGTGATATAAATAAGTGTTGATGTGATGTTTTGAATGTAAAATTGATTTTTAGTATAATATAAAAAAATGAAAAATAGATGTTTGATTTGATGTTTTTTAAAGAAAAATTTTGGATGAATAGAAGGATTTTGGTAAAATTCTCCAAACGAACAAACCCTAATTGAATTTCGATATATAATATTGAAATATGAAAGAAAATTGAGACAACACATAAATTAGGAAATTAAATATCCATTTAATATAAATTAGTTTACAAATTAACTCATTTTTTTCTTACTTATGAATTCAATTTTGAGAAAAAATATATATATATATATATTTAATTACCAAACATAAGTATTTATTTAAAATTCGATTTTCAAATTCTCTCCCAACAAGAATTCCAATGACAACATAAAAATGAATGAACACACACAAAAATATTTCTAATAATATTTTCATATCTTATAGTAAAAATATTTAAAATTTAAATATTAACCGAATGCATTTTTAAATTGTATTTGACATATATTTTATTTACAAGAATAATATAAAAAATTCATGTAAATAGAGCTTTAATTTACAAACGCAATAGTCATTAATACTAGATAAAGTGTTTTTTAAAAATAAATAAATAATTCCAACTTGTCAATTAATTGAAAATATAATTGCAGGCAATTATTTTACCGTTAGTAATAATGATATTAATATATAAAGAAATGGGTCAGAGCCCAAATAAAGCCCAATATCGAACAGAAACGGTCATCGATTTAACTGCTCACATTTGAAATTCAAATTGAGGGGCACGTGACAAGCACGTGAAGGCGATTTTGATCCGACGGTGGAAATTGTCGCGTCACCTCAAAGCTACGCGATTCAGCGGAAATTCAAAAACCCTTATTAGGGCTTCCGTACTCAGCTCTTCAAATATATATTCAGCCATAAGCAGGCTGAATCCTCTGCCAATTGATATTGATTTCGCCATAGCTGTTGTTCTACGCTACCTTCGGTGTTTTCTCTCTAGACGATCTGAGCAGATCAGAAATGGTATGTTGTCTCTCTGTTTTTGATTTTGGATGGAGGAGGATTTTGGATTGTTTGTGTTTTCGTTGTACAGTTTGATCGATTTTAACTTTTTGATTTCATTTCCGGATTTTTAGGCATTGCCGAATCAGCAGACTGTGGATTACCCAAGCTTCAAGCTTGTAATTGTTGGCGACGGTGGAACTGGTAATTTTATTTTCTGTTTGTGTGTTGTGTGCGGCTCGATATATTGATTCGTTAAGTTGTCGGCGGTGAATCTGAAATGTTGTAGGATTTAGGGCAGTAGATTGTCGTTCGTATTGCTGTTGGTAATTTCTATTTAGAATTAGGAGATTTAGATTGTTGATGCGAAGATGAGTGTTTTTCATTGTAAGCGTGCGGACGAAGTATTTTCATTTTGATGTGATCCTTATGCTGTTGCCCTAAAGTAAAATGTTTTGCGACTAGTGATTTAGCATTTGAGGCTAGTTGCATCTGTTTTTGGGCTCCAGATTTTGTTGTAAAATGAATTTTCGCATCGGCTATGTACTTGGAAAACATTGATAGATTGGTTTAGGTTTAGATGGATTTTAGCATTTGCTATTTTGGAAAGTAAAGGAATTGTATGTACGTTAGCCTAAGAAATTTGCTTGTGATGGTACAGGGAAAACCACGTTTGTGAAAAGGCATTTGACGGGAGAATTTGAAAAGAAATATGAGCGTAAGAATGACTGATATGATTTTTTTTACAGTTCTGCAAACTTTGTATTATTTGTTTGTCCAAACTCTGATTTGTATTGCTTTGCATTTGTTTTTCTCATAATGAATAGCTACAATTGGTGTGGAAGTTCACCCATTGGATTTCTTCACTAACTGTGGGAAAATCAGATTTTATTGTTGGGATACAGCAGGGCAGGAGAAATTTGGTGGCCTGCGCGATGGATACTAGTAAGTAAAGTGCATTGTATATATGTTCGGTGCCTGTTAATGTGATAAACTTAACCTTTTGTTTTGTGTTGCACTGATTTTCCTATTAACATGTGTTTGAAATTTCTGATTCTGCAGTATCCATGGACAATGTGCCATCATTATGTTTGATGTCACAGCTCGCCTGACGTACAAGAATGTCCCAACATGGCATCGTGATCTTTGCCGGTATGGTTCAACATCTCTCGCTTGTTTGTAAAGTTCTTATGAAAACCTGTATTCCACTGATATCTTTGCTGCTAATTTTAGGGTTTGCGAGAATATACCTATTGTCCTCTGTGGAAACAAGGTTGATGTAAAGAATAGGCAGGTGAAGGCGAAGCAGGTTACCTTCCACCGGAAGAAGAATTTGCAGTACTATGAAATATCTGCGAAGAGTAACTACAACTTCGAGAAGCCTTTCCTTTATCTTGCTAGGAAGCTTGCTGGGTATGCCCTGCTTCAATATATATATATGTACAAGATTTTAATGTTCCTGATATGGAAAAAGTGGTGCTGCTCAACTTATTGCTGCTTTCTGTTCTTATTTGTTTTGTTTGCAGTGACCCGAATCTGCACTTTGTCGAGTCGCCGGCTCTTGCTCCACCTGAAGTTCAAATTGATATGGCTGCGCAGCAACAGTACATTCCCTTCTCTCTCTCTCTCTCTCTACACACAAATACATACATACATATATATATGCCTGGCTCACATGACAAGTTTTAATATTTACTTGTGTTTATTGTTTTGTTTCAGGCACGAGGCGGAGCTGGCTGCAGCGGCGAGCCAGCCTCTTCCGGATGACGACGACGAGTCCTTTGATTAAGAGAGGATTGTTGGTGTGGTGATGATGCATCAGGCCGTTTTCTCGTTTTGTTGGTTTATTTTGGTGTTTGGTTGGCGATGATGATGCTGATGGTGTTAGGCCCAATTTTCTTGAGTGTGTGTTTGTCTATGGGGATTTTATTCGGATTTGTTTCAAAGTGTGGTGGATGATGATGAATGAAGACTGCTGGTCTTGTTATATCTTTTGATGATGAATGGAACAAGCTACAACTTTTACTGTTCTTCCAAAGTTTTTCTTGTCCTTGTGATTAAAAATGGAGAGAGGATGAGACTTTTCTTGATTGATTATTATTCTTTGGACTGGAATGGGAGTTTGGAAGAAGGTTTTGACTTTCGAAGAATCAATATTTGATTGGACATATTATAAGAAGAAATAGATATTTAATGCTGAGTATTGGTCTACTATTAGGTCAAAGCCTAATTTGCTGCATGTTGGGTCTCTTAGAAAAAGCATATTTTGGACATGTAGAATCAAGGCAGAAATTGAATTGAAACATCAGGATAAATTACCATTAACTTCACAATTCACACAGAAAAAAGACTTGGCTGTAATGAATTATAATACCAAATAATTTAACTTTACAAGGTTAAAATAAGTTCGTTTATCTATACTTGTTGCTAAAAAGGGTAAAAATATGTAACTTATGCAGCAGCTCCTTACACTCTCTGTTGGCTCTGCCGGAAATGGCTTTCGAGCTCCGCTGCTTGTGATAATGTCTGCGGATAAAACGTCATAAAGAAAATAAAAGGAATGAAGTTTTCAACCATAGTCAGGCCTGTAGTAAACTTTGGTCATACCTCCTCTTCCTGTAGTACCGGATGTTGATGCATCCATCCTTCCATCCTGTTAAGCCTGGAGTAAATTTCGAAAACACAAATAGAAAATATATTGTAGATTAAAATGCATGATACCAGGGCTCGGCATCTGTTCGAAACAATCATCCAAAGTTCAGTGCCAAATGAAAGGCAGCAAGCCCTGGAATCATCATTGAATCAACAAACCAACGTGCGTCCAACCTTAGCTCTGGAACAGAACAGCTATGATCAATCGCATCCTCCAAATACCAATAAGTAAATAAATAAATGATCCTAAATACATTCAATGCGCTCCCGAAAAGCTTAAGCATAGCAATAGAAAAAGTATCACATGCCTGTATTAGTTTCCTAACATTAGCATTCAAGCAAACTAAGTTATGAATCAGATGTGCGTATTGTATTCTATTTCAGGATACTACACAATGAATCTGAATTAATACACAACCATTTCTTCAAAAAACTGTCCACATCAATTAAAGAAAGAGAGTATGATACATGTATCCTGTAGTTTACAAAAGTGCTATCTGCACATAAATAACTGAGATGAGACCTACAGTGTACAATTCATGCTTCTTTCGTACACTTATGGAATATAAAAAAGTAATATGTTAATCTGTGAATGAGAGAAATGCTGAAATGCACGATAACAAGAACACCCTTTCGCTATGATCTACCAGCAAGAGAAGTTTTACGTGAAATTAAGTGCCTCAGCTCCTGCAAATGTTCGTCATTTGAAATGTGAAGCGTAATACGAAGATCAGTCAACAATGATTCCTGCTCCCAACTTAAGGTACCAGAAGCATACAAAGCTTCAAGAGTGCAGCGATAAGCATGCAGCTCTAGCCTATGAAGCATACTGACCTCGAATACCTCTTTTGGAGGAAGTGATGAAGTTTCTCTGCCATTAGATGACTCGGCATCACTACAAGAGGTGTCTGTTTCTTGGTAATATGTAGATCTAAACTGACCATAATAATTTCCTGGACTTTGTTTCGTAAGACTACAGCTGCCAACAGAAGAAGCATCGCTGTCAGAATTATTTAGTTCAGAGCTTCTCACCAAATTATAGCCAGGTACATCATTTTGCTTTATCCGCTCCATTTGATTATGCCCATTAGATGTAAAGTTGTTATGGGAAGCAAGTATGTCCGTTTCACCCAAAATTTCTTTTGAGTAACCAACAACATCTACCTTTTCATACAATGGGGCAGAAGGCACTCTCTGCTTCATGCCTTCTTTCTCAATTGCCCTTAACTTTTGGGCCCGTCCATTTTGTGCTTCGACAACAGTGGAACGTGAATTTCTCCTCTTTAGGGATCTTGATGAGACCAGAGAAGACTCCCCCAGCATTGCATCGTCTTGATTGTCTTTGAAATACCTTTTGGATTGATATTCAGCCCTTGCAATTTGTTGAGATGCTTGGAAAATCTTCTTTCGATAACAATTTGATGTTGATGGTTTGCTGGCCACCACTTCCTTCTCTGCTTCAGAACCCTGCGAATTTCATAAAATAACGGGATCAGACATAGCAAAAATATGAATGAATTGGATTCATGCATACAGAAAACAAACAAGATCATTGAGTACACTTATAGCATCAGAATTTCCAATTGAGTCAAGTTTTGTCCTCGAAGGATTTCAAACAGAGACAAGTAGCACAATTCAGATTAGAACCAGGAACCAAAAGTATTTAACAAAACACTAACATGCAAGTCAAGGCACGATCAAGGAAAAACAAAGATACCAAAGCTAAAATTCCAGCATGAAAAGGAAAGAAACATACCTTCCCCATTACAATCCATTTGCCCCCACACCAGGCCTGTCTAATTCTGAGATTCCGCCTGTTAACAACTAATTCGTGCGAGCTCCCAAGCAGCCTTATTAAATACCACTTTCGGAATGTTTCATCGAGCAGATGGATCTTCCTCCTATTTCCTTCTTTCTTTTCCATTATCTTCAAGATAACAGCAGGCTTCCATGAATTTTCATGAAACAACTCCACAATGTCTCCAGCACTGCAATTCTCGAGACCTTGCACCGGAGGAGGCAATGGCCTCACAGACTTCAATGGAACCGTCTCTATGATTTGACCATTAGACACACAGCGCACACGATATGTATAAACACCGCTGCTTACAACCTCTCTGATATGCCATGAAACTGGCATCTCCCTACTGTCCATAACCTCCACTGTATCTCCCTTTTTGAACCTCATGATCAGCAATCTCTACGGCAAATATCAGAATTCTGTGATAATTCGAAAAAAAGTGAGTACTGAAATCATCAATTCATTGAGAAATATTAGATCGCCGCAAAAAGCATAATCGAAAGCAAATCCAGAGCAAAGTGAAACTATATCTTAATCTTGCAGAAATCAAGTATTAAGTAACAGCAAACATCTTTGTAAAGCAATCAAGAAGAAATCAAGTATCAACTTCACTAATAGCGTAATTGAGTCACAATTATGTAGCTTTATATTCACAGTCCAAAGATTAATTATTTTAGATTCTTAAACTAATCTAGCCCCTCTTATTAGCCCCAAGCAACACGAATTACATGTGTATCAACCATCTACTCCAGGTCTTATTTATCATTAATATTTTGAATTTTATAATTGTATACAAAGTCAGAAAATTCTAAACGATCACTGCAGGCTGTATATGTCCATCACTTTCATTGTTAAAGCTGATCTTCAGGTTAAATTTTTTTCAAATGTTAATACCTGCTGTAATCAAATTAGATTAACTAATAATACTCGATCAGAACATGATGCCTACCAAAAATTTTCGAAGATATCGATGTTTTTTAACTAAATTCATTACAAAATCTAGATACTACAAATTCCTCCATAACGTGTAGGTCAGCACAATAAAGCACAATAAAACGTAAATATAAACAAACACTTCAGCCATCTGATGAACGAATTAGAACACAGACTTGCGAAAAACGTAAAAAAAGATGAAACCCCCAAATTTGAACAGCTGAATTTCCATCAATTTGGGGATTTAAAGAATTGGAATTAAACCCAAAATCTGAAACACAACTGACCTTTTTCTTCAAATTGAGGGATAATCCACCACCACGCAAACAGCAATTAGGTATTTTTGATCACTGATGCTGCCTTACAACAGAGTTTCGAATTTCAATTTTGTGATCTAGGGTTTGCTTCCTTCGCCCATGAACAAATTTGATGCGTATAATCGTGTATCATGATAAATATAAAACAAAATATAAATTACACATCATCGTGCAGGGGTATTTTGGGGTTTGTCTGTTTTGGAACTTAATTAGGTCCAACAAATGTTTTTATATATATTATTATTTATTTTTTCATTAAAAATATTATAAAAAATATATTATTGGTTTGTTTTTATTATTTAAAAATACATAAAATTTAATTTAAATTCTTTCATGGTTTGTTTACTCTGTGGGTAGTAAAACTACTTAATATTCTTGATATATTGATTTATATATATATATATATTTTAAAAATTATTATTTGTAAATAATATAATTTATATGTAAAGCTAAAAGTATATGTATATAATAGGAGTTGCAATTCGGACCATTGCCAAATAGTTGTTTTCAAATGGAGCTCTAAATTTAGAGCATTTCAAGCTTAATTTTAATTTTAAATTATTTTTATTTGTGTAAATAGAAATTGAATCAACGATCAAATTCAAACAAATTAAGAATTTTATAATCAAATCATATCTTATTTTTTCAGTTATTACTACATCCGTCCAGCTTCCGGCTAAAAGGGTCGATTTATTTGTTGAGATGAGAGTACAAATTAATAAATAATTGCAAAAATATAGAATGACATTTATTAAAAAAAATAAAATTATACAAATACAATATTTTTAATATTAAGTAGAATGTGACCATTAGAGAAACGAAAGATGTATATATTAAGTTATTAAAATATAAATATTAATTTTAATAAATCGGGTACACAACCCAACATTTATGGGCCCGGAATTTGTGTGCCAATATGATTAAAAAAGTTTCAAACTTAGTTTTTCAAGTTCACGTAAGATTTTTTCTTGCCGGATTCGGATCGAATTTTTTGGCTGCCTATTTTGGCAAGCTCTAATGTAAACCGTTATTTTTTGCCAAAGCAAACATAATCGTTCTCGTCTATCTGAAACTCACAAAAGGTTCATACAAACAAACACCACAAAAACTACTCAAAATCTATGGAGTTGTGCATACGACATTGTAAGCCTACAATCAAATGCTCAAATCTAAATCTGAAACAAATCACAATTCCTTTCTTCTTAACTAACATACAGATAAGATGAGTTAAATAATTGATACTCGAAGCAGCCGGCGAGGAAGTTCCGGTGCAGCACGAAGAGCTCACGATAAGTGTGCAGTAATGCATTCAAACAAATCCGATGGACGAGCAAATAGGTAGCCGAATAGGGGTGCCACAACTCCCACACTCAAACTGTTTCCCAGCAATGCGTAGCTGCAGAAAATGAATCAAATTGTGAACATGATGAAGTTATCATCTCCATTGACTATAATCACCATTGCAAAAGCATCCGTAGTTAAGATTTCGCGATAAGACATATATGTGCAAAGTTGATTCGGAAGAAGTTTAAGCATGATCCTGTCTTTTCCTTAGAGTCTTTCTGGATTTGTTTCAAATGTTCTGCAATTTGTTCTTGTTCTAGTGGTCCAGATTCAAAAAAATCACTCAAATTTAAACGTATAAAGATGAAATGTATTGCCTATTGTAAGAATCTTGAGAGGCAGGAAGATGAGCTTACCGTTGGCGAAGGCTAACATGTTCTGGAAATTGAAATTTTCCGGGAAAAGAATGTAAATTGGCAACCTAATGGTAATGACAAAATAAAACAACCTCAGCACCGAACCACTCCACAAGAAATACGAAATTATTCTCACCTCTCTTGGTGTGAAGTATCGAAGCTGAAGCTCCGACAAAGATGATGTTTTATCTTTCATCTTTCCCTGCAAGTTAGTTCATTACATGTAAAATTAGTGCAGATCAGAAAGCAAATTCTTATTTCTCGATCATTCAAAAAGATGCACAAGCTTCACTTCAAATGCTTATTCACGTAAAAGATAAGTACATGTACACATACAGGGGCAGTCGCCAATAGGGATCCGGTGCCCTTCACATATCGGAAGTAACTTTTGGTGAAACAACAGCAGCGCCTTGATTCAGGGAAAACAATATCTATGATCCATCAAGAAATTATTCGGAGGGTATAGGCACTTGAAAAGATAAAAAATTTCAGGTATGAGAGATAAATATATAAACGAGTGCGCGATTAACTTACCCATTGCGCTGCCCCATCTTTGTACAAGACTTGATGGGACTATATACTGATCTAGAGGATGATCGACAGATCCAGTTTCTTCCTCAATAACATTTGAACTTTCAGAAACATTACCACGCATACTACATTGTTCTGAAACAACTTCACTTGTAAAATTCTTCGATTCCAGAAAATCTTTTATAGGCTGACAAGTTTCTTGTAATTTATCCCAATATGCTTGTGAGTCTGCTTCGCCAATTGTTGCTGTGCTTTCAGAACTCCCATGTATAGGGCCAGGAGTTCGAAGAAGTTTATTATTGAATAGTGGATTCTGAAAAGACACAGGAATTCGCTTGGCCTGCCATATATAAGCCATGGAAAGTTTATTCATGAAAAACTGCTAGAGAAATGAAAGAGAGGAACTATATAATTGAAGAGATAAAAATATTCGAACCAGACAAAAGTAGCGAGGGCGCGAATAGGGAACACCAAATTGCAAAGGACTTAAAATGAATTCTTGAGTGCAAAAATGATTTTCTCTCAAAATTGCAATCATCTTTTTATGCGTATCGGAAGTCTGCACCAAACATCAATCATACAAATGCAAAAATGGTTAGAAGCTGTTACGAGTGACGACATTGAAATTATACAATTAAACTAAATGCGGCAAATCACTCTTCCTCATATTTACTCAGATTTATGGTTAGTTTCTACCCCCCAGCATGAAATCCCCTTAGGTTCCAATCAATCTTCAAGATTTTCATTTAGCAAATTTATGAAATGAATGACACTTACGAGGAACTCACTCACAAATGAATAAGACAAACCTCAAATCCGACAACATTCTCTACAAAAAGCATGACAGGAGGCCTTGAGCTTTGTGGTATGAGTTCAAGAATCTTCAGAAAGGAAAAGGCTCTAGCATCACTGGAACCCTTCTGGTGACCTTAACAACATAATCGATTTTGGTTATTCTAACATAGGCAAGAAAAATATGAAAAAGGAGAAAGTAATTCACCAACCTTGGCGCGTGTAAGGTTGGCATGGAGGCGACAGAAGCCAAGCATCTGCCTCATAGCTATCAAGGTCAGCAGCAGACAAGGTCTGGATATTACCCTATCCTTACCAAATTGCAACTTTTGAAGTTAGCATGAACAGTAGTAAATGGACCCACAGTCTTCGATAAAATCGATTACTCTACACAAAAGGTGTTCTTGCATTTCTATCCAGTAAATTATCTTGCTATGCAGTTGATGTAATTCAAACTCAAACTCACATTTCATTTCAGAAGGTTGCAAGCAAGATCAGCACTTTAACGATGGATCTTAATTAACAACAAATTTACAATTTTTGGTAGCCGATGTTCATTGTGAATTGCAATAATGAGATCAAGATCAACCAAATAGATGTAAATTTGAGCCTGCAAGTTCTATTTTGTGCTTAGAAATTTTCCAACTTGAGGCATGAACATTGAATTCAGCACTTATTCTCCAATTTGAACTTCCATACAATTGCAAAATTACATGAATTGACTATATATTTTATACGCATGATAGAACCCTAAATTGAAGCGGATACCTGGTGCGGACGGTGGCCAAAGTTTTGTTCATAAACATCATTTGCGACGTCGTTAATGTCGAAGGCTTCGACGACCTCTGCATCCACACCTGCTTTCATCAAGGAATACCGCTAGGGGGCATTGGAAAAGCAAAGAGCAATGGCTCATCAAAATCTTGAATTTAAAGAAAAAACAAAGGCTTCCACTTGAATTTTATCAATTGTGATACCATCCCGCCGATGCCGCTGTAGAATTCCAGGACTCGCCATGGCCTCTCCACTCCCTTCCTTAAACCCTCCATAGTTGCAGAGAGTTCTTCCAGCAAGAAGTGTCTTGTTGGGTCGTTCGTCTGGTTAGCAGCCTGTTTGTGCTTCGAAGATGGGTTAGAATTTAGAAATGTGATTCTTGGCCCAAATTGGCCCAGAGTTGATGCAGCGATGGATTCGGGACCTGGAATCCGAGGACCTGGCAGATAAGGACTCCATTGTCTCCGTCCTTCTGGAATCCAATCGGACTAAATTTAAAGTGAAAACTGTGAAATCTTCTTGTTGCGCTCGAGACGGCTGAGTCAAACAAATTGGAGAAGCGAATCAAGAAGCCCACGAATTGGAAATTGTTCAATCCAAGGTTAGTGCTGCAGAAATGCTGGAACCTCACTCAATTCCGCACCACTAATTTCTAGGTTTCTTTTTTTTTGCTGTTTCAATCGGATTTTTAGTTAATCCATATTGTTATTCATGCATGACCTGTGTTTTTGTTCGATTGAATAACATCTAGGGTTTTCATTGTTCTTCCTCTCTGCTATTTTGTAAGATCCATATGTGTAGATAATATATTTCCATGGATAAATTCTTCCTGGTTTGGATGGTTGGAAATGGTGCAATTTCCATTGTTGATTTACAATGCGATGGAATCACTAACCTAATTTGCTGTTTCGGGTAAACATGGATTATGTTTGTCCATAATAAGTGGCCATAAAGATTGCGTCCTTTATTTATGCTCATTTTCATGTGCTTTTCTGTCTTTCTGATTTACCTTTAGGTAGGAAAGAATTGTGATTCTTATTTTCATTGTAGGGGCAAATATTTCGGTTCGATTGGGCTCAGCATCTTGTGCATTTCATACTGAAAGAGCTATGAATTTTGTTAGCTCTGCCATCGGTCTGCAATTGTTTTTTCTTTAGTAAATATGATACAATATGTGATTTGATTATGTTTTGTCTTTTTCTTTTTTTAGTTGGTTTAGACACTTGTTTCGACATTTGTTTCCTGCTGGTTGTGTAACGAGCAGATGTTTTAAATTGCTATTTCTTACATGTTCTAGGTAGCCAACCTTCTGTGATGGCACTGTCTTTCGGAAGGACTCATGTCGTCAAGCCAAAAGGGAGACACCAAGCAACGATAGTTTGGCTACATGGCCTTGGTGATAATGGTTCGAGGTATAATAACTTCATTTTTTTTCGTTGAAATACTAAGAAGTCGAACGTGTTACTAGTTTTGGATTTAGTAGAAAAGGATATTATTATCGTTGAAGTTACCAACCATATCATTTATGGAGATTGGTAAAAGAATCGCCTTTGTGTGAATCCTATTGTGATTTGTAATTCTCTACCCTTACAATGAACTAATAGCTCATTCTCTTGCTGTCTCTTGCATCCTCGACCCGTGATGTCATCTCCATCCATTCATCATGTAAATGACAGGAAACCACATTCACGTTGGATATTTGTATATGCTATTTAAACATGAGGTGTAATAACTGTTTTATTTTATTTTATTTTTTAAGCTTATAGTTGAGAAATAGTTGAATGTACTTGCGAATTGGAATGATGCTAGACCCTATGAAACTTTGGATTTTTAAATTTTGACTAATGCTAGTCTATACCTTGATTTCAACAGCTTCATCATTCCTTCTGGTTCGATAGCTATTTGGATTTTAAAAACGATTACTAGTAATTATCATGAGCTGAAAGAGTGAAGCTGCTCGCTCTTTATGGACTTGCTTCTTTCATTAACATGGACTCATTTCATCGATTTAAACTTGGGTTAGAGGGATTTTGGTATTGGTATCAAGTGCGCAAATATGCATAAGTTCGGTTTCTATGATTGGATACTTTCATACCTTCATTAGAAATCAATGGTGGTTTTAATTTTGTTACTCGTGCAGCTGGGCGCAGCTCTTGGAAGGTCTTCCTCTTCCCAATGTACGTCACCATAGTCTTTTTTTTTTTTATAATTTTATTATTTTGTATTTTGTGTGCGAAGTCGGTTGAGTTTTACATGTAACACCATTTAGTGTTGTTTGTCGGCGTTGCCAAAATTTCACGCTCTCTTTTAAACCTGGCCGGCAGATAAAGTGGATTTGCCCAACTGCGCCAACCCGTCCGGTGTCTTTATTTGGTGGATTTCCCAGCACTGCTTGTAAGATATCCGCCTACCTTTTACTCACCTTGCCTATCGCGACTTCTGAGTTTTCATTATGCTCGGTATTTTTATCACTCGCTGCATCAATGTTTTTCATACTTCTTTATTCAACAGGGTTTGATGTTAAGGATTTGACGGAGGATGCACCTGATGATTTAGTTGGATTGGATGCAGCAGCAGCACACGTTGCAAATCTATTGTCGACTGAACCTACTGACAGTAAGTTCTAAAATCCAAATATATGCTTAATTGAAGCCAAATCAAAAGTACAATATGCTCCTATGTCGTGTTCTTTAACAGAAAAAAGTATGTTTTCATTTATTTATGTCGTATGGATAATCGTTGCAAATAACCAAATCCAGAAATGTCTTGTCGTTTTCAAAACTCGAAGACAGAGATCTTGAAATATTGTCATTACAGATCCCGATTATCTCCTTGCAATTACACATAATTAATTGTTCTTGCTCCACAGTTAAACTTGGAGTCGGAGGATTTAGTATGGGCGCTGCGGCTGCTCTTTACTCGGCTACTTGCCACATTTTCGGTCAGTACAGTAACAGAAACCCGTACAATGTTAACTTCAGCGCTGTCGTCGGTCTTAGTGGATGGCTCCCATGTGCTAGGTATTAAATTTCATTACATACAGATCAGATCTGCTTGTTTTACCCGGAAATCATGATCGACATTTAATTGTTTTCCAGGATGCTGATGTCCCGAATGGCAGAAATAAACGAGTCTTCTGCTCGCGCAGCTTCTTTTCCAGTTTTGCTCTGTCACGGCAAAGGTATGCTAGGCTACGATATTATTTCGAATTTGTATTCCAAACAGGGCCTCGATTACTACATTGAATTCATCGATTAGATTAACCACTGCATCATTCGACGTATATCATTTTACTTATTTGCGACGTTTAAGCTTAAGCTAAGCTACGCTATCTCTGTGTTCCTCAGCGGATGATGTCGTGGCTTATAAACATGGAGATAAATCGGCGCAAGCCCTTAAATCTGCTGGATTTCAAAACGTTACGTTCAAATCATACAATAGGTATATTGATTGAATCGAATGCCCACGCCGTGAAAGTTTCTGTGCTGATTCGCTCGAATTTTCTTGTGATCTTATAGGCTTGGGCATTACACTATTCCGGAGGAGACGGATGAAGTCTGCAGGTGGCTAACCGAGAAACTCGGGCTCGAGGGATCGTCGTCATGATCGGGACTGGATTGGATTGGTTGCTGTAAGAATCGTCGAATGATTTGATGAGGTTGTTGAGATTCCATGGAACTTATTCCATGATTCTTCTTCTTCTTCTTCTTCTTCTTCTTCTGCCTGAGATGAGATACAGAAATTGAACTCCTAAGTTGTTGATTTTGCCATTTCTATAACGCTGCTGTATTACTATTGTTATGATTATGATTGTTATTGTTATGATCTTTTGTGTTGTGAATAAATTTATCTGCTTTTCGTGTTTCTAATAAATTTCTATTAATTACACAACAATTTTGAAGATTTTGCTAATATTAATAATTTATAATATATTTTTATTCTTGTTCTTTTTTGGGAAAATTTTCATTACGCTAATAAGGAGATTTCCCTAAAATGGTCGGTTTGTTGCGACTCTAAATTAATATTATTACCACAATTTTTTTAAAAAATATATCCTTATTTTTGTCAAAATTTGGAGTTTTGAAATTGCTTTTAAATTAATAAAAGTTAATATTTTATAATAAAAAAACATATATTTAATATTATATATATTTTTAAAAATAGTATAGATAAATAATATCAAAATTTAAAAAATATATGTGTAAACAAATTTACAAGTAAAGTTGAAGTTTGTTCATTTAATTTATTTTCTGATGATATAATTTATTTATGCACTGTTGTTCTAGCACTTTTTTTTAAATTACGATTTTTCAAAAATTAAAATAATAAAAAACATGATATTTTATAAAAAAATTATTATAATATTTAATGTATATTTCTTTAAAATTTATTTGAATAAAAATAGTAATATAATATTTTAAATATAAAATTAATTTTACTATAATATAAAAATAAATATTTAATTTAATATTTTTACATATATTTTTTTATTTTTTAATAAATATTATGAAGAAAATTCTCCAAACAAACATACACCTAGGGTGTGTTTGTTTGGGGGTTTGGATTTTGAATTGGGATTTGAATAGTAAAAAATTTGAATTTGAATAGTTGTATGATGTGATATAAATAGGTATTGATGTGATGTTTTGAATGTAAAATTGATTTTTAGTATAATATAAAAAATGAAAAATAGGTGTTTGATTTGATGTTTTGGGGAGGGGGGAAAAAAAAAATGGGATGAATAGTAAAATTTTTACAAAATCTTCCAACCGAACACACCTTTAATAATTATAAAAAAAAAAAACCCTCGATAAAAAAACACACCTTTGTTGTTCTTCACTTCTTCTTCTCTCACCGAAAGGGCAGTTCAGTCAAAACACAAGCAAAGGTTGTTCTTCTATTTCTTCTACCCCAAAGGGCAGAAGTTCAGTCAAAAGTACTTTTTACTGCCTGCGTGCTTACCTTCTTCTTCTTTATTCTTCTTCTCCTCTAACACAAAATCCCACACGAGTTTCCTTCAGGTACGATAATTCCCAAGTGTAACCCTCATTACTGATTACATTAATACTTTACTGAATCCCACTGGAGTTTCACCCAGATTTCTCTCCATTCCAATTTCCCTCCCTATTTATAGAAACACTAACATCACCGATCCACCGCCGAGAAAAAACTTGATCAAATTCGACATCATCCTCACTCTCGCAGGCGATTCACTTTCCAATTCATTTAGGTTTTGTTTGTTCTTCACCGATTCTGCTTTTACACATGATTAAAGCAAGAATTTGTGGTCTTCTTTTGATTCCAAACCCTCTTTTCATTGTGTGTCTTTTTTTCGTGAACTGACAAGCACAGGGAGAGATTCACCTTTTTCTTATTTTTCTTTATTGTGTTTATATATATATATATATATATAATATATTCTTGTTTGTTTCTGTAGAAGGGTTTGGATCCTTCTGAAAACAGGGGGGCTTTCTTCACATTTTCTGCGTGCGATCACAGAAGAGATAGTTTGGGGGGAAAATGGAGTCGGGAGAGGGCACCAAACGAAACCCTTTGAAGAGAACCTTCGAACAGTTCATCTCTTCTTCCATCCCTGTCCCTCAATCATCCTCCATGGATTGCGATGATGAGTATGTGCACTTCTTTTCTTAATTATTACAATTATTATTTCTCGACATCATCGACACACATGTACTGTTCTTAATGTAAGAGTTCTTGAAAATTCTACTGTTTGGGGTTTACACAAGGGTTTTTAATCTCAAAATGTTTTAAAACTGATCTGTGTTGTGGCATCATCTATGGAAGAAGCCATCAAGTGAAGGGGTTGTATGAATTGGCAATGGCTAGGAATGTCGTGGCAGTTTCGAAAGCTGGGGTAGCCAAAATGGTGGCTCTGATGATGATCAAACAGATTGGGGAAGCTTTGGTGGATAGCAATGGCGATAAGAAGCTCATAGCTTTCTTGACACCCACTGTTGATCTTGTTCACAAGGCAGGTCTTTTTGTATTTCCAATCTTTGTTACAGTTTCTTGCCATTTCTGTATTTGATCTTCTGACAATGTTGTTATCTTCATTCAATTTCAATAACTATTACCTTGTTTGGATGTGGTTTAAACTTGCAAATGTGGTAAGTTTTCGCTTCAAATAATTGCTAAAAATGATTAGATTCGAAAGATTTAATAGTTTCTTGGGACATAATTTAGGCGAATATTTCGACTTCTGAGTTCGGAAATTGTTTCGTTGTTATTTGCAGCAACATAAGGAGATAAAATCTCACACAAATCTTCGGGTGGAAGCTTATTTTGGTGCTAGAGGCGTCGACGGGTGGGATGCTGATGCATGGGCGAAGGAAATAAATGATCACGACGTGCGTGGATCGTTTTCGATGTGCATTCTTTGTGCTTATAGTCGAAAGCTCGGATCATGTGTTTTATTGGTTTTTTCATATTGTTTGTATAGGTATTGATAATGACGCCACAGATTTTCTTGAATTCTTTGAGGAAAGGATATATGAGCTTGGAACGACTTCGTTTCATCGTCCTCGACGAGTGCCACCAAACGACTGGAAATCACCCGTACGCTTTGATAATGAAGGTGATTTCTGTTTTTTATGATTTTTTTGCAAGACCGATTCGATCGTGACGATACTTTTGATGATTAAGGAGTTTTATCACCAATCGAAAAGACGACCCAAGGTTTTTGGAATGACTGCGTTTCCGGAAAATAAAAAAGGTGAAATTTGATTTTCATGTCGAATTCTTTGTGCTGTTCTTTACATCCTTTGTTCATCATGTGTCTTGTCTGTTAAAGATTCCGAGGATCGTTTACGGGAGCTTGAAAGCCTATTGGATTCGCAGGTAGTTCGTTGGCACGGTTTGTCTTTATATATGACGTAATGATTTGTTCGTAATTGTTCGTTATCCGGGTTTGTGCAGCTCTATGGGGTCGACAATACGATTCAGGTCGATCACTATATTGCTGAGGAAAGGATGATATGCAGATTTTACGATCGACCGCAACCTCTTGATCCCGTGACGAGAGCGGAACTAGAGTCTCTCGAATTGAAGGTGAATTTGACCGACATTTCGGTATAAAGTTTGTCGGATTTCAGTTTTGTTAAATATTGTTCTTACGAATCTTGTCGACAGTTTGATGCTGTTCTTCTCAACTGCCAAAATTCATGCGACGGAGTCGAACAAGAAAAGTGTCAATCGCTTCGGGATCGCTTGGCCCGCAATCATGAAAAGATTTTGTTTTGCCTCGATAATCTCGGGACCGTATGCGCTCACGAGGTAGATATAGACCATCGTTTGTCAATTTTTCTGAATTCACGCCGGTGTATTGACTGCACTTTTTTCATTGGATTGTCATCAACTTTTAAAAACTCTTGTAGGTGGTTAAAGGGCGCATCGAAAAAGTTTGTGAGGTTCAAAATGAGTGCAGAGTTTACAACGGTTGTGTCACACAGTATCGAGCTTATCTTCGGGAGGTTCTGTCGGTGATCGAACGATCTTCAGGTGAGTGTTTTCAGATCTTTTCATGAATCAAGATTTGATTTACTTTTGTTGTCGTTCTATAAGAACATTTTCGATGTTGTAAATCTGATGCAGCGGCTGCTAGGCAACAATCTTCGAAGCTACATTCGCTTCTTGAATATTTAAAATCATTAAGGTAAAACATCTGCAAAATGGTACTTATATTACTGAATTTTCTGACCTCCCAAGTATCGATCTGTTCACTTTCTGTTCACACTTCGACTATTCGAATGCAGGCGGGATACAGAGGCTCATTGCATCATATTCGTCGAAAGATCGATGACAGCAAAAGTCATTGCAAGAGTGGTGAAGAAAATCCCCGACTTTTCCCATTTCAACATATCCTATTTGACGGAGAGTAACGAAGCTTCGGCCGTCGGGATTTCACCAACTTCCGAGATCGGAGTTTCAGAATCGTATTATGGTAACAAGGTGCGCGATAATCGTACTCGCTATTATTCGAATTTAATGTCGAATTCATTAATCCGATTCACTATTGTTCGAATTTATTGCTTACTTAATCCAATTCACTAGCATTAGATTTTCGACTACATCGTTTGCTTTAAATGTACGCGGTTGCAGGCAAGTATCTTATTCCGAACCTACGCATCGAAGAAGCGTGCACATCCCTTCAAATGCTCGTCTGTAATTTGCTTTGATCTTCCGAAAACGAGTGGTGAATACAATCAGTCGAGGCAACGCACGTTCGGAGAGGATCCTCTGTACATCACGTTTATCGAAAGGTTTCGATCTTTTTTCCATTCTAGTCCGAGGGCTGATGCTCGATCTCGATTTTCTAACATTTCTTACATGTTTCAGGGGTAACGTGGAGTCGTTAAATCAGATATCGCATATCATTCAGAAAGAGGATTCGATGAGCCATACCGCCGCAGCTGGAGACTTGGGGGATAGTCGGGTGAAGGACTTGGCTACAGACATAAATCTCGAGTATGTCGTGGAATCGACCGGAGCATCCGTCACGATCGGATCGAGCATCAGCCTTGTCCACCGATACTGCCAAAAACTCGGAGGGAAAACGTAAGGACATTTATCGTAATTCAATCGTTATTGTGCGCAATTTTCTGATCGTAGCCTTTCTGTCTTTTGTGTGCAGCCAATCGATTCAGATGCCGAAGTTCGAGACATTGAACGACGGCTGGATGTTGAGAACTAAGCTAACTCTGCCTCGTAATGCAGCTTTCGAAACTATAATCGGCCCCGAAGCTCACGAATCTAAATTATCGAAACAGCTTGTTTGCTTAGAGGCTTGTAAAAAGTTGCACACGATGGGGGCTCTCGACGATCATCTTGTCCCGTCCATGAAAGTGCTGCCGAAGATTAACTCCAATTCAATCGTGAAGGGATTAGCATCCGCACCAGGTATGAATCGAATCTTAAGTCTATTTTAACAATACATATACCGTTTTGCGTTTTACAGGAATATATGTTTTCTTCAATGGATCAGGATCGACGAAAAGAAAGGAATTACATGGATCGGTTAGCGTTCGTTTGATGTCGGGAACGTGGAGGGATAAACTCGACACGGCCGTTTTTTATGCGTATAAAATGCACTTTGTGTGTAACATTGCTCAACAGAAGTTTTCGAGTTTCGTACTTTTATTGGAGACAAAGCTTGACGATGACGTGGGGAATGTTGACGTGGAGCTGTATTTGTTATCGAAGTTTGTTAAAGCTTCCATTTTTTACTGCGGTCAAGTGTATCTGGATGTCGAAAAGGTATTAACTGTCTGTTTCTTGTTACGGCATTGGGATTCGATGTACTTTTTCTGCTGCGATGACGTCTTTGTCTTAACAGGTGGCGCAGGCGAAATGCTTCCAAGAACTTTTATTCAATGGTTTGTTTGGGAAAATGTTCGTTAAATCGTCGGGAGTTCGACAGCTTTTATTTCAGTCGGAGGAGTCGCTGTGGGATCCGTCTAACATGTACTTACTCTTACCGGTGGAGACGACGGATAAAGCTAGCGATGGAGATTTGACGATCAATTGGACCGCAATTCAGTCGTGTGTATCGACGGTCGAGTTTCTGAAAAATAATGCTTTGTTGAATACTCGGAACGCGAATGAGGTAGGTTCGAGTCCGTCGATTATTCCGAGCGATTCGGGTGTTGCTGAGCTTAATGATAGCCAAGTCATACACTTGGCCAACCGATCTGTTCCTCTCGATGATTTGAAAGAAATGGTTGTCGTGGCGATACACACGGGCAGGATATACACTATTTTGAAAGTTGTTGCTGATTCATCTTCCGAGAGCCAGTTTGACGGCGATGCTACGCGCTATCCGACTTTTGCAACTTATTATCGTGAAAAGTATGTTCGTTAGATTCTTATATTGTGTTTGTTTTTTAGGTTCGTCTTCATATCATTACCGTTCGTTTTTACAGGTACGGCATCGCTCTAAAGTACCCCGGACAACCTGTGTTGCTTTTGAAGCAAAGCCACAATTCGCATAATCTTCTCGTGGACTTTCGAGATGAAGGTTAGCCTAGTTTTATTTTTTATTTCCGCTACAATGAGGCTTGATTTTACGCCGGATTATCTTTGTATGTGTCATTCGAGTTAAGATTTAATCCAAGATTCCGATTTTGAATTGTTGTTTTGCTCATTTAGGATATAGTCGATTTTACAGGGAGGTGATTTTATGATAGTTTGAGGTTTTAAGTTCTTTATAATAGTAGAATACCGATGCTATCGTCTTAATTGTTAGGTATGTCGCTAAAGACCGAGCCGGGAAGTGTTAAGGGCCAAAATCGAAAGCCGCAACAACATGCTCACATGCCGCCCGAGCTTCTAGTCGGCACGGATCTCCGAACAGATATTTCCAAGTCGATGTATTTGCTACCTTCGCTAATGCACCGGCTTGAGTCCCTTATGTTGGCCAGCCAACTTAGGGAAGAAATATCGCGTCATGCCGGCCACTTCAACGTATCGAGCTCGTTGGTAAGTATTGTCAATGTATGTATATATATATAATGATGGACCCTAGGTTTATATGCTTATATGTTATAACGATGATAATTAGATTTTGGAAGCTCTCACTACTCAAAGATGTTGCGAGAATTTCTCCATGGAGCGGTTGGAGTTGCTCGGAGATTCGGTTTTAAAGTATGCCGTAACTTGCCATCTGTTTCTCAAGAATCCCAAGAGTCACGAAGGGCATTTATCTTCTCAACGATCGAGGATCGTTTGTAATGCATCCCTTCATAAATTTGGAACGGGTCGAAAGTTGCAGGTATAACGTTGTTTGTTTATCTCCCGACTACCATCTTTTGATTACGAACGTAACATATTTGTTTTACCATTTGCTTATCGAAGGAATATATTCGAGATTGTCCTTTTGATCCGCGCCGATGGACTGCTCCCGGACAGCTGTCGATATGGCCTACTCCGTGCAACCACGAGCTCGACACAAAGGAAGTGCCGTTGGATGAAAGATTCTTTAGTGAAGACACGACGTTGACGATTGGAAAAACTTGTGATAAGGGTCATCGATGGATGGGGTCGAAGACCATATCAGATTGCGTCGAAGCTCTTCTCGGGGCGTACTTTGTTGGCGGTGGGCTTGTCGCCGCCATCGGTTTCATGAAATGGCTCGGGATCGAGGGTGAATTCGACCCCTCGTTGATTCATGATTCGATAAAGGCTGCGTCGCTGTATTCATACGCACCGAAAGCCGAGGAGATCGCCACTCTAGAGGCGAAACTTGGGTACGATTTCACAACCAAAGGGTTGTTGCTCGAGGCGATAACGCACGAGAGCATATCTGGACTACATGTTGGCCATTCTTACGAGGTAAGAATTAAACTTTCATTGATTTCTTGTTTGCTATTGTGCAAATGGTTTTCACACCCTCGTAAATCTGTGGCAGCGGCTCGAGTTTCTCGGTGACGCGGTGCTCGACATATTGATCACGCGGTATCTGTACGATAACCACGGGAATCTTGACCCTGGCGAGTTGACAGACCTGCGGTCCGCGTCTGTAAACAATGATAACTTCGCAATTGTGGCGGTGAGACACAAGTTTCACCCTCACCTTTTGTTCAGTTCCTCGTCGCTCCAAGTCGAGATCTCTGCTTTTATCGAATTGGTGTCACAGCTGAGTGGCAATGTGTTGGCGCCGGATACTAAAGGCCCGAAAGTGAGTGTCTCTCGATCGCGTGTTTTTCTGTCTTTTGATTCAATTTTTGACAAGATTTTCCTATATTTTTTGGTTGTTTTTAGGTACTTGGGGACTTGGTGGAGAGCATAGCGGGTGCAGTGCTCGTCGACTCCAAACTCGACTTGGATCGAGTTTGGAAAGTGTTTGAGCCAATTCTTTCTCCCATAGTGACTCCGGACAAGCTCGAACTTCCTCCATCGCGTGAGCTGATCGAATTGTGCGACTCCCTTGGTTACTTTGTCAAACAGCAGTTTACAACGAACGAAGGTGTTGTGCATGCGGATCTCAAATTGCAGCTTGAAGACAGGCTGTTAGAAGGTCAAGGGTCGGGTCCAACGCGAAAAGCGGCGAAGGGAATGGCAGCACTTCAACTATTGAAGAAATTAGAGGTTTTACTTCGCTGCACGATCCAATTTTCTTCGAAACACAATTCACAGCGATTGACTGAATTTGTTGCTTCGATTTGGCTGCAGTCGACAGGAATATCCTCGTCTTCGAAGTTGAACAATGGCGACAAAGATAATGCCAGTGGCGAATCGATCACTGAACCCTCCATATCAGCGCCAAAACAAGATAAGCCGTTTGAGTTGCAGCCGGAGACATCATCTGCAGCAGCCAGTGATTCTTGCAAGACTAACATCCCTGGTATGTATCTTAATTTCCTTTCTCGACATTTTGTACCTACTTTCGAAGAACATACATCGAGCATTCTTCTGTCTACAGTGTTGCCGCCAATCAACATGAGGAAAGGCGGGCCACGGACAGCGCTATATGACGTCTGCAGGAAAGAGCAGTGGCCAATGCCTGCTTTCCAAACAACGGAGAAAAGCTTCAGGTTTGCGCCTTGCGACAATCCCTGTATTTATGCATTTAAACCATAGTTTCTTCGATGTCAGTATATATAATCAAATAAAATTTTGGTGCACAGAACTGCGATCAAGTTAGGCGATACGATGGGATTCAATAGCTACAAGTCACAAATCAACTTGGTCATACCGGGATTCGACAAAATTGAAGTTACCGGGGAGGAGAGAGCTGATAAGAAGAGCTCGTTCGATTCAGCTGCACTTACAATGCTGCTCGAACTCGAGAGACGGGGGAAGATTGCGATCGGAGTCGCAAAATGATGAACTAGCAAGCAAGCAAAGAAGCTTCTTGTGAACAGCATACACACTTACATGCTAATAAATGTCTTTTGTTACTTCTGATTCTTCAAGAACTAACAAAATACTATAGTGTACTGAGAAACTTGAAATTTTTGCTAGTAAATCTAACTTATATTATAATTATTTGCACATATTTCATATTGGCAACATAGAGAGAACTAAAGACATTAATAAGAAACTGGGAAACTAAATGATGAAGACATTAAGAACAACTGAATAAAAATTGGTTCAGTAGCGTCATCACACATATTCTAAATTTTTTTTCTAAGAAAGTCATAACCTCAGGCTCACCTGTGGATAAAAATGACCTGCGGTTCATGTTTTAAGTGTTAGTCTGCCATGGATGAAGAGGATAATGGAAACTCCAAGCAGAATCTTGGAAACCATAGTGAAGGTGATGGAACCATTTTCGGCAAAACTATGGTAAAATGAAGCCACGAGCAATACTAAAGTGAATGCCAGCATCTTGTACCTCCAGAGTAGGTTACCTGTAAATGAACCTTGTTTAGATACAATGAGGTGCAGACATTGTTTATCAGATTAACGAAACATGAAGTTAAAGACGAACATAAACAGATAATAATCATATATGCTGTTATGATTTGGGATTATAACTCCTAAGCAGTAAAATTGGATCTCTTCAGTGACAACTAAATTCGATAATACATTTCCTAGCTCATATTCTCAATATATAACTCATTCTATGAACTCTCCACAAACAATGTTGCTAACAGCTTCTTTGTCTTACAAATAATTTTAGCCACAACACGACCTATGTTCTCAAAGTACAGCAATGTCAAAATAGAAATGCACATTGAACTTCAAATCAAATCTGCATCTTATTGAGGGTTGGGAAGGAAAATGATAATAATACCTTTATGACTCCCAATTTTACTATGAGCATCTCCTCGTAAGTGTGGGTATGCTTCAATAGTTCTTTGAAGGCCATCCTGCATAAATATAACAATTTTATTTATAGAGGAAATCGAGCAAATGCAAGGATCAGTCTCCATCAGCAATAACAACATTATCAAGGCTTATAAAGGAGATTTCTCAACAGATAAGTTGACTTGCTGGGGAATATATATGTATACCTGGAGAGTTACAATCGGCCGGTAGCCAAGTCGATCAACTGCTTTAGAAGAATTAAAAGTTCTGGTAACAGAGAGAAGCCTGATTCTTGAAGGTGTTAACTGTGGCACCTTCATTCCGAAGGGGGCGAAGATTTTATAGATCAACTCTACCATATGTGCAATGGGCATCATTACCAAGGCAGGAATCTTAAGTTTTGGCCTGCAAACTTGAAAATCTCAGAAACAAAGATGTGAAAAAAATTATATATTTACTCTGGAAACCCATAAAGAAAAATATTTCGTTGAAGATTATTTAGAGATGATATGGAAATCTAACAATATAATTCACAAAGAAAAGGCAAACAATTAGTGGGATGGAAATACAAAAGCTTTCGAGATATATATAGCAATTGTACCTTTCATAACCCAAACCTTCAAGAATCAGAGACATAAACTCCCAAAATCTAATTGGTTCCATATTGGTAATGAAGTATGCCTGCAAGTGAGATTTGCAAAGAAAACCTCATTACTGAGCTTCCAATCCTGGTCAGGGAATCCCTACCAAGGAATGAAATATTTAGAAAACTTCCATGCATGCTCATAAGTTAATCAAGCTAAACAAGACAGAAAAATATAAAATCAAATCAAATCATTGGATCCTTGTTGAAGTATATGTGGAAGCTTCAAAAGCTGACAAGCAGCTTGTGAGACAATGGCATATTTCGCAATCCCATAGGTAAGTAACACTTCATATACTTTTCAAATCATATCATTTACATATATGATTTGATTTGATTTGATCAATGTTACAGCCACTTACTAAAGATATAAAACTTTGCATTTAGTTACAGTGTATAGTTTATTTTCCACTAAAATTAACGTCTTCAACACAAACAGGTCTTGAAATAAAAATATCAATTAACCTGTCCAGATGCTCTTTCTGCTGCTTCTGATGCCAAAGCCCGTTCAGCACATACATGAGCATGTGCCACATTCTCCACATAAGTAAAATCATACATGTTCTTTCCATCCCCAATAATGAACTGTCATACACATTTCAACATCAACAAAAACATCAGATTCATCAGAACCTCACAGCGTGTAACATTTGAAAGCTACATAGGTTCTCAAAGTGAAGTTCAGTCTAACTTAAAAACATGAGATCCACAATATACAAAGTCCACTTTTTCATGGAGACTTAGAATAACATAGGCAAAGAGATAAAACACAAACTTCATATAAAGAGGCCCATAACTAAACTACAGAAGTTAAACATAGCGCTTCAGTTACCTGAAAACTTGTGTATGTTCACTGCAGCCGTATGAACATATTCGACTTGAAGAAACATATAAAGACAGAATAAGAGACTCTACTAATTACCTTTGATTTCCCAGCCCTTGCTGCTGCAACCAAAGATGGAACAAGTAACTTATCACCGGGACCAAAAATGCTGCTAGGTCGAATGCAGCATGTTAAAAGCCCATTTGAACCATTTGAACTGATGACAAGGGTCTCTCCTTCTGCTTTAGTGGCAGAGTACGAATCATTGTGCTTAGAAAGTCAACAAAGACAAGATCAAGTTATTAGATAGATCAGATTTGTAGGTTTATTCAAAGGAGAGATGAGTACTTTTTGAGAACCAAGCCTTCAAATCGACTGCTCAAGAAACCAAGCTTATAAGAGAGGTCTATTGTTTAGTTTTCAGTTGGAAACCATAGAATTTACACAAACAAGTTACAACTTTCAAGGTTACAAACTAGTTGAAATAAAGGGAAAATCTATGTCTATGACTTGTAATATGAAAAACTAATGCATACAACTTACTCCAATGATCCTTCCTTTTGTAATTGAATTAGAGGAACACAAATATCAAAAAAACCAAAATTTTACAATACCTTAGTAGGGTAAGGTAATGATTCATCTCCATTATATATCCCATGAACGCCATCAAATACTACACTTGGGGAGCTTGTATATATAAGTCGTTTCACTTTCAGCTCAACACATGCATCAATGACATTCTTGGTTCCTGAAACAGAGTTCATGCGAAAGGAAAGCGGAAAACATTGTCTCTCATTAACAACTGTGCTAAACAATCCATCAAATATACATAATGATACCCAGCTTCATGCACATGTGAATCATTATATGATCTAGAAGGCTAACAATTGTGCTAAACAATCCATCAAATACACATAATGATAGGCAGCTTCATACACCTATGAATCATTATATGATCTAGAATGCTGACAAACTTAACCTTGGACATTGACAGAATGATGTAGTTGGTAGTTATTGATGGAGGAATCAGGAGCAGCCATGTGAAATACTACCTCAGCTCCTTGGAAAGCTGCATTGACAACGATAATAACCCAATGTTTAAGCCAGCTTCCACTATCAAGTAAAGTCCGATAATACAAACTGGATAACTCATGAATCTAATCGCGAGAATACACATACAGATGATAAACTAAATTCCAGCAAAAACCAAACAATAAGGAAGCTCATTGAAAAATTATGGAAGAGAGAACTCATTAGGGACAAAACAGAGTGAAGTAAAAACAGTTACAATAGCTACCTTGGAGCACCTGCGATTTGTCTCGCAGATCCACTGACACGTAACCCGCGCCGCCAGACTTTAGGGCTTGGCCAAGGTCGCCATCCTCCTCGTCTGGATCCAGCTTGATGGTAGGCCCCAAATCAGCAATGCGGACGGAAAACATCCCGTATTTGATGAGCATGATGACCAAGTGCCTCGCCGCGAAACCTCGGCCGCCGGTGACGACGCACCAGCGCTCTTCTCTGGCCATTTTGATTTTGGTTATCCCTGAAGAGAGAACAAAGCGACGCCGTATTGGATACTTTACATGCAGAGGAAGAAGACAGCAGTGTGTGATTGTGATTAGATCTGTGATTAGAGTGTTACTTATTTAATTAGATGCGTCATATAAAAACGGACCGCTTTCAGAATTAAGAAACATTTGATACGTTTATTTGTGTTTTTTTGGGTCAGACTTTGGTGTTATGGAGAGAATGTTTTAAATACGAATAGATATTAAATTCAATATTATATGCTGTATAAGAATTACTTAAAAGATAGTTTCGTTTGTATGTGTATTTATTTTTAAGCTGGATTTATAGCAATTTTGGAAATTTTAGTCCTTTTATTTTTTTTTTATAAAATATTATATTCTCTCCTTAGTTATTAAAAAATAATAGTAATATTTATTAATAAATAAAAATATAAAATAGTTGATATTTTTTATCATTTATAATAACATCAAATATATATTTTTTAATATAAAATATCACATCCAATATTAAAATAATTCATATTTCACATTATCAGCTTATCTTAAAATACTTTTGATATATAAATCTTGCTAGTTGTCCAATAATTAGTACTAGTATATACTCCTTCCTTCAGTCCCGCCTAATTATCTTTATTTTTATTCGTTGCACATAATTTATCTATGCTTTTTTAAAATTTTAATCACATTTTAAATTTTATAATTTTTTAATATTTACTTAATTCTCGTAACCATTATTAAACCTCAAGTTCATTTAGATAAAATAAAATAAAATAAATGAGATCATGGATTTAAGGAGGTGGAGTACCAACCCTAGTTCTATCCCATGCATGCATTTTACATGCTACAAAATCACTGCCATAGATATGGAATTCCTACTATGCTATCATACTCTACTCTACACTATTTCTCTATCCTACTATTCTATTCTACTCTACACTATCTCTAATTAATACCATAAAAATTTTATTTTCTTTCTTTTCGAACATTAAGCACAATTTATGCAGTCAAAAAATCCTCTTGATATATATATATATATGTGAGATATATAATGGATGTGGACGGTGATATTCGACTCGAGACCTATAGCTTTGACATTAGAGGATACTGTTTCACCTGAAACATCTCGAGCTCAACTATTAGATAAATGTCATTCAAGTCATCTAACATGAGCTATGAGTAATACATCTCAGAGTTCGAATCTCACTTGTCTCCACAACCGTAAGTATATAGCTTGGACTAATTTCGAGAAAATAATAATATAATAATAATGGGTAGATTGGTTGGTTATGAAAGCAAACAAACCCTCAGCTGTTCTAACCAAATTTCCACACTGTCATTTACTTCTGCTGCTGTCGCTGCTGCTCCAGCTGCATGCCTAACCCTAAACCTACCCTCAATTTCCCCCAATAAATCCCCCATTTCATTTTCCCAGCATTTCCTCTATCGAATTCATCAATCTCAGATCAGGGAACATACCGATTTCTGGCCAGCATTTTGATTTGATCTTCTGATGGCTCCTGAACAGGACCTGTTGTCCGCGGAAATTGTGCGCCGCGGTGTCGAACCGTCGGGTTCAGACGCAGGCTCGATGACGTTTTCCGTCAGGGTGAGGCGGCGGTTGTTGCCGGATTTTGTGCAGTCGGTGAATTTGAAGTATGTGAAGTTAGGGTACCACTATTTGATGAATCACGGAGTATATTTGGCTGTAACTCCAGTGGTGCTGCTGGTTTTCGGAGCGGAGGTCGGGGGGATGAGCAGGGAGGAGGTGTGGCAGAGGATCTGGAACCGCACCGCCGTGTACGATCCGTCGACGGTGGCTTCTCTGGCGGCGGTGGCGGTGCTCACCCTCACTCTGTACTTGATGACGCGTCCTCGTTCAATTTATCTCCTCGATTTCGCCTGCTACAAACCAAGCGACGATTTGAAGGTAAATTTCGCGTGCGAAGAAACGACGATTTAGTTACGATAACTTTAAGTAGGTTTAGTTTTACCTCTGTAAATGTATACGCAGGTCACGAAAGAGCAGTTCATCGATCTGCTGCAAAAATCAGGGAAATTCGACGAAGCAGACCTCGCTTTCCACCGGCGGATTCTCGAATCCTCCGGCCTAGGCGACGAGACCTACGTTCCGAAGTGCATCGCTTCGCCGGGAAGCGTAGCCAGCATGACCGAAGGTCGCGCCGAAGCGTCGATGGTGATCTTCGGCGCCATGGATGAGCTCTTCGAGAAAACTCAGATCCGACCAAAAGACGTCGGAATCCTCGTCGTGAACTGCAGCCTCTTCAATCCGACGCCGTCGCTCTCCGCCATGGTGATCAACCACTACAAGATGAGGGGAAACGTTCTGAGCTTCAATCTAGGAGGCATGGGGTGCAGCACGGGGATTATAGCGCTGGATTTGGCGCGAGACTTGCTGCAGGCGCACCGCAACAGTTACGCGGTGGTGGTGAGTACGGAGATGGTTGGGTATAATATTTATCCAGGGAAGGAGAGGTCGATGATGATTTCGAATTGCTACTTCCGGATGGGTTGCTCCGCCGTGATGCTATCCAATCGCGGTCGTGATCGCCGCCGTGCAAAGTACAGACTCGAGCATATCGTGCGGACGCATAAGGGAGCAGATGATCGGAGCTTTCGGTACGTTATTTACGTTACATTTAAATTTCTAAAAGTTTCATTGTGACCCCCTTCGTTTCTCATTTTGCATATAAGTCCTCAGACGTTCAACAAGTTTTTAAATTAAGAAATCAATTGAAATTAAGAAAGGGTAGTTGATTGAGTTGGAAAATTAACATAAATAAATATATATGAACGGATGATCTTACTAATAGAATAAAATTGAAATATTTGCAAGAAATAGAAATGATTCGTTCCATCTACAAAACTTAGGCATTTTTGTCATGAATTAATTTTTTTTACGCTTTGAGATCTTGTCCGTCAAGTATAGTTCGTCTAGCTACTATTAAATTTTATTTTTTCCTAATTTATACAATAGGAGTGTGTATCAAGAAGAAGACGAGCACAAGTGGAAAGGCTTAAAACTCGGAAAAGATCTCACCGAGATAGGCGGCGACGCCCTCAAAACCAACATTACTACACTCGGCCCTCTCGTCCTCCCCTTGTCCGAGCAACTCCTATTCTTCGCAACTCTCCTTTGGAAGTCCCTTATTCGCCGAAACGACAACGTCAACCCTGGCCTACCCAAGCCTTACATCCCCGACTTCAAGCTAGCATTCGAGCACTTCTGCGTGCACGCTGCCAGCAAGTCGGTCCTTGATGAGATGCAGCGCAACCTAGACCTAAGCGATGCGAATCTAGAGGCATCGCGCGCTGCCTTGCATCGGTTTGGGAACACGTCGAGCAGCACCATATGGTACGAGCTGGCCTACTTGGAGGCCAAACAACACGTCCACAAGGGCGATCGTGTCTGGCAGCTGGCATTCGGGTCGGGGTTCAAGTGCAACAGTGCAGTGTGGAAGGCAATGCGCCGGGTTAGGAAACCCGTGAGGAATCCGTGGCTGGATTGCATCGACAGGTATCCTCAGGCAAACTACTCCTAGCGAATTGGTCGATATACAGTTTCTAGTTTAGTTCGATACACCGTTATATTGCTATACGGTGTATCGACGGATTTTGGAGACATTCATGGGGTTTGTATGCATGTATCCAAATATGTCAAGTCAAATTAGAACAACATACAATTTTATCAGACTCTAACTAATAAATTTCATGTCGTAGTATTAGATAAGAAAAATTGTCTTACTTAAAAACTTAAATTATCAGGGATACGCATCATTTAGTTATTTTTAAAACATACGGGAGTTTCCAAAACATATAGTGTTTGTTTGTTTGTTGCTTAATTGTTATTTTGATCAATGGACACCCCAAAAATTGATTCATAGCAATTTTATAGGAAAGTATTGACAATGGCATGTCTGATCTGGACAGAATCAAATCAGACCTGCCATATAATAGATGGCATTGATGAAACAGTCTTTGCATTTGGACTAATCCAACCCAAGCCCATCTCAAATGGGTTTTAGGTTAGATGGCCCGAGTCGAATTAACCCACTTGACTTTGGACTAAAAATCTTCTCTTTTTTTCTTTTTTTTTTTCTTAGGTCACTTTTAGAATGCTCCTAAAACAGTTCCCCTAATAATAATCCAACAAAACATGTCCATATACTGCTAAAACTAAACTAGTTCGAATATATGTTGAGTATATCCAACAAGTGGCTGCTTCTAATTTTTTATTGTAGTTGTAAGCATCATTGCCTACTAACTACAAAAGTTTCTTTTAGTGGTTTTAGGTGCAATCTTGTTAACCTAAATAATTTTTACTGAACTCTTAGAATTTTAGGGTGCATTTGTTTGCATAGGTATAATTTTATACAGGGGAAATACCTGATCCTGAACCACTACCATTATTTATATAGACTATACTCAAAACATATACACAGACAAGTGCCTAAAACTGAATTGCCAAAAGATAAGGGAGTTGAGGCACAAATCACAGAACATATCAAAATTCATAACCAAATTCAGCAGTGATTTCGTTTTGCATTTCTGCAATAAACAATCCAGAATCGGATACCACTGTTGCGTCTACCTGACTAACCTTCTTCTACATCTAAAACTGAGGCAATTAATGAATCAAGAACAATACTGACATGCTTTGGCAAATTTACCTGGAATAAATTTATATATACACGCAAAACTTTCGAGAATCGTATGTTTTCATGTTTCTCCCCAAAAACTTTCATACCTCTTTAACTAGGTTTCTGAAGCATACCAGTAAGTTTCCGATTAAAGCGGAAACATCATAACATGGATTAAGACGTGCATCTCAAATCTACGGATCTCGGAATTGAACGCAATTCATCATTGAGGGTTTATACGGTTCAATACTAATCCTATTTGCCAAAATCGATAAATTGAAGAAGAAACGAAATCGAAACTACTGTTTAAAAAAAAAAAGAAGGCATAATTACAGAAAACAGTTGTAGTTCTGAACCAATTACCGCGTGAGAGAGCGATCTGGTGCCCATTCTTCTGATGGATGAGTCGTCCTTATCGTATGGAGAAGAACTGATTGTTCGATCTCCATTAATCCTTGAGCGATAAGGAGAGTAGATTGATTGAATTGGCAGCCGAGATTTGAATAGAAAATGTTGGCGCCCATTCTACAATAATGATAGAAGAATTGATTAATGAATTGTCTTTTCGACCCCCTTATATATATCTTCACAAGATCGGAAATACAAACAAACTAACAAATACGCCCATGACAAAATAATTTCATTCAATAATGTTATTTTTCAACAAATGTGTGTTGTTAGATACATGATTTTAAATATATATTGGGTGTGTTTTTTCTTTTTTAAAAAAATACATTTTCTTTTGAAAAATAATACTTATACACTTATTATTTTTATACTATTTACACAATTTTTTATACCTCACATAATATATATATATATTTAAACAATTTTACTAAACAAAAAAAAAACCCTAAATATATTATAATAATTATTTATATTTTTTCCACTATTTGATTATTAGAATTTTTTAAATAAAAATATTATTATATTTTTTCATAGAATAATGTCCAAACTATTAAAAGTACTATTTAAAATAAAAAATATCAATTAAACACAGTTTATATTTACCAATTATTTTGGGTGTGTTTAGTTTGAAAAAAAAAATTAGTTTGATTTTGATATGAAAATAATGTTTGATGAGATGTTTTTTAAGAAAAAAAATATATATATATATTTTTAAAAACATTAAATTCAAATAGTAAAATTTAAAAAATTTCGGGTAAAGAAACATACCCTTTACAATGCAAGGTATGGCCAAAATTATTGTTATTATTTATTATTGAATATGGTGTAGAAATTTCTAAATCCAATGGAAGCTTCTATTAATAAAGACAGTGAATGAATAGCGCGAGTAAGTGGAGTCAGTCAAGACATAGAAGTAGAACTTTCTTGATTTTCAAGAATTTAATTGATTTGGCAATGCCTTTTGCTAACCAGCCAGCCTTTTAAATTACTATTTTATTTTATATTAAATATTTGTTAATTATTGCTAAAATAATAAATAGTCGTCCAAGTCTCGTGGAATCTTCTTCTACTTTGACGTCAAAGAGCCCATGGGACCGCCCACCTGGCATCTGATCCATCTCAACCGTCCGATCATATCTCATCTATCAGATATAGATATAGTACCTATTTTTTTTTTTTTTTTTTTTTCGATTAAATAAAATAAAATAATTCGGTCAATGAAATTACTCCTTGAACTAGTCAACAAATACCAAAGAATATATATAATTATATGGTAGAAAAAACAAACACATTTTAAAGGTATTATTTATTTATTTATTTATTTTTCAACTATGTTATGATTGAGATGTGCATGTGTATCTTGAAGCTTGTTTTGTTTTGAGTTTTGTTCTCAAATAATTTGGGATGACAAAAATTACTTTTCAACCTAGTGCCAAAAGATAACTAAACCTAAAAAAAATAAATGGTCACACTAAGGGAGTGTTTGTTTGGGGGTTTTGATTTTGAGTTGGGATTTGAATAGTAAAAGTTTTGAATTTGAATGGTTGTATAATGTGATATAAATAGGTGTTGATGTGATATTTTGAATGTAAAATTGATATTTAGTATAATATAAAAAAATAAAAAATAGGTGTTCGATTTGATGTTTTTTGGAAGAAAATTTTGGATGAATAATAGGATTTTGACAAACGAACACACCCTATTTAAGCACTTTTTTTAAAAAATATTTCAATATCTTTATTAAGTAATATTTATAATTTTCTATAAAAAAATATAGTATTAATTTTTATATATATACAAAACATTGCACATTAATTTTTTTATATATATAAAACAAGGTGTGTTTACTTGTGAGGTTTTAATTTTGGGTTTTAATTTTGAATAGTAAAATTTTGAATTGAAATAGTTGTTTGATATGATATAAATATGTGTTGATGTGATGTTTGAATGTAAAATTAAAGTTTAGTGTAATAAAATAAATAAAAATTGAGTGTTTGATTTGATATTTTTTGAGGAAAAAAAAATTGAAATAATAAAATCAGGTGTAAAGCCTGACAACTAAACACACCAATTTGCAATTTAAATTAAACTATTATCTATTCTAGTAGTAACCATAAAAACAATTAAACTTAAAAATAGTAAATGGACACACTATAACTATTTAAGCATTTCTTTATCAATATCTTTATTGTGTAATATTTATAATTTTTTATAAAAATATAGTAGTATTATTATTATGTATATATATATACACACAAAAATTGCATATTAATTTTTTTTTATATATATATAAAAAATTACATCCAATTTGCAATTTAAATTAAAACTAAAAATAAAAACAAATAAATTCAAACACACCAAAATCAATTCGACCAAATTCTTACATGGAAAAGTTAAAGGTAAACCTTCATAATGGTAGAAATAAAAAAGAGTAAATATTTTGACTTTAGGGATCCAATATTTATGATTTTTTAATTTTTTTATGGAAGCTTCTAAAATTCAGATGACTTTGATCATACTCACATGGCTATTTATCTTCAATTATATATATTGTATATACGAAAATTCGTTTTTATGGTTTCAATAAATTTTATTAGTTGTGTCAGAATTTTTTAAAATGTAAAAATATGTAAATTGACATTTTTATTTATTTTTTTAAAAAAAGGATAATAAAATATAAATAAATTAATTAATTGGTGCATGAAATATTGACTTTGAGGAGTTCCATTCCATCCTCGCAACACAACCGGCGACTCAACATTTCTTCTAGAACAAAATTTACACGAACTTGGATTGTGTGTGAATTTAATTACGTTAAATTGTGTTGTAAAATTATATAAAATTTTGTTGAATAGTGTAAGAAATTTATTAATTAAAACAAATGGTATGAAAATATTTCAAATTATTATAGTATAAATTTATTGGCTGTGTTTTCTTACCCAAAAATTTATAAACTTTACTGTTTAGACTTTGTATTTTTTGAAAAAATACCTCTAAATCTAATAAATTTATTTCTACTTTATTTTTTCTTTTCTTATTTTTATGTAAACTTATTTTCGTTTTTCTTTTTAGTAAAAACTAATGTTTTTTTTTTTTCTATCTTTTTATCATAAAAATTTTATATTTTTATCATTTTTTAAAAAAATTCTTGCCAGTCAAATTGACATAATTTTATATGACAAAATAAGTATATATTTTTTCTCTAACAAAATATTTTATCAAATGTTATTTTAATGTCAATTTCAAATTTTTTTTTTCAAATTTTTACCAAAAAAAAAAAAAACACACCCTATTAAAAATGTATTTGTTTTAGAATTATTTTACTATTTCCTATAGGTTCATATGCATTATTTTAATATATATATATATATATATATTACAAACATCACATCGAACAATAATGTAACATAAAAAACAAGAAGAATGAAACAACATAAATACTAAACAAAAACATGCTAAATTTGTAGAATATTGATCTTGTTCACATAAGCATTTTTATAATTTTATAAAATTTTAATACTATTATTAATGGTAATCTTTTTACAAAATCACATAACATATATATATATATTTAGAAAATATCATATAATATACTTAATTTTTTTTATTATTATTTTCAAAATTTTTAAAATTCTAAAACTTCTATCTAAACAAAATATGGGTATTTGAATATAAAAATTATTCATTATATAAGATAATTTTTTGAATGCTATAATAAATCATCATAATGCTAAATTATTGAGCTATATTATATATATTTGTCCATTTGGATTGGCATAACATTCATATATTAAGTAATACTATATAAATATATGAAAGAAAATAAATACTTTATTTTTATATTTTTATTACACTTTTTTATATCTTATATTACAAAAACAATTCAAATTAAAATACTAAAACAAACACAACCTAACCTATTAACATAAAGTAACATGCTAAATAATGCATAATAAATTATACTGTTAAATTACATCACTTAACATTTAGTAGCAACAGAAAGGCCGCCCC